CATTGTCCAGTCCAACCACGTCTGCAGCATCGTGCTTCATTGGGCGGGGGTGCGGCATGCTATTTCTTTGCTCTCTGAACCGCCTGGAGGATGGGCGGTCCCATTTCTGGGCATTTAGACAGCACCCTGAATGTCCTCGACCCGCGCTCCAGCATCGTTATTCACTGTCCGGAGGATCCATGTGACTGAGTGTGCGCAGTCGCCCTGACAACTGAAAAGATTCCATGAGCATCTCCTCCCCGCGAATGGCGCACGCCCAGGACGCACCGTTCCCCTCACGGCTGTCTGCATGCCGGAACCTGGCGCAGCCGGCGTCGCAAAGGTGGCCCAAGACGCATCCAGGAGCTGTGGCCAGGCGTTGCATCCATCATGCATTTCAATACGCCGTCAAATGGTGCGACTGCGATCCTCCGTACAAATCCCTGCCTCCCACGGATTCCCCACTTGGTTCCCCGTGTGCCGAGTAACAGCTCCACTTCCTCTGGCACGTCATGAATCTGCATGATCTTTCGATTGTCTCTGCCGTATGGGACGCATTCCAACTTCCCGTGGCAGAAGCGGTGGAGATTTGTGACGGGCCTGGCTGAGTGCTGATGGTCGCCAAGTTGTCGTCCCATTGATTGTCATGAGCAACCCTTGCAACGGCGCCAATCGGATGCGTACCGCATGGAACTGCGCGTGGGCATCTGAGCTGCACGCCAATATTTTTTATCCTCCAACTGAGACCAAGCGCACTCATATGGGCCAGTGCAGCGCCAACTGCCTTCCTTCAAGTGCCGCCCACTTGCTCCAAACAGTGGTGTGCTTCTTCCTCTTCAGAGAGGCTCGAATGGACTCAGGGTTCCTCGGCACGGTGATGGCAGCCACAGAGTGCCGCAACGAGGTGCAATTCATCCCGTTGTCCTGGAACCGCCTTGCGGCTAGTTCACCGCCCGCTAATGGTGAGAACGCCGCCCACGTGATGACTCAATGGCGGGTAATTCGCTGGGCAAAGACAAAGTGCCGCTGGACCACCCCGCCTCAGAATGTTGTCGTGGGCGTCTCGTGGACACCGTCCGAACCATGAACCATCCTAGCAACTCAATTCCCTTTCAAAATATGCGGTTTGCAACAAACTGCATGCATTGTAAATTTTCGGAAAATATTTGATTATTGTCGGATATTGTCACCAGACACTTGTTAGCCCGCACCATTCCTCTCGCAGCCCTATATATATATATATATATATATATATATATATATAACGCTGGCACCAATTTCTGAAAGTGAATCTGCATGGTCTTGGGGCAAAAATCTGCGTCCCCGTCAATAAGGAGGTACGGGAAGACAGAAGGTATTCGCATAAAAAGATAACAAGTATATATATATATACCAATGGTGGTGACAAGGTGGGTTTCTGACGATCACAATTTAAAAAGTATTCATTCAGGCAACGGCACTGGTTCAAAGAAAAAACAACAACAAAAAAAAACAAACAAACACAAAACGGGGGATTGGAAGAGAGTGACGTCTTCTTTCCTGTACGCGCAAAAACACGGAGAATTTAAACAACAACAACAACAACAACAACAAAACGGTCAATGCGACATGATAATATCGCGTGCCCGCCCTCTTCTCCATCATTTTGTAACTTAATCTTCCTATCAGTTACCTATGAACCTCATCACGACCCAATTTTTTTCCTAACCTTTCTCTCTCTTTTTTTTTTTTTTTTTGTCTTTCCTGAGGCATCCCTCTCCATAATGTTCTTTTCCTTATTCATTCTTTTCGGAACATCGGCAACCACGTATATAGAACCAATTTTCTTACACACCATCATTATCGTAACGTATATACTGCAAACCGTCTGTTTTTCCCGTTATGGTTCTTTGATCGCTTATTTTCTCTTGGGAAATACATGCATGCAGGTCCACACAATGCATTTACTTCTTCGTGTCATTCATTTGCTCTGAAGGCGCAAAAGCGAAAACAAAAACAAAAAAGAACACCGTCAGGAAAAAGTCTGCAAACAGTAATCATCACTCATACCGTACTTGGAGGGGAAACGTGACATGTCGCCTGCCTTCGTTTAACGCAAAAAAAAAAAAAAAAAAAAAGTAACCCGGCTGTTACTTTTCCCATTTTTCTTCAACCATCGTCCTCCTGTTCATTAGACCGAATCCACAGAATAAAATATGAAAGGTCGTTCCTTTCACATTTTCTCATGGACTCCATTAAAATTGCGCAATTTAACCAATGAAGAAAAAAAAAAAAAAAAAAAAAGAAGAATAAGAAGGAAAAGAACAGTCACAATAATCAAAAAAAGCAAAGTAAAAGAAAGGAAATAATACCCCACCCTAAAAATTGCGCACACACACACAGATAAATATATAAACCAGTCCAAAAAGAAAAAAAAAAGAAAACTCCAAAAAAGTAAGGTAAAAAAAAAAAAAAAGCTTTTTTTCAAATTTTTTTTTTTTTTTTTTTTTTTTTTCTCACGTGGGGATATGCTTATATAAATATACATATAGGTATGAGTATATTTATATATTTATATATATGCCTATATAAATTTGTTTTAATTGTTCCTTTTTTTTTCTTTTTGGCATGTATGTATTCGCTCCCTAATATATACTGTGGGTGCTGCGTTGCATCCATCTACACCTCCTTTTTTTTTTTTTTTTTTCACACACACACACACACACAACTCTGTATCAATCATTTTTTTTTTTTTTTTATGCATGCAATAAAACACGGTATTTTTATAGGAGGGGGAATTGGAGGAAAGATACTGGCAATGCTTGCTTCTCCATTTATAATGTAAATTCACGCACACTCTCCAAAGCCTCCTGCGCCTTTTTCAGCGCTATCATCATTGTCTTTGTAGCCTTGCGCTGTGTTTCCACCTCTGGTGGTTCCGCGAGAAGATCATCCGCCTTTTTTTCACTGTACAGACTGCGCACCAACCTTGAATACACATCCTCGCGCAGTTTCGTTATCATGAGCAGCGTGATGGCTTTGGGCACCTGGTCGGCAACAGTGCCCTTCACAATACCAAAGTACCCCTCAACCATATCCCTTATGACGTTGTTAATGTGCTGCTCGTGCATTGACATGTTATTGCCCAGCATGATCGTCACCGGGACATCCCCCATGTCGCTTTTCTCTACTCCGTTTGAAGTGGGTTCAGAATTGACTTTTTTCCCTTTATCCTTTCCTTCATTTCCTCCCTGCTGAGAGTGGCTGGTTTGTGACTTCTCATTCTCCGTACCAAATATTTTCAGGAATGACCGTTGCACCAGTTGCTCCATCATTGGATGTTTCACGTTGACGAAACCGCGCTCCGCTGCAATGATTGTTCGCACGTGAGACATGGTTGGTGCACGATACTCCTGCAGTGACTGGCGGCAGATATCTACAACGGCCTGCTTCAGCCTAGGAAAGTTATCCAGCTTTGAAGCGCAGATGTCAACAATCTTTATAAGCTCTTCAAACACAAACTGCACACACTTCTGCGAGGGTTCCTCTAAGCGGGCAATCTGTTGCCTCGAGAGGGCGACAAAGACTTGGTCAGAAGGAAAAAGGGCAGAATGCATACCGGCCATGTTGCGTGCATTAATGCGAATGTACTCGTCGGTCAGCTCCTTCTTGGCAGTGAGTCCGTTCACATAGGCAGCAAAGCACTCATTAAAAATGTAGTCCAACCGAGCGCCGCCCATCAATTCCTTGGTCGCATCGGTCGCGCCACCGTCAATTGTGTGGTTGAGGGTGTCGCTGAACCGTTTAATAAGAGACAACATGTGAGCGCTTGGGTCTATGTTTGTCTGATCCAACATGCCAAGTTTTTCCATCTGCTTCATGGTACTCCCCAAAAGCTTGTCAACGTGCTTTTTAAGCTCGGGAATGACATCCTTAATGTGCTGGAGGAGAAGCTGATTGAGCTTCTTTGCGAGGTACTCCGTTCCCTGTCTGTCGGCAATGGCAGAGTATGATGGATGGTTGTGAAAGAATGCACGTTCGTCCTCTCGTGCCGCCAGCATGCCCTTTGAATCATTGATATCCTGCTGGCTGCGGTTCACTACTCCAACAAATCCGTGGCGGAGACTCACCAATTTCCCGGTGAGAGCATCCAGCGCGTCCGTGCCGCGGTCCATGAGGTCAAGTTTTGTCAATACGCCCACCGTGCGGATGCCCTCCGGGTCCAACTGCTTCGCGAGACGCAGCGAGGAACTCGTCGCGAGATCCGTGTTTGCCGGCGAAATGGCAAGAATGATGGTGTTCACTGGGGCGACGTAGCGGGTCACCATCTCCTTGATTTGGCGATCAATGTCCTTTGGCTGGTCCCCCACGGCGTTCATGACAAGTCCTGGCAGATCCACCAGTGTGAGGTTGAGCACATTTTTTGAGTACACCTTGAGGTTAATGGGCCGCTCTGAGATGGCTGAATTCCCCGCAATCTCCACCGTGCGATGCTTAATCTCCTCGTTGATCTCCAAGAAGTCAAAGTACTTCTTGTTGGGCTTGTGGAGAAACTCCCCCCATTCCTCCTCGGATGTTTTGGGGAGCTGCACAAGCTGTAGCACGAGGGGACAGCGTGTCACGATGCCGGAGCCACGAGGCAAAAAGTCTTTCCCTACAATTGCCTCCAGCACGCTGCTTTTGCCAGAACTCTGACTACCCACCACCGCAATCTGCGGCAGATTCAACTTGATGTTCATCTTCACATTTGCGAAGGCATCGTGAAGCTCGTTTACAACAGCGATAAGCTGATTCATCGCTTAGCAGCCGTCACTACTCTGGGAAAGAAAAAAAAAGAAAAGAAAATTTGTGTACTCAAGCGATGCAGAAGATCGCACACGTTACTTCGGTGAACAACAACAACAACAAAAAAAAAAAAAACGGCATAAGAATCCATTGTTGAATTTGTGCCTTTCTTGCACCTCAGGGACATCATGAGAAATCGCTGGTGAATAATTTATAGTCACGCGTACATCCAAAAACAGCACTCGCGTGTTCATTTTTTTTTTTTTTTGGTAAACAGCTGACGTGGATACTCGCCCCGCCCCACGGTCCGTATGGGGAACAAAGCATCTCACAGAAAAACTGACAAAACAATCGATCGGAAAACATGGAAACAAACAGAGAGAATAGCGGCACCATAAAAAGACTCTTTTCTCCTGTTTATTTTATTTTCGTTTGGGCGTCATTCCAGGGGTTCACTGCATTCATCATCGTTCCATGTGCCATGCAGTCGCTGCCGTCTCTTCTTTGCCTCCTCAATCTCCTGCAAGACATGCGAAGCGTATGGTATCGTTATGTTGAGTGCCCCCGTTACCACAGACCGCTGCACTCTCGCTGCAGAGGGAGAAATCTCGCGCTGCAGCGGCACCTGAATGAGTTTCTCCTTCACCAAGAGACGGATATAATTCACCTCAATCTGCACATCTATAAGAGTGGTGGAGAGAAACTTTGGAACGTCCACCGTAAGAATGACCGCCGTCTCGTCACTCTCTTGATCCAGCCGCATCGGAAATTTAGGCTCATTTCGGAGAAGCAACCGGCCGTACTTTGCAATCTCCTCTTCCGCAGTGAGACGCTGGGGCCGTTTATTTACCTCAGCGCTCACAGATGCCAAGTGACCGGTCTCCCGTTCTTTTTGAAGTTTTTTTTCTCGTTCTGCCTCTTCTTCTTCCTTCTCGCGCAGCATCTGCAGCCGCTCCTCCGGCGTGTGCCCGTAAACCCGCTCGCCCTTCTCATTGTACCGCGGCGGAAAGACATCAATGCCTTGCGCAATCATCTCCGCCTTGATGCGCTCCGCCTCGCGGACACGCAGCGCCGCCTCGTCTACAACCGCTGCCACTTCGCTATTGCACTGGCGTGCCTCGATACGCTCCGAGCGCACCACCTCCTCCCCATCGAGGTCCCGCAGCTGCGGGAGTGCATGGATGACATAGGCGCGGTAACCCTCAATCTTTGTGCAGGGGTTACCAGTAAGATGAAGCTGATCCAGAAAGACATTTGCCCGCAGCCGTTGGACACACGTCATTTCTGCAACAAAGTTCAGCGTCAAATCTAGCCGTTCAAGCGACTCGCACCCCTCCAGTCCCTCTATACAGGCGATATTGTTCACAGCCAGATTTAGGTATTTCAGACGCTTGAGATGTTGCAGTCCCTCTATCCGCGAAATGTAGTTGTTGCATAGATACAGAATCTCCAGCTCGCGGCATGCGTCTCCAACCACTTCGATCTTCTCAATGTCTTGCTGGTGGAGAGCAATCTCCTTCAGATTGCTTAGACACCCCTCGTTGTGCTCCGCACGACGACGCAATAACTCAATTGTAATGCGTCCCATTCTCCTCTTAGTCCGCCACGCATGCAGCCTCTAAAAGCAGCGGTGTTCCCACGTTGTTTGGGTGCTGCGTAAAAACAGACACCTACCACACACCAATTAAGTATATATATCCTCTCTTTATTTTTCTATTTTGAGACTTGTCTTTTTTACAAGAAAATAAAAAGGAAATAAAAAAAATAAAAAAACTGGAAAAACAATACAAAATGCGGGAGCAGGAAGGTAATGAAAGTGCTTTTTGTGCTTCATTGAAAGCAAAGAACGGTGGGTAAATGTTATTTATGCACACACGCATGTATTTATAGAGTTAAGGGAAGAGAGAAGGGAAGTGCTCATTTCACAACCCTGATGATGGCGTCGCAGAATTATTAAACTCAACCTCCAATGTGTGGCAAGCCTTATTGAAGCTGTCTTCATCGCCTGAATGCATTGCTTCGTCCACCGCCAACACATGTCGAAGCAGCGGGGCATCCTCAACAGGGAGTTGATCACGGTAATCGTAACATCCCGTCCTCACAAGGCCGCGCCCTGCCACAGAGGCCCGCAAAACCGTCAGGAACGCGTCCATCAACACTTCATAGAACGGCGATGAAAACGATCGCCGCTTCAATAGTGTGTGAAGCCCTGCCACCGACGTGTCCAGCGACTCATGGGAGTTCCCTGGAAAAACAGCACGAATGGCATCGCGATGACGAAAATGAAAGTTTAGGCGTCGCCCAAAAATAAACTCTCGTGAGGCATGATTCGTGCACGCCATCGCGAGTGTGGCTACCGCACACGCCGGCAAAGGTGTGCCTTGCGGACGGGAGAGGACTTCGTTCACGAGTTTCTCCGTCGCGCTAATGGCATGCTGCATGTAAGACATCATCGCCGAGACAGAGGCAGGGTACTCGCTGCTCACCATTCCAGCGCCCATACTACACAACGGGAAACACCCGTTAACAAGTGAAAGAAGGCCTGAAGATTTCGGTTCTGTCAACCACGTGACGCTCTCGCGGCACCAAAGACGCTGCGATATGTCCTTCACTGCTTGTAGCGTCTCCGCGTCCGTTGCATCGGCCATGGCAAATGCAATAGACACCCCACTATTGCTACTGGCAGCATGGCTGCTGCTTTTGCTAGTGGTGTTTTCCTGCACCGACGCTGCGGCCCACTCCTTCGCAAACAACGGCCCCGAGACGACAACTAACTTCGACGGCCGGGGACGAATCACGCGGTTCAGTTCCTCCACTGGCGTGAGTCCGTCCCGTGAAAAACCGCGACCAAAAACAAATATAGGCACATCCGCATGCCTTCCAAGGCAATCACACACACCAGCAGATGCTTTCTCACGCGGAGTGTCGCCGTTTCCCTCTGCAAAACACGACACAGGCACACACAGCAACGAGGCCTCGCAGTGAAAGGCCTCCTCTGCCATTTCCTCGCCCAGGGCTTGGAAGCACATCTGCGATGGAACGCGGATGTTGTTTCCAAACAACCTAAACGTTTGTGAGCCGTGTTCCAGCTCCTGCAGATATTCCCTGTCGCGGGCACACATTGTGACCACATCCCCGGCCCGAGCGTCCCTCCCTCTCATGTTTGCCAGCAGCGACAGCGCACACGCCGTGCCAAGCTCACCGGCGCCAATTACCAAAAGCCTGGACCTCATGGATAAAAACCTTTTCCCCTTCCAATTCGCGTTGGCTTTCTTTCTTTCACCGTCTTCTCACCCAGCCATAAATGCAAACACACAAACACACACATATGCACCAGGTATATATATATATATATATATATTTATTTAAAAAAGAATAACCAAAGAGAATAAAAGCAGTCAACAGCAGCGGGCAATAATAATAGCAATAACAATAAACCACCCATTGTTTTGTTTTCGTTTTTCTTTATGGTTGTTCCTCCTATTCTATCAAAATTCATTAAAATACGTGGCGGAAATTGCAAGACCGCATCCAAAAATAGCATATATATATATATATATATATATATATATATATATATATATATATAAAAATGAATTTTTCCTTGTTCCACTCTAACCCTCTGCACGATTTGTTTTTTCCCGGTTCTTTTTTTAATTTTATTATATTTCTTCTCTCATATTTGTTTAGCGTCACCTCCGCTAGATACCAAGCCCTTCTATCCGTACCTCGTTTCCTCTCAATGCATGCACAGCCAAAAGTCAGTCACATGCCTTAGTGTGGAAAGAAAATGGAACTCAGACGTGTCCCAACACCCCATTTGGACCTCAGCCAAGTACGCAGTTGAATGTCCTCCACAGCCCGTTGAATGGCCAACCTTGCATGAGGCAGTGGATGGGTTTGAAAAAATTCGTGAAACTCCTTCGCCTGGGTTTCTCCTGTAAGGGAGCGAGCAACACTCTCCACGATGTTTTGTATGCGAAAAGTTCCACTTCCCCATTGCTTTTCCACCCCCTGAAAGTGCTTCTTGAACAGCGACCAGGCATAACCCTTCGGCATTGAAGGGTTAGAAACAACCCCCAAAAAGATCACCCCACCGTATTGTGCACGAATGCCTTCATTGTAAATGCACTTCTTTGCGGTGTTCTCAACATAGCAAGGGTCCTCTGCCCAACAAAGAGCGCGTAGAATACAGCGACACAGTTCATCGCTGTCGTGTACCCTGGTGTATCGCTCCCATAAGGCATCGGTTCGCGCTGCCGCAGCATTCGGGCCAAGGCGCACATAGGCAGAAAGAGACATGGCAAGCGTGTCCAAAGAAGGCGTTCCACCCTCCATATAACACTCCGCTTGCTTTATTGCCCATTTCACACTCGGACACTGCAAAGCAACCTCCAAAGGCATCAATTTCAAAGCCGTCGAAATGGCTGCATTAATGTATAAGGCGCGCTCCAAGCGTTCTTCCATTGTGTTTGGCTCTGTATTCAATAGCTTCGTCGCCTTTTCGTCAATGCTGTGCATGAGTTTGCGCCGCAGTTCATTCCCTTCTGCATCGTCCTCCAAAATGGCGAGTATATTCTCCATACTTTTGTAGTATTCTTGCCAGACAATTTTATCCGATTCCAATTTACCCAATAGTGAGGGGAAGAGGGCCATGCGATCAAAGTCCTCATTACCCATGTAAATGGACGCCAGAGTGTCTGCTATCAGGCCTCGGCGATCAGGAATAGTGAGGGAGCTGTACGCACCCATCAAACTTGAAAACATCTCATTATCGTAACGGCATCGGAAAAAGCCTCTTCCTGAAGGATTGGCGTTGATCCACGGTGACTTTGCAACTTCATGAGGGAGTTCCACTTGTTGTGGTTCGCTTCCGCGAAGGATAACACGGTGTGTTGCCCCACCTACACCCTGTAGAACGATGGGCACACACCACAATGTTGTATTCCTTTTCACCGCCGTCAGAAACTGACAAGGCTCCTGCCGCAGGACCACCGTGCTGGGTGTAGGCCGGCTTACATGGATAATGGGATAACCCATTTGCGTTGTAAAGGACTGCATGGCCTCCGTTATTTGGACGCCAGAGGCCTCCTCCAACGCCTGCCAGAGCTGAATTGTTCGTGTATCACTGTATTGATGCTTCTGGATGTAGTGGGCCACAGAAGCCGCCCACTTTTCTCCGAGAAACGCCTGTAGCATGAAGACCAACCCCATACCTTTGGAATAACTGATGTCATCAAATATCTGCGTGATCTCTGCAGGGTCATGGATAGGCACTTCAACCGGATGGCTGTGTTCGTACATATCGGTTACGAGGGCACCTGTCACCTCCATGGCGGCATCCTCGTTTAATTTCCACGACGGCTCAAGGTGGTGGGCGGCGTCGTACCCGCACCACGAAGCAAATCCCTCCTTAAGCCAGAGGCCCTCCCACCAATTAATGGTCACAAGGTTGCCAAACCAATTGTGAGAGACCTCATGGCATATAAGTGAGGCCGCTCGCTTCAGAGATTCCACGCTGGAGGTTTGTTCTTCCAAAAGAATCGACTCCACACAGGCGATACAGCCCCAGTTCTCCATCCCGCCAATGGGAAAGTCGGGCACCGCCACAACATCCAGCTTGGGAAGCGGATATTTGCATTTGAAAAACTTCTCAAAATATTCCAAGGCAAAGGCAGTCGTCTTAAGCGCAAAAGCAGCCTTGTATGACTTCCCGACGGTAGTATAAACTTTCACAGGTATGCCGCAGGCGGTGGTCCCAACAAATTCAAGTTCACCCACAAAGCAGGAGGTGAGATATGGCGGAACTGCGGGGATGGTTTCAAAGTGATGTGTAACCGTATCGCCCTGAGTCTCCTTTGATTTGAGGGGGCCGTTGGACAGCACCGTGAACCCCGCCATGCTCGACGGCAGAGAAACATGCAGGGTAAAATCCGCACGGGCAGACGGCTCGTCCTGACAGATGTAAAATAGCCGTGCGGCTGTGGGTTCGAAATGTGTCGCCGCCATTCTGTGCTCGGCACCATCACTTGTTTTAAAGACCGCACGGTACAAACCACGCATCTCCTCCCGAATCTCGTGGGAAAACGCAAAGGTCACCGTGTGTCCATCCGCTGGTTCCCCATCCAGCAGCAGCAGCAGGGTCCCCGCCTTTTCGTCGCGTCCCGCGATGGCCGCACCCGTCACACACTGGATATTGACAGAATTGCCGCAATGAAGTTGCACCTCTCTCGACACCTCAACGCCCGGAGATCGTCGAAGCACCACCTTCTCCTTGCCCTCGTACCGCCAGTTTGCAAGATCCACGCTTACGTGCAGGTCGTATGAGCTAGGCACAAACGGATTGTGCAGCTTCACAGAGTTTGTGACCGACGACATTTTCACTCTTCACGTCTCCGTAGCCAACTTGATACAAGCAAATAATAATAGAAAAGCAAATAAATAAACTAGAGAATGATTGAAAAATTTCTTTTCCTTTTTCTGCGCAAAGGCCATTCAAAAAACAACAAAAACAACAACAAACACGTCGGCGTGCAGCCACAAGGAGTACACGCCACAATCAACAGAAATGAAAAGAAGGTGCGGTCCAAAAGGCATCAAACCTCAACACAACAGAAGGATCAGTCGTTAAGTGAAAAATAAATAAAAGGTTTCGGTTTCTGCCATCACGGCCTTTGCCACCACGCAAAGACGTTCCGACAAGAAAGGGAGGAAAGGGTAACAACAAAAAAAAAAACAACAACTTGAAAGCAGGATAAAAGGCAGAAAAAAGCAAAAAGAAAGAGCACCAGCAGAGTCACCAGTTGTTTCTGCCGCCATTTCTGTTCGCGCACTCCACTATTTGATCCGACAACAGACGAATTTGCGTCTCCAAAACCTCACGCACGCGCTCGGCATCTTCTGCCTGTTGTTGGTTGAGAGACAGCAGCCGCTCTATCTCTCGTTGGGCGTCTGCTAATGCATCCTGTTTCTCAGCCAACTCCAACAACGTATAGTTCATTTGAGTATGATAGCACACTGCGGCAAGATCCGTCGCAGCCAACGCCGCCACCAGCTCTCTGTTGTCTGCAGAGGCAAAATCGCAAGGATTGGTGGTATTGGAAGGAAGATCCACTGATGGAGAAACGTGCGGCACGCTTGTTGTTGGCTGAAGCCCAACATCCTTCGTGGCACACCAGGCACGCGCTGCAAAATTTTCCAGTGAATTACACATAAATTGCAGGGCCGCCCGCACGTGGTCACTATTTGCGCTAGACATCGAAATATCTCGCAGTTGATTTCGGAGCGACTCCACTGCCCTCCGCATCGACCGGGAAGCACCACAGCCTTCCCACCAAAACCGTTCCAGCGCTAAGAGCCACTCCGCCGATTCACAACCCTGCTGTTTGAACAAACTGCAAGAATTCTCACAGAGTTGATGTAGCGCCTCGAGAGAACCGCGAATAGCAGCAATTGTGCCGACTGCACCAAGAGTAGTTGACTCAACAACCGCCTGTATCTCTTTTCTGTGCTCATTAGGATCGTGGCTGCCCGCTTTTTTACATGCGTCCACAAGAAGTCGGATGTTCTCACAAATCATCCCTAACCAGTTGATAAAGGCTGAGATAAGGACCCCTTGGAGACGGCGTATTTGTGTTAGTTTTTCGTCTGGTGTAGCCGACGCAGTAAATGCATCCTCCAGTTCCTTCACATGAAAAAGCAGGGTCGTTTTTTGCACACCATGTACCTCAAGTAGCGTGCTAAGTCGCTCTCGGTAGCACCGCACTTCACTTATTGTAATGCCATTCATTTGTGTGCTAAAAGAATCGCGGAGTGAAGCCACAAGAACGGAAACGGCACTCATCAACGTGCGAATAAAAGCAGCAACACCCGTTAATGTGCCGGTCGCCAATTCCTCTCGGACCTCACGCGGTGGGACGCCCCCTCGTTCCGTCGTCAAGGAAGGCGCCATAGCAACATGAAGCTGCTGCTGGTGGTGGTGGTGTGCGTTTTCGGCGTTGTCCCATGACAATACAAAAAAGTGATGGCAAAACTGCACCAATGCCGCTTGCCTGGTGCACTCCGCATTGAGCTGGTCGCAGGAATGGGCTGTGGATTCTAGAATACTTCGCAGCTCCGTTACTTCTTCATGCATTGCGGCGCATTCAGAGGACCGCCGTTCTCTTTCCTTCCTCCACATTTCCCCCTCATCTTCATACTTTTTTTTCAAATCAAACAGTTGCATATGAATAGCTTCATTTTGCGTGACTAATTTTTCCTGATCTTCCTGCGACAACTTCAGAGGCAGCTCAGAAGCCTTTGGTCGCCTTGATGCAGTTCCCCCTTCTTCTCCATCAGTGCCCGTCACAAGCGAAGAAAGGCCCTTCAACGTCGTTTTCATGGACGCAGCAAAATGCCCACGTTTTCGTTCCGCCGCCGTCGCCGCCTCCGCCGCACTGAGTTTTCTGCGGAGTGCCTCGTTCTCATCCTGCACACGTGCCAACTCTTCCCCAATTGCAGCCATCTGTTCTTGCAGCTGCTTATTGTGCTGCTCAAGAATCTGCTTCTCCTTCGTCACGCTAACAACAGCCTTCTTCAAGAGCGATATCTTCGCCTTGTCGTCGCCGTGGGCCATAAGCGCCGCCACCTCCTCCCTGCTTGACATCCCTGCCAAAAGAAGCGAGCACTCCCCGTTTCCAGCGGGGGGAAAGAAAAGAGAATAATAACGAAAGAAAATTGCATAAAGGCAAGAAAAGACACAGTAATTCCAAAGATATCAATGACAAAAAAGTCGAAAACAAAACAAAAAAAAATAAAAGGGAATCCATTCAACGCATAAAAGAAAGTCAACGCACATGCGGGGAAGAAAAGAAGCATTGAGCGTAAATATACACTCCTTATATAAAAACACAGGCGTGTCTCTTTCTCTCTCTCTCTCCCATTCAATTCTTTCACCTTCCCGGGAACATCCTCACTCCACCAAATAACTTCTCTTTCCACACACTCACAGGAAGGAAGAACAAAAAATAAAATGCAACCCCATACGCCAACCTTTCCACCTCATTCATTTGGCTGCTTGAAATTAGACCAAACGGACCCGGCCATCCAAAATATACGGCCTAAAGGCGCGGTATGGAACTAAAAAGATCTCGCCGGCATGAACTGCTTGCACCGCATCTTCCCCCAGGCGCACCACACCCAGATCGTCAAGCACAACACAAAAGACGTACTGGTCTAATTCCGGCACTGGCAACATTTCAACTCCCTCCGCGTAAGGAAGGTTCGGGATAAGGCACTGCAGCTCTGCTGGAGCAGACTGCAAACCCGCCTGGAGAACATACTTGGCCATTAGTTCCGCGAGTCGGTCGGCAACGATTACTTCGTTGTGCGACAGCATTCCGCGCAGCTGTGTTGGTGCATCGCTATGCAGCTGACCCTCGTAGAATAGCGACAATGCTAAGGCCTCAATTTTTCGCAGACGACAACGCAAAAGCTCAGAAAGAAAAAACTGCGCGCGTTGCACCTCAAGTGCCATGATGTCGGAGGGTTTAAAAGGAAGCAGAGAGGCGCCGGGGTCCTTCTCAGCTGTTTGTTGCTTTTCTTCTACACTCAAAAGTCTAATCTGCTCATTCTGAGCTGCTATCTGAGCTGCCACGCCGTCCACAATGGCTTCAGGATAAGGCAAGATGTCCGGTGCGCAGCGTTCATTCTCCGTCGCCTGAACAAGGGACTTGAGAAGCTCACTGAGAGCGGCGGAGGATTTGTGTAGCGATGCCTCGTTGTTGTTACTATTGCCATTTGTTCGCCTGCCCGCAACGCCGTCGGGGCTGGTTTCCCTGCTGAAAGCCTCATCCAAGTGATCCTCAAAAAACATATCCAAAAAAACACTTTGTCCACAAGACACAAAGCAAGCAAAACACGCACGCAACGAAAAAAAAAAATCATTGAAAATAAAATAAAAACCAACCAACAACAAACAAAACCAAAAGAAAACAGAAAACTTAACCTGCTCCTTAACAGACCTCGTAACACTATTCCAGAAAGAGGCAGAAAAACCCAAAAACACACAACCACAGGGAGCCGTCAAGCCAAAAATTCTCAGCTCACGATACATTCCTCATGGGGCACAGCAGGTGGTAATACACGTGGACGTGAGGGAAGTCTGGAGTTGGAGCGGATGGCTCGAGGGAACGGTTCACTTGCTTTCGCCGAATAAACGACATTGTGTGGTGTGAGAGTCGCGCAATTTGGCGTCAGGGAGTGGCGTTGAGCATCGACACTCTGTGCGGATGGAGAAAACGTTTCCACCTGACCGAACTCCGACGCGCACCCTTCAGTGCCCACCGCGATATCCTGACGCGAATCCTGTGGCCGCGTCGCCATGCCATTAAGAACAACCCACTCGTGCATCGCCAGTGAGTTTGCCATCTGTTTCCGTAGACATTCCATGCGCACACCGTCCCAACGGCACCCCATGAGATCCTCCAGACATTTCGTTAAAATCTCTTTATAATGAGAATGCTCTTCTTCTTTTATCGTAAAACGCACAATGCGCTCGGCTGTGATCAAATCCCCTTTCTCCCTCGCAAACCGATCCAAGAGCAGGTGCCACCCCCGGTGCCGATCCATAATAAACCCTTCAAAAGCAGCTTCGAGCTTTAATCTTTGACGTCGTTCCTCCATCTCCACTCTTTGCAACTCCCGGAAGAACCTCTTGGATTCGTACTCTTGAAGCGACGAGTGACATTGGAGGCCAAAGTCTCCCATTTCTTTGATGCCGCAACCTGAAGAACTTGACAAACGACGTGGCGCCCTTGCTGCTCCATCATAAGGGTGATAGGAAGCTCTCACCGAGGTATTCCGCTGAGGCTGCAATAAGTCATGCGAAGAGCTTGAAGAATACAGATATCGAGAATGGCGAAGAATGCCCTCGGTCCACCTACTGCTCTCGACAACCCTGGTGGATTCCGAGAGGTTTTGTCGACGGCCGTCTGTTCCACTGACAGGCGCTGTGTGCCGGAGGTGCGGGGTATGACACTCCACGACCCTTCCCTTTTCCTGGGACCGCACGACAACTGTTGTGGTAGGGCCGTGATACTCTTCGAAGGGAGCCACCGTCCTCCCTTCGCCATGAAACGCCGCCGATGGTCCAGACGCCGCCCTCTTGTCACCTTCGCGCGAAAGGTGGAAATATGCAAATCGCGCCTGTGCTTCCAGGGGCTGCGAAAAAGGCGAGCGACAATCCCGTATGTACGTCTGGAGTGCGGCAGCATCAGCATTTTTCACAATTCGCTTCAGAGTCTTTTCATCCATAATTCACTGTGCCTCCTGTTGACATGCAGCCCCACACGAATACTTCGGTGTGGTGGGCGCCGTCCAAACACAAATAAGGAGACACCAACAGAAAAGTTGGCGCGCGTCAATTCGGAAAACAAAAGCAACGAACAAAACGGCAGTGCCACTCAGCCAAGAGAGTTTGCACAATTTCAGCACTCTTATCAGAAAGATTAAATAAATAAGTAACAGACAGACACACACACACACAAAAAAAAAACCTTTAAAACAAAAAAATCATTTACCCTCCACATACCTGATGGAGGAAGACAAATGCCTCACGACCCCGTCGCCTATACACCCACGTACGCGAAAATTCAACATAAATTTGAAGAAAAAAAAGTCCTTCTCAATCTCCACGATACCGTTTGCTTCTGACGAAACCCTAGTGCGCAGCAAGGTATTTACTGATTGGTGCCACGTATTGCTCTTTTTTGCGCTTCGCCAACATCCTATCCAGTTGTTTTTGCATCGCTTCTCTCACACCTTTGGCTACATCCGCGCCGGTTGCACCCGCGTCATATTCATAATTCCCAATGAAGAAGTGCACGTCGGCAGGGAAGCCCGGGATTCCTTTCATCACCGGGTCCCACACCTCATGAGAGCCATAGTACACCACATAGTGTATGGGCAGCTTGTGCTTCATGAGAATATTAAAGGTGCCTATACGGAAGTCTTTGAGTGTTTCTGGCGTGCGATTGAGGACACCCTCTGGGAAGAAACAGATCACGCCGCCTCCATCCACAAACCCTTCCGCCTCCGTCATTACCACTGCCTGCTTTTCCCTGTCCACAGAGAAGGAATTTACATCCGTCGAGTTAAAGTACACAGGTAGGTGACCGCACGCACGAATAACTTCCCCCATGATTGGCATCCTCCACAGCGCCTTTTTCGCAAACGCCTTGCAGTTGGACACAAAACTCAAAGGGCATAGCCAGAGAAAAAGAAGTGTGTCAAAGAAAGAAGTGTGACATGCACATACGACACCTCTGTTTTCAATGGCACGCCAATCCAATGATCCCTCAAGAAACCTCACGTGAATGTGCGGAGATAACCACCAAAGCGCCTTGCCGAGCAGAGCCCCGGTGATTCTGCACGACATTCTCTCACTGCGGCGTTTGTTAATAATTTTTTTACTGGCGAGAATGCGGAGAGGAGTGCAGAGCGCAAAGCACATCACCGCAAGTAGGACAAGACACAGAGAGAACCACAGCCGTGCGACCATAACTGGGCAACGACGTGTGTACAAAAGCCACATAAAGATGATAAAGAGAAACAAAAACAACATCATTCCCTGGGCAAGTGCGCTCTGGTGTGCTTATGTGAAAATAACCGACCAATCCTTCAAACACGCATAAAGGAAAATTAAAAAAGAAAGAAAAAAGGGTGAGAAAAAAAAAAGAAGCGTGCAAATACGCAGTAGAAGAAGAAGAAAATAATAATAATAATGACGGAAAATAGGGTCACATGGACACGCACTAAAGAGTCACCATATCATTGAAGACTTCAGTTCTTCGTTAACCCTCATTCACCGCAACAAACAGATCAGAAAACTAACGGTCAATGTATCCGTTTGCGTCTTTTTTTTTTTTTTTTTTCTTCGACGTGAGGCCCGATACGCCCTCCAACCGTTAGGAAGGGGCTGGGTGTTTTCCAAGCCCTGCAGGTGCGCACACGTTTCCACTCTCGGATAAAAAAAAAAACAAAAACAAAACAAAAAACGCAAAAAAAAAAAAAAAAAAAGGGAGACAACCTCGACTTGTAAGCGATACGGTTGCTCTCTGTGACTACGGAAGAAAACAAAAACACAAAGCAAACAACAAACAACAATCAGAAAATAAAAGAAGGCCCTACTCACCCAACCAAAACAACAACAACAACAACAAAAACAAAAAACAAAAAAACAAGAAAAAAAAAAAAAGAAAGAAAAACATAATGATACCAAATTATTCGACCCCACAAACCAAAGATGCATGGATCTATCAACAACAAGAAAAACAACAACAACAACAAGAGAAAACAAAAAAAAAAAAAAAAAATCAATGATATTCTTGACCAATTATTAACAACTAATCGGTTCATTGCCATTTCCCGCGCACACACACACACACACACACACATAAAAAATAGATGGATATATTTCTTTTACATAGAAAAACACAATATTTCCCTCTTTTTATTCGTTTCCTCTTTCTTTTCTCACAAATTTTGTCCAACGTAAAATTTCCCCCTCCATTATTTTATCTTCAATTTTTTTTTTTTTTATTTTATTTTTTTTTCTTCCTTGTCGGTACCACTCTCAATTTCCATATAACAACACACCCGGGAGAGGGACACGCTTAACCAAAGTCGTTTGAGTGCAGGTAAAAAATGCGCATAACATGTTTTTCACAGTCCCCCATTTTTTCTTCTTTTTTTTTTTTTTTTCATCCCTTACTTTTTGTGTAATTTCCATGCGTTTTCTTTTTCGTGCAAATATATTTATTTCTCCCTCTCCCTCTTTTCGGATTGTTCCCACGTGATAGTGATTTTTATTTATTTATTTATTTTTTTTTTTTAATCGCTGAATCACAATATAAACGCCAATAATAATAATAACAGAAGGGTAATAAAATTAACAGAAAACAGCAATCATATATCCGTCAATGGCATCTCCCAAAACGGAAAAAAATCGAGCTTTTTTAGGGACAAAAAAAGTGCCAATTGACACATACAAAACAAACAACCAAAAGAAAAAAGAAGCACGGTAAAGTCTGACAGCCATACTGTGCAAAACAACAATGAAAAATTCAATCAAATAAAAGGACGGAAAGGTAGAGGACATAATTAAAGTGATCCTCTCTCTTTTCTCACGTTCTCATATATATATATATATATATATATATATATATATAAAGAGACTGTGCTAGTTGAACACACCAACTTTTTTATAGAAACCGTAAAGTCGGGTACCCTAACTCTTCTATTCAAAAAGGCTTTAAATACGTCATCTTCATATATGCGCACATATGTATGCAAAAATACAGATAACTAGTTCTACGTTTATGTAGATTTAGAAATAGAATTATATACAAATGTTCTTTTTATGAATAAATCGACACCAGGGTTACGGTAAATTAGAAATATAATGCAATCATATGTCCTCACTATGGGTTTATAGGCGTGTTGGAATTAACTGCTGATGAAGATGCACCTGGAGGATTTCGGCAAAGCGGTGGACGACGTTTAGCAAGAGGAGGTACATTCATACTCATTTTTCGGCCACGCACGAGCACGGATCCAACGGGAGAGGTGAAGTTCCGAACGCTTAGTATTTCTTCAAAACGGTTTGCACTCTTTTCCTCATCCCCAGTTCTTGCCCCCCGGGGATTCTTTGCATCAGGGAATAAGGATTTCACCCCTTTTTCTGCGGATGAATGTTGGTAGTTTTCGTGGGCGTTTTGTAAATTCGTATTGGGGGAAATTGGAACAACCGGAACAGCACTTCCATTCGGCCCGGGGGTAAGATATGAGGCTCCAATCGGTTGCTTTGCTTGGGCCCATGGAAGAATGTAGTTTGTTGGAACAGCCATGAGAGGTGCACCAGCACCACTTTTTGTTGCGACAAAGGCGGGTCTTTGGTGCTGTAGTTCCGTGGCATCCTGAAACGGCAGCCATACAAAAGGTGTGCCTTGAGAGGCCGCGCTTGGTGGCATGCCTGCCGACGTGCCAGGACAAACCGGCAACAGCATCTGCTGACCCCCCTCCGTGAAGTACAGCACGTATGTCTTCGCGTCATTCATGGCAAGCGCCATTCGAATCCGTTATCGCGCGTATTTACTGTTTTTCTTTTTTACGTTTTTAATTGTTCCTGCCGTCAGGCTTCTTGTGTATCGCCAGTACAAAAGCTACATAAAAATTAAAAAGACAAGCACACCAATTGTGCAGTTGCGGGGTGGATAAATAAAAGATAGACACACACACACACACACACACACACGTATAGACAACAAGAAAGATTTTCACCACAAGAGAAAAAGTAAATGCAAAGATAAAATTCACCCTTTTCCACGCCATCATTTCGTTTCCGCGCCACTCAGCAGGTTCTCCCTCACACCAGACACATTGAAAAACTGGTAATAGACACATAAATAAAAGCAATTATGTGCGTCCCCAGCCACAATAATAGGGGGGTGCTAATTTTAAAAGAAAGAAGAAAAAAGAAAACTGCATAAATGGGAGACCAAACCATCTTAAACAAAGCAAAATATCGCAGTTAAAAATAAGAAGATGCCAAAATCAACGCCTCTTTTCTTTTAATTTACAACAGCCTTCAGATATTATTGGTTACTTCATATACATTTAGTTTTGCTATCGCTGTCGTCTCCATTTTTCTTTCTTCCTTTCTCCTATCCCAATGATGCAGAGGCTCACATGTAAGAATAAAAGGAGTGAGGCCAAAAGAAAGAAATATGCGGTGTGGATCGGAATAAGAGCTCCATCACCTCATCCATTCCTGCAAAGGCCATCACCGTCACTTTCCCACTCTCTTATAAAAGTAAAGAAAAGCCATAGAGAATGGCGGGTTGAGAGATTCGGCGACCTTTTCATCATTGAACAACAACCACTTTCCGGTCTGTGCGTCACAAATATGACAGACGTAATGCCCCGTTTTTGCGCTTGCCCCCACGTGGCTTATCATGGCATGCAGTCGATACTTTGCCGGCCCATCTAAAACATGCGCCGGCTGGCTCTCGGATGCAGTGGCAGAGATTTCAGCGAGTCCGGCCTCTTCCGCGATATTCTCGTGACTGAATACGTAGTCAACCGCTCTTTCCGCATTCATGCCCGTCTGTAATAGCGCGTATCTGGCCACGGTCTCTTCAATACCCATACTCAACAACATGGCAAGGGCCTCTTCATCCACCGTTTTCATTGAAGAGGATGTCGGCTTGTGTGGGAGATCCTCTTGCGCCTCAGGCATCGAAACTTCGTCTGACTGCAGGCCCTTACCGCGGAGGAACTCCAAGTCCAGCTCTAAAGGGACATCCACAAACACATCAAGCTTCTTGACACTCATGGTTCCCATGTCGAACTGCGCCCGACGGAGGAAAATGGGGAGAACATCCGGAAAAGTCCTCAGTCGTGTGGTTTTGCAGTACGTGACCGGAATCCCGCAGGCGCTGCAACGGCAGTCAATATCCGTTGCCTGCATTAGTGACCCGAGGCACGCGTCTAAAGAGATATGAGGACGGCTGGCAAAAATTTCCTCCTCGGTTTGTTTTGGATTTCCATCAGAATTCTTTAGATTAGGATCCAACGGAATTGGCAATGAAAGGCAACAATCGGTCTCACGTGTGTAGCGCACCTTGTGACACGAACCACACTGCACGCGGTGCTCAACGGTCATCTTAAATATGTCAACTGGATGTGAAATATTCGCACCCACAATATTTGATGGCTTAACGTAGCGCCGCATTTGTTCTACCAAATACAAAAAGTACTCCTGTGCGTCCTGCTGCTCTGCGGTAGAGAAGTCAGGATGTTTTTGCGCAAACACGCGTTTAAACTCCCTCGCTGTAATGCCGTTGGTTAGTTCTTGACCCTCGACAGAGAATTCACCTGAGAGAAGGCCACTAGCAACTCGCTCGGTCTGGCAGCAGTGGCACTTGTAGGGATTCTCTTGGCACGCGTTCTGGTGTCGGGTCTCACAATTGTAGTAGAACGCTTCCTTAAATGGTTCCAGGGAAAAGAGACACTGTAACACCGAAGCCATGTAACAGCTATTGCCAAAGTTATGCATCCCGGTCCTCCCAGGACCAAAGGCGGGGACGAGGGAATCCCCATTCTCTGTGATACGTTTAAAATCAAATTGACAGGAGTAGTCGTATTGCATCTCTCCAAGTGTCTTGGCCGTTTTCTTTGCAGTTTGAATGTCAATACCAAAATGTTGCATATGATTTGCAAAATGCACATCGGAAACCTCGTCATCACACAAATAACAATAAAAATCGGCACCTGAAGGTGTCACCGTGCCAAGTTTAACGACAACAGGATGCATTGTGTGCATGTAGTGTTGCAGTGCATGACCGTTACCCCCCGCCTCCTCACGCGGACATCCAATCGTCCCACATGTCATGCACATCCAGTTATTAAGCCGGCATTCACACCCGTCAAGAGCACATTTATCCGAGGAGGTTGGCGCAGTTTGAAAAGGACTTGGTAGCTGCTCCAGGCATACAAGATGAGGACACTGCAGACGCATAGAAGCAACACCTTCCGGCTCGATCGCTGCCTGTGCTCCTGTTGACGTCGCATTGATTATCCACTGGTAACAATCTATCGTTAGCTCTGGTGGGGAAACAAATGACTTGGCACAAGCAGCACAACATAGGGCGTTCTCGTACTCTTTTGGTGCTAGGACCCCAAGTTTATTTACATCCTTCGACCCTCCTGCATCCTCATCCTTAGCGGGGAGTTCTTTAATCCAAACATACATGACGTGTGTGGGGCAATTCAAGGTGTGCTTCTGCACGTGTTCCACACAAAGTCCCATGTGGCAACACATACAAACTAGCGTGCCCATTTCATGTCGACATGTTCGACAGCAGTACGCGCACTCCTCTTTGTGCACTGCCGACCGATGGTTTGGAACCAACATTACTGACTCATCCCAGCAATGCGCACATGCCTCGTCGGTAATATTAAAAGGTGGTTTCATTGCACTACAGTGCTCCTTTATCCCTTGTTAGTCTTTTCGTTTTGTTCGTATTTATTTCGCGTGTGTAAATATATATATATATATTCTCCTCAACTGTGCGTGTAGAGATGTACACAAACAAACAAACAAAATATCAAATAAGAATGAAAAAAATAAAAGATATTACGCAGAGCCAGAGAGATTGTTGCCCCTCGGATACCTTCCCACTCCGTCCTTTGCTTCTTCCGCTAAAAAACGACCCATCCAATCAACACTCAGCATACAAAGTTGACGGCACACAGAAGGAACAAAGAAAAAAAAAAGAACAAACAACACAATAACCCTAAAACAACAACAAAAAGTAAACCATTCAGAGACACAAAAAGAAAAAAAAAGGAAAAAAGAAAAAGGCACGTTACATTCGCATCGCTTGCAACTCCCAAACACTTCCCCTCGTCTTCACTCGCTATTGTATACACGGCACTTGGTGTCTGTTTCACGCATTCTTAAAATTCGGCTTGCGCTTCTCCACAAACGCAGCCATGCCCTCCTTCTGATCATCCGTGGCAAAGGTGGCTTGAAAGGTGCGCTGCTCATAGGCCATACCTTGCGCCAGCGTTGTCTCCAATGCCTTGTTGATGCAGTCTTTGGCCAAAGAAACAGCTAATGGGCTGTTCAGGGCGATTTTTTCTGCCATTGCACTGACCGTTGGAAGAAGTTCCTCATGCCTAACGACGCGTGAAACCAACCCGGCGCGTTCAGCCTCCTCGGCCGTGTATTGCTCACCTGTAAGAATCCATTCCATTGCTTTGCTCTTACCAATGAGTCGTGTGAGTCGCTGCGTCCCACCCGCGCCCGGAATTGTTCCAATTTTGATCTCGGGTTGCCCAAAGATGGCCTTTTCGCTGGCAACAACAATGTCGCAAGACATCGCCAACTCACAGCCGCCACCGAGTGCGAAACCGTTTACCGCGGCGATAATGGGTTTGCGGACCGCTGCAATCGTATCAAGGCCTCGAAGCATGTTGTGTTTGTAAAATTCGACAAAAGTTTGGTTTGCCATTGCTTTGATGTCTGCGCCAGCAACAAAGGATCGGCCTTCACCAGTGATGATCAAAACAGAGACCGATGGATCGGCGTCACACTTTAGCAGCTTTTCCGCCAGTGCATTTGTTAACTCCGCATTCAGGGCATTGAGCTGTTTAGGACGATTTAACGTCAATGTCACCACAGCACCCTTTTGGGCGTACTTGACAATAGGGTCCATGGAATTAAGAAGGAACAGACTCTTGCGCAGCATACTGTATATGTAGATATATGTGTAGAAGACTTTCTTATGAAGACTGAGTGGATAGAAAGGAAAAAATAAAATAAAATGTAATTAAGGGAAGAACAACTAATGGTATCAAAATAAATATCTATATTCATTGACAAGTCGAATAGCCGCATTTTTTTATTTTTTATTTTTTATTCAGTTAGTTAAAAACCGGCCTTGGCACTCAGCACAGCGTGCAAAAACCTTTGGGGTCTTTATATAATATTGGCCGTCAAACAACGCAAGCGGTGAATTTAGCGGTGGGAGTCGGAAAAAAAAAAACACCTGATTTGCAGGAGCAGAGTAAACGGAGAAGAAAACGAACAATGAAAAAACCATGGAACACACACACACACACACAAAAAGGCATTGTTCAGGCTGCTGTAAGGCCCAAATGCAACGAATTCTTTTGGGACATAATGGCTGTCCACACAAACCCGCAGGACAACGTGACACTCGTACATCCCGTTGGAAAAAAACCCATAAAAACCCTTCTCAAAAAAAAAAGAAAAAAAAAAAAGAAAAACAAGAACAAAAAACCTCATAAACCACCAGGCAATATTGCTGCTCCCGTGGTGAGCTTGGCACTGGCATCTCCACCTCAGCGGTTGGGATCACTGATCACCACAGCCTTCGGAGAGTCCATTGTGGCCTTCGCCCGCAAATCACACACATACAAAAAAAACAAATGGTTTTGGGAGCGCTCCTTCCATCAATTCCGTTCCTTTCCTCAGTGAAATAACAATAACAATCATAACAATAACACAGGAAGAGAAAAAAAAATGGAAGACAAAAGAAATTCCTTTTCAGATGGTGGGACGGTGGGCACATGTCGTAGTAAATGATAGAGTGAGGGGGGCGCTCCGTAAGAAATGCCTTTCGCCCCCTGGTTTGGCATAACAACAAAACACAGAAAAGTGGCACTGCGTGCTATTGGCAATGCCATCGTGTCAAACACCTGCACGGCACTTTGAAAAAACAGGTCCCATCAATTCATCCATGACTCTTCCCTTCTCTCAAAAAAACAAACAAACAAACAAACAAGATTAGACTACTATCCCGGTTCACCCTTCGGTGAACCCTGAGTAGGCCTATGAGTTGCATCTTGAGTGTGCAACTACATCATCGTGGGGGAAAAACAACAACAGCAAAAAGATCAAGGAACAAGAAAATTCCTTATTACTCTCCATACCAAGCCGCTTTCATATTGCTTCCAATTCACAGTCTGCATAAAAGATCCCTTCATTGCTTTATCATAGTGAATTGTGACTTCACACGGCAATCAACAGTTGCAAACTACACGTGCAATCAGCCTCCCAATTAGCCCTTTAATTAAAGGGACGCAAGAAAACAGTAAAAAGAAGTCCAAAAATTGGCGTATGCGGTTCCACAATAATTGCGCCCATAAACCAAGAAAAAAACAAACAAAAAAACACGCAAAATAATTTGGCTAATGACATATATACCAATAAAAACGTACAAAAAAGCAGATGACACCAAACAACAAAACAGGAAGAACAACAATAACAACATGCGAATGCGTTTATTAACTCGAGTACTTCAGCAAATTCAATAATAAAAAAAGACAATAAAATAAGGAGCTTCTACTACAAATCACCCAACCTATCTAGTTTGGCATTTACCTCCTTTGTAACGTCTTCTGGAGATCGTTTCAAAAGCCCATTTTTCTTCGCGTCACTGTTGATTAGGCGCGTCATGTAATCGACTCCCTGTTTCACGTTAGCTACAGCGGATGCCTCTGTGCAACCTTTAAAAAATGGATGCTTCAAAAGTTCTGCGGTGGACGGTCGCTCCTGAGGATCTCGAACCAAGCATTTCTTCACAAAGTCCCGAGCTTCCTCCGAGTAAGCGGGCTTCTCTGGCAATGTTGGTGTCGTATCTCCCGCAATTCTACCTAACAACTGAAATATGTTCATTTCTTCTGGAGGAGCCCACGGATTCTTCCCCGTTATTGTAGACAACACTGTTAACCCAAGGGACCACACATCACTGTTAAATCCGTAAGCGCCTTGTTCGAGTCGTTCAGGGGCCATAAAATACATTGTCCCGACATAGGTTGAGGAAACATCAAGAGTGTGGACAAGCTTTGACACCCCAAAGTCTCCAATTTTGACATATCCATCATCCCGAATAAGCAGATTGCTCGGTTTCAAATCCCTATGAATCACACGCTTTGTATCATGGAGGTAAACCAGGCCTGACACAACTTGAAAAAAAATGTCACGCAACATAGTTTCTTCTATGCCCTCCCAGAAACAACTCAAATCTTTTAGGGTGTACGCCATCCACTCCATGGGTATGACAATGGCAGCTTCCTCGGAATCCCAAAAGGCTCCTAAGTTCTTCATTACAAAAGGAGAATTTGATTGAGAACTAAAGAATGACAGCTCTCGGTCCACTTCATCTCGATGTGGCTTAGAAGTAATAGGTATGTGTTTCAGGGCCACAGGGCCTCCGTCCTTTAGTTTTGCAAAGTAAACCGCTCCACTTGCACCTCGGCCAATTATCCTCTTGGAGGTATCATCAATAACTTCCTTTGTTACACTTCCAGGCAACTTTCTCCCATCTTTAGTAAACATCCCGGACTCATTCAGCAAAAATGCTCGAAGCTGAAGCGAATTATTGTTTTTTATCTGGTAGGACTGGAGGTCCCGCTGAGATTTCTCCACAGCCGCCGCATCTAAAACAAGCCCTAGCTTTTTCATCTCTTTAAAGCTGAGGTACAACAACTACAAGTCAAAAAAAAAAAAAAAAAAAAAAAAAAAAAAAAAGGAGGAAATCGAAAAGAAGAAATTACAAGGCTAATTTTTTTCGTCTTTTCCTCTCTCTCTTTCTCTCTCTCTCTCTCTCTCTATATATATATATATATATATATATATATATATATATATATATATATATTAAAACCAAGATTCCACCGTAGCACCTTTTTATCTTTGCCCTTCACGGCAAGAAATAATGACACGTACCTTTAAACATGGAAAGAAAATAGGAATAATAATAGATGGATCGGCAACAGAAACAACAATATTCACAAAAACAAAGTTTATTTCTCAAAAACACATGATGTAACATCTCCTATTAGTACTCCTCCCGTAATGGAAGCGATGCACTATTGGCCATGTTCATATTGTTGTTGCCACCGTCAATTTTTAACTCTGCTGATACATTTTCATTTGGAGTGGGGCATCTCAACTGTGCGTTTTTGCTCAAAGAGCCGTCATTCTCCACCGGTATATTTGGTTCCACTCCAGAGCTTTTTATTTTCTGGGCCTCCCAGTGAGCTTGCTTTAGATGGTTACAGGGTAGCACAGAGGGGCTTTCCCCCATTGGGGTTTAAAACTATCACATACAGCATCCACCTGGTTTCTCTTGGAGGGCACCCGCACTTTCTCTGCCTCTTGACGAAAACGAGATGCCACATTCTTTGGGTCCCTATACCGAGAACGTACTGCTGGTCGTCGATCAAAACTGGAAACGGAGGTACCTCGGTTAGGGGTCGATTTCCTACTTGTTATGTTTCTTTCCTTTTGATGAACATCAAAATTTGCCTTTCCATCTCTCGGAGTACCCTCACCAACAATTCGGGGTGGCGTCGGTCCCCGGCTTGTGCTTCTAGCGACTGGTGGCTTTCTGCGATCTCCACCAAGTGATCCAGTCCTTTTAAATTCCTCAGAATTTACTCTGGGACTCTTATCAAATTGGTTTCTTCTTGACGAAGGAGGTGGATGAACATTGTTTTGAGCCAAGGGAGGCGCATTCTTTCCATCACCGCCACGTCCTGCTGGAACAGAGGAAACCTTCGGCACGCCATTCGGAGGAACAACTACACCGGGTCTTGGTCGGATAACAAATGTACCCTCTTTTTTTCCCTCAAAAACACTTGAGACAAGTAAGCGATTGGAGAGTACAGTATCCTCGAACTCTGCCCGAATCTCTGAAGGTTTAAGCTGTTGCACTCGAAGAAGTTCTGGAGCCTTCAAAAGCACGTCGGAAACATCAGCCTCTTCATCAACCATAAGTTTTATTGCCTCATCATCACTCTGGTGCGGTTCACGCAACCATACCTTCAGCATATTCCTACTTCTCGTCTTTTCTTTCTTTTTTTGTCTATTTTCTAATCCTTCCGTTTCCTGGACAATTGCTATTCAATAAAATGAAGAAGAAAAATAACTTTTTATTATTATTATTTCTTTTTCTTTTTATATTTTGCATATAAAAAAGGCCTATAATAAGATTGTAATCATGGCTTATGGAGACTAGATGGCCCAAAAGTTTTTGTACGCCAAGCAAAACAACAACAACAACAAATCACGCACAACTACTTAAAAATATCGTCAATATCAGTAAATTCCCTTGTTCCTCGATTTATTTCGTCTTCAGTCAGATTAATGTGTGATACAGAGCCCTCACCTAGTTGAGCAGAAAACAGATACTCAAGTTCATGAGTCGGTGACGTAGATGGGGCAGTTTTCTCCTCGACTAAACGCGGTAAGGCTGTGGTGGTACATAAAGAAGAGGCGGTGGCAACAGTAGCAGCAGCAGCGGCGGCCTGTTTCTCCAGATTTATCCGCCTGGAAACACTTCGGTTATTTTTTACTGAGGATAAAGCACTAGCAACCAATTCAAATACATTCATCGCATCTTTGAAAAATACGCTCAAATGCAAAAAAAACACATTACATGCGGCCCATGTCGCCATGGAAACCTGTTCCAAGAGAAAGGAAGTCTTGTTCATGCTACCCTGTAAAGCCTCGTGGTATTTATCGCCGCTTTCATGCAAGCGTTCTAGCAACCGACGGAGTTTAAACTCCAACTCCCTCACTTGGTCGTGAGAACTACCAGAACGAGATTTCAAAAGTTTAGATTCACATACTTCTGCATCCCTTCTCCAAACATCAAAGGCTGTTTGAGTTCTAGAAACTTCACATTTTACATCCAAATAGGCTTTGTCAAGTTGTTCAATAGAAGAAGACTGAATACCACAGCAATTGGTCCTAATACTACTGGTTAATTCTTGGCTCAAAGCACGTAATTTGACTTTCAGCGAGTTAATAGAAATAAATTCGGCCTGCTCAGAAAATGTTTCAGTTGCCATTTCCAAATGATTTTCACAAATTTCCTTAAAATTATGCAATTCTGATAATAGGCCATCAAGTTGAGCGAAAAGAGTTTCAATAGCGTTTCCAACGGCATCAAAATGATCAGAAAGTTTCATTAAAGAAACACGGGTTTGCGAAAGTACTTTCATACGTCTATCATAGATCTCATCACTGCTTTGTTTAAACTCACCTATTGCAGACAAAAGTGAAAGTTTTCCTTGATCAAGGAAACATCGCAAACCATTGGATCCTTGAAACTGACGAAGAAAAGTACTAAAATCGTGCAAGATGTTTTCAACATCCCGTTTGTTTGCCCGAAAAGACTGCATATCACTAATTAGAGTTGTATGATCTGCCAATAATAAAACAAATTGAAATAAAAGAAAACAAAAAATTTAAACCAACACAATAAGAGTCTTACTACAAGAAATTAACTCACCACCGAAAAAAAGAAATATATAAAGAAAAACGTGACAATCTACCCACCAAAAGAATTATGCGAGTGCTACACTCATACAAGTTCCGATTAGCAAATATTTTATGTTATTCAATATATCGTTACTTATTTATTAATATTCAGTAGATTCAAGTGCTAAAAATGGGTTTTGAAAAACTGTGTCAAAGGCGTCCAAAGTTTCATCAATAAAACCCTCATCATTACACTCGACTGTAAAAAATCTAAAAACAGAGTCCTGACGTGCGCGTTCCGTTCCCGACTTCCACTTTATAGGCCCCAATGAAATTGTTTTTAGCTGTGTGTTCACCTCACGATAAATAGTTCCCTGTTCAGCAAACATATTGGAACGAAGAACGATAGAGACATTTCGGCATAAAAAACCATCCTTAACGCTTGTCGTCACCTTAAAATTTGTAATTGCACGGACAATCTTGGGATCAATAGTCCCATTGAACAATGGTCTTAATGGAGTTTCAGTAGCTGACAAGACACCACTCCAAAAGCCTTCAATTTTGTCAAGAGCCTCCTGTCGTTGCTCAAATAAGAGTTCAAGCTTTTTCCTGTATTCAATGCGTGTCTGATTCGCCTGGGACTCTGTTTCTGTTTGCAGAGACTTCACCTTCTCGTTACAGTTGGCGACCGCGTCAACCACATGTTGGGGATATGTGCTCATTTTCTTCTTCAATACATAGAATAATCACACACACACACACAAAAAAAAAAAGGACAACGAAAATAAACGCTCATACAGGCAGTATTATATTTATCATCAGTACCAGAAATAGAATAAGTTAAAACAACAACAAAAACAATTTCCTTTTTGCGCTTTTATCCCTTTTAAAATTTCCCTTTCATAATGTAAAATCCAACAAATCGTTTACACCTTTTTCGCAAAATTCACTCCCATCCTACATGCTAAACGTATTCCATTGTATAAAAGAGGGTAACAAAAAGCCTGAGCAGCCCCATTTGTCTCGCCAAGTCGTTGATGATGTTCCTCCTCATCCCTAAATTTAGCCACTATATCTTTGATCTCTTTCAAAGCCTTGGCATCATCATCGTTTAAATTTACCCCTCCATTTTCCAATTCCTCAAGTTCACGAAGTTGATCGTTATAATGGTTTACAATTGTAATTTCAACCGCGGCATGGCAACACATCATTGCCTCTTTGCCGAGCAGGGCAGTCAAAGTTGCCATAGCAAAGCCGCCTACATGAAACACGGGATCCAGGGCTGTAAGTCTCACAGAATGCTTCTTTGCAAGGTCATTCATGGTCTTCTCGTGAACAAGCTCATCCTTTAAAATTTCTTTAACCACGGGAACTGCCGAATCAAGTGGAGACATCCACAAAAGCTGATACCCACAAATTCGCACCGCCGCCGTTTCCCCCGCCTGATCTACGCGAAGCACCTCATCAATCTTAATTTTTCGGGCGGAATTTGCAAAGGTGCGACTCGGCAATCCGAGAATACGCGGAAAAGTCCGCCGTATCATTCTGAACGCGTTTATGGACGCTTTGCTGATTCAAGGCGTTCGCAAAAATGCAGCAAAAGAAAAAAAAAAATAATAATAGTAAAGGAGACAGCCCCAAGGGCACAATAAAAAAAAAGACACGGGGGCGGCAACCACCAAACAAACGCGGGCAACGGAAAATTAAAGCGGGTCGGGGGAGCAAAGAGCCGCGAAAAAAGCGGGAGAAGCCGCCCCCAATAAAAAACTGACGCGCGGCCTGGCCCCGCGCCGCGTCCCGAGAGCCGGCGAGTTTATCGGCGCGCGCCCGCCCAAGGCGGAGGCCAAATCCTCCCGAGAAAGCGCGAGGGAAAAAGCCCAACAGCAAGGCTTTTTTTTGCGGGGGGGCGCGGCGCGGAATATGTTTGTTGTTGTTATCAACCCGCTGTGTTTATCGTTGCGTTTCGGCGCCGCTTTATCTTTATTTACTTATTTATTTATTGTTGTTATTATTGCCATTGTGTTTTTCTGTTGCTGATGCGGGGCTCGTGACGGAATCGTTTGGTTCTCATTCCGTTTGGGGGAATCATCAGCAAGTTTTTTTTTTTTTTTGCGTGTATACCCTTTTGTTTTCGACAGTAACAAAATAATATAAAATATTTTCAAATATTAGAAAAAGGTATTTAAAATGATTGAAAATCCCAATGACGGCTCATGCAACAAAAACCCCAGAAGTCCACAATGAAAAAGCTCGTGAATTCCCCCGAAAGTGTCATTTCCTAAACAGACTTTGAATGGCCTATATCCAATAATAATAATAATAATAATAATAATAATAATAATAATAATAATAATAATAATAATAATAATAATAATAATAATAATAATAATAATAATAATAATAATAAACTCCTAATGCTGTCTATAAAAAAAAATCCCAGGAATTATTATTTATTTTTTTTATTATTATTATTTTAACCTCATCCTTGAAAAATTATCAAAGAAAAAAAGCACAGCTTTTAAAATTTGACGCATAATTTTTTTATACAGAATATATGTAGCTTTTGGCAAAATGCCGGTAGATTATTGTTTTGGCTTCTATCATTTAGTTAAGTATGACGGAAGTTGTAAAATAAAACCTTTTGCGAATTGGAAAATGTCGCATGGCTACTGGTCGGTATGATGTTGGGTTTATTGAATTGTCTGACTACTATGAACTTTAGCAGAACTTTGGACTAGAGAAGAATGAGGAAAAAAAAAAAAAACAAACAAACTTGAAGTAGAACCTCATATAGCTTGTGAATTATTTCTTTAAATATTGATTATGCACCTCTCTCTTTTTTTTTTTTTGAGTTTGTTTTATTGAAGACTTGTTTGGCTTTATTCCTTTTTTTTCTTTTAGGTGCTACGGAGTATGTAATTTTGCGGTGGAAATGGACGCTTATTTACTCAGTTTTTTTTTTTTTCTATTTATTTAGTTATTTTTGCGATGGGTGCCTCCGAAAATGGTAAAAAAGTCAATGTTTATGCTTATGTTTTTTTTTTTTTATTAGGAGCTTGTGGAAAGAATGATCGCGGGGGAGCTGGCTAACTTAATTAATGTATGTATATATCCTGATAAATGAATGCATTCGTTATGATACTTTCTACCGTATGAATCTTTTGGGAAGAACGCGACTTTGTAGGGGCAGGGAGCCGATAGAGGCCAGATAATATTTGTTTTTATTTTGTCATCCCACCCTAACCCTTTTGATTCCCACCACGCGGCGGGGTCTTGTGGTTGGAGGACCCAAAAGTCTGCCACTTCGTAAGTAATAATATGTAAATCCTAACTGAGGACAAAGGACCATGCTAGTGGTCCACAGAATTCTATATATTGAATGAAAAGAAAACATTGAAGCAATTAACTAACGAACCTTTTTCCCTAACTTGTTTGGTTTCCATAGGTAATTTCAGGATCCGGCCAGCTGCCCGGAAGATTATTCTGGTACAAATAAGCATTTTTAAAAAATGGATGAGCTGGGGTTACCAACACTCATTTTTTTATTTCCTTTTTTTTTTTTTGGTTGTTCTTTGTTTTGTTATTACCTCGATAAAAATGTGCTAGTATATAAGTATGGAAGTTTGATCTATCACCTTAAATATGTGAATTGACATTTAGACTTTTTAAAAACTCTAGATGAGGAAGCTTTGTCTTGCTTTTTACAACCCTTTTTTAATGGTCTTTTTAAACACTTGAGATACACACCTTTTCTTTTTTGACTAATTGCGGTATATTGAGTACATCTTTAATTTTTCTTATCTTTTCTTATCTCCATTTTTATTCTAATTTTTTTTGTTAATTGTAAAAAGGAAACTTGATATTTTAATGTCATTTGGAAGCCCATTTTCCATGGAACTTGCAAAAGAATTTGTTGAGTTCGTCAATAAAGCCTGCACCCCGTTTCATGCAGTTGAAGTTATTTCTTCATGGTTGCTTGAAGCAGGATACAAAAGACTCAAGGAAGATGAGCCATGGCCTTCTATTTTGGTGGGCGATCGATATTTTGTCACGAGAAATGATAGCAGTCTGGTCGCCTTTTCTGTGGGAGGCAAATTTGAACCCGCTAATGGTGTAAAGATTGTGGGGGCCCATACGGACTCGCCCAATCTTGCATTAAAACCAAGAACGAGGGCTGATAAAGGGGAATATCAGGGTATTGCGGTCCAATGTTACGGTGGTGGGCTATGGCATACTTGGTTTGACAGGGATTTAACGGTTGCTGGCAGGGTGTTTTTATCTTCGCCTAAATTGGAAAAACGCCTTGTGAACTTAAAGCGACCAATTGTAAGAATTCCTTCCCTTGCAATTCACCTTCAAACTGCCCAAGAACGTGAAGGATTTGCACCAAACAAAGAAAAACACTTGGTTCCCATTATTGCAACAGAGGTTTCAGGAGCATTAAATGGAGATAACGACAAGCGTCATAGTTTTCATCTTATGAAGTTAATTTCAGAGGCATTGGGATGCCTGCCTGAGGAAATTGTGGATTATGATTTGAGCGTCATTGATACTCAGCCAGCAACAATTGGTGGTGCATTTGATGAATTTATTTTTGCACCACGTCTGGACAACCTGATTTCTTGCTTTTGTGGTATAAAGGCTCTTCTGCAAACGGACAAGAATCTGGACACGGAAAACATGATAAGAATGGTTTGTCTTTTTGATAACGAAGAGATTGGGTCTGAAACTTCACAAGGTGCAGGTGGAACCCTGGTTCCAGACTTGATTGAGCATATTATTGCCTCAAAAACGCTTCGAGCCACACTTGTGGCAAATTCTTTTCTGCTTTCAGTGGATGGTGCACACGCGCTGCATCCAAATTATAAAGATAAACACGAGGAAAACCACCGACCTCTTCTTCATCGTGGACCTGTTATTAAATACAATGCAAATATGCGTTATGCTACAAATGGTGCTACTGCCTCTATTGTCAAGTCGATTGCAAAGGAAGCTTTGGTTCCTGTGCAGGAATTTTGTGTCAAGAATGACTCTTCATGTGGCTCGACAATTGGACCCATTCTTTCTTCCCTATCTGGAATAAGAACTGTTGATATTGGAAATCCAATGCTGAGCATGCACAGTGTTCGAGAGATGTGTGGAACTACAGACATATCTTACTTGACAAACTTCATCGAAGCATTCTTTACAAATTATGGGAAACACGTGATATCATCATAATTGTTTTCCGTCTCTTTTTTTTTTTTATCTCAAAATTAGAAATTTGCAGACTCTGTTTTTATTTCACTGTAATATATGGGTTTAGACACGAATTCGCACAAGCGTCATTTTCCCACCTTTCTTTTCTTTCTCTCTCTCTCTCTCTTTTTTTTTTTTTTAGCGTATTATCTAAGAAATATGGGCCGTTTTAAGCCACTCGCAGTCAAGAAGAAGTATGCAAAGAAGCTGAAGCAGAACAGACCTGTCCCATACTGGATTCGACTCCGCACTGGCAATCGCATTAAGTGGAATGAAAAGCGCCGTCACTGGCGCCGCACGAAGCTTCACTACTAAACTTACGGTGCCGTTTCAAGCCTACGCATTTTTATATTGTTTGTTTTTTGTTTAATGTTTTATTTTTCATTTTTGATTTAGTTTTTCTTTTTAGTTTTTATTTTTGTTTGGTTTTGGCCTTTTGATGAAGGCCGATAAATTTCATGGAGTAAGCATAATATTATAATATTTTCTTTTCTTTCTTTTTTTTTTTGTGCACTGCAGTTTGTGTGTGAAAAGATGGGAGAAGCGTCAAAAGCTGCTAGTCGCATCCAGGTGGGTGTTCGCATGTGTCCTCCGCGGCAGGGCGAAAAGGTAATTGTACATGCTGATTCAGATGATCAGCGAGCTGTTTTGATTGATGCCGAAGGGGGACGCGCTTCTACCATGTTTAAATTTGATCGTGTGTTTACTGGGGGTCAGGACGAGGTATATGAGACGATTGGGCGGCCAATGTTGAAGGAGGCGTTTGAAGGATTTAATGTCTGTCTTTTTGCTTACGGCCAGACAGGAAGCGGAAAGACACATAGCCTTTTTGGTGACCTGAACAGCAAAGAAGGCTATGGTGTGGCTCCACGCTTTGCGCAGGACATGATTGAGGAGGCTCAGCTCCGTGTGGAATCGGACAGTGCCGCGACAATCAAGTTTTTTGTGACGATGATTGAGGTTTATATGGAGAAGGTCCGTGATCTCCTCGCTCCCCGGGCACGAGGGCAGGAGCCGGAGTCGCTTGAGATTCACGAGGATAGTCAGCATCGCGTTTATGTGAAGGGGGCGGGCGTGCACTCTGTGCTTAGTCTGGAGCGAATGTTAGAGCTGCTCAAGAAGGGCAACGCAAATCGTCAAACAGGTGAGACGAAGATGAACGAGACAAGCTCGCGTTCTCACGCCATCGTTCAAATTACCATCTCTCAGAAGTATGGGTCTTTGGATATGCGGGATGTAGAAAGTGTTGTTTTGTTGGTGGATTTAGCTGGAAGTGAGCGCCAGAGCAAGACGGAATCTACTGGGGTTGCGTTTGAGGAGGCGAAGAAGATTAACCAGTCTCTTTTGATGTTGGGCCGGGCGATGAACTCGTTCAGTGACCGTAAGGGAGGAGACGCTTTTATTTCTTTGCGCGCTTCGAAGCTAACTCGGCTGTTGTCGGAGAGCTTTGGTGGCAACAGCAAGACATGGATGCTCGCAACCGTGTCGACCGCGGCAAACAATTTGACAGAGACCATCTCCACCTTGGAATACGCCCAGAACGCCATGGCCATCACTAATAAGGCCAAGGTGAACAAAACTGCGAAGGATCTTGAGTATGATGAAATACAAAAGCTTGCCTGGGTTCTTCAAATCCGATTGGACGATGAAGCAAAGGGTATATCTGCGTTGGACGCACAGATACAGGGGCTACGCGGAGAAATTGATTGCATGAAGAGTAAGTTGACAGTTGCCAGTGATTCAAAGGTTGAAACTGAATTGAAAGAAGCGCTTGAGGACCGAGAAGAATTGTTGTTGTCATTGAGAAAAGGCCTAATTGAACAAAGGAAGATTAGCGGCTTCTCTGCGGCACTTGTGTGTTTTTCTGGAACTTGCAAAACCTCATTGGCGAACATACCCTTTGGTTCATACGAGGTGACGACTCTAGTTGTTCCTTGTTACATGTTGGCGGGGCCGCCTCCCTTTTTGATTTGCCATATCCATGTTTACCTTACAGAAGAAAGTTCCGTTGCAGTGTTGCTTCGTCTTCGAGAGTTACAGCATCTTCCAGATTATGCAACTGGCGGCGTGCAAGTGACTGTTTGGTTCGAAGGGCATTATTCGAGTGCTGTTCAAACACCCATCGTGCGGCCAAATGGAGGTAATCCCCAATTTTCCCTGCGCCAGATGTATCTTTTTGGACCACATACAGAGGACCTTGAGCGCTTTTTCCAGTTGGATGTGTTAAACTTTCGTGTAGAGGGGATAATGTCTGATTTGACGTCTTGAACGACCGTTTTGAAACGGTGAATTTGAAGACTCTCTTGGAAATTTTCCTCCTTGTTATATATGTGTGTGTGTGGGCTGCTGTTTGAAGCTGCTATCAGCGCAATTTCCAGCCAAAAAAAAAAAAAAAAAAACTTTTAATAGATAAGATATGTGATTTGCTTCGTTGAAGTATTTGGTTGAAAAATAAAATCGTTAAATCACTTTTTTTTTTTTGGTAACTCTTATTGTTATTATTATTATTATTATTTTGCCTTGATTTTCTTTCTGTGGCGTAGCAATGGCCGAATTGGCTGGGACCGCTGGTCGCATCCAGGTGGGTGTTCGCATGTGTCCTCCGCGGCAGGGCGAAAAGGTAATTGTACATGCTGATTCAGATGATCAGCGAGCTGTTTTGATTGATGCCGAAGGGGGACGCGCTTCTACCATGTTTAAATTTGATCGTGTGTTTACTGGGGGTCAGGACGAGGTATATGAGACGATTGGGCGGCCAATGTTGAAGGAGGCGTTTGAAGGATTTAATGTCTGTCTTTTTGCTTACGGCCAGACAGGAAGCGGAAAGACACATAGCCTTTTTGGTGACCTGAACAGCAAAGAAGGCTATGGTGTGGCTCCACGCTTTGCGCAGGACATGATTGAGGAGGCTCAGCTCCGTGTGGAATCGGACAGTGCCGCGACAATCAAGTTTTTTGTGACGATGATTGAGGTTTATATGGAGAAGGTCCGTGATCTCCTCGCTCCCCGGGCACGAGGGCAGGAGCCGGAGTCGCTTGAGATTCACGAGGATAGTCAGCATCGCGTTTATGTGAAGGGGGCGGGCGTGCACTCTGTGCTTAGTCTGGAGCGAATGTTAGAGCTGCTCAAGAAGGGCAACGCAAATCGTCAAACAGGTGAGACGAAGATGAACGAGACAAGCTCGCGTTCTCACGCCATCGTTCAAATTACCATCTCTCAGAAGTATGGGTCTTTGGATATGCGGGATGTAGAAAGTGTTGTTTTGTTGGTGGATTTAGCTGGAAGTGAGCGCCAGAGCAAGACGGAATCTACTGGGGTTGCGTTTGAGGAGGCGAAGAAGATTAACCAGTCTCTTTTGATGTTGGGCCGGGCGATGAACTCGTTCAGTGACCGTAAGGGAGGAGATGCTTTTATTTCTTTGCGCGCTTCGAAGCTAACTCGGCTGTTGTCGGAGAGCTTTGGTGGCAACAGCAAGACATGGATGCTCGCAACCGTGTCGACCGCGGCAAACAATTTGACAGAGACCATCTCCACCTTGGAATACGCCCAGAACGCCATGGCCATCACTAATAAGGCCAAGGTAAATGACACCAAGAAGAATATTGAGCTGAAGCGACTTAGGGAGCTTGTTGCATCTTTAGAGGGCAGGTTGGATGTTCTTGCGCTAGAAAAGCAAAGAAAGCAAGAAGAAATTGGACGTTTGACCCAGGAGCGGGATAAACTGAGGCAGGAAGTTGCATTTGCTGATAGTGTTCACGACGCGAGGGATAAACTGGAGTTGGCGCTTAACAACATTCGTCTGAGTAACATTGCTCTTCGAAGAAGGGTGGAGGCTGCCTCAGAAGGTTTCATCCATTCTCTTGACAATAAGTCGTGCTTTCTTTTTTTCAAAGGTCGTTGCAGCATTACATTAGAGAGTGTGCTGCGTGGACAGCGACGTTCTTTTTATATTGGTTTGTTGACGGAGAGTGGCGTGCTTACCGAGGCTACGCTTCACATTCAATTATTCCCGTGTGAGCATCACGCCAATGAGCGAAATGATCCAATGCAATTCATCGGGAAGAGTTTACGCTTTTGTCTTCACGTTGTGGGAGCGTCAGGCATCCCTAAAGCTTTTGTTGCACATACTTTTTGTAAATTCACTCTTTTGCATGATCGTGAAGAACGCTACTTTACGACATCGACAGCGGAGAATACGCAGAACCCTCGCTGGGGTTATGTGAAGGTTTTTGAGATTCCCGAATTGACTGCTGAAGTTATACGTTGTTTTTGCGAGCACACTGTGTTTGCATTTGAAGTTTTTGCATTTAATGCGTGAATTTTAGCAGGGTCGCCCCTTATTGGTAGTTGTACCACTTGTTTCTTTTTTCTTTAGTTTTGCGACCGTCCCCCTTCCTCCGTTTTTTTGCCTTTTATGTTTGGTAGTTTTTGTGGTGCAAAAAATCACAGTCGGTGGTGTGGTGTGGCTTGGGGGAGTTACTCTTCTTTTTTGTTGTTTGTTTTTTTCGAGGGATAATTTCTTGTCTGTGTGATGTTTGACTCATTTCTCCTTTTTTTTCTTTTCTTTTTTGCCTTTCTTTTCCGCCTTTCTTCGATTGCTGCTGGAAACAAAAATTTTTGTCTCCTTATTGGCGATGCGAGGGTGGGAATGTGTCTGATGCGGTGTGTTTTGTGCTGTGTTTACTTCTACAGGGCACGTACTCACACACACACACAAAAAAAAAAGGGTATGCTTTTTTTTTGACTGCATCCTTGGAAGGGGTGCGGGACTTTAAATGAACCGCATGCTCTAAAAAGTGACTTTAGAGCACATTTACAAGTTTGGATTTTGGTAATTGCCCAATTTCTGTTGTAACATGGATCTCATTAAATTTTATTCCCCGCCTGCACCAGTGTCTTAGTGACGTGCGTTTCCGTAAGTTTTGTAACGAGGCAATCTCTGTGTCTTCCTGTGATGAAGTTACTCTAAACTGTTCAGGGGAAAAGAGGGAGTGTTATATTTGTTGTACCCGAGTTACAACATCGACGTTGTCGCAGCCTCTCCGGGAATGTGCATCCTGTAAAGGGGTCACTGTGTATTGTGGGGCGTCCCTTGTGGCATTCAAATGTAATACGCGGGAAGAGTGTAGGCCATTGGTGAAGGGAATTTTGGGTTAGGGCATGTATCACTTGCGAGAGATGAGAAAGGTGGCCAAAGATGGTACTGCGACCGTTGAATTTGTCATTTGTCGGGGAAGAGGGGCGTGATCGAAAAGAGGAGGTATCCCCATCAAAGAAATTGGGCAGCATGCAGATGCCACCTCACAAGGTTCCCCCTGATGCAGTTGTCACTGCCAGTGGGTTTGAGGAGCATTGCGTCTGTGGCACTTTTCCTGCGGCACCTCAACTTTTTTTTTTTTTTTTAGAAGAACAGGGAGCGGGCGTAGCGGGGGCATCTGGTTCTTGTTGCGTCGGTAAATTTTTTTAATGAGTTTTATGGCTGCACATGTTTTTGGATAACACATTATTATTATTATTATTGGGAGTGGGGGGAATGACGTATGTTAATATTTTTTAGTTCCTATGGATCCGTGGTCTACCTTACATGTATATATATATATATATTTGTTGTCTTGAAGACTTCCTATTTGTATTCTTTTGTTTTGCCCCTTTTTTCTACTCTCCCTACTGTTTTGGAACACACCTCCCCTCCTATATATAAATATATATTTTGATTTCCAGGCCGGGTGGGCATGTCGGATCGAACACATGCACGCCTTTTTGCTAGTGGCTTGCCATTAACATCACGGTGCAATACATCGCCAGAAAGGGCCAAATCCGCATATATATCAATGCCCAGCCACATCTCAGAGCGTTTTGCAAGCGTTTCAACATCATTAGTTCCGGGAAACAGAATCAGTATACAAAAACAGGGCCATGCAAGCGAAGGTTCTGTGAGAAGGGTTCCCTTGCGTCTTGCGAATCTTACCACGGGAGGGAACATTTCTGGTCGACAGGGCTTCACACTGAATCCATCTATGCCGGCAGAAAACTCACTAAAGTCATATATTTTTCCACGCGGTAGTCTTTCAAAACGATTACGATGTATCCCGGCCTCTAATAATTTATCTTCATCACTCAGTTTGTCACATGCGCCTTCGAATGCACGATTAGTACGAGCCCGCGCTGCCGCTGGTGCTGCTGACGGTTTCTTTATTCCACCCGTACGCGCCGTTGATGAGGGAAAGCTTGTTGTTGTACTGGACCTCGATGAAACGCTTGTGTATTCACGTTCTGGCAGGATCATTCTGCGTCCTGGGATCAACCGACTTTTTGATGTATTGCGTGGACGCTGCGAAACGGTCGTCTGGACTGCTGGGGAAAAGTCTTACGCAATGGAAGTATTGCAGCTGATAGATTCTTCACACTGCGTCCAACACTGTATTTACCGCCATGAAAAGTGGTGGACCGAGAGACCAGGTTATGTTAAGGACATTGCTGCGTTGGGTCGTCCTCTTCACCAGACGATTATAATCGATAATACACCGGATTGTTTACGAGCGCACACCCGAAATGCATTGCTCGTCAGGGACTTCAGAGGCCCTTGTGGAGGAAGTTCAAGGTTTGACAACACTCTTTTTGTACTTGCAGACGTCATTGATGACGTTTTGAATGGTTCAGAAATTTCCATTGATGCTTTCCACGATCACCCGCAGCTCCAACTTCGTTCTGTTGAATGTGAAAGTGGCAGTACTATTGATGTACTTACGCTGAAGCAGGATAACTTCCTTGACCCTCCAAAAGGTAATAATGTGATCCCCTATAATACGCAAAGGGCGAGTCGACGTCGTACAATGGTTGGAATGTAATTGCGTGTATGCCATAGGCGTTCGTTGTGCTGCTGCCAATACAAATAAATCACGCCAGACTTGTATTTTTTCGTAGTTTTATTTGGATCCGGGCCTTACCCTTCCTCCCAAGGCCTCTAACATTTCCGGCCGAACACTTTCCTGCCGAACTTTTTCTTGGAAATGAGCGTGTTTACATTTATGTTTTGTGATTGATCCTGTTTCCGCGGGCGTTTCCTTTTTTTGCTTGCCTCTTTTTTTTTTTTACCTTTTTTTTTGTTGTTTGTGTATACTACTTTTCGTTCTTTGTTTTTGTTTGTTTGCTTTGTAGGCTCTGTGAAAATCTGAGGGGAGGGAAGTCTTGGCGGCGGGCACGGAGAATATCTTTTTTTTTTGGTGTTTGTGTTTTTGTGTGTTTGATATACACCGTTTCCTGCGAGGGGTGATTTTCCTCTCGCCTCCTCTCCCTTTCTTTTTTTTTTTTTTTTCATCTCGACTTCTCAATGTTTTTGTTGTTTTCTTTGTTGTTGGGTGGCACGTATTATCCTTTCTGTAATTTATTTTTCCCCACCCCACAGGAGGCACATATATCTCTATATATCTATATCCACATCTATATATATATATATATATATATATATATATTTCTTCGGTCCTTTGAAACCTGTGGGGGGAAAAGGGCAAAATGAGTAATATATATGTATATGTATATGTATATACTTATAAATAAATAAATATATATATATATTGATAGGAGTGTTGCAATTTTGAATGTGGGTGTAAAAAATAAAAATAAAAGGAATGAAGCGGGTACGCTGGATGATTTTTTTGGCAAACGCCCCACCTCCTTTTAATGCCGTGCTTTTTTTTTTACTTTTTTTTTTTTTTTTTAAATTGCTTCTGTGGCCTCTCAATTTGTGGTGGGGCTTGAAGGCGGTCGTATGCATCATTTATGTGACGTTGATGCTCTCTTTTTTGTAGATCTCTTTCATTATTATTATTATTTATTCCTTTTCTTCCTTTCTATCTTTTTTTTTTCTCTTCTTTTATTTTCTCTCAACGACATCAGCGTGCATAGTTTTGGCATTCATGGGGGAGGTGGTTCCGACGGCCTCCAGGGACTGGTCACTGAACAAGGAGAAGGAGTCGGGAAGATTGTTCTGGTGGAATTGCAAGTACAGCATTAGCATTTGGGACAGTAACCTCAATTTGGGCCAACCACGGCATGAATTGACTGATCTCCTTGTGTGGCAAGCTTTTTTGCATTTTCAGATTGCCTCCGTGTACAAGTTGTGTTTTGTTTGTCACCAACCGGAGGGAAATGAGGATATGAAGGTTTGCTGTTTTTGTGGGTTAACGGTGCATTGCGATTGCTCCAGAGAGGCCACCGCTGAGCAGTTGGCATGGAAACCAGCCAACTTTGGCTTTGAGGCATACTTACGGGCCTGTTTTAACTGTGAGGACGTTCATGTTCCTGTCAAGATTCGAGCCAATAGGGAGGCAAGCAATGCACACCGTGTGGCTTCTCGAGCCTTGTCTATTAAAGAAGAATATCCCGAGCACATTCTCCGGGATATTTTGTGCCTCGCGGAGAAGGCAGAGCAGCCCCATTCCAGTAGCGAGGATGCGTCACTTGTGGCATCCCTGAGGCGGGTTCTCACTTCATTCTATCAGTCAGAGGAATCTTGTCTTTTTCTAAAGCGAGAGAAGCGCCCAGAGAAGGGAGGGGGCATTGGCGTTGTGGCCGCGAAGGATATTCCAGCTTTTACTGTTGTAGGTGTCTACCCTGGCTACCTTGATGTCTTGAGCGGAGAGCATTTAAAGCTTGGTCGACCTGTTACCAAGTATGCCCTGAAGGATCTTAACTGCGCAGATTATGACAACGTTGTTTTTGAGGAGTTTCAAGGAACATTCACGCCGTTTATCAACGAGCCATGTGAGTTTGAGGAGAGTAACTGCGGGTGGATACAGGAGGACAAGCATCGTGAGGGACGTCTTAGCATCATGACCGCGCGCAAAATTGAGGAGGGAGAGGAACTGCTCATTGGCTACGGACCGTCATATCCAAGATCATACCCCTACCGGTACGACGTATTGACATTTCATAAGACAGAGACCGAGTTTGACACACCCTGCTTTGCTCTCTGGCGCTGGACGTCGACTGACGAGAGTGACGCCCGTCTTGTTTCTTATGTGGGCTACGAAAAGAGCAAAGATTTTTACTTTTTTTGGGGAGAGCAAGAAGAATAATCATGAGAGAGACACATACCGTTGTCTGGGTTGAGTGGACGCCGACCGTTTACGTACTCACGTAAGGAAGAAGGGAGGGGAGGCGAGAAAGAAAAATCCACAGGCAAAAAAAGCAGACTGAAGATGAAATGGATTACACATATATGCACATAAACATTTGGTATATGAGCCCACCGACTGCGTCTCGCTTAACGATAGATTACACGCGATGTTCGTTACCTTCTAAGAGGCCCTGAAAAGCTTTTTTTATTTACTTTCTACCAATTCTATTCATTTTTTTTTTTTGTGTGTGTTCTGTCTGAGTTGGGGTTGAAAGAGTGAAAAGCGAATACGCATGCAGGATGTCTTTGAGTTGTTATCTTCGCTTGCCTATTGGACTGATCGTTGTGCTGTTTTTATGCACACAGACCTTTGGACCTCCTGTGGCGGAGCAGCAGATTTCGGAGTCCATACGTTCGATCACTGCCCAGTACAAAAAACTTGTGGAGAGGGCGATAAATGAAACAATGCGAAGTTTGATGGATCACTTGGATTCCAACCGCGACGGTCAGATCCAGCTGGAGGAGTTTCAAAGTCTTGCGGCCGCCGCGCTCCAGAGGGTCCGGAATGTGAGGCCAATAACACAGGAAATTGGTCTTGCTTTTTCCCATATTACATGGACAGAGCTGATGTGGCGGTATTTTCTACTGCAGCTACTTTTTTTATTCTCCCTTTTTTTATTGGAAAACCTGCGGTGCCTCATATTTACTGCCCCGCGCAGGCTTCTTCTGGATGATTCATACTTGACAACGACCCCGCCCGAGGTCGGTCCCGAGATCGCATTGACATACGACACCCCTTGGACCACGTATGAGCGACTGAAGATGGCGTTCTTTGCCGCAACCGGTCTTTTGTTCTTGCGTATCTTTTTTTTACTTTTTTTTGCCGTACTCGCGACATTTTTTATGAGCCTCTGCGGCTGGCGAGGTCGAACGCGTCGTGGCAATCCGCTTTGGTTTGCGGTGTGGAGCAACGCAGCCACTGTACTTGCTCATATTGGCTCCGTCTTTGCTGGGGTATATCATATCAAGGTGTTTGGAAGATTTGCAGATGCATCTGAATGTAAGGTAATGATCGGCAACCATTCATGTATCATGGAGGTTATTATTCTCTTTATATTGGGGAACTTTCCGTCGTTTGTGACACGGAAGGAGAACTGTGAGAAAGTTCCATTCTTTGCGGACGTTGCTGAATGCCTGAGTGCCATTATAGTGGACCGTAAAGACGTGAACTCTCGACAGCAGACTGCAGATGCTATTCGAGCACGTGCGAAGGACCGGAACCCCAAGTCCCCACAACTTCTTGTTTTTCCGGAGGGAACCACGTCCAATCAAAGGGCACTTTTTATGTTTAAACAAGGCGCCATGGTGCCTGGGGAGCCGTTGCAGATGGTTTGCGTGAGCTTTCCCTACAAACACTTTAATCCATGCTGGACGGGACGTCCCTGTGGTGGAAACAGCTTTAGTGATCTCTTGATGCGCTTATGCTCACAGTTTGTGAACCACTTGGAGGTGCGGGCCCTGCCGGTATACACACCGACAGAGGAGGAAAGAAAAGACCCAGCTTTATACGCGAAACATTGCCAGCAGATGATGGCTACCGTTCTTCGCTGCAGTGTCAGTTCCTGTAAATACAGCGACTACGAATCAATTTCAACAGGGAAATCTCGCTCCTAGGACGCCTGCTTTGTAATTGCACAGCGTAAAAACAAAAACAGCTGGAAGGAAACCGAATAAAAAGTATGAAAGACACTTTAGCAGCAAGTACAGCATAATGCTATAATATACTACGAAACGGGGGGCGGTGGGTGGGATGGATGGCTCTCCTTTTTTTCCTATCTTTTCTTTTCCTTTCAATTAAAAGGGGAGTACCAACCCAAACAATGAAGAACATGCAAACCGGAAAAAGCGTTGGATCCGCTGCACTTTGGCTTGAATTTTTTGCGAAATTTTTTTTCTCTTTTTTTTTTTTTTTTGTGTGTATGTGTCTTATTTAGCTGCGAGGTTTTACGGGTGAGGAGGAGGAGGGAAAAAGGGGAGTCGAACGATGGACCTCTTGCTCGATGACCAGCGTGAGACACCGTCGTTTTCTATGGGTCTTTTTGCGGACCGTGTCAACAGCATCCTTGAGGCACCGCTACCAAAATGTCTTCTATTGAAGGGGGAGAAGGCGGGCGAGCGTTTCATCGGCAGCACTGTGGGACTGAGTCCGCGTGGAGCTGTGTCGCCGCGGCGTACCACCATCAGTTCCTCCGCTGTTACTACAGCTGTAAGAGGGAATGGCTGTGCTTCCCAGCAGGGGAAACCGATTTACGAGGCATTGCTTGAAAGGGGACGACTGATGTCAGAGAAGAAGGAGGCAATGCGACTACAGGCACTAGAGGAGGAGCTCAGTGAGCTGCGCCCGGCACCGAGTATCACTTACGCAGCGGCACGGAACACCCCGCGAAGACAGCAGCGGATAGAGGACCGCCTGCTGCAGCGGGCGAAGGAGGCAGAGATGCGCCGGGAGCTTCAGGCAAAGCAGCGTAAAGAAGAACTGTTGAAGGAGATGAGTGTCATTGCCCCGTTCCAGCCGAATATATCACGCAAGGGCCGAAAGGCAACCCCAAGGGCTCGCAATATGGCAGAAAAAACTCAGATGGACTGGAATCGTCAGCGCGAGCAGCGTAGAGAGGCGGCGCGCACTGCGAAGTTGATGCATGAGCTGAGCGAAGTTCGGGGTACGCCAGTTATCAACCCGCGCTCGGAGTGCCTTGCAGCTCGCCGTCGGAAGAAAGAGGGTCTTTTGGGCATGAGTGCGGTGGATGCGCTTATAGAGCGGGATCGCATTGCACAATTGAAGAGATGGGAACGGCACGAACTTGAAAAACGAGCTGAGCAAATCCCTCAAATTACATTATACGCCGCCACCCTTCAGAGAGATGGTGATGCGGCAGAGCGGTTATACGCGGAAAGTTACAAGAGGGAAGAACGCCGCTTGCGGCAAGAGGAACAGCTCATATCAAATGGTGCGGCACCTTTTACCCCAAGAATCAGTCCACACGCGGCCACGACACCGCGTTTCCGTAGTGTAGAGGATGAGCTTATGGAGAAACACATGCAAAGCATCGCATTGAAAGAGGAAGCCCAGCAACGGGAATGTGAGCAGGAGTCACGATGTCATCGGCCTATCATCAATCCTGTAAGTGAGGCGATTGCATCAAAGCTTCCTGAGAGTACATGCGAGCGTCTGTATCGTCAAACGCGGGGCACGCCCAAACACAGAGATCCTGCATCAAGGGACTTATCATTTTCAGAGAGTTTTATTAGTGGCAGCCGTGTGGCTTCTCTTCCCGAATCCATGGCAGAGTCATTGCAGTTCTACGAGGAGTCTCGGCAAGAGAGGCTGCGGAAACTTCGGGAGGAACAAGAGAGAATTCAACATAAGGAGTGTACATTTGCGCCTCTTACAAACAAACGAGATTCTCATTTTGGCGGCCCAGAAGATGTTGCCGCAAGAAACCAGCAGTGGCTTGCACGCAAAGAACGGAAGTTGCGTGAGCTGCGTCGAATGAAGGAAGCAGAGAAGGTGAAGGATTGCACCTTCAAACCGGAGCGAGAAAGTCCAACAGTTAATTCCACACGCTATGGGGAGAGTGTGTATGGCGGTGATGGGACGCCCTGGGGTGTACAGGAGTACTTGGAGCGGCAGGAAGAGGCCCGCCGCATCAAGAGAGAGCGTGAGATGCGGCTGCAGCGACGCCCATCATCTGCTCCGCGTCCGTCGACGACGACCCCGCAAGAGTTTCTTTTGGGTAGACGTGACGGCGTTTCTGTGCGCAGCCTGCGACGTCCTCCGCAGGTGTCTCTCATGTCACCTGGAAAGGAAGATGACCCACCTATACCACAAGAGCCACAACATAAACATGAGAGTGGTTTGTCTGTATATGAGCGCATTTACAATCGTATCTACGACACTGTTGCTAGTGGCGGCGGCCTTGGCAAAATTGGCGACAGTGATGGAGCAGAGACCTCACTTTGCATTGCTTCTTCCTTTTATCGTTGATAATAACTCATTAGCACTTTTTTTTTTGAAGCTTTATGTCAGGTATATATATATATTAATTTGTGTTTTTGTTTTTAGAAGAATGGGAGAGTTGGTGTCTGGTACCTCACGCACGGTGTACATTTTACATGTTTTTTTGTAACATTTCTTTCTCTTTCGCTGTCTGTGTGTGTATGTGTGTGTGTCGTGTTTGCGTGGAATGGCAGATAAAGAGGTCATTTGCCTGGGGAGTGTGGCACAAAGAGTGAGTGAATGAGAGGGAAAATATCTGGTGATCTCCCGTTTTTTTTTCTTTTCTTTATTTATTTGTGTATTTATTATTTTGGCGCGTGTGTGTATCATTTTTATTTACGAGCAGCATCTGCATGGCGAATGAACTTACAACATCGCAGGTTGTTCTTTCTGCCTTCGTCTGCATTATGGTCGTATTGGTAGGCGTTCTTTTGTGCTGCCGTGGAAGGCGGCAGGATCACCCGGCGACGACAATGAGTTGCTACACACCTCTTCTTTTCTATCAGAGTTCATCACGTGTGGCTAAGAAGTGTGGGGACCAGGGGCCGTCATTCATGCCTCTCTCACCATCCGATAAATGTCGAATTTCTGAATGGCTACTGGAGGTGCAGAGGGCCATTGACAATAGTGGCAAATCGCTTGCCGTACCGGGGTTGTCTGATCCACGGAACCCAACGATAGTGGACTCTTTGGCGATGATGGCAACCGTGCAATTTTGCTCAGATACCTCTGACAAGATAATTATGGAGAGCTCGGCGTCTGAGTACGCGACGTATAGTCCTCGTGTGTCTGCCGTGGAGGGAGCGACAGAACCTCTTACGTTTCATTTGGACCCACTCAGTCGCTAATGAAGGGCATCGTTTTTTTAGTTGCTGTTTTAAATGCGTACTTTTGGAGATGATTTATTGTTTATTTTTTACTTAATTATTTATTTTGGTGTAGTGGCGTAATTTGACAGCTCTATCCGTTTCCTAAGAGAGAGAGTGTGTATCTTTTATGGCTATGATACTTGTTGCGACTGCATCACGGAAGACCTCTGAGGGTGAATGCGTTCCTGTCATTCCGGCTGTGACTCTCTTCATGTCCCTTTCTATTGGGCGTCGTTGCTCACATCCACCAACGTTGCCTGCACGGTTACTGCTTTTGTGGCTGCGATTTCTGTCATAGACCATCGAGTATTGCTGGGCGAGAAGAAATGAATGGGAATGAAAGAGGGCAGGCCGTCATTCAGAGATGGAGACAGCGAGAAATATACCGTGTGCGCATGCCAACTAAGACAAGCAGAGAAGAAATCTCTTTCTCTTTCAATTATCCATAATAAAAACAAAAAACAGTAACAACATGAGAAAATTTTACTTTGTTTGCCTGCATATCTAAAAATAAATATTAATTTTTTTCTGCCGCTTCTTTTTTATTTATTTATTATCTTTATTTATTTACAACTTCAGGCTTTAAATGGGGGGAGGGGGACAGATCTGAAACGAGGAGGGAACAGGGCTATTTGTTAAATCAGAGCAACCATATAGTTACGTACATATATATTACACACTCAAACGGAGACTGAGAGACCTGTTTGAACACTGTCGCGGAGACGGAACAGGGCACCAAATGGGTTGCGGTGCAACTAGGGATGTCAATCCGTTGCCACCGCCAGATGTAGATTTCCGCTCGGGAGGTCAGTTGTTAAAGTTGGGTGGTTCTTTGAAAGCGAGTGGAGGGAAGGAGCCCCTGATGCGAATGCCCGGAAAGGATAAATACATTAAAGAATCCGGGGCGGTTGTTATGGATGACCGTCAGAAGAGCGAAGGAGGGGGAGGCAATCGGGCATCTGTTGGCATGTTGATTTTGTTTTGTGCACCGGGCACAGACGAACTTGTCATTTCATACCGTGAGAACTCATCCGGTGCGATTTATGCCAAGCGTATGACAGACAAAGAACTTTTGGCATCGAAAGATGCCGCTGGCATAAGAGTTTCGTGGGGCCTTTTTTTCAAGTCGCTTGCGTCCGATGTATTGAATAATAGGGCTGTTGTACGATATTCCACAAGTACTAGTAAAGATGTTCACTTCAATATCCTCAGCAGAAAAGATCGGGGTGTGAAGTACGACTATACATGTGAGCTTGTGATGGTCTCCGGCCTCGGGGCCTCGGCTGAGCAGAATGCGGTTGTTGAATATTTTGTTGAACCCATGACACGCATGCTACAGGTCCGTCGTCGTGTTTCTGCGTGTTCTAACCGGGGCGACGCTTTGGAAAAATTAGAGTGTGACCACGTCGTGAAGATGGCGGCTTTGCGACGCTACAAGGCGAGATTAAAAGAACTTCTCAACACGGTGAAGCCACTGCGGGAGGAGGCTTCTATCATATCCGAGAAGACGATGAACTTGCTCCTTGAGGCAAAATCTCTTGAGAGCAAACTCCAGATGATGCGTGGCGGGATTGGTGATGAACAGCCCTTAGATATTCTCTATGAGAAGGGCGGGGCGCAGTATTTCCAGCACGTTCCACATGCGGAATTTTATTATCCAAAAGAGGAAAAGGTGGACCAAGGCATTTTGGCATGTATCCGGGCCGCATTCCCCCTTTTTCCTGGTGCCACTCTTGACGGTATCATGACTGTTTTAGATCGTCCTGAACTGCAGCCGCTTCTCAATGATTTCTCCCGTCCTTTGGTCAGGGATATGTTTGATGTCTTTTCTGGTCTGGATCGATGGGACTACAATGTCATCGAGCTGGAGATTATCACGAACGGCAATGCGCTTTTCTACACGACTTACGTGCTTCTTTACAAGCTGGATCTTGTCGCCCAATTTCATCTTGATGACACCGTACTGCAGCAGTTCCTGCTGGGCGTCCAGGCGGGTTACCATCCAAACCCGTACCACAATTCAATGCATGCTGCTGATGTGACACATATCAATTATTACATCATGATGATTGCTGGTCTGAAGGAAAAGTGCCATTTAAGCAAGGAGAAGGTGCTGGCAGGTGTGATTGCTGGCGCCATTCATGACTTCGATCATCCTGGCTTAAATAACAATTTCCATACCAAGACAAATGCTTACTTGAGCACACTCTACAATGATCGATCCATTCTTGAAAACCACCATATTGCTTGCATTTTTGAACTTATACTACATCCTGCTTACAATGTGTTCTCTCCCCTTAGCAATGAACAAATGCATGCGGTGCGTGAAACAATGATAGAGATGGTTTTGGCAACGGATATGGGGAATCATGGAAATTTGCTTAGGAAGTTTAAGCTACGCATGGCAGAGACCACCGACTGGCGTACGGAAAAGGAAGATGTTCTTTTAGCTTTATCTATGAGCATAAAAATGGCTGACATCTCTAACTGTGCGAGGCCAAAATACATCTACGCTGAGTGGGCGAGAAATATTTCACGAGAGTTTTACAATCAGGGGGATGCAGAGGCGGCGTGTGGACTCCCCATATCTCCATTTATGGATCGCAAGAGGAAAATGGCTGATTTTCCAAAGGGTCAAATCTCTTTTATGACGTACATTGTGGTGCCTATGGTGGAGGCGATTTCGGAGTTTCTTCCGTCACTTTGCTTTGCGCTGCAGCACTGCAACGAAAATAAAGACGCATGGCAGAGTTTTATTGAGGAACATACTTGAAGGCTGTAAAAGAGGCCGTGATGTACGATTTCCACACTATCTTTTTTTTTTTTTCTTCAACCGTTTTGTGAAGATTTGTGTTGCCTTTGCGAGGAAAGAAGTGCGTGCAACAATAAATGGCTGTGTATGCAGGCGAAATGAATGTAAAAGGAACAAACGGTATGTACACTTCTGTGGATTTATATGGGGGCACTGTGTATTTTCTGGTGTTTTATTTATTTATTTTTTAAATTATTTTTGTTGCTGCCAGGGCCAATAATCTGAGTGGGAGGGCGAGATGACGCGTCTCTTTCTATTATTATTATTATTATATATTTTTTCCTGACTTTTACTTATTGTTTTTACATGCGGACGGATGCAAACTTGTGAGTTAGAGCGCGGTTGGTTGTGGTGGGTGAATGCACTGCATCCGCCCCTATCAAACAACACAAACAACAAAAAGAATTATCTTCTGTAATTTACTGCTTCTGCCTTTTTTTTTTTTTTTGCCATGGCGCATTTGTTTTTGGGCACACACACACACTTAAATAACAGGCAATTTTTTCGTGAGAAAAAGGGGAAATACGGCCGATAAAAATCCGTCAAACATGTGGGATCCGTTTCGCGATGTGGAGCGCCTTCTCAATCGCATGCAGTCCGTCACCGGCACGAGTTTTCTCTCCACATCCGCTCGTGGATCATGGGTGCCGGCGATGGACATTGTCGAGAGGGAGGACAGCTACAAGATTCTTGCTGACTTGCCCGGCATGAGCCGCAACGACGTCTCTGTGGAGATTGAGGGCAGCCAACTGTGCATTGGAGGCAACCGCAAGTCCATGCTGAGTGAAGAGGAACACAAAAACGTTGTGATGGCAGAGCGCGGTTCCGGGAGATTTGAGCGCTGCGTGCGACTTCCCTCACCCCTTGAAGAGGGCAGCGTGAAGGCCAGCCTGCGTGATTCGGTGCTGCTCGTGGAGGTGAAGAAAGTGACGGACGCCGTGCGGAAGCGCTCGGGGATCTCCGTGAAGATCAATTAGCGTCCCATCGCCGCTGCATCCAAACCGCATTGATCTCGACAGCACTCACGGACCCAATGGAGGAAAAAAAAAAAAACGAGGAAAAAAAGCAACAACAAATAAAATAAAATAAAAGAAGCGAATCTTTTTATTTATTTATTTATTTATTATTATTATTATTATTATTATTATTATTATTGGTAGCAGTATTAGTATGGATGATGTTGATGGCGTTGGTGCAAAAAGCAAGTTTTTGTTTGTATTTTGTTTCACTTCTGCGTATGTGGGGCCTTTTTTCCTTCTTTTTTTTTTTTTGGCCAACTCACCCCTGTTTTTAATCTGCGGGCGGTACCATGTTGTTGTTTTTTTTCTTTTCTTCCGTCTTGGCTGAACCTTCTTCAACGTATTTCCACCATGAGAGTGTGGGCCCCCCCTTCTTATTTTTTTTCTTTTTTTTTTGGACACCAGGAACTTTTTTTTTTCTTTTCATTCTTTTTTTTTTTTCTTTTGCGTGTTTGCAAACAAAAACTGCTCCTTTTGCTGCTGCTGCTGCGGCACACACACAAACAAAAAAAAAAAATAAATACCGCAACCAAACATAAAGGAGTAGGTCGAGATAATGCCGAAGGGAAAAAATGCGATCCCCCACGTGCACCAGAGGAAGCACTGGAACCCGTGCTCTTCCCAGAAGGGTAATGTGAAGGTTTTCCTCAACCAGCCCGCACAGAAGCTGCGCCGTCGCCGCCTACGCCTTTTGAAGGCGAAGAAGACGTTCCCACGCCCACTCAAGGCGCTGCGCCCGCAGGTGAATTGCCCCACGGTGCGTCACAACATGAAGAAGCGCCTGGGCCGTGGCTTTACCGTTGAGGAACTGAAGGCTGCCGGCATCAACCCTCGTTTTGCCCCGACGATTGGCATCCGTGTGGATCGTCGCCGCAAGAACAAGAGCGAGGAGGGCATGAGCATCAACATCCAGCGCCTGAAGACGTACATGAGCAAGCTGGTGCTCTTCCCCATGAGCTACAAGAACGTGCAGAAGGGCGAGGCCACTGAGGAGGAGGTGAAGTCTGCCACTCAGGACCGCACACGCTTTGGTACTGCGGCTGTTGGTGGTTTTGTGACGCCTGCTCCCGAGGCACCACGCAAGGTGACAGAGGAGGAGCGCACAAAGAACGTGTACAAGTTCCTCAAGAAGAACCACAGCGCTGTTCGCTTCTTTGGCATTCGCAGGGCGCGTCAGGAACGCAGGGAGGCCAAGGAGAACGAGAAGAAGTAATTTTTTCCCGCACGATCCTATCAAGACTTGCTGCATTCTATTTTTCTTTTTTATGTTTTTAAGTTTTTTTTCTTTGACCTATTGGCGCCTGCAGTACGTTTTATTTTGCCTTTACGCTTGTCTTTGATATTTCCTGCAGTTATCCGCTTATTATTATTTCTTTTTGCGTTTTCTTCTCGATTACATTTTTTTTTGTTGGTTTTAGAGTAGCGTCGCCGATGCCGAAGGGAAAAAATGCGATCCCCCACGTGCACCAGAGGAAGCACTGGAACCCGTGCTCTTCCCAGAAGGGTAATGTGAAGGTTTTCCTCAACCAGCCCGCACAGAAGCTGCGCCGTCGCCGCCTACGCCTTTTGAAGGCGAAGAAGACGTTCCCACGCCCACTCAAGGCGCTGCGCCCGCAGGTGAATTGCCCCACGGTGCGTCACAACATGAAGAAGCGCCTGGGCCGTGGCTTTACCGTTGAGGAACTGAAGGCTGCCGGCATCAACCCTCGTTTTGCCCCGACGATTGGCATCCGTGTGGATCGTCGCCGCAAGAACAAGAGCGAGGAGGGCATGAGCATCAACATCCAGCGCCTGAAGACGTACATGAGCAAGCTGGTGCTCTTCCCCATGAGCTACAAGAACGTGCAGAAGGGCGAGGCCACTGAGGAGGAGGTGAAGTCTGCCACTCAGGACCGCACACGCTTTGGTACTGCGGCTGTTGGTGGTTTTGTGACGCCTGCTCCCGAGGCACCACGCAAGGTGACAGAGGAGGAGCGCACAAAGAACGTGTACAAGTTCCTCAAGAAGAACCACAGCGCTGTTCGCTTCTTTGGCATTCGCAGGGCGCGTCAGGAACGCAGGGAGGCCAAGGAGAACGAGAAGAAGTAAGGCGTGCAAGCTCAATTTTTTCATTTGTTATTATTGTCTTTTGACTATTTCACTGGTGCGCTGTGGCGGTGGGGTCACGCCCCAGGGCCGTTTTTTTTTTTTTTGTTTTTTTTTTGAAGCTGCCAAAGGGGTTGTTGGTTTTATTGTTGTCGCGCGTTTTGCTCACAGCGTCTTGACGAATTCTTCTCTTGTTCTCTTTTTTTTTTTGTGTGTGGTTGCTTTCTTCTTTTTTTTCTTTTAGTGTTTTAACACAGCAATAAGAAGAAACAACACGCATACATATAAATACAAATAGACGTGTGGATAAAAAAAACCACATTGGAAGTGATTGCACGCGAAAAATTGTGTTGGCGGGTGCGCTAGAGGATTATTTTACTCGCTATTGAAATTCGGCGATCAATGTTGAAAGACCGTTTTGCTCACTTGCGGATTGTCGATAGCGACTCTGATTCCGATGATGCGCAAGCCGTGAGACAACACAACTTGGCTTCTTTGAATAAACCCACATATAAGAGTTCTACGGAAACCACGGAGGCATTCCCTACGGCTGCTGCCGCTGCTCCTACCTCTCCTTTTTCATTTCCTATAGCCGCCAACGTGAAAAAAGACATTGCAAGTTTGGCGGCGCCAGCGGGGGAGCCAGGAGGTTCTTCGTCTCATACCCCGAAGGCGACTTTTTTAAATGAACCTCCTTCAATGGTAAGAGGTTCCTCGTGGAAGCTATCTTCTGATAAAGAAATTCAATCACTGAGGCTCGGCGGCGGTTCCGTAAATTCCTTCGCGGCAGCCTCTACCTCCGGATCGGAGCGAAGAAAAGTCCAACAGTGTGAGCGGAGCGAATTGCCAGACGCCTCTTCCGCTGTTCCTTCTGGTCTTCGACCTTTGTCAGTTTCTGAGAGATTTGAGGAAGGGACGCATGTGGAGGAAAAGCAGGTGACACCGCAAGGCGACGCGGAAATGGCAGCGACGACGAGCGAAAAGGCCGAAGAGTGGGGGGAGGGTTTGGAAGAGACCCACAAGATGGAAACGGTGGAGGAACCACCTACCCAAATGACGGAGCCAATGGCTGTAGTTGGCAGTAAAGAAGAACTCAGAATTGTGGCCACTGACCTGTCAGAGCCATTACCCGCTCCAGCCGACGACGCTGGGCGCGCGGAGGTGAAACGCTTTTTGGAAGAAAGGTATTGGGAAAAAACGCACGGGTATGATCCATTTAAGCGAAGGATGCCACTTTTTGTGGCCATAGAGCATTGCTCTCCAAAGAATGTACCGGTGCGTTCCAACCTGCCAGAGCGCAACGCGTTGGAAGCCAATCCCGAGGCGGTGCGCGCTGAGGAACCTTGTCAACACGAGATCGAGCAGAATTATCCGGATTCCGAAGGAGTGGGAAAGTTTCTTGATGAGGAATTGGCTGTTGCTCTCCGTGACGATCGCCTTTTAAAAGAAGGGGGCGAGGGGATGGCTGGACCCGCTCCAAATATGGCTAGCGTGGTTTCTGTGGATGATGACAACGCCGGGGACATGCTGAGCAGTACGCAGCCGGCAGAAAGTGGGGAAATTCGGGGTGCGTTCAGAGAACATCGGGGAGAGGCTTATGAAGAAGGAGGCCAAATGGGCGATCCCATCATTACTGACGAAAACGTTCTGCAGGAAGAAGCTGCGAGTGAGATGCGAACATCAGCAACGAACGTCAAAAAAGAGATGGAGGGTGACGAGAATGAAGAAAGGACCTCTTCTACGGAAGGAAGTCAGCCTCATTTGCCAGGACAAGCCGATGATGCTTCTAAAGTTCTCTTGAGCAGTAAAGCTGCTCTCAACTTGCCGGGGAAGATACAAGAAAATGAGTATGCCGAGAGTTTGAAGTTGGATGAAAACAATCAGAGGAGCATCAGGAGCAATGTGAGCAATTTCATCGTGGAAAGTGATCAAAAGGGACAGTCGGAACGAGGTTCTAACGAGGAAATATTCTTAGCCAAGGAAGAGCTGCTCATGAACGATGGGATCAATGTGGACTCTCTGAGAGAGAAGCGTGAGGTTCAGTCAGCGAATGAGAGTGCTGTGCAGCAAAACAGTAGGACTTCTAATAAGAGCGAGGAGCCATTGCAAAACTCGGAACTAACCGTTGAGAGCCTACGAAAGTTCAATGCAAGGAGTTTTGAAGGGACTCATTGGGAACGCTACAACGAAGGTGAGGAATACACAGACTCTTCTCTGTACAAAACATGTTTTTCCCCGGGCACCACCGAGGCCGGAAGCTTTCGGATGGGAAAAGGTTTGCCTCGGCGTTTTGCCGGATACAACGACTGCGGAGGGGCATCTTTGAGAAGGCAGGAATTGGCAATACCACCTTTTCACAGACGCCTTATTTTGGACATGGAGGAGAAATTTCGGCGAGAGAAGAGGAGTATGGAGCATTCACTAAAGGAATACACTTTTCACCCACGCACGACTTGCACGCCGCGTGGACATTTGCCCCAGCGACGACGTAATCCAACGAATGGCGGTTCAACAGAATCACCTTGTCAGAGTTTGGCGATGACACCAGCTCGATCCTCAGCGCGACACAAGGTTCTGGAGGAGCCACTGCCTACATTTAAGCCAGAGATCTCCAAATTTGCACGGGAGACACAGCGGCCCAAAATACCTTACCATGAACGTCTATACTCTCCAAGGCCTTCCCCTGCACGAGCAGGACCGGGCGGTGCTTTAAACGGCACGTCTCCCCATCTCTCGCCCCGCATGGTGGAGTTGATTGATGGGGCAACACCTCCACTGTTTCGTCCGGAAATTTCTCCAATGGCCAAGGCCATTGAGAACGGTGCTCCATTTTATGAGCGTCTTTATCAAGTAAAAGCCGATGTGGAACCAAGCCGCGAAGGAAAATCCCTTCTGCAATCGCCGCCTATATCGCCCCGTCGACCAACACGACCCATTCAATTGTCTCCTCGGCTTCTGGAGCGTCCTGCACCACCGGCAGAGACGCTTCCGTACTCGTTCCATCCGGAAATTTCTCCAAGGGCCAAGGCCATGGAGAACGGTGCTCCATTTTATGAGCGTCTTTATCAAGTAAAAGCCGATGTGGAACCAAGCCGCGAAGGAAAATCCCTTCTGCAATCGCCGCCTATATCGCCCCGTCGACCAACACGACCCATTCAATTGTCTCCTCGGCTTCTGGAGCGTCCTGCACCACCGGCAGAAACGCTTCCGTACTCGTTCCATCCACAAATCTCTCCACGAGCGATGTCTATGGAGTCCCATGGTCCTGTTTATGAGCGGCTATATCCTATAAAAGACGAGAGATCGGCGATATTGCAAAGGCAAGAGAAGAAGTTTGAGGATTTTTTGGCCTCGTTTCAGCCTTCTATCGCGGAACGGAGCAACGGTACAAATGCGGATTCTCGCGTGATGGGGCGAGATGTGGTTAGACGACTGACGGAGCATAGGGAGCAATCCCAGCGTTATGTTGACCCATCACTCACTTTTCATCCCTTTATCACGCAGAAAGCCAGAGATTTGAAAAATGAGAATTCGGCAGTATTACCGTAGCGACTTGGCTGTTTCATTGGATGAGATGTTTCTTATGTTTATTTGTATCACTGTGGGAATATTTCCTTTTTGTTTGATGTTAATTTGGTAGTTCTTAGTCTTTATCTTTTTAATTATCCAAGCAGATTAAAAAAAGGAAAAGGAACATGTATGATAATAACAGAACTCAAATACGTTTCTTTTTTAAAATTTTATTTGGTGATGTGGGCTACTGTTTCCCATACGTGCGCTGCATTTTGGGGCTTGTTTTTGTTGTTTTTGTGTTCCTTTTATTGTATATATATATTTTTTTACATTCTGAATATAAAAGGGTGAAAAAACTGCCTGTTGGCACCAATAAAGCCTTGTAACCACATGCATTGGGACGCCCAGGAGCCTATGGTTCAATCACAAAGATGTGAACGTTGCGGCGAGGGCGGTGCCACGTTAGCCAATTGTGTAGATTGTGGCCGCTATTTGTGTCGTCGGTGCGTGAGCTGCGCTGGACAATGTGCCGATTGCACAGCAAAAGTTGAACAGTCTGCCCTGGGTTGTGCCATCTGTAGGAATATGGAAAACGCTTATTACTGGTGCGCCGCATGTCACTCCATTGTCTGTAGAAGATGTGTGCTTCAGTCATATAAGGGTCGGCCCACCACCGTTCTCTGCAAGTCTTGTCAGATGTCATCCCCACTGCCGGCGCCGGTGACGCTGTGCGGCAGGTGTAAAGGGGTTTTGCGAGACGAAAGCACGTGGTACTACTGCGAGGTGTGTGCGGAGCCACTGTGCAGAAATTGTCTTTCTTCTTCTTTTGAGTGCGGTGTGTTGAAGTGTCTGACGTGTTGTCCAGCCCCTGTCCGATTATTGAGTGGCAACAGGCAGATTCGAATGTTTTTAGACGACGAGCTGAAAACCCTGGTAGCTTCCATTTCTCGAACAAAATCACAAACGGCGGCAACAAGTGCAACGACGGGGGTGTCTTTTTCAAAGTATAGGCATTTACGAAATCGCGAGAAGCTGGGCGAAGGGGGCCAGGGTGCTGTGTTTAAGTGCACGACGCTGGACAATGAGGTGGTGGTTTCAAAGGAGATGACGTTTGATGACGGGGATCGAGCGGCTTTTGAGGCACGTCTTATTCAGGCCGAAAAGATGCGGATGCTTTCCCATAAGCATTTAATACGTTATTTGGATGTGATTGGTTTGGAGAACCCGTTGAAGATTTGTGTCATCATGCCGTACTACGCCGAGGGAGATCTCTTTAAATATATCAAGCGGCAGCGTGGACCCATCGAAGAGCATAAACTCTGCTCTATTATCCTCCAAATAGCATCTGCTTTACACTATCTTCATTCCCAGAGGCCGCCCCTGGCACATTGTGACATTAAACCCGACAATATACTTCTTCTTAACCGTGAGGAACAAGTTCTTCTTATGGATCTGGATCTGTGCCGTTCCTGCGATGTTCAATCGAGTGCAACGTCAAGAGTTCTTTACGAATGCCATGGGAACTCACCGACATTTGAATATCGTGCACCAGAGATGGTGAAGTCGGCGGGATCGACGGAGTCTGATATATTTAGTTTAGGTGTTGTGTCATTTGTTTTGGCGACGCTGCCGGAGTTTGCAATGCTTCGCAACGGCAAGGGCGTTATGACGGTTCTGAATGACTCTGACTGGACGCCGGACTCCTTGGCACGTGCAGTTCGTGCCGCAATTGAAGCGCACACACGCGTTTACTCGGAGGAGCTGATAGATCTTATTATTGGGATGTTGCGGCACCGACCAGCCTCACGCCCCCAGGCGATTGAAGTAATGATGAGGCTTACGGAAGCAATGGAGAATCGTCTTTTGAGGTGCGGCATTTGAGAAGCCGGCTGTGTTTTTCCCTTTCCTTGTGTATACCAGTTATATGCCCACTCCTTATATATATCTTGCTGATTACCCTTTTTTTCTTCATGGTCTCGTTTTTGTGGTTGTTGCAGCAGTTCTTTATCTTTTATTTGCTTTTCTTTGTATCAAAAAATACATGGCGAAGAATATTTATTTTATTGCACTATTTGATTTTTCTTTTGCGAGTTGTTGTGTGACGCATTTGTGGGATGCAAACATCGAAGCGAAGAGAAGGCACCTCAGGGAACAAGAGGAAACGAGGAGCTTAGTGTGGACAACGTACCGAGTTTTGCCGTTTAATGCCGTTGAAGGGGAAGACGCACCGATGAGCTGCGAAACCAAAACGGATTCCTTTTGTGGTGTTTCTCCGTTGTCTGCTGCTTATGACTTTTTTCTGTGTTTTTTTTTTTGTTTCTAATAGTTTTCTTTTACTCTGTGCGCGCAGAGGCGTGTGGACCAAAAGGGAAAAGGGGAATAGGCCAGAAGAAAAAAAAAGGAACCGCACGCATCAAGCGAAAGTTTACCAACCGCAAGCATTCCCTCTGCTGGAGCGACACCCGCGGCGGAGGACGACAAGAGAACGAAGGAAAGAGGCCGTAAGTTGCGTGCACCATTTATTTCTCACTTTTGATACAGATTTGATTGTGCGTGTGTGTGTGAAGGGAGTGAGTATATATATATACATTAAGGAGAGGAAGTGAACAGAGGGAGCCGACTGGTAAATTGCATCCACACAAAGCCCCATACCGAGAGAACACGAGAGCTGCGTCCGAAGATACGTGTTTATCTATTTGTTGAAATTAATTGCCATGTCTGTGGACTTTACGTCAAAGGCGGTGGATCTATTGAAGCGTGCGACTACGCTTGACGAGGCGAAGGAATATGAGGAGGCCTACCGCTGGTACATGGATTCCATTGAAGTTTTTATGACGGCCATAAAGTACGAGAATAAGAATCCGACCAAGAAGGAAATGCTAAAGAATAAGGTGCGTCAAGTTATGGAGCGGGCGAAGATGATCAAGGAGTATTTGGATGGGTCAAAGGAAGGCGACAGCAATGTTGGAAACACAGGCAGCACAGCGCAGAAGACCGCCTCCGCGAGTAAGAAGGCCAAGGAAGAAGAAGAGGACAAGCAACGCATGAGGAATGCACTGGGGGGCGCCATCGTGCGTGTGAAACCCAACGTGAATTGGTCACAAATTGCCGGTCTTGAGGGGGCAAAGGAGGCACTGAAGGAGGCGGTGATTCTACCGGTCCGCTTTCCTCAGCTGTTTACTGGCAATCGCAAGCCATGGAAGGGTATTCTCATGTACGGTCCACCTGGTACCGGCAAGTCGTTTCTTGCAAAGGCCGTGGCAACCGAGGCGGACGGCACATTCCTGAGTGTCAGCAGTGCGGATCTGATGTCTCGATGGTTGGGGGATTCGGAAAAGTTGGTAAGAAACCTGTTCGAAATGGCCCGGGAGGCGTGGAAAACGGACGGGAAACCTGCCATTATATTTATTGATGAGATTGATTCAATGTGCTCTTCCCGGACAGACGGTGAAAACGATGCCCTGCGTCGCATTAAAACGGAGTTTCTGGTGCAAATGCAAGGGGTGGGCCATGAGGATGATGGGGTGCTGGTGCTTGGTGCCACCAACATTCCATGGTCACTTGACAGTGCCGTTCGTCGCCGTTTTGAGCGTCGTATTTACATTCCGCTTCCAGACGTTCAGGCGCGGTATCAGATGTTTAAAATTCATATAGGAGACACTCCACACACTCTAACCGAGAAGGATTGGTACGAATTGGCGCGAATGACGGATAAATACAGCGGCAGCGATATCAATATTGTTGTACGAAACGCCATGATGGAGTGCATTAGATCCGTGCAGGTGGCAACTCACTTCAAGCGTGTGACAGGACCAGATTTGAAGGATCCCACGCGAATGACCAACAACCGTCTGGTGCCCTGCTCACCGGGCGACCCGGAGGGCTTCGCGATGACGGCGCAAGAGATTACGGAGCCTGGGTTGCTGATGCCGCTTCCAGTAACTATGCAGGACTTTGTCAAGGCACTGCGCACCGCCCGTCCTTCTGTTGCGGATGATGATATTACGCAACATCTCAAGTTTACCGAAGAATTTGGACAGGAGGGGTAGTGAGCAGAGGGGACCAGAGTTCTCTTTTATTTTTTTGCTTTTTTCCTTTTTTTTCCTTTTTTTTAAAATTTTTCTTGTTCTTTTATTTCTCTCAACCTTTTCTTTTCTATCCACTCTGCTCTTGGGCCGTTTCTTTGCCGTCGTTGGCTGCGTAACACCCAAAGAGGGACAAAACAGCAGAAACTGGAAAAAGACACGCAGACCAAAAAAAAAAAAAAAAAAAAAAAACGGAAACGAAGGAATGAAACAGAAGGATACAACAAGAACAACGAAGGCGGGATGGCCTCAAAAGAGGTGCGACCGTATTCAAACTTGATGCTGAACGCTCATCCTTTTTTTTTTTTGTTGGCTTTTTCCTTTTTTTCTTTTTTTGTGGCTCTTCCTTTTTGTGTTCGCTGCGTCATCGTTTGATTCTCACGGTTTCCTACGCCTGTAACGCTTTGGTCAGAGCAAAGAACAAGATAAAAGCAACAAAAACATTAACGACGTCAAGTAATCAAATCATGGAAAACCGCCTTCGTGACACGAGCAGGGTTGTCCGTTCTCACGCGGCCCCGCTGAACGAGGTCACCCAGGAGGACCTAAAGGTGGAGCGTCTCCATGGCCGAAAGTACATGAACCCCAGCAAAAAACATGTGATGCGTGAGGAGTTTTCCGACAAGATTGAACATATCATGCACGACCCCCGTCCACAGGAGGGGGTGCACTCGGAACTTCCCGTTTCCATAAGCCCCCTCCTTTGTGAGCTTGCTGCACCCCGTCAGCGTATTCATTTCAATCCACCGGAAACAGTTGTCGGCATTGTCACATGCGGAGGTATTTGCCCCGGCTTGAATGACGTGATTCGTTCCTTGACTCTGACTGCCGTTAACGCATACCGCGTGAAGCGCGTCATTGGCTTCCGATTTGGTTACTGGGGTCTCTCAAAGAAGGGAAGTCACACCGCCATGGAGCTCTACCGTACATCTGTCACAAGCATTCACCGTTACGGAGGAACCATTTTAGGCAGCAGCCGCGGTCCCCAAGACACCAGTGAAATGGTTGACACCCTGGAACGTCTTGGTGTTAACATCCTCTTTACTGTTGGTGGTGATGGCACACAACGTGGTGCTCTTAAGATTGCTGAAGAGGCCAAGAGGCGGGGCGCCAACCTTGCCGTTTTCGGTATTCCCAAGACTATTGACAATGATCTCAGTTTCTCACACCGCACTTTTGGTTTTGAGACGGCAGTAGACAAGGCTGTTGAGGCTGTCCGTGCTGCATATGCGGAAGCTATTTCTCTCAACTACGGTGTTGGCGTCGTGAAGCTCATGGGCCGTGACAGCGGCTTTATTGCAGCAGAAGCAGCTGTGGCAAGTGCCCAGGCAAATATTTGCCTTGTTCCTGAAAATCCTATTTCCGAGGATATCGTAATGGCACTTATCCAACGTCGATTTGAGACCTCCCGCAGCTGTGTCATTATTGTGGCAGAGGGCTTTGGTCAGGACTGGGAAGGGGGCACTGGTGGTCATGATGCCTCGGGCAATAAGAAGCTTACGGATATTGGCGTTGTCCTGACGAAGAGGATACAAGCATGGCTGCGTAAAAATAAAGAGCGTTACCCTAATGGCACAGTGAAATACATTGACCCTTCATACATGATTCGCGCCTGTCCGCCCTCGGCAAATGACGCTCTTTTCTGCGCCACTCTTTCCACACTTGCCATGCACGAGGCTATGGCTGGTGCAACGAACTGTATTATTGCATTGCGTTACAATAGCTATATTCTCGTGCCTATCAAGGTGGCAACCTCGGTTCGTCGTGTGTTGGATCTCCGCGGCCAGCTCTGGCGCCAAGTGCGCGAAATCACTGTTGGCCTGCAGGATGACGTGCGTGCCTTCAAAGAAGCTGAAGTTCGTCGTGAACTGGAGGCCATCAGCCTGGTTCGTGAGCGCCTGATCGGACAACTCTCCAAGCTGTAACGTTGCGCAACGTCCATTCTCAATACGGAAATGGCTTTCCCCAATCGAAATATACACAAGGGGGAGAGAGAGAAGCGGAATGAATGAATGAGGGGGAAAGGGAGTGGAACCTGGTGCCCTCGAGGAAGTAAATAGTGGAAAACATACCAAGAAGCAACCAAATGTATACAAGAAGCAAAAAAAGCAATTAAAGCAGTGGGGTTTTTTGTGGGCGAAGAAGTCGGGCGGGAACGGCAGGTGTTTCATTCAAAAAGGGACGGCCAAATGGAAGGAAAACCAAAATAACCAAAAGGAAAAGACACAAACTGATAAAAAAAAATGAGGAGAATAAAAAAAAAAGACGAAAAAGTTTTACTGGAGTCGCAAAGAGAGGGAAAAGGAGATTATTTTAACAATTTTTTTCTTTTTAATTTCCCTTTGATTTTTTCTTGTTGAGATATATGTATCTGCCTGTTCTCATTGTGCCCTTTGTTTTGTGGCGTGTCGAGGGCACTTTAGATGGAAGACATCTTGCCCTCTCTTCTGCGTCCTTGTCAAAAACGGCACACACGGTAAGCTAAAGTGGAATTTTTTCAACTCTTCACGATATGGCTTCTTTTCTCAGGATGGAGTTACCAGACGAAAGGGCTACGGAAGACAAAGTGTCGTCTATGCATTTATTCCACTAAAAGATAATAGCTAGCATAATTAGACTTTTGCAGGCATATAAAAAGGCTGTCGTAATCGAGTCTTGTGGGAATAGACGATCGAAGAGACAAAGTCTGTGAGGAACTATCTCTTTAACTGATTGATTTTTGAATATTTTCATTTTTTTTTTTTTTTTTGAACTCAACTGGATATGTTGGGCTGGTGATTCGATGGCAGCCGATTTAATGTATAAACTCCGTCAGGCACGCTGCATCTGTGGTGATTGCTCTCAATGGTAATACCGCTTATATACTTTTGTTTTTAATTTTTTAAAGTTCTGGTGTGTGGGATTATGTTTACTGCGTTTGTCCTTTCACTTTTGCTCTCACTGGTTGTTTTTAGGGATTATTGGCATGAGTTTTATAGATGACAATGATTTTGCCGTGGACGAGGAGGATGAGGAAGAGGAGGTAGTCGCTGAATCTTTATCCCGCAGCTTCGAACCCGGAGAGGAGGAGGAGGAGATCTCGGCGGAAGAGGAGGAAGAGGAGGAAGAGGAGAAGGAGGGGACGGAAGAAGAGGAGGAAGAGGCCGAAGAAGATAAGGAAGAAGAGGAGACGGCGGCGAGTGAATTGGATGTCAGTTGCAGCGACGGTAATAATGAAAATACATTGGCGTCAAGTGTGAGGCCAAATCCACAAAAAGTACCAGAAGCTACGACCGTTTTAACCTCTTCTTTTGGCAGCCCGCAGGTCTCCAAAGCCACGGAGGCCCCTGTTCAGAGCAGCCACGTAATATCATCATCATCACCATCATTGACGCCGTTCTTGGGGGTGGAGGGTGCCGGGAAGTCAGAATTGGTTGTTCCGTCTCCAGCGCAGGCCCCAGCCAGGCGGGTGCGGCTGTCGCATCGTTTTCTTGATTTCCCAGGAAAAACGGCGAGTTTGCGTGAGAAACGTCAGCGATGCCTTTCTTTAAGTGAAGAGACGAAAGCAGCGAAGGCGGTGCTGGCGACCTTTGAACTTTCCCTGCCGACAACACGGTTTGATGAACAGTTGGGGAACATTTTGTCGAATTTGTTGTGAAGCCACGCCGGGTGCAAAGCGTGGAAATCCCAAAGAGGGGAGAAGGACTGGAGGGGGGGATACACACACACAGACGGACAAAAAAAAAAGGCGAATATCTTTTTTTGGATGCTGTGGGTGATTGCAAATACACTCCACTTTTTTTATTTGTTTCTCTCATGGGCAATTATGGCTTTTTCTTGTCTCACTTATTTATTTCTGCTTTTGGCTTTCCCACCGCAGTAGGTATATATGTGAATGTTGGGCCGGGATTTCTTGTGTGAAATTCGTTCCATGGACACCGCAAACGTCGTGGAGGATGTACATAATCGGCTTTTAAAGGTTCTCAAGGATGAGTCGGCGCGCCCAACACCCTCAACACACGGTTTATGTCAGTGCTCGGTGTTATTTGGCGCGTTCTGTCGTCGATTGGCGGTGTTAGATGCTTCTGTGGTGAAGGATGCTATCAAATACGTAGAGTCGCTTCGCTCAGAGCTGATTCGTGTAGTTTCTCCTGTTCAGGAGGCGTCATTTTTTGCATATGCGATGGGTGAGATAGAGGCATTTTCAACGATGCGACGTGTTAAATATCGTCAGCGCCTGGATGATCTCACAAAGTCTATTCCCGCGTCTCGGTGGGATGTAGAAAAGATTACCGAAGTTATGAGGGATTTATCTGCAACCTGGTGGCGTCCGGAAAACGTTCGCACCTACCATGAATTGGTCAAACGACCTCGTGATGTTCTCGATGCCAGTAGTGACGGCGTGCCAATGGCGGTGCGTTGGCGTCTTCCGCTGCGAGATCCCATTTCTTTAGGGGCCATAATGATTCCTGCCAGGGGTTCGTTGTGTCGGCACAAGGAGGTCTTTGACATGGCGACTTTTGTGCGCGCCACTCAGCAGACAGTAATGCGTCGGAGGGAAGTTGTGGAGGAAACCGCAAACCCAAGGTGGGTTTCTGGTGGCGAAGAGGAGTTGCCATCGGCGGCGTGTCCTATTTGTGGACGGGCAGCTCCGTTGCACAGCGTACGTGTGGATGAACGTATCATGGAAGCCATCCGCCAACATGCTGCGAAAGGAGGGACTATTTGTTCAGATGACTGTGTCGTGTGGGACGATTCCAGGTGCGCCTATGACGTTGTGGAGTCCCCCACTAGACGTCAATCTGGCGAGAGGTTGGAGGAATTAAAGGAGAGGGAGCCCAACCGTCCGCTACGTGTGGTGCGCATTGAGGGCCACGTGCTTTACGCAGAAGAATGAGGGGTTTTGAGTATATTTATATATATACATATATTGTGGCTGGACCTCTTTCTTTCTGTCTTTTTTTTTTTTTCTTTTGCTTGCATGGAGGCATTTTTCTGCAATTGCTGTGTGCGTATGTCGCTTTACTGTGCCCTCTGCATATCCTCTTCAGCTTTTTTTTTTCTTAACCCTAAGTTTTTTTTTTTTAGTTGTTATTGTAGTTTGCCCGAGTAGAAATTCCTTGCAGGGGACATGAAGAAGAGCATCTCCCTCAAGGAGTTCTCCACGACACCGACTGTTTCATACATGCTAAGTAAAGATGGTCATAACATCGCGGGGGCCCTTGACTGCAACAACGGCAACAACAATGCTCCGCGCCCTGCTGTTTCTCAGGCGGTGAAGGAGGAGAAGATGAGACCAGCGTCAAATGACAGTAGGTCCGACGTTATGTTTGACATGGAGTAGGGAAATATGGAGGTACTCAACGGCACCAGAACACAAAATCAATAATGAAAAAAAGCAAAAATTTAGCAAAATTGAGATTAAACGAGGGACAACGTTTTGCAAAAAGAAAAAAAAAAGGAAAAATAGCAAATAAAAAAAAAAAAAACATAAAATACATATGGAGAGCGGAGCAAGATGTGAGTGTGATAGATGGTTTATAAACGAAGGGCAGAAAAATTGCCGCACTTTGTGTGGCAAGGGGTGAGATACCCGTGTGTGGTGTACATATTCACATGCAAATTAAGAGCCTGAGACAGAATCACACCGCATGAACTGCATTAGGTAAATTTTTTTTTTTTTTGCCTCCTTTTTTTTTTTGTTTTTTTCTTTCATTGAACTCAAATTCTGACTTTTTTTTTCTTTCCGTTTTTTTTGTGTGCGTGCGTAGCGCGGCGGTTTTTATGACGTTCCCTTTCTTTATATATGTGTATTCATATGATTATTACCTTCTCCTTTCTTTTCTTGTGCATGTCTCATTGATTTTTCCCTGTTGTTGTTTTTTTCTTTTTCTTTTTCTTTTTCTTTAATCACGTTTTTTTTTTTTTTTTCTAAACGTTGTATTTTTCTGCCGTGGTGGTGTTGCAAGAGCGGGTGGGGGAGAAATCACAAGGAAGAGGTGGCGGTGTGGGTGAGAGCGTCTATGAGTCGCAATCAGTTTCGGAAGGGTGGTCGTAAGCGGGGGCGTAAGGAGGACAATTGGGCGGCCGATGCGCGTGATCTTTCCACTTTGACAAACGATGCGTTTATTAGTTATTACAAGGGGCACGTTGTGGAAGAAGCGGAGTGGGAAGTGTTCATGGAGGCCCTTCGCCGTGCACTACCCGTAGCTCTTCGTGTACATCCATCCGTTTCAAGTGCAGAGGCCGTTCTTGAGTATCTGAAGTCCCGTCTGAGTAGTGTTTTGCCAATAACTACCATCCCTTTTATTCCTGATGGTGCCGCACTGCAGTGTCCCATCTCTCGTGGGGACCTTAAACGTTCTGTAGAACTGAGGGAATTAAAGAAGGTTATTTCTGCAATGAATGAGGGTGGTTACCTCACACGTCAAGAGACAGTAAGTATGCTGCCTCCAGTGTTACTGCAAGTTCGTCCAGGCCACCGTGTGCTAGACATGTGCGCAGCGCCAGGAAGTAAGACTTCACAGATTCTGGAAGCTCTTATTCCCTCTATGGAGGATGGTGTGGTGGTGGCAAATGACATTAACACCTCGCGGCTTGATGTTCTTCTTCATCAGACGAACCGTTCAGCGGCTGCTCACTCGCATTTGATTGTGACAAGCTACGATGCAACCCAATTTCCTCTATTACCGTCGGAGAGCAAGTTTGATCGCGTGCTGTGCGATGTGATGTGCTCCGGTGACGGTACTTTAAGAAAGTCAATGGATATGTGGCCCCGCTGGAATGTTTTTCAGGGCGCTGAGCTTCACAACACTCAGATTCGGGTACTGTTGCGTGGAATGATGCTTTGCAAGAAGGGTGGCATTGTTGTATACTCTACCTGCAGTCTAAACCCTGTGGAGGACGAGGCTGTTGTGTCGGAGTGCCTTCTCCAGGCTAAGGGTGCCTTTCGATTAATGGATCCCACTTCGCTTGTGCCTGGTCTTGTGGCGGCACCAGGGTTGGACGATTGGTCACTTCTCACAAAAGATCTGAAAGCAAGGCTCCATACATTGCAGGAGGCCCAGGTGTTTGCTGAAACGAGTGCAAGCAATGGAATTTCTTACCGTGCCACCATGTTTCCCAACAAAGCGCGATTGCAGGAGCAAAATATACACTACACCCGACGTGTGTTGCCGCACTTTCAGGATACAGGAGGGTTTTTTGTTGCTGTAATGGAGTGCCTTGAGGAGTATTCCGCTCCTACTGCGACTACCTCCTCTAAAAAGAGCGAGACGTTTAAGTCTGTTTCACCTGCGCTACAGAAGGAGGTGCGGGGTGCCTTGGGTCTTCCTGAGTTTTTTCCAACCGACCAGCTGCTTGTTCGAAATGAAACAGCGCGTGAGCAGAAGATTTATTTTGCAAATAAGGCGGTTTGTGAAATTCTCCCGAGACTGGGACCCCGTGTTGTGCATGTGGGATCCAAGGTCTTTGAATCCTACATGAAGTACAGGAACGATAAGCTTCGGTTTTGTTCTGACGGTGTCGGCGTACTGATCCCTCGACTGCCTTCTTCATTTGTTGTGGAGATTGGCCCGGAGATGCTGCTGCAACTCAGCCAGAGTAAGTTGGGGGAGTCATTGCTTCCCCCTCTTCCACCACATCACAGCTTCGTTTTTAAATGCAACATGGCTATTGTTGGTGCGGTTTATATTGCAGCAGAGAGGGCGTGTCCGTGTCAAATATCTGCAAAGGTGGCTGAATGGCAAGTCGCACTGACCAAGCTGACACTTGGGCAACCGCTGGTAGAGTGCAATGAGGAGGCCGCCGCTGACACGGATCGAGTGGGGGGTGATAAAAACACGGATTAATTGAGGGGAGGGATGAGCGAGTGATACAAAAAAGAGAGACGGGCACCCGAGAGAGAGAGTTTTATAACTTGTAATGTGCCTTCGTTGCGTTTCTAGTGTTCTCACATGCAAAACGGCGAAAAATAATTTCCCACGCTTTTTCTCCGTTTTTTGTTTGGCATTATTATTATTATTAATTGTTGTTGTCGTTGGCCTCACTTTTTTATTAGTTGCATGTAAGTTCCTCTTGGCTTCTTTTTTAAGCGCAGCCGTGAATTTGTAGACGATGGTTTTACTGTGGAGGGAGAATGGTAATAGCATCGTGACAAGGACGGCGAGTGTTTTTCCGCCTGACGTCTTGGATCTTTATTGCTGGCATACGCTTCGCTAATGGGACACACATGTTTTGTGCATGCCCGGAAGGATCGGCGCAGCTTGCGCCACGCAACAACGCAGGTGGTTGCTGGAGTTGTGAGTAAATCGTATTTGGAGAAACTGCTGTTCAGGATGCATCTCTGCTGCAGTTGGCCAAGTTTTGAGTGTATTGGAACAACAAGACGAAAAGAAAGGGTGAATGAGGCGTCTAGTGAATGGGATGTTGAGTCTTCTGAGTTTGCCAAGTCAACGGAGAGAACAATATTTGTTAATAAAAAGGACGATTTGCTCTTTGCATCGTTGATTATGACGGTGTGACGTGAAGCAGTTAGCGGGATTAGACGACGACATGTTGATGGGACATGAAAATGAACATGTCGGGGTGTTTTGCCGCATCACGAGACTGTGAAGAAAGGCAGCAACGGTGTGAATTCTTTTTCGGGACGGTGTTTGGTTTGTTATTCCGCAAGAGTACGACCACTCATTGTGTCTTTGCATGAAGACAGCGAGTTAATGTGATGACGAGTAATATTGCAAATCCTCTGCGGCTTTCTCTTTTTTTTTTTTTTTTTTTTGGCAGGGGCTTTTTTTTTTTTTTTTTTTTTTTTTTGGGAGGGGGGGCTGACTCGGCGATTGCCCATCCTTGAGTCGTGAAGTCTTCTGCGAAAGGCGTGCGTGAGGATAACAACAACAACAATAACAAAAAAGGTAAGGGAGGGCTGCCTGTTTGCTGCGGACGCACACACGGTTTAATAAATCATGGCGGTGTATTCTCAACAGGCGCGAGTGGCGCTGGAGGAAGTACATGACGCCTTTTCTCAGGGTGAAATTGATCGTGCCAAGCTAATTCTTGACGGCATTGACACGTCGAATGAACCCAGCAGAGAGGAGTTGCATGATCTTTTTGCTATCCGTTGCGTGCGTGCTTCCATTGCAGCAATGGGTGGTGAACGATCGGTGGCGAGTATCATGAGGGACACCGTGTCTTACGCGCTGCACCGTCCTGTTTTGCTTTACTTGGAAGGGTTGGCCGCAATGGCAAGCGGTACAAGTCTTCAGACGGCACGTGTGAAGTTTGAGGAGGCGATTCGCGCGGACCGCTACTTTGTTTTGGCGAGACTCGGACTTGCCGCTGTAAGTTATCACATGAAACGTTACAAGAGGTGCTTCTCACACTATCGCGTTGTATTGGAAACACTTGGCAGCTCCTGCCCTCCTATTGTCCGTGTGGGGATGGGGCTTTGCGCATACCACCTGAATCATCTGGACTACGCACAACGATGTCTGGAACGGGCACTAGAAGTTAATGAAGATGATGAATTGGCCCTATTAGTGCTTCTCGTGGTGTTTTTAGACCGTCGCCAAATTCCAAAGGTGATTGAAGTGGCACAGCGTCTACGAGGTATCCTGCCAGAGAATGCCACGGTTCTGCTTAAGGTGGCGGAACTGGTGTACTTCCGCGCCGTGACACAGGATCGGGTAAAGGCATCTGCAAACCCTATCCGCCGTCTGCTCGCGGAGGTGCGTCGTGTGGCCACAGTTGAAGAAAGTGCCATGGCGGATTATCAGGAAGGCCGGCTTTGCCTTGCTCTTGGAGATCTCTCTAACGCCCGTTTACTGCTTGAATCGGCAATGCAGGTTCTCCCCAACCTGCTGGCTGCACGGATTCACTATGCTCGGTTTCTATTGCTCTCGGGAAGAGAAACCGAAGCGGAGCAGTTGTTACTGCGCATTAACAAGGATCACCCAAATCACAAGGAGGTGCTGCAGCTGCTGGCAGTTTACGCCTCTCGTCACGGTCTACACGAGAAGGCATTGGAGTATAGTCGGCGTCTCACGGAGATTGTGGCACCTGGGGATATCCGTTCTTGGTCCATTGCTTCCTGGTGTGCTCGTTTAGATAAAGGGGAGACAAAAAAACTCATGTCGCATCTCGCCCGTATTCGAAAAGAGGTAGGGGAACCCGTATCAATGAAACTAATGGCGAATATAGCGGCTCTGGGTGGGGACACAGAAGCCTTGCAGAGAATAATAGATTGTGAACTTGGGGCCGATTTTTTAGGTGAGCCGAACTTGCCTGTGGTTTATGTACCACTGGTTTTTAATTTGGCACTGTTGCTAGAGGAAACAGATCGCACGAGGGCTCGGCAGCTCTATATATTTCTTGTGAAGCAACACGGTTATTTTCGACCTCCTTACATTCGTCTACATGTGCTTGCAAAGGATGATGGATTTTTAAAGCAGGCTGTTGCCTGGCTTGTTTTGCTGCAGCAGGTTTTACCCGAAGATCCCACCTCGTTAGCGTCCATTGGTGAAATATTCTTTGAAAATGGCCGTGTTGGTGCAGCAATGACGGCACTGCGTTCTGCGAGGGGCCGACCTCTTCCAGTAGCCCTTGCCTTTGGAGCCGCATTTCTTTGGTGCAGCCAGCAGCACGGCAAAGACAATCGTCGTTTTTTGGCCAGTGCCAAGGACCGTTTTGCATTTGTCTTGCGCCGTGACAATGGCAATGTGTTGGCGGCGCATGGCCTTGCTTGTTGTCTTGGGTTGGAGGCGGACTATGATCGTTGTCAGTGCCTATTGGATCGAGTTGGAGAAGTGCGTCCGAACTGTAGCTACGTGCGTCGGCACCATGAAGCGCATATGGCCAATGTGAAGACGCTGAGTGACAGCTTCAAGCAGGCCATTGACTACCTTGAACGTGATCCGCAGCGAACGCCTTTACAGACATCCTCATTGGCATTTTGTTTGGCTTGTGAAAGTCGCTATGAGGAGGCCATTGCGGCGCTGACCACTGTTGTAGCGGAAAATCCTAACCTTCCGCTTCTGCAGTATAATCTTGCTCTTTTGCACTGTGCTGCGTTTGTCTACGCGGTTTCGCACAAGGAGGCGATCACTCCAGAGAAGGCGCGGGATCTTCGCCATTCCCTCGCCACTGGGCTTTCTATGGCATTTGAGTTTATCCGACAAGAGCCACGGTCCCAGGCGATGGCGGTTGCAAAGACGTTTCTCAAGACCGTTTGCGCGTACTGCTTGGATGTGAATGATGGCAGCATCAGCCGACTCATTTTGGTCGGCCAGCGTGATACTATGGAGTACGACCGGCAGTCCAAACTTTGGCAGCGTGTGTATGATGAATTTCAAACGGAGAAGCGGAATGAGGAGGAGCAGCGACAGGCAGAGGCGCGGCAACGCCAGGAGCAGGAGGTTCAGTTGGCCCGTGAGATTCTGGAGGATTTTCGGCGCTCACAGCTTGACCAGCCGACGATTCTTGACGAGGAGATACGCACCCGGCTCGAGGCGTATCGTGCGGAGTTCGGGTCTGCTGCCCCACCCGCTACCGACGATGCAGTGCAGCCAATCGACCCCCTAGGCACCACTTCGACTGCGATCCTTGGCGGCATGAACCTCGAGGAGGACGGTGTGGGGTGGGCGGAAGCCGAAAGGGATGAAGAGGAGAATGATGTAAAGGTAGAAGGGACGGATGTTTCGGCGTGAAGCGATGGCATCGAAGTGGGGTGAATGCGCACAACATGCTCGATTGATGAGAATAAAAACAAAACCAAGCACGAGGAGGGGCAAAGAAAAGGGGTGTAAGAGAAGGAAAGAAAAGCCACACTCACACACAGACTGGAGAAGGAGAAGGAGAGTGAATGCATAAAGAAGGGGGGGAGAAAAAAAAAATTGCTGATGTGATGCCCATCGTGCGAGAGAGTAAATGACTTTTTTCTTGTCCAAAAGGAACAAAGAGAATGAAGGTGGAATACCGTCTTTGTGATGTTAAACTACGTGACTCTTTCTACGGGTAAACAGAGGAAGGAACAAATAACGACGCATGCATGGAAGAAGAAGAAATGAAGGTAAAGGAGTCGGGGTGACGTTGTGACGTGTGGCTCATTTTGGTGCCACTTGGCGCGCGGTGGCATTTCATGCGGGGGTGGGGTGCAGTCACATCCCTTTCCCTTTTTGACCTTTATTTTCCATATATATATATATATATATATATATATATTCCTTTGATTGATTTCTGCTTTTTTTCTTTCTCTGTGTATGCGCGTCTTCTTCTCCTGGCGGGAGTGAATCACCGAGGGGAAGCGGCACACGCCACAGTAATAATATTCCTTTTGCTGCTACCGCCCAAAAGTACCACAGACGGAGAAACACAACAGGGGAAACTTTACCACGTTTTTATTTTTATTTTTATTTTTAGGTGGGTGAGAGTGGGGGAAGAGAAGAAGACGAAACAAAACGAGCAGGAACAAGAAGCGAAAGCCCCACAATGACGCAGTTGAGTGTATATGGCGGCCTCTTCTCTGATCCCCCGCTTATCTCGACAGATGGGGACCCAAAGCGGACGGACCCGTACGACAAAATGGACACCATCCCGTCGCGCTACCTCGGCAAGGGAATGAGTATAGGCCGCAGTGGCACAGGACAAAATGCCGAGGTGTATTTTGACAAGAAGTACCTGACACTTGCCTCTCCTGAACAGAACGGCAATAAAGACTTGGGTGCTTTTGAGGATGCCGACACACGCATGCGTCGAGAAGCAATGGAATCAAAAAAAAAGAACATCTCTGAAAAGGTGTTTCTTTTGCCGTCCTATCCGAAGTGGAGTGATGGCCCAGGCAGTTATTCAGGCTGCTTTCAGGATCGACCGTATCCGTTTATCCTGCCAGGGGAGAATGATAAGAAGTCTCGCCGGCGGAAGAAGGCGGCCGTGACGGAGGTGACTGACAAGAACAAGTCTAGTCTTCCCAACATCAAGACTAATCGAACCAAGAAGGGAACATACGGCGTCCCTGGAACGCTTCTGGACAATCCCAAGTATAATGACAACTGGCGACAGGAAATGGAGAAATTGGATGCTTTGAGGGCAAAGCGGGAGAAAAACGTTCCGCAACCAAAGCCAATGGGTTCACCATTTAAAACTCCAGGCGTTACCCACGACTTTTTAGACGAACTCCACGCCACTGGCGTGTCGGCCGTATATCACTACGAGCCGGTGGAAGAGAAGTCCCCAAAACGCAAAGGGCGTGTCAAATCTCCAGCTGCGGTGGCGGTTTTTACACAGGAGAGACCTATGTCATTTAAACGGACCAAATCTGGTCAAGAAGGCTGCATTGCGGATTTCCCCAACACCTGGATTGACCCTGATGCTTTGGAGAGAGAGAGAAATAAAGGAAAGAAGAAGAACCGAAAGCCAAAGCCAGAATACGTTCCGAGCCCTCCTAAGGGAGCAAGCGGGATCTGGAAGCCGAATTCATTTCCTGAAGCATCGGTTGTACAGTCGTGTCTTCGTCGATTCTACTAGTTCTGCACGGAGCAGGGACATGGAGAGTCTCTTGACATCCAGAACAGAGTCCCATTTTTCTGCTGTCAAACAGAACAAATTCAAAACAACAACAACAAAAGAGAAGTTTACAGAAGAAAACGCGATACCCCCGATGAAGAAGCAAAAAAAAAGAAAAAAATCTAGCGTCCTGTATGGAATGAGCTGCGTGTATTTATACATATTTGAAAAATTTGTCCATGTAAAGAAATAAATGAAAGAGGGGTGGGGTCGCAATGTCTCTCGATGTTATGAAATTTACGCTGTATGCCCACACGTTTGTTGTGGGGTATCTTATTATTATTTATTTATTTATTTTTTTATTCGACTTATCCTGCTTTATTGTATATATTTATGGTTGTATCTGTTAGATATATATATATTTGTGTGTGTGTGTGTGTGACGCTGCCAACTGGGTGCTTTCATTACTGACAGCTGTCAATGATGGCTCTTCTTCTTTTTATTGATTTATTTATTTATGCTTCTGCTTCTCTCTCTTTTTCTTTTTTTTGTCTACACACGTGTTTGTGTGCAACACGCCATTTTTGCGAGGAAAGTCGGTAAAAAAGGAGTCAGAAAAGAACAAGAACGATACAACGCAGTTAACGGCGACGGGAACATTCACAACGCGGGACAGCACGGAGGTCTGAAATACAGGCGGGGAAAAGCAACAAGCAAGAGGGAAATCAAGGAAAAGAAGAAGACAAAGAGTAATAATAAATTGTGCAAATAAAGGTAGCACCGCTAGCCATCGTCACTGACAGTGAAAGGAAGCGCAACAACAACAAAAAAAAAAAAAGGAAGGGAAGGAAAACGGAGAGGAAATCGTAATTAAATCAAATTAAAAAAAACTATATCAGGTGGCTTGTTTTTATTTCTCATGGCGCAGGTGGCAGATGAGTCCAAGGCGATGGCCTCAGAGGTGTTTATGAGCAAGTACCGCAATGTGAAATCAATTGGTAAAGGTAGCTTTGGTGAGGCGGTGTTAGTGCGGTCGAAAACTGATGGAAAGCGTTATGTCGTGAAGGCGATTGAGTCTGCCTCTATGACATCAAAGGAAAAACGAGATGTACAGAATGAGATCCGCATTCTCTCAGCTGTTAACCACCCAAATATCATTCGTTACCACGAACACTTTGAGGACGGGACCCTCATCTTCATTATCATGGAATACGCTGATGGCGGTGACTTGAATTCCCGCATCAAAGAAGCGAAGAAGCAAGATCCGCTTAGGCCATTTGAACCGAAATTGGTCATGTTTTGGTTCCTTCAAATATGTATGGCGCTGAAGTATCTGCACGACAATCATATTCTGCATCGTGACATGAAGACCGCAAACATATTTTTAACGTCCAGAAATGTTGTGAAGTTGGGTGACTTTGGAATCTCAACAGTCTTGCAGAATACCTTGGCCTGTGCGAAGACAGTGTGTGGCACACCGTACTACTTTTCCCCAGAGCTATGCCAGAACAGGCCATACAACAATAAAAGCGATGTGTGGGCACTTGGTGTCGTTCTCTATGAGTTGCTAACACTCCAGCGGCCATTCAATGCCAAGTCGCTAAAAGAGCTTTTGAAGAAAATTCTTGTGGGTCAATATGATCCCATTCCCTCCTCGGTGCCAGGAGAAATGCGAGGTCTTTGTGCGGCACTGTTGCAGGTAAATCCCGTTCAGCGGCCTAGCATAAACAGGATTTTAGAGAGTTCTTTTATACAGGAGTCCTTGAGGAGCTTTAGCGTGGATCTTGAGAAGCAAGCAGAGAAGGACCGAGCAGAATTTGAGGAGAAGCGTCCATATCTTCCTAAGACTACGCCAAAGCCCATCCAAGATAGGCCGAAGGAAGTACCCAAGCCGCCACAAATGAGTGAACGCGAGCAGATGGCGATGTTACGTGGAATGAAAAGGGAAAATATGAAGGCCATGCTTGCAAAGCAGGCTGAGAAAGATTCAACAGCACCGGAATGTGCCAAGGAGGTGGAAAAGGATGAGGGGCATCTTGACGTGGATGACGATGGAGATTACATTGAGCAGAAGAAAGCCATTGTGCAGCAGACGAAGGATATTGTCGGTAATACAAACCTGGGTGGACACCCTGAGGAGTTTGGCGACGGACCGTCCACGAGTTTACCTCAGGTGGACATGATCACGCTTTCCACTGGAGAATCTGTACCAGCGTCAACTGTACGAGGTATTCTTGAGGAACAGATGGGCGCCGAACTTCTAAATAAAGCTGTGGAGCTGTACAACCAACGTATGATGACAAGTGGGCTCTCCAATGCGGAAATACAACAGGAGTTGAATGAGTTGGTTGGACCCGAATATGCACACCATTCCAACGCCATTACGAAACTATGCGTATACGAGGGAAAGGAGAAATTGTAGAGCGGTTATGTTTTACTGTATTAGATAATTTGGAGTTTATAGTTTTGCACTTTTTTTTTTTTTGTTTTTCTAGCCGAGGGAAGACGATTCCAAAAAGAAAAGCGAGAAACAAAATGACAGGAAAAGAGCTGTGGATAAAATTGCGGAGAATGTTTTGTTTTCTCTCTTTTTTTTTTTTTGTGTGTGTGTGTGTTTGTGTGTGTTTGGCTTTTTTATATTATTATTATTATTATTATTATTATTACTATCATTCAGCGTAACATTAAACCGAATGTTATCTGCAGCGTACGAGGATTTGCCACGGCTAGCGGTGTTTTTAGGGTCCTTCTTATTTAGCCTTTTTTTTTTCTTTTGCGTTCCCTGCTTCTTGTCCTTTTTTTTTTTTTTTTTACTTCGAGCCTCCTATTGTCACAATTTTCTGCAGAAGCAATGCCGCGTGCCACGGCTGTGTGTGTGTGTGTGGCCATGGGGCGGGTGCTGGGAGGTCTTCTGCATGGAAAAAAAAGGAAAAAAAAAAAACACCGCCCGAAGCGATTGAAAGACACACACACAAAGAAAAATAAATAATAATAATAATAAAGGCGAAAAAAAAAAAGGTGGACAAATACGAAAAAAATAAAAAAATATATACATGCATACATAAATATTATATAGAGAAAGGCAGAGAAAAGAAAAAAAGGAGGGGAGGGGAGCGGCCAAAGGTGAAAGCTGGAGAGGTGAAGGATGTGTGAGTTTGTCGCGCTTATGAACGTGAGGATAAATTCTATCGTTCCGTTTTGTGGAAATGCCGGGTGGGGTAAGGGAGGAGTCAGGTGCTGGGATGCGTGTAGATGTATCTGTCTGTTTGTCTGTCCGTCGTAATGGATAGGTGCGATCCGTTCTGGACTTAGACGGCCGTGCAGAAAGGCCCCGTTGTTAGTAGTATTATATTGTATATATGCATGTGCGTATATATTTTGCATTGCTTTTTTTCATTTATTATTATTATTATTATTATTATTATTATTATTATTATTATTATTATTATTATTATTATTATTATTATTATTATTATTATTTTGCTTGCAACTGAGAGGTTGCTTCTAGAGTCAATAAAAGGAAAGGAATAAAATAATAAGACGAAAGATAACGATGCGTGAAAGGCCACGTTTGACTATTCGACGAGGCCGCGGAGGGGCACCGTATTTTCGGGAGCCGTCGTCAGGAATGACTGAGCCACGGTTAATATCGCCGCATAACACGTCGAACACCACCGGCACCGGCATCAACACACACTCTCGATCACCGAGAAGTCTGCCGGTGAATGGAATACACTCGTACTGGAAGCGCATTGCAGGAATTGCAAAGGAGACATTCAGTGGACTGTTGCATCTCTCGAATAGTGTGCCAACCAACCAAAATATGAGCACTGCCGGCGAGGTAGTTGGGGCATCATCTCTCCCCCATCAGGGCTCTCCCTCAGTTCATGAGGTGCCCACAAATACCGCCTCATCGGCGGTAGAGGCATCACGTCGAGGCTATCAATCCGTCGATACAAGTCTCACTGTGCCAGAGCGACCAACTACCCTCCATGAAACCACCTTTCCCGATGCGTCACCGCCCTCACAACCAATGCCATCACAGTCCCTGTCAATACCACTGCAGTCCACACCGCAGATTGTATACAACTTTTATTATATGAATGGCGGTATCCCGACAAGTCTACCAGTCGCACCAACCCCGTCACTGCAACCGGAATTCATCACTCGTTCGTCGCCTGCATGGAACAGGGCAAGTATTTTGGCTCGTCGCCCCGTCGCATTGAAGCGCGAGCGTGAAAGACAAGATGTATTGGCTCCGGTTGGACGTATGTCGCATTTGGAAAGGTTTGCCGGCTCATCTGCTCATCCGATTAATGATAGTGGTAATACATTTCCATCTTCAAATATCAGCTACAGGACCTCTTTAAACACAAGTTTCTCTGGTGAGACGACGGCAAAGAGGGTGTCCACTGACAATTACATTATGCAAGATACACGCAACAAGAAAATTAATACTTCGATTGAAAAAAAAACAATGGAGAAAATGCTCCCGCCTTCAGGCCAAGGTCCCAATCAAGGGAACTCTGCGGGCTCTGGTGGCTTTGTGAGGAGCGGTCCACCGGCCGTGATTCCCGAGGATGATGGTTTTGCACCGAATGCCGGAAGCGATGATGAAAGCCCAAAGAAGCCTTCAATCGCCTCGGCGCCCCCCAAGCCATTTTCTCTGGGCACTGGGTCACTGTCAGCAAAACCCGCACCTGGCACAGGATCCAATTCTGCGCCCGTTGCCCCGTCGAACCCTTTCAGCTTCGGTAACAGCAGTGGCGGCGCGGCTCCAGCTGACAAGTCCGCTGCACCGTCGAATTCCTTTGGTGTCGTTGTCAGTAATGGGTTGACTGTGCAGGGCGGGAACTCTGCGGGCTCTGGTGGCTTTGTGAGGAGCGGTCCACCGGCCGTGATTCCCGAGGATGATGGTTTTGCACCGAATGCCGGAAGCGATGATGAAGGCCCAAAGAAGCCTTCAATCGCCTCGGCGCCCCCCAAGCCATTTTCTCTGGGCACTGGGTCACTGTCAGCAAAACCCGCACCTGGCACAGGATCCAATTCTGCGCCCGTTGCCCCGTCGAACCCTTTCAGCTTCGGTAACAGCAGTGGCGGCGCGGCTCCAGCTGACAAGCCCGCTGCACCGTCGAACCCTTTCAGCTTCGGTAACAGCAGTGGCGGCGCGGCTCCAGCTGACAAGCCCGCTGCACCGTCGAACCCTTTCAGCTTTGGTAACAGCAGTGGCGGCGCGGCTCCAGCTGACAAGCCCGCTGCACCGTCGAACCCTTTCAGCTTCGGTAACAGCAGTGGCGGCGCGGCTCCAGCTGACAAGCCCGCTGCACCGTCGAACCCTTTCAGCTTTGGTAACAGCAGTGGCGGCGCGGCTCCAGCTGACAAGTCCGCTGCACCGTCGAACCCTTTCAGCTTCGGTAACAGCAGTGGCGGCGCGGCTCCAGCTGACAAGCCCGCTGCACCGTCGAACCCTTTCAGCTTTGGTAACAGTAGTAGTGGTGGCGTGTTTTCAAAGAATTTGTTTGGTTCTTCTGCCCCTGATGGAGTGTTTAAGAGCTCACTGGGGAAATAGGTGTTTTTTTGTGTAGCGTAAAGCTTGCATGAGACGATGACGAGAATTTGGGTTGGCAGGATTGTTTTGCGTGGTTTTTGCTGTTGTATGTGAATTCTGGGATGACTCTTGCCTCGTGATTATTTTTTTTTCGCGTTTTAAGTCTTGATAGAAATATTTTTTAGACTGCGGAAGTTTATTTGATGCTTTCAGCTGCTGCCCGCCGTGAGGAAATTCAAAAAAAGATCGAGTTGCTCCGTCAGGAGCGGGAAAGAGAGAAGCAAGCCTTTGATGAACTTGCTTTGAGGGATGATGGTATGACACCCTCACAGATAGCTGAAGCTGCACGAAGGAAGGCAATGGAGGAGGTGCCGACGAGTCTACAAGTTGGCGGCACAACCATTTCTGTTGGGGATTATGTAGAAACAATTGATGATCCACATGCTCTACTTGTGGCAGAAAACGGGATTTTTGTTCCTGATCCAGTGAAACAGGTGTATTTGGGGGAGAGAGGTAAGATAACCTGCATCCTGCCCTCGTTTCAGGAGAAATCGGCTGTAGAAATTGTTTTTGCCGATGGCGCCTCAAAAGTATTTTTGACTGAATGTCTCTTACTGGGGAAAAAGTCAAGGCCGAAGAAAAGTTCTGCACCAAAGGTGTCACACAAGGCGGTCTACTTTGACGCGGAAGATCTGCATGTACCGGAGTTTGTGCCACCAGCGAAGCCCGAGGCTCTTCTACAACCCTCATGGAGCAACATTAATATACCTTCCCGCAAACCCAAAGCAATGCTGGAGAATTCGAAGCCAAGTAAACCGCCAACCATTCCTACTGATACTACTACTACTACGGCTACTCTTGATGTTACGAAGGCGACAACGACTTTGGTGCCATCGGTAGAGAGAAAGGACAGCAATGCAGGGGAGGAAACTTTCAGAGAGCAACCAAAGACGAATTTCTTATTTGTTTCAAATGGGGCTCCGTCCGCGTCTTATGTGATGCGAATGGATTCTGAGACATTAGGTTCTCACGCAAAGACGGATCAAAGCATCGGTCTTGTGAAGGAAGTGCTTTCAGAACGACAACGACGAAAAGTATCTGCAAGGGAAGGATTGGGAAGCCCAATAGATTTTGACGCGCCAGCTGCAGTGCCACTGATTGGTCGGGGTGAGCGGGACAATCTTCTGAAGACCCCTCGCGTAGATCCCATCACATACAAGCCTTCAAAAAAATGGAAGGGCTTCTTGGCAAACGGCAATAGTGACAGTGCAATACCGACAAGGTGCCCTGCAGGCTACAGAGCACGATTTTCCACTAGCGACAAAAATACAAAGATTCCGAGAGTTGACGGCAAACAGTGTATGGTGGCAGGCGTGCTTCCACAGCAAAAAAAATTGAAGTTTAATTTGGTTGCCTTCCCAAAAGGCATGAGCAAACTGGAGCCGGTGCTTTCGATGTTAACGGATAAGCTGAACTGGAGACCCCTGGGCCAAACGGCAAAACGACTGTTTACCAGAGAAGGAGTAGAGATTATGGAATTTGATGCCATTCGGAACGGGATGTCTTTTTTGGTGACGCCCGGCCATGCTTACACTCCGGAGCCCGTAGCAAAAACCAAATTGAACAACACGACGCCAACAACGGTACTAAAAGCAACGGGAACCCTTGCAGTTGGAAGACATTCTCGACCCACTTCAGCCCCAACCGCGGCAGACGCCCTTGCGGTTCATAATATAAATTTGGAGCCTCAACAGGCACCTGTGAAGGAAACAAATTCTTTGCCCTTGCCATCACAACTCCCAAAATCATCTTACACCCTCAGCGCCCATAAAGGTCGACAAAGAGCTTCAGAAAAAGGCATTGCAAAACCCATTTCTGTGCGGGTCTTTTCAAACGGGGAGTATGGTGATTGCCATTATGATCCTTTTCCATTCCGTACGGTAACTCTTCGCCCTATTCACAAGACGATACGCGCAGTTGTAAACACAATTGAACGTGAGCTGGAGTGGAACTCTCTGGGAAAGAAAGTAGAAACGTTGTATGATGCCACTGGTAGCGAGATCACGTCGATCGAGGAGCTGGTTGATGGGCAGTCCATTGTGGCGTCGTCAGGTGATCGCTTTGTGATTCCCCACCCGAACAGTGTATTGCACCAGGATGTGATGAGGGTTTTGGGAAATTCTAATGTAACACCTATTTTTACCAGTGGTCACCCAAAAAAATTTTGAGCGGCAGATGAAATTTGAAGAAATTCTTGGAAGAAGTCCGAAGGATTGTTTCTTCGTTTTTTTTTTGTTTTGTTTTTATTGTTGCTTGTTTGTTTTGTGGGACGATTTTTTTTTTTTTTTTTTTGTGTGTGTCTGTATTGTTGGCGTTTGTGCTTGAAACACGGGTTTTATTCTTGTGCTAGGCGCTCTCTGCGCCTCTAGAGGTTTGGAAGGCTCTGAGGGACGAAATTCAAAGTAAAAGAATATGTGTATACACATATATATATATAAAGTTGAATATAAATATATTTGTTTCTCCCGTGTGCGATGAAACTAACTTCTTATTCATTATTTTTTAGTGATACTTGACTTCTTTTTTGGTTGATTGGCAAAAGTTGTTTTGCTAATTTTTTTTTATTTTTAGTTAGGGTTAAGGATGATGGAGTTGCTGTACGGGCCGACCAAGCCGCTTGAGGTTCCCCCGGCACAGCCACGTGACTTGGCGGAGTCCAAAAGGCTGTGCGAGACGATGGCGACTGTGGTTGCTGACAGAGTGAGGGAGGCGATCGACCTTATTGAGTTGACCGCCCACCGTCTGGTGGACCAAATAACCGCAGAGCCGGAAGAGCGGTGGGTGCGAGCCTACCCGTTCGGTTCTTGCGGTTTGGGTGCCTCCGTTGCAGATAGCGATCTCGATATGTATGGTGAGTCATTTTCCAACCCCTCTCTAATCCCCTCACTTGTTTTAACGCGTTCCACATCACACTTCCCTTCTCTTGTAAAGCTACCGCCTCTCTCGCCCTCTCTCTTTTTATTTATTTTCTATTTATCAGTGTTTGAACAACTCAAAAAAAAAAAAAATCTGCTTTTCTTTCCTTTTTTCTTTTTATATTCCGTGCCGGTCGTTTTCAATTGAAAACGCTCGCACTGTCTTGAATTATTTTTTTTTTTACACACTGTCCACTCCGTGTGCATCTCCAAATGCCGTGTTTTTTCCGGTAGTGTGCTGTTTTGTTCTTTTAAGGTAACGGCGGAGGTGTTTTTTCGCGAGTTCCCTCCGCTGCTGCAGCCTGTCGTGGGGAACGTGGTTTTGGTTCCTGCCAGGGTTCCTGTGGTGAAGTTCAGTTACAGTGGTACTTCGGTGGATGTCGTGTTTGTTTCAGCGGCTCTGGCCGCTCCCCCCACGACAGAGCAATTATTAGATGATTCTTTCCTTCTTCAGGTCGCCCGCGACACCCGCCACAGTGTAAATGGTTTACGCACGGTCTTGGAAGTAAAGCGGCGTCTACCGGTGGCGTATGACGTCTTCACGACGGTACTTAAGTCCGTGAAGTTATGGGCTATGCGGCGAAAGGTCTATGGAAATCTTTATTGTTATCCAAGTGGCGTGGTTCTTGCCATCATGGTGGCTCGGATTTGTCAGGTCATGCCTGCGTCTCATCCCAACGTCCTTTTGCGCTTTTTTTTCTTGTTTTATACTCAATGGCTGAGCCGCCATGATCGTATTTCTCCAGTCTATATTACCACATCTTTAGAGTCTCGGGGCCGTATTCCAGGTCTTCCAGACTCCTGGGATCCGCGGCGTGACGCGTGTCGTGACGATTTGTTGCCTGTTATAAATCCCGCATACCCTTATGTCAACGACGCTCGCAACGTCGGTCGCTGCAGTTTGGAGGTGTTTTACGCGGAGTTAACATACGCTTATCGTCTCCTGTCCAACCTAGAGACGCCCCTAGAGGCGATATGGGAGCCTTATCACATTTTGGATGATTATTCCACTTTTTTTGTGGTACATGTTACTTGCGAGGAAGAAAATGAAGAAAAATTGGAGGCGGTTCTTTCCGTATGGAGCTCCTACGTGCTGAGTAAACTTCGGATTTTACTTTATGCACTGGAGCGTATTGTGGACGCTCGTCCATATCCCCAAAAGCTGAATGATGGTCCACCAAGGTCTGCACCAAAATCCGGCCGTTTTCTTAAAGGTAGTTGTTTTATCGTGGGGATAAAAGAGAAAGTTGGTAGGCGTTTTCCACAGAAGAATATGTTTTTTGAGGCGTTTGATGAGCTAAGGTATGCTGTGTTGGAGGAGTGCAATGCGACGAAGAGTGTGCGGGGATTTGAGCGTGACGAGCGCACCATGCACGAGCCATGGTTTGCGCTAGTGTCCGCTGCAGATCTTCTTCCTATTCTAAAGGCGTAAACCCTGCTGTTTCTTTCTTTGTTTCTTTCTTTTTCCTCTTCTTTCCCCTTTGCCTCTTTTAACGACTTCTTTCCACATCATTGCCTACACCATGTTCTCTGGTAAAATACGACATATTCATTGGCATTACTGCGCTCCATTGAGCTGGCACTGCCCTCGATTAGCGTGGATGTTGGATGCTAGGCAGTAGTAGGGATGGGGGGCGAGGGGTCGCTATGGCCAGCGTCGTGCGTCAATAAAAGAAAAATAATAATGTGAAAAGAAAAGGGCGGGGTGGATAAAAAAGTTGCAACTTCATCAGGAAAAAGGGTTTGCATTTGGTTTCCACCGCTTTTAATTGCCTTCGACTCTGTTAATTGCAGAAATCCTTTTTTTTTGTCTTTGATGTTGTGAACACTCTCTTTTTCCCTTTTTTTTTCTTTTTCTTTCTCTCCATCTAAATGTTCTTTTATTTTTATTTTTGCTGTTGTTGTTGTTTTTGTCTTTTTACGCAGCAGCGGATGGAAATGTCAGCGTTTGAGGATAATCCGTTCGCGGATGAGGAGGACGACGAGACGACGTCTTACGTGGAAGCCACCAGCAGGAAAAGAGGGCGCGAAGAGACGGCCACAGAGGAACCAAGGCGTGAAGGCTCATCCCAAGAAGGGGAAGACCCCCGCCAGCTGACGCTTGCGACAGGCAACATTCCCACCATGACTACTGTTGCCGCAAACGATTTGGATGTTGGAGGTGATGATGTTCAATTACAAAAGGAGTTGCTTGCGGAGATCAATGTAGATGCGTCAGGGTCGATAGTTCCTTCTGTGGAGGATCTACTCACGGGGTACGATGAGCGTCAAGAGGAGGATGAGTTCAATGCACTGGTTGTAAAGGCCGCAGGCTTGGAATCTGAGGTGAAACAGAAGGAAAAGCTCCGTAGTGAAGAGCTTGACCAAATGTCACGGAGTAATCGGGAACTCCGTGAGACCGTGGAGCAATTGAGAGGGAATTTCTTTCTTATAAATGAGGAGATTGATTCCTTCCGTAGGGCACAGAGTGCAGTTGTCGAGGAGTGCAATAAGAGCCATGGTCTAATGGAATTATTGGGAGATGCTCAGAGGAGCAACGGGGTTCTTGAACAGAAAGTCACGGACCTTACAGAACGTCTTCTTGCAGAGGATAGTGAAGGAATCATTTCTGCTTCTCTTAGGGATCTTTTTTTCTCTTGTATCGTTGGTGCAACAAATGAACCATCAGATCTTGCTGCGTTTGATGCTGAGGCAGAAAAAAAACGTTTTATGCTCTGCGAGGAGGCATTGGAGAAGTTGCGCACCGGTGAGATGCCAAGTGTGACTCTCCCAATTGTGGAGGCTTTGATGACCATGCTAAGGGAACTGGTGGTGCGATATGAAACATTGTACAAATCCACAAGGGCACTGCAAGATTGTGTGGCATTTAAGACGTCTTCTCTGCGTGAGTTGGCGCGGGAGTCGCTGGAGTGGTACGCCCGCTCCGCCAGTCGTACAATTGTTGGAAGTGGTGGTACATTACGAACCGTGCCTGCGGAGGCACAAGAAGGGGCACTAGGCAATCAACACCTGGAGGCCACACTCCATCACTTGGAGTATGTTTTGCATCAACTGCTTCGGGTTCCAAACGCCATAACGGTGTCTAAGCAACATGCACCTTCTGTTGCGGCGGCCTCTGCTTTTGTTTACTGCCAGGAGTTGGAGTCCCACACAGAGGCTCTTGGACAAGAGGTGCTCCGTTTGAGGAAGCTGCTTGCAACAGACACACCGACTCTGCAGCATATGAGTGAATCCCAGGCAACCCAAGAGCCAGGCGCATTAGAGACGAGCTTACCTCACGCACTTATGAAGAGTGAGTGGCTGATGGGAATGACAAATAAATTGTTGGAACGAATTAGCGCTGCAGGTGCTCTTTGGCGTTCGTTAAAGGATCCCGGAAGGAAGAAAAATGCTCCAGCGGTGGACCTGCAGCTTGCTTTTTATCAGAAATATATCGTTATGCAAGAAGCACTACTCCGTCTACTTTGTACTTTAAATAGTGTTCTGCAGGGTAAAGTCCACATTGTAAGCGTCATTCGTCAGGTGACTTTGCGTGATGGCGATGACACGGCTTTCAGTGTAATGGCCGAGAAGATACTGCAGGAGTCTGAAAACGATATCGGTGATCTTCATGGAGAGTTGGAGCGCGTCTGCACGGAATCATTGCGGCAGTTTGAGGACGAGAGTTCTGAATTGCTTAATGAAGACGGGATGCGGGCTGAGCAGAGTAGGATTCGGCTAAAGGACGTTCGAAAGTTTTTTGCCCACACCGTTGAAACATTAGACCGTCTTGTAAACGGCGCCACGCCTGCGTCAGGGCCTATTCAAGTGCCAATTACGGAGACACCGCCGCTGAAGCCTGAAGAGACGAATGAAATGCCAATCGAAATGAGCTTTCTTCCTTCTGAGGTTAAGGGTGAAGTTTTTGTGCAGCTGGCCATCAAGTACCATGAGGAGGAGCTGCAGGAAGAGTTTTCTTCCTTTCAACGGCGAAATTCGGCGCTTGAAGAGCGTTTAAAATGGCTTTCAACGCAGCCATCTTCCAGCGCCGTCTTACAATTGTGTTCCGTACACAAGGCGATAGACGCTGTCAAGCAGAAGCTGGAGGGCTTTGCCGGGCAGGAAACGAAAAGGACGGCACTGCAAGACGAGTTGACAACGATCCGAGGGGAAATTTCTGCCGTTCAGAGCGTCACTGTCGAGATGCGAGATAAACTGAACGACCTCCGTGGGAAGCTGCACGCAAGATGTGATGTGGCCCGTTCATAGCGCGGCCATCCGAAGATGGCGAACGTGTGTGAGTTGTGTTGTTGCTCCACGCACATGACTCTTTTAGCCAAATATGTTTACGGACACTCAAATTCATCTCTTTTTTATTAAAATAATACAAATAAGTGTTTTTTTTGTTGTTGTTGTTGATTGTTTCTGATGGTTCCCTCTTTTTGTACATATATATACATATATATGTGATGCTTCTTCTTTGTTTTCTTCCTAATACCATCACGGTCTAAAGTCAAGCAATGTGCCAAGTGGGCACGAAGGATTGGGTTTTCACCGATTCACAGAGCTGCTTTTTGGACCGGGACCTGCGGCTTCAGAAGTGTCTCTGCCCTATTTCCACCTGCGATGTCACGCCGCTGGGCAACGCGTGTCGGTTTACGTCGTTTTTCCTTGTGTTTTGTGGATTTCTGTTTGCCATTTGGCTGCTTGGAGTAGCGGCGTACGTTTACGTTTCGGGTCTTATTTGGGAGCGTCATAAGCCTCTCCTACCGGAAAGGACTCACTTCATGCGTGGTGGCTACTACTTTGAGAAAATGTTTGGTGGAGATAAAAGGAATGCGGGTGTGCCAATTGACGACTCTCCAAAATAAATGAGTCGTTTATGATTTATATCAGTGACCACGTGCGGGGAACGCTCTTGCTTTCGCGATATGAGGGAGTAAGAGAAGGCGATAAGCAGTAAGGGAAATTGAAATGCTCCAAACCAACCAGAGTGAAAAAGAAAGGAAAAAAGAGAGAGAGAAGGAGGGAGAGAAGAGTTTATGAAGGTGGCCATGTGCTTCCGGTACGCATGAATTATTGGGACGTCGATGCCCGCCAAGAAGAGCCGTACGATGATCCATGACTTGCGGGTATACATAATATTATATATATACATATATTTGTGTATGCGTAAGTGTGCGTCTTTGTGTTTTTTGTTTTTTCTTTGTTTACTCATTTTTTCTCTCTTGACATACTCCACGCAGAAGGTATAAATATTATACAAATTACTTGTCGAAGAAGGAATGTCACGGGGTTCTTTTCGTTTGATTGCGGTGTCCTGTGCGGCTGTGTCTGTTTCTGCCGCCGCATTAATTTTTCGTCTGGTGAAGAACCGGGGGAGGCGCGAAGATCCATCCTTTGAGACTGTGCCAGTTTCCCAGTGGACTGTGCAGCAGGTGGCGCAGTGGCTGCGGTCGCGTGGTGTATCGGAGGAAGCGGTGATGTCCTTCTGTAGGAACAATATAGATTCGTCGGTGCTTTTTCTCTTGGATGAAGGGGAGAACATCGCCAAGCTGGCACCAAAGGTACGTGACCAGATTCTTATTCGGCGTGGCCTTCGAGAGCTGCGGGATCAAGAAACCTACGAGTCAGCCGGTGCACAGACTTTGTCCGCGTCAGAAACATGCACGAGGGAAGCTGAGGAAGATCGTGTTGCGGCCTTTTTAATGAAGCTAAACGCGATAACCAGCATGCTCACTTCAAACGAGTATGAGACTGCATCACCTACCATTCAGCGAAGGCAGCGACAGGAATGCATGGAGTGCAGTCAGGCATTGCTGGGCGAGGTGCAACATTTTGCACCAGGACTTCGGGTGCAACTAATACCTCTTGTGAGGAGGGTTGAGGGTCTCATAATCCCTCCCCCGACGCGTGTTACACCAGCGACAGCAGCAGAGCCCAGCGACTTGGAGGCACAGCTGATTACATTGCACGAAATGGTAGACGGATTTCTACGAGTACTGGACTCCACTGATACACATGTGATCTCTGACCCTCAAATAGCATTGCTGCGAGAGAGAGTTGAGTCTCAGATAAGTCATGTTATGGAGGTTGCAAGTCGTCTACCACCGCAATATGGAGAGCCGCTTAGGAAAAAGTGTGAGTTGGTTTTGCAGAGAATTCAACATGGTTCCACGGCAGCGGCATCGGGAATTGCGGTGGAGTCTGCTCAGGCGGCCCCAGAACCACAAGCGACGTTGCTGGCACCCATGGTAAAGCGACTACGGGAGGTTTTCACATCTCTTAAGTCATCTGCATTGGTGAACATGGAACCTGCAGGGCGGTTGGCCCGCATTGCCGAAATGCTGAAGGATGTGCGGAATATCCAACAGGCGGCGGCCTCATCGGGGGATGCCCGTGCGGTCGAAGTTGTCAATCAAGTAGCTGGCAACGTCGTTATGGTGCTGGAGCAGATGGAGGCTCTTACTCGGGAAGAAATGGCGTCGATGCGTGCAAATATTATTGAGGAAACCGACGAGGATCAGAGTGCCCAGGTGGAGCTTCCGCAGATCTTTACCTCTCTTCAAGCCATTATTAAAGTTCTCCACTCGGATAAATTGGCCCGTGCTCCCCACGAGGTAAAACAACAAATTTTATCTCGACTGCAGAAGGGTTTGCGGCCCTTACGTCAACAGATTGCAGGCCTCCCGTTAAACCAAGCCACAGCGTCTGTGGCCGAAATGATTGAGAGGAGCAACGAGCTTGTGGACTCACTTTTGGATCGTCAAGAAGGCCCACATGAAGGACTGGAGGCGAAACAAGAGAACGAGGAGGAGGAAGAGGAAGGAACTGCTCCGGAGGAAGCTGAAGGCAGCAGGGAAAGACCCCTACCTTCAAGGCTAATCCCGCCAGTTGTGGAGCGGCAAGGCAACGTACTAGACGAGGCGCTACTAGAACTGGAAAGAATGTTTGAATATATCAACTCGGAAGAATATGAGCGGATGTCCCCTAAAAAGAAGAGTGATACGGCGCGGAGAAATTTAATTCATCTCATCAACATTGAGAACCGTTGCGCACAGTTTGATGGGTTTGACCAGCTGAGGGAGCTTATTGATCCCATGAAGGAGATATTGCGGACTGGGATGAGGAAGAAGGAGGAGAGACCTACCCCAGGACCCACTCCTCTTTTTCTCAACATTTCCGCCCACCTACAGCAGATGAATACACTAATGAACTCGGATGGCTTTCAGAGAGCAGACCTGAACAAGAAAAAAAATGCCGCCAGGTCTATTATCCCGCAGTTGCAGAAAATTACATCCACCCTTTCATTGCTTCCACCCCACGAGCGGGCGGCAGTTGAAAGGCTCTTGGCACCTGTCAATGAGACACTAAAAAGCATTGTCGCAAGAAATGAGAACAACTCGGAGAATTTGACTGACCCACAACTTGTGGTAGCAGAGGTAGAGGAGGTCTTGTCGACGTTGCAGTCCGAGGACTTTCGAACTGCTCCCGTACAGCAGCAGCAAAATATTGTTAGACAGTTGTTGCAGCGGGTGGAACGCCTGAAAGAGGAGTGCGCTCAACTGGGCAGGGCGGCAAACCCGCTTCTAACTATTCTCCATCGTCTCACGACACAGCTTCAGTCCTTTGGTCAGGCTGGAAGGTATGCAAATGCAGCGGTTGCTGCAGGGCTTGGCGAAACCGCGGATGTTGTTTCGAATGAAGTTGATGAAGATAACGAAGGAAACAGCAATGATAATACTGATAACGCCGAGGAAGTGGGGGACGAAATGCCCGCGACCAATGGAGGGGGAAGAAGGGGTGAAATTGTAGAAGAGCGACGAAAACTTTTTAAAGCCGTGACGGACATTACTTCAGAGCTACGCAAGAGCAACAATAACAATATTATTCTTTCTGCAGAGGAGGCGCAACCTCTTCTTGGACTATTGGAGATGGTAGACTCTGTTGGATGCACCACGGCATACGAAAGGAGGCTTCGGGATGAGTTTGAGAATCAGATACAGCGTGCCTCAGGAAATGGCGACGTTACGGGCGAGGCGGCAAGCATGAACCTACAGAAACTTGTCCGCACATTTTCACTTTTGAAGGACAGACTCTCGGCGTCGCCTCCAGTTTTACCTACAGAAATGGTTTCCGTCATGACAACTGTGGAGGAGGCGCTTAGCGCCGCTGATGAACAGAATGTGCCATGGCGCCGCCATCCTCAAGTGGTGAACCTGATTGGTGAAGTTCTCACCGCCATTCAACAACGACAGGCTGAGATGCGAGAGCAATTTTCTACCGGCGAGGAGGATGCACTTAATGAGACCGCACCGGATCCATGTGAAGACCCTCCTCAATCGGAGGAGCCAGTTGGAACTGGCGCAAATGTGATATCGCAACTACAGGGGGATACAGGAGACACGCCTAGCGATGCATTGGAGGGGCTTCAAAACTCTCAAAAAGCTGCTCGGGATTCAACACGTTTTCCAGATGCCAATCTTCAGGCAGAAGAAGAAGTCGAAGGGAATGAAACCAGGATTGCCCGACTACTGTTGGAGATGTCCGAACAATTGCGAGATGGTTCAGTCCCAGATGAATTGCTTGATCGCTACTCCATGTTGTTGGATTTGGTTGGGTCTTCATACAGAGATCCTTCTCTTCTTGAGGCGGTTGAATCCATACGGGAACAGATACGTCTTCAGCGCATTTCAAATCGTGACACCAGCTCTGAGGAATACGACTCCTCTGAGGAAAACATGGAGAATGAGAAGGTTGAAGAGGGGGAAGTGTACAAATCAGAAGAGACGTCATCGAAACTAAGGGAGGATGCAGGACAAGAGAAAGTTTCTGGGGCGTCCAAAGAGTCCTCCATTCGAGAAGATACTTTGGCAACGCAATCTACTGAGTTGGAGCCGACTACGGACGATCAAGGAGGAGAAGACATCTCTAAAGATAACATGTCTAAGAGTTTTTTGAGTCAGCTTTCAAGGAATTGTGTTCCTGGCGGAGCGAGGAATGAACTTTTGCTATTACCGCGAATCGAAAAACGGATATTTTCAGATGAGCAGCATTTTATTGAAAACACGACACTTTCTGATATTCAAAACGTAAGTAAAGTGATCCTTCATATTGAGAAAAACAATGATGTGAAGGACAACCCGTCATTGAGGGATCGTGTAAAACGCGTGAAGCAGGCCTTTGCACGACAATTAGAGGCGTTCCATGGCAGTGACCAGCAGGCTATTGCCGTTCACTCATCTTTAAAACTTTGTTGTAGGGACACCGCCACATCGGACGAGAGTATTCGTGAGTTTTTTATATGTACATCTGCCGAAGCGGAGGAATTTGGGGAGATGAGCAATAATAGGGAGCTGGTGAGGTCCCTAACAGAGGGGACGCCGGCGCAAACTACGGTTCTTAGTGAGGTTGTCAAGCAGTGGGCTGGACGAAGCAAGGCAGTTATCTTCTGCGAGGGTGCTGGTAGCATGGGTGGAACTGAACTGAGTGAACTCGTGCTGCTGCGCGAGGTCCTTGTGAATCGCTACGGGTTTGAGGTTTTTGCTGTGACAGATTCTAATGCAAGTAAAATGTCCGGCATTCTCCAAGAAATTGCTTCCTTGGGGACAAAGCGACTGTTCCTATTTTGTCTAACGCAGTCTGACCCGCCATCGTCACCGCTGACCTTTTCTTTCAATGACGGTTCGGTCCTTCCTCTTCGTGATGCACTGCAGGAGGCATTGGACATTGAGCGTGTTGTGTTGGTTCACTGCCAACGCATGAAGCTGACCATTCTGTCTGCGTTGAATGGGCGTGGTGGGACATTCCTTTCAGTAGAGCTCACGGAGGCAGCAGGGAACGAGTTACGGGCGGGCCGCTGCTGGCTGTTTGATAACTTACTTACCCCTGCCGTCACAGAGCTCCTTTCACTTGATGAGAAACCCATGTTGTGCCCAGAGGACCTGGCCACCTACACGGTTACGGCGTTGACGTCCCTCAGGGTGGAATTTGGAAGCTTTACAGAGGGTGAAGCGTTACGTATGGGCTTCTTCGTTCCATGTGATCTCGTTGAATAGGCAAAAATAAAAATAAAAAAAAAAATAAAATAAAAAAAAAATAAAATAAAATATTTCCGGAAAAAAAAAAAAATAATAATAATAAATCGAAAGGAAAAAAAATAAAAAAGTAATAATAATAAATGACAAGAACTAGGCGATACAACTCGTGGTTTTTATTTTTATTTTTGAGAAGAAGAAAATATTTTCCCCATTTTTTCTTAGAAAACTGTGGAATGGATGTGCAACCAGATGGGAAGAAATAATTCAGATAATGTAGCGTACATCCCCTCCTTTTTATTTGTTTGTTATTAGGATCATTAATTATTTATTGTGTGGGTTCTTAGGAGGGCGCACTGAGAGGCGGCGAGTGGGTATGCTTCTTTTTATTTCTCTTCTCTCATTCACTCCGCCGCTACTTCTCTTTACGCGAGGGAGGTCTTACGATTGCGCGCACCAAAGACCGCTACTTTGAGCCCGGTTGCAATAGCTTGATTTATGAGTGTCTTTATTTAGTTGTGTATGGGCGTTGGATAGATCTCCCCTGGGAAATATTATGCGGGGGCTTTTGGGTGCACCAGACCGACCTGTCACCATGCAGTGTGCCCTCTTTTGTTTTAGGAAAAAGGGGGCAAAGGGCACCCGATCGAGTGCGCGTACATCTTTTTTTTTTTTTTCTTTCTTTTTTTTTTGTGGGGTTAGGGGTGGTTGGTCATCTTTTGAACTAGGCTGCAACATCACCTTGGCTTTTTGACTATGCTTACGCCATTCAAAAGTTCAGCAGGGAGTTCAACTTACGTTATTTTATTTTATTTTTTGCTTTTGTTGTTGTCGTTTTTGTTTGAAGGAGTACAATCCAATAAAGTCTTTTCGGCGTTGCAGCATGGTGTTAATTAGAAAGACGAAAACTTTTTTGTGGGAGTAACTTCTTGTAATTTTTCCTGTTTTTTTTTTTTGTTTCTATCATTCATTCTTTCTCTCTGTCGTTGTTGTTATTTTAGGCGGGTCTAGTATTGACTTAGTTTGCTAGGTAGTGCTTATTTGTATATATATATATGTGTGTGTGCCTTTTGTTTTTGACGTGTGGCCTTACGTCTTTTTTTTTTTCTTTCTCCTCCTTTTTTTGTGCTATTTTGGTCAGTGTGCTGGTAGTGGCAGTGGCAACAAAAGGGGTGTGGCGATAATGGCAGAGGCAGCACGCACCGTGCGTCACTACGTTAGTGACTGCCTGCAGGAACGGCACCCGTACGATGCCAAGAAGGCTTTTGCCGGTCGTCCAGAGCGTGACCGAGGGCTGGTGTACAGTGGGATGCAGCCGCTTAGCACGGACAACTGGATTGACAGCCTCAGCGACCCCACCGTGGGCAACGCACAGCGTGTGAGGGCACTACGTCTTCTTATTGCTCACTCTGCCTCTCAAGAAGTGAAAATAACCCTGCTGCGTAAGGGAATTGTGCCCGCTGTTGTTGCGGCTCTGAACAATGCGTCATCCGCAGAATTTGAGCGTCAAGCATTCAGCTTGATGCGATCACTTTGTGTACTTCCGCAAGGATGCCGCAGTGTCATGGAAGAAGGCGGATTAGAAGCTGCGATTCGTTCGATGCACGATCGCTCCAACTCTGAGGAGCGTGAAGGTGCGAGAACGATGGCAGTAATGGTCCTATATCAGATCAGCTTTAACACGGCAGGTGTTCGTTGGTTAATGGAGGCCGATGTACCACCTGGATTTGAGTTACTAGACGCTCCCATTGGTTCCTCAACGCTTGTAGTGACTAAGGAAGATGTAATTGCAGCCCTTGTTTTTGTTATTGAAAATGATACCCAAACTTTGTCTGATATATTGCTTTACGCCGTCACCTCGCTCGCACAGTTGACGGCACTGACGGAGGGTATTTTTGCTTCGCTACAGGGCAATGCTGCTGCTGCGGCTAGCTCCCTTTTCCGCACCTACACTATGGAGACCTCCTGGCTGGTAGAGGAAGAGAAAATACGGCTTGTGATGCAACTTCTCACAGTTATTTGGAATATTTCTCTCGAGCAAACTGGTGTGGATCATTTAGATGAGCTCGGCGTTCCAGACGATCTTTTCCGGCTTTTCGCTGTTGTTTATAAAAGTCCCATCTGGTTGTTTGGTTCACTGTTCCGTGCCTTGACTGGGGCACTATCCGCGGTCTACAAACTTCTCTCCGTGAAGATGCGGAGCTTGGAGCCTCTTGACGGTGAATATTCCCGCATCGAGGTCCTTTACAAATTTCTTCGAAGTATCAACAGAGACGTGAGCATGGCAAAGCATGCGAAGCGGGAGCCACATCCTGACCTGGTAGCCATTTCAAAGAATATGGTGCTGTGCACACATTTTGCGGCGGAGGTGAAGGCCGTTCGTGACTTTACGCACAATTATTTAAAAGAAATGGACAGAGATGGCAGCACAGAGGGATTCTACTTTCGACGTCAACTGTTTTACTCCACCAAGTGGGAGGAGGAGTTTGATGCTTCCGTGTAGCGTGTGTACGTCAATGTATGTTTTTGCGTGGAATTTACTTCCTTTTTTTTTTTTTTTTGGCTGCGCAGAGATGTATACAGGAACGAAAAGAAGCAGGTGTTTTTTGCTTTACGCCTTGTGTTTTTGTTTTATTGACTGCTTTTAATGCTTAATTATTATTATTATTATTATTTTTGATAGGTGTACAACAGTCTTTCTCTCTCTTTCTCCCTCTCTCTCTTTCTCTGTCTGTCTGTCCGTCTCTCTCTTCGTGGCGTATACGCACGTAGAAATAAAGGGGAGAAGAGACACAGTGACAGAGGCTAGTTGCAGGTCGAAAAAAACATGCCCCCCAAGAAGGTGGCAGGTGCGTGCTGCGGTGTTGAGGACGTGGGCCGCATATTTCAACAGATTCATCAAAGTGCTGCACATTTCCACAAGTGTAAGACGAGTCTGCTAAAGTATGCTGACAAGGATCGCACAGGCATCACAGACGCTGTGTCCCGCGTGGCGCTACTTGTGTTGAAGGAGTCACCGCGGCTTTCACCAGACTCCCTCAAGCGTCACTACGGCTTTCTTACGGAGGTTTGCAAGGGATTTCGTGAGCGTTTTAATTCGGACGGGATTGCTATTGCTTTAATGAAGACCGTAGAGCCATTTCACAATGCCAATGACAAGAATGTGCGTCTTGGAGTTGTTTCGGTCTTTGATGCTCTTTTGAAGACGGTGGACCAAACGGATACAACAGAGGAACGACAGAACTTTTACCAGAACGTCGCGGAGATGTTGAAATTACGGGCGCATGACAAATTTCCCGCAGTACGAGAGCGGGCCGTTTCCGCCGTCTCGTGCTTTCAGTCAGGCAAAAAGGATTGTGACGTGACGCAGCAACTTATGGCATTGTTGTGCACGGACAGTTCTGCTGATGTGCGGCGACAGATACTTCGATGTATATGCGCACGAAAAGAGTTTCTCGAGGGGTATTTTCAAGGCATGATTCGCTGTGTGCGTGACGTTGTTTCGCGTGTACGCGTAGAGGCGTGGGATGCACTTGGCCGATTTCACTGGAAGTACATTGCGGCATATGCCACGGCGAAGAACATTGCCTTACCACAGTTGATTCTTCAAGGTCTCTCCGATACAAGTAGTTCTGTTGTCATAGCCTGCAGGGCAGCATTGACGAACTGCTGGTTACATCGCGACTACAGGGACGACGGCGAGGCGATGCTGGAGCTCGTACTGGATGGAGGTGGTGGACTTGAGCCGTACGAGGCAATTTCCACAGAGATACTTTTGTACTGCCGCAAACACAAGAATACGAAGACGTATTTGGTGAACACCGAATCAGTAAGTGCCGCATCTCTCCTATTGTGGAAGGCCAGTGCGAAACTTTTGGCCGATGTGGAAGGAGATGATGAGACGGCTGTTTTACTGCCGCTGCCGCAGTTCAGCGCGTTATTGCAGGACACGGTGTATGCCTATGCCCGGCCCGACGTGGATCCCAAAACCGTGAAATTTAAAAATCTGGACGAAGCCGACATCATATTGCGCATTCTTCTCTCCGTCTTTGATATCTATGAGGAGAACGGTTATTTGGCACATGCTGACAACACAACCCGCAGCAGTCTTCTGCGCATTATCGGTTTTCTTCTAAAGGTGGTACCGGATGATGATCCCGCCCTGTTTATTGATGTGGCCATCCGTTCACTGAAGTCCTTGACAGGAAGAACACCGGAGGAGGCGACGAAGACAATCACATCATCGTTGGACTCATTATTTCGTAGCTTGAAGCTGCCACAGATGTACGCTCTTGGCTACGATGATGTAGAGGCATTTGGGCGAAAAAGCCGAGAGCGACAGCGAGAGTTATTCCGACTTCGTATGAAGCTCCGCGGCGGAGAGACATCGCAGGAAGAGTACGATCGGCTAAAGGAAGAGATGGACCGAGACGAGAAGTTTTTGTTGCGCATGCAGTTTATTATCTTGTCTTTTCTCTCTCACTCTCAACGGGGGGATAACATCCCTACCTTCTGTTCCCATATTATCCAGTTGGGCCGACAGCAGGACAACGAGATTGTGAAGGTCGCCTCCACCACTTCCCTGGGACTGCAGTGTCTTGTCAACCCTGACACGGTGCATACATTTATGCCACTCATTCTTAGTGATGCAAATGAAATTGTGGGGAATTCGGACCGGTGCGTCGCGCTTGCTGCGTTGGGGGTTGCCTTCGATTTGGTGATGGAATATGGTCTGCGTTTTTTCGACTGCCCCGCACGTGACGCCGGTTACAGCAGTCATCATGATCATACTGGCGCTGCCGAACTGGGAGCTGCTACGGTCACCAAACATACAACAGCAATGGCTGCCACTGCTATTACCTTTTCTAACAATAATGATGATGCTACGACGACGAATACTACCACTACTACTACTGCTGCTGCTGCTTCCGGTGGTGGTCTTACTGCAATTGGTGTGGAGGCACGCCTACAACATGAACGAGCTCTAGCACAGGAGGATGAACATAAAGTTGGTGGCAACAACCTTCTAAACACATTGCGTTTATTTCTGCGATCGCATTGTACGGAAAGAAACCCAATGGCAGTTGTTGGATTCTGTAAGTTGCTTAGCTGCAATCGTGTCCCCCATACTCAGGTGCCGGAGATTATTGCTGATATTTTGATGCACTACGTGGCATATCGTCAGGAGGAAAAGGGGAATGCCTGTGCAGCTTATATGGTGGATTACCTGAACAAATTTCTTTACAGCTTTGCCTCCAGTCATCCAAACAGACAATTGGCCTTTGCTCAAGGAGGAATGATGGCCTTTACGGCACTCTTACGGTACAACCCCAGCGTCGCTCTACGCCTAATGGAACTTATTACACGACTCTCTGACGCGTATGTCCTAGTGCACATCCGTGAGATTGATCCAGTGACGGCGAAACAGGTTGCACGTTTGGCCGAAGGAGGGAATCAATCTACGGAAGATTCCACGTTAACCAAAAACAGTTCGACTCGCACCACAGCAACACGTAATTCCACGCGAAGTGGGCATCTGTTGCGTGAGTTAAGCCGGTTTTCTCTTCACGAATACATCGCAAGTGAACTCCTTATTGAAATTGCACAAACCGATTCCGAAGAGGTGCTGGATGCATGTCTGGAAACCCTAGAGAAGCGTATGTACTTTTACGCGAAAGAAGTTCCTACTTGGCTCCTATTTGTTGCCAACCGTGCCCTCGACACTGTGTGCAGTAGCGCGAAGGGTCGTTTACAGAAGTGGCGTGATGAAGTGTGTAACCGTTTTTTAAATTCCACAGAGAGTGATAGAGTTGCCAATGATGCCAACATGGCGAAGTGGCAGGATACTTTGGACGCACGGGAACGTGCCCTTGAGAGACTGCTTGACAGTGACATTGCGAACGTTGTTTGCCAGACCATTCGGTGCGTGCCACCAAGGGATGTCTCTGATGTGGGGTTGTCGGCGGTAAAGGTGGAGAATAAACGTGCACGGGAGACGGATACGGCATTTGGCATCAATTCCATTTTAGGCCGCCAACGAAGGACGCGCCGATGACTGTTGTGTCTACAAGTTGAAAATTAGAGTAAAATAGAGGGGATAGAGAGACACACTGAGTTTTTTTTTTTTGTGTGTGGGGGGAGCGAGGGTCAGTGAGGGAAGATGAAAGATGGGAATGATGATGAATTGTTTTCTTTAGTCGTCTGCTGCCTCCGCGACTCCTGCTTTTGGTGTTCTTTTGTGTCGGAGGTCACATGTTATTTTATTTTGCCCCTTACGTTCGAGCGCTCTATCTATCTATTATTATTATTATTTGTCAGTTTTTTTTTTCTTGAGCAAGAGAAAAAAAGGAAGGATGGGCAAGGAGAAGAAGAAGGCCACCAACAAAGACGGTGGGAACGATGGCGGTGGCGGCGGCAAGGCGGCAAAGGACACGTCCGGTGGGTCGGGATACACAAAGGTGAAGGTGCGCCATATACTCTGTGAGAAGCACGGACGGGCCATGGAGGCGTTGAAAAAGATTAACGAGGGATCGAGTTTTGCTGACGTTGCACGGGAGTATAGCGAGGACAAGGCGCGCAGCGGCGGGGACTTGGGGTGGAAGCGACGTGGCGAAATGGTTGGTCCCTTTCAGGAAGCGGCCTTTGCGTTGCCAAAGGGCGGGATGACACCGGAGCCAGTAAAGACCTCGTTTGGTTATCACATCATTTTGGTTGAGGACAAACAGTAGCTGCAGGTGTTAGCCCATTGCTTGAGGGGACTTCTGTTTTTGTTTTTGTTTTTATTTTGGTGGGAAACATTGCGGTCCCAGAACGTGTGCAGTGCAGCCGAAGCAATGGCCGCAAGAGTTGTTTGTGTTGTCCATATATAAATTTTTTTCTTTGTGTTTTTTTTTGTCCATTGGCCTGTTGATTGTCACATACTTGTCGTGCACTGCCTGAGAATGTGTAAACGAATAAACACACTCTGTCCTTGACTTTTGTTTTCCGTTTTTCCTCTGTTTTGTTTATTTAGTATTGAACGCTGTTTTTGCAGGTAGCCGCATTATTTAAAGGGGATTACAGACATAGAAATATTTCTTCCTGCGTGACATGCTGGATACCAATAGAGCAAAGTGCCAGGGGATCTGAGAGAATGTCTTCCATCCCCATCGGTGATGTCGGGGTGTCATTTCCCTTTAACCCATATCCGGCACAAGTTGAATACATGCGTGCTGTTATTGACGCGTTGAAGGGCCGTTGCAATGCCTTACTGGAGTCTCCTACAGGGACTGGTAAGACACTCTGCCTCCTCTGTTCTGCCCTCGCCTGGTTAGAGAAGAGAAATGGGATGACGCAACAGAGGTATCAAATTGAAGGGGCTGGGAGGACCCGGGTAATATACTGCAGCCGTACACATGCTCAATTGAGCCAAGTGATCCGGGAACTCAAACGAACACGTTACGGTGATATTTTTTCAATGTCTCTGTTGGGTTCCAGAGAGCACATGTGCGTCAATTCCCAGGTTCTTCGTCTTCCGACAGCTCAGGCCCAGCAAAGTATGTGTAACACACTTCGGGAAGAAAAAAACTGCCGCTTCTACCGGGGATTTCAGGCCCGAAACGACCACAACACAGCTGTGAAGGATGGAAAGTGGGTGCATGACATGGAGGATTTGGTGTCAGACGGTCGAAAGTGTGGATACTGTCCATATTATTCGGAAAGAGAAGAGGCAAAGGAGGCGGACATCGTTTTTCTTCCGTATAACTACGTGTTTGACTTGTCCATTCGCAAACAGCTTCCGTTTAATCTAAAAGGATCCATTTTAATAGTGGACGAGGCACACAATCTGCCCTCTGTTTTGGGGGCATCTTCCTGTATGAATCTTCAGCCTCTTGAACTTACGAATGCCATTCATGACTGTTCCAGAGCCATTGAAATGAAGAGAATCTTGATGGATACTGCCGCTGCGGACGACAATTCCCAAGATGGTTTGATGGACGAACAAGAATTTGCCTCTCTTAAAATTATCTTGTGCCGATTGGAGTCTTGCATTGCTGAAGAAAATCAAGATGATGAAGAGAAGAAAAAGATATCGAGCAATGAGGTGAATGGATCTTTGCCCGGTGTTGAAATTGTGCGAGAAGGTTCCTACATGATTCCCTTTTTGTCGAAGGCACTAATCACGAGGGATTTGTTTTTTGGCGGTAATAATCAAAACGGCGGCGGTATAAATGACGTCATTACAAAGGCAATTGCCGTGTTGTCTCAAAGTGAGAGTGCGGCATTGGGTCTTTCAAAAGTTCAGCAATTCCTGAACTTTGTGTATGAAAGATGTGAGTCCGATGACGATGAGGCCTATCGCTTTATTTTGCGGGGGGCCAAAGGTGCCAACCGGGGCTCCAATCAGCGATCACTTGGGTACTGGTGCCTGGATACATCGTGCGCAGTAAAAACACTTGTGGCGGGTCTTAATTCGTTGCTCCTGACCAGCGGGACGCTCTCGCCCCTTGAACACTTTGCCGCTGAACTTGGGATAGAGTTTGGTGTTTCTCTGAAGGGAGCTCATGTCATTCAACAGAATCAGGTGCTTGGATGCGTGCTATGCAAGGGGCCTAGTGGGGAAAAACTGAATGGGGCTTATGCATACCGTAATAGTGTTGACTATCGAGTGGGCTTGGGTATGTCACTAGTAAACATATCACGTAACACACCCGGCGGTGTTCTTGTGTTTTTCCCAAGCTATGTGGCCTTGAATGCGGCGATTGATTTGTGGCGTGCTGGTAGCGGTCGTCCTGGTGAATCTCTGACGGTATGGGGAATGCTAGAGGATCTGAAGCCGGTCTTTGTGGAACCCGTGGAAGCTTCGGATTTACGGACGATTGTGTCACGTTTTCAGCGCGAGGTGGACTCCGCACCATCTCGTGGCGCTATTTTGTTAGCTGTTTGTCGTGGAAAGATTAGCGAGGGTATTGATTTTGCGGACAATCATGGTCGCTGTGTTGTGGTGGCTGGCATCCCATTTGCGAACCACACGGATCTTTTTGTGCGACTGAAGCGAGAATACCTGACGCGGGTGGCATCACATCGTCCAAAGGTGCGTGGAAAACTTTTTACTGGCGATGACTGGTACATGAATGAGGCGATGCGCGCCGTTAATCAGTGTGTCGGTCGTGTCATTCGCCACAAGGATGATTACGGCGTGGTTTTACTTGCGGATGAGCGTTTCGCGGAACGACTGGATGGACTTTCTGAATGGGTGGCGAATCGGTGCAGCATTTATCGTGAGTTCCGTGAGGCCTACGCATCTGTGGCACAATTTTTTGCGTCGTTTCGGCGTCGATCGGGAGACGTTGCGCCTCCCTTTTTCTCTTCCTTCGGTTGCGTTGACAGTGCGTGTGGTGTGGAGGCGGATGCTCGACTGGGTTTCCCGACGGAGGAACGCGTTCCCGCGTCTGCAGAAATGGCGAAACGCTTTGCATCCGAGAAACTGCGTCAGGCCAGAGCTGAAAAGGAGGAACAGATGCGAAGTCGCATTGCAGACGCGAGGGAACTGCCTGCAGCGCCTTACCGTGTGAAGGTCGCGAGTGGAGGGGCGATCAGTGACGGAGGTGTGGGCGGACAAGAGATTTCAGCAACTGCGCCAACGGCCGCGCGGCAACTGTTTCGAAAACAAGTACTGCCTGTTTTGCCGCCTGCTGACACGGTGCTGGTGGGGAGTACTTCCAAGGAGTTTTGTCAGTTTTTGAGGCGTCAGCTGCAGTCTGCGAGTTATGACAAATTCCGGGATTATTTGCGGCAAATTGCCTCCACTCGCAACGATTCTACCCTCTCCAGCGATGAGATGAAACGGGCACTTTCCAGCGCGGTGGATGGGCTCGCGGGGCTCTTCAAGGAGGCGGCAGGGGAGCGGGACGCGGAGTTGCTGAATGCGTTTGGCCAACACATCCCGGAGGAGTTTCGGCCGTATTATATGCATTTGGTTCGAAAGCGCCGCAGAACCTCTGAATGATTTTGTTCCGTCAATGACGAACAAAAAAAAAAAAAAAAGAAAAAAAGAAAAAGGAAGTAAATAATTGAAATTTAATAACAACAACAAGAACAGAAAAATTTGTTTATATATATATATAGTGTGTGTGTGTGTGTGTGCGTTCAAAAAAAAATCATTTATTATTTAGCTGGGGGATATGCGTGTGCTCTATTTCTTTTATTTTTTATTTTTCTATTTTGTTTATTTGTGTTTGAATGGCATCCGGGCTTCATTATTCAACAGACGCGTACTTGTGTGTGTGTGTGTGTGTGTGTGTGTGCAGAGAGGGCGGAAACTGATCAGGATGCAGCTGCTTGACACGTGCGTCCCGGATCTTGAACGCTACATTATTGGCGAATACTTGGGTGAGGGCTCCACGGGAATCGTGTTTCGAGTGTCCGATGCTCTTACAAAGAAGGACTACGTGCTGAAGCAGATTTCTCTTGAGTCTGTAGGGGCTGAGGAGCGGCTACGAGCAAAAAAGGAGATCCTTGTGATGAACGATGTCGATCACCCGAATATCGTCAAGTTCCGCGAAAGCTTTAGCGGCGCAAATTCTGTCAATATTATCATGGAGCACTGTGAGTCGACGCTTGAGGAGCTTATTGAGCGACGACAGGCAGATGGTGGGGAACCATTTCCAGAGGATGTCATCATCGAGTGGATGGCTGAGCTGCTTTGCGCCCTTGCGTACTTGCATTCCCGCTCCATTCTTCATCGGGACATCAAGACAAGCAATATTTTTATCACGGGAAAAAATCATGTGAAGCTTGGAGACTTTGGTGTGTGCACTGTCCTTACGAGCGCCTCCGTGGCGGCCCGCAGCATGATTGGTACCCCTCTTTACTTTTCTCCAGAGGTGTGTGAGGAGGAGCCCTACGACCAGCGCAGCGATGTGTGGAGTCTCGGTGTGGTGTTCTATGAGATGTGTACCCTACGGCGCCCCTTTGAAGCCGAACATCTTCCTGGTCTTATCCGGCAGATTCTCACAAAGGAAGTGGCCCCATTTAACACGGGACTGGACACGCGTTTTGAGGAAATAGTGCGTGGGATGCTCAGTAAAAATCCTAGCGACCGCCCGACGGCACAGGAATTGATTGACAGCCACCTTGTCGTGCCTGCAAGTCATCCGTCGCATCCGTCGCAAAAGCCCTCAAGGGGTCGGCTCATTCAGCATTACTATGGGCCCGAGCTTGCTTTTAGGAAGAAGGAGACAACTTCATCCCCATCGGATAGCAGGTTGCTGCGGAAAGAAGAAGAGGATCAAGAAGGCCAGTGGCCAGTGCCACTCCAACCAAAACCGCTTCCCTGTAAAAATAAGTCTCGATCTTCAGCCGTCACACAAAGGGAATCCATAGGCGTAGTCAAGGGAGTTCATAAAGTAGTCACGGATAGAAGGAACGTGGGTAAGGTGGCCGGAAAGGAACTTAGCCATGAGGAGCGAGTAAAGGCCATGAAACGCATTAAAGACGCAAAGAGCAAAATTAATATGGTGGAACTGCGTCAAAACATGCTTTATAAGCGTCTTCAACTTTTTGGTGAGTTAAATGTCTCTCCTACGGATGAGGTTCCGGTGGTGATTGAGCTGCAACAGCGCCTGCAACCCGCGCGGGTCACTGAAGCCACTTCCGATAGTTCTTTAGAATGTTCTCCAACGATGCGTTCAAGATCGAGATTTATGGAAGACATTGCCACCGTAATTGAGTCTCACTCAGCTGATGGGAAGAAGATTGCACTCGAAGAACTCGAAGATGCCGCATTACTACTTTGCCAATACAAAGTCACAAATTATGGTCTTTGCTGAATGAACATAGCATAAATATATGCATAAACATATATTTCTGTTGCGTGTGGTTTGTTTTGCTTTTATTGGTCAGATTGGTTTTGCACTTGTTACTGTTTTGTAATTTCTTCTTCTTCATCTTTCCCTTCCACGCGGTGGTGGGAGAGAAGGATAAGATCATGCGTGGCCTGTGTGGGTTTTCACTTATTGAAGACACCATGACGGTAATGTTTATTTTTGAATATTTAATTTTTTGTTTTGCTTTTGTTTGCTTGCTTGTTTGTACTGCTCTTTTTTTCTTGTCTTTTGAACGAGAGAGAAGTTTGGGATTTTCCTTCTTTGGCGTTCATGTCGGAGGACGCTGGGCTTCCCGTGCCACGGAGTCAGTGGGTTGAGAGGGGCGTCAGCTGTGCGACGTGCGGGAAGAGATTCTCCCTCTTCACCGCCAAGTCGAACTGCCCATGCTGCGGGAAGCTTTGTTGCTCCGACTGCGTTCAGGCCGAGTGTGCCATTGTGGGCGGCAGTGCTCCGTCAAAAGTATGTATTGATTGCTTCTCAATGCTTCAGAGCCGGCGACGCGTGGAGCCGGATGAGGGATCATCTTTTCGGGAATTTAATGCGGCATCTGCATTTCCGCTTCAGACGCGACTCCTCGCTGACGGGCGGGTGGAAAGTGGAGAAACTTCTCGGGTAAGCCCGCCAAACGATGGAAGGGTGCAGCATGTTTCGAGAGCCAACGGGTACAGCAATTCCTTGCCCGTGCTCGACGAGTATGTTGATGATCTGCTGAGGAAGTCAGAATTGCTTCGAATGGAGAATGATGTCCTGCTCAACCGCCTCCGGGAACAGGAGGCTGAGATCCACGCGCTTCGTTTGGAACGGGATCGGGCCGTTGCACGCATCGTGCCTGATGGAGGAAGTATGGCAGGCAGAAGTGGTCTCCCACAAGTTTCTGATGAAATTGTCAAGGAATTGCGTGGGGAACTGGCCGTAGCTCATCTTCGCATTGAGTCAGTGAAACGGGAACTGAAGAATGCACTGGATCGGGCAAAATCGAGCGAAACGATGGTGAGAAATCTGAAACAAGGCCTATGTAATTATAAGGAAGAAGTTGTCCGACCTCTACAGTCTCGAGAAGAAGTGGAAATGCTTCCAGGGGTTAATGGTCGTAGGGACATGATATCAACACGTCGCCTTCCTCCATCTATTGTACAGGATACAATACTCGCAGTTGTTCCACCGAAGTCGTGTGCCGCAATTGGCACGGACGTCGATCTGCGAGACTGGGGGTTTGATACCTTCGAGGTGGCCTCTCGTGTCCCATCGGTGCTGCAAAGCGTCGCGATGCACGTTGCATTGGCGTGGAATTTTTTTGCTTCTCAGGAAGAGGCACAAAAATGGGCTTTTTTGGTTGCCGCGGTGGAAAACAACTACAGACCAAATCCTTATCATAATGCGATACATGCGGCGGATGTTCTTCAAGGCACGTTTTCTCTTGTGTCGGCTGCAAAGCCATTGATGGAGCATTTGACACCACTGGAATGTAAGGCTGCCGCATTTGCTGCATTGACACACGACGTTTGTCATCCGGGACGCACAAATGCCTTTTTGGCTGCTGTGCAAGATCCTGTGAGTTTCAAGTTCAGTGGTAAAGGGACTTTGGAACAGCTTCACACGGTGACAGCGTTTGAATTATTGAATGTAACCGAATTTGACTTTACCAGTTCAATGGACAACGCATCGTTTCTGGGAATTCAAGAATATCGTGTCGCATCTCATTGGGCACACCGATATGTCTTTGCATTCTGAGACTATTGCGAAGCATGGGGCAAAGTTGAGTGCTGGTGGTTTTGATTGCACATGTAAAGAGGATCGTTTGGAGGCCCTTTCACTTCTTCTACATGCCGCTGACATTGGTGCAAGTTCTCGTGGCGTGGCTATTGCGAGAAAGTGGTTGGTGATTCTGCAGGAGTTTGCTGATCAGGCTGAAGATGAACGCCGTCGCGGCCTGCCGGTAACTCCCGGTTTTGATACACCGTCTTCTGTGGAAAAGTCGCAGATTCCTTTTCTTGACTTTTTCGTTATACCCACCTTCGATCTGCTGCATCAACTGTTTCCGAGTATCGAGGAACCCCTGCACAACCTCCGCAAATTGCGGGAATTATATGCCGCAAAGGCAGGCGTGACGACACCGTTTCCCCCGCCAGTTGATTACCGGAGCCGTGAGGAAAGGATAAGGAGTCTTGAGGCAGAACTTGCGTACTTTCGCAGGCGGGAAGAGGAGTTTCATCGCCAGTTGCAGGAGCTGAGAACAGCCAGTGAAAATGAGAATAAAAGTTCTGCCGCGCCAATGACGAGAGAGGGGGCGTTAAATAAGCAATCCCAGTTGGTGTGTAGAGGGGAGGGAAATATGAATGCCGACTGGGCGGATGCCGGAGGTGGGTTTCGGAATGGGAAGGATGTGAGGGACTTGCAAGATGTGTCCATGGACCACCTGGTGAGCAGCAAGACCGTTGAGTCGGACACGGGCGATAGCGGACCGCGAGGTCGACGGGGAAGCAAGGCTGAAACGACGAAAGCTTATGAGCGAAAATTGGGCGAACGAGAAGCGGCGCTCATGGCGACTGCGAGATTACTGGAGAATCGTGAGAAAAGGTTGGCCGTCTTTTCCGAAAAACTCGCAGAAATTGCAGAGGGGCTACACGAGGAGAGGAAGCGCTTACAACCCATGGAAGAATTTAAGACTCCCTGCTTTTCCCGAGAAACAGAACTTATTTCTGAGGAAAGCGCCTCCATGGATGTTACGCATCGTTTTTCAACTCAATGGGAGGCGGAAGAACGTCTTGCAAGGAAATACAGAGAATTGGATGAACTACTTTTGATTGTGCGTGCTATGCGCATGGGGTATGCGGCAAGACGCAACACGAATCTAGGGTGGAAAGCTTTGTCTGCGACCCTAGCGGAACGTGAGGCGGCTATTTCTGAGGCAGTGGAGTTGTCACGTCAACGACGTAGGCATTTGGAGGAGGGAAGAGGACCGCATCCTACGGCAACACATCTGGACCGATTGGAGAATGCCACCTTTCAGTTGATGTCAGCTATCACTCTGTTGACGCAGTGCTGAAAAAGTTTATGGCTGCGAGTTTTGGATGTTGTTTTTGTAGTGTTTTCTTTCTCTTCTTTCTTTCATTCTTTTTTTTTTCTTTCTGTTTTGCTGCTTTTAATTATATACGTTATATCGGCTGCCATTGTTGTTGGTTTTTCTCTTTTTTCCTTCTTCCTTGTAGCTTCTTTTTCTTTTTTCTTTTTTTCCCCTTTTTGTAGTCTTTGACTTTACGCGTGTATATGCTGCGCACTGATTGAAAACCGTTTTTTTTTTTTTGTTTTCTTTTTTCTTGTGTGGTTCCCTGTTTTCTTTTTTTTTTTTTTATTTGTTTCTTTGACTTTTTTTGTTCTTTTTTTTTTTTTGCTCTCGTTGGATTGTGCATGTTTGTTGTTGTAGTTGCCACTGTTGATTCATTGTATTTCTTTTGATTGTCTCTCTGTTTTTTTTTTTTTTTTTTTTTTTGTTCTTCCTTTAACTTGACGCAGCAATAGCTACAAAGAAGATGCAGAATGATCTTGCCCAAATCCTTAAAAGTATTGATTGGGAAAGCATTCGAGGAGAGAACGAGACAGCTCCTTCTGGCGCCCCGTCCATGTCACCAACAGTACTCAACGATGGGCCTTTGCCACATGCTGAAGGTAGCGTCTCTGGAAATGTAGAAGGAGTACGGGAGGGCTCCTCCATGACTTCTACCGGCATTTCAGTACAACAGCAACAAATACCGACGATGCCAATGGGACCCACCGGGGGCACGTATTACATCAACACGCCATCATATCAGGCGATTAGCATGCCCCCCTCTGCTCCAGCTCGCGGTCAGGTTCAGACTCAGCCAATGGTTTTTGCTCAATCGGGTGGGCAAATGGTGTACATGCAGATGCCATACTTCCAACATACGGCGTATCAACATAATCCCTCTCCACAGCAAATTTATTCAACCCCACAGAACCCCTACTATCATCCTCAGTTTGTACAACTCCCGGTAGAAGGTCAAATGATGACCCAAATGCCTCAGATTCCTCAACAACAGCAGTACTTTCAACCCTCGGCGCTTCATACGATAGGTGTGCCTGCAACTGCATTTCAACAACAACAACAACAACAACAGCAACAACAGGAAGTTGTTGATAATCAAGGCGGATTTGTTTGCTTATTACCAGGAAGCCAACTAGCACAGGGAACGCCATTTTACTATTACGGCGTACGGCCAACGAGCCACTATGTGACCACACAGGCAAAGGATAATTTCTTTGATCTGCCTCCCTACAATAACGTCTTATGGCAAAGGAGCTCACATCCTGCGGATAGGAGTGAACTTGCAGGAAAGAGAGAGGGAAAGGGGAGGACTCCCAGGGTTCCAACGTGCCCTGTTTGTGGCCAGTCGAACTTTGCTTCTGAGAGCGCATTCCGTTCTCATATGCGCAGGAAGCACGAGGATACTGGCTCTACTCTTGCCACAGAGAAATCGATGGAGACCTCGGAAAACGTGACGCCTGCTGCTACGGCCGATGAGAAGGACAATGCGGGATGAAACGAATGACTTCTTTGAGGGTGGAAAGGGGGATGAAGGGACTTCTCTTGGGCACATTTTTGGCGATGTGGCGTAATTCATTTCAATCAGAAAAGAAAAAAAAAAAAAAAAAGAGACGACAAGAAAAGAAAAGACAAAAAAAAAAAGGGGAGGTGGGAAGAAGGAAAGAAAGACAAGGCAATACAAAAAACAACAACAAAGAATAATCATCATGATAATGAATAATAAATAAATAATTAAGAAAAAAAAAGAATTAAAAGGAAGAAGAGGAAGAATAACAAGAAGCAGCGAGAGACGGAAAACGAAACAATTGGGCAGAAAACGGAAAGAGAAGGCCAAATTCCAAACAAATGAAAACAAAAAACAAAAAACAAAACAAAACAAAACAAAACAAAAAAGGAATGTTTTCCCTGATGCAAAACTCCTCCCTTTGTTTCTCGCCGAGAAAATTATTGTTATTATTAGTGACCCCCTTTTTTTTTTTCTTTTTCTCTACATGGTTCCTGTTAATCTTGCGGCGGCGAGAAGGTAACAAAAACAACAACAAAAAAAAGGTACCTTTGCGTGCCTTTTTCTCTTTTTCTTTATTTCGTAAAAAATTTTTTTTTTTTTTTTTTTGCTGAGTGGGGTGCGTTTGTTTTTACCTTATTTTTGTACTGTAGTAGCATGCAGCCCGTGCAGGTTTTTTTGTAAAATGTAGACTCCTGCGTCTTCAGGCCGAGTTAATATGCTGTAGCCACTGTAATGGGTGCGTGTGTCAGGAAATAACGGTAATTTCGTTGGATACGTATTGCGACGCGGCTTTTTATTGCCGCGCCATATTCTTGTGTTTACTGTTGTTGTTGTTGTCGTTTGTTTTTTTTTTGTTTATTATTTATTTATTTATTTGTGTTTTTTCTTAGTTATTATTATTTTTTCCTTTTGGCTTATTTGTTTGCTCCTGCTTTTTTTTTTTTTTTTCCTCTGTGTGTTTCCTTTTTTCTTTCTTTTCTTTTCTTCTTTTTTTTTTTTTATGCTTCTGTCTACGCTTTGCTTCTCTCCCTCTCCCTCTCACCTTTTTTTTTTTTTTTCTTCTGTCAAGAAGGGATGAAATGAGAAGGCTTGTCAAGATCCGCCCCCTGCTTGGCTGCTGGTGGGTGCAGCGTCGAGGTGCCATGGACGGGCAGGCCTTCTTTGAACTCTACGGGAGAAACCCTGACGGTGACGATGTGGACAATTCACAAAGTTTTGGGACCTCTCTTTTTTCGTTGGCTGTTGGCGACGCCTTGCCGGAGGATACATCAGCAAAATGGATCCATGCCCTTAATGAATTCTCCGCCCAACTGTATGCAAGGCCCAACGAGAAGGTCCATCGTTCCGTGGTGGGGAAGGCCTTGGAGGCTCTGGTAGCATCGACATCATTGCCACATTATAGGCGGTCACGATGCAGTCGGCAGAGATGGGAGTCTGCGCTTTGTGTTTGGAACCATGCGGACCAAACGGATCACCATGGCGCTGCGCTCTTAACAGCTGTGCTCTATTACAACGGTAAATACGATGCCGTGATACAGCAGGTGGAAGCACGCTGGTTGGAGGCATCTGCACGTTCCATTAATACGGATGATATCCCACATGCTTTGAGGCTGATGAGCATTTATGTGCTTGCCTTATCTTTTAGAGGGAGAAGATGCGTCCCGCGGTTAATGATGGGAAGGATGAGAGAGCTCGCCGAATTTGCAGGGCGTACGATGCGGGATGGAAAGGCGACCGACGTTGCACGGGAGTATAAAGTATTCCTTTGCGCACTGGATTGGTACTTTCATCACACGGAGGATCCGAAGGAGAAGCGTTTTGTTGCCTCCACATTTCTTCCTTTAACGCCAAAAAAACTTTGTTCTTATGTATTTTCTACGGAATCTGTGAATTTGGATAGTGTAGGGAAGATCCTGCCTCCTGCTATGCTTTTTCATGCTGGGATGCAGTATGCGGCTAAGGGAGAGAAGGAAAACCTGTTGAGCCTCTTTACGGACTGCAAACAACTTGAATTATCCCAAAATGGATTTCGATTATTTCAACTTTCGACACGGCTTGGGGATATGATCTCTCGGATGTCAGGTGTGACGACACGTGGTCTGTTGGAGGTGGTTGGATTCTGTGGAACCGCCCTGAGTTTTGATTCACTTAAAAAAGTTGGTTCCACCCCTCGCTGTCGCAGTGCCGTTCTTGAGGTGCTTAGTCGCATGGAAGGACCAGATGCCTATTTTGCGGTTCGACATGTCCTTTTTCACCACAGTGCCGCGGAGGCGTTGGCTTTTCAGGAGACACATGGAGATATTTTTTCTGGGGATGCAAAACTTGTATGGCGAACTGCATTGCAATCGATGAAGGACTCTATTTCGCAAGGCGATATCAATTGGCGTGAGTCATTGCCCACGGCGCTGCGTTTATTGAGTGATGCCGGTATGACCTCAGTTTTCTTTCAACTTCTAAAGGAAAGCCATAGCGAAGGTGAAGGGTCCTCTCTTATGACAGCTTCAGCATTGGGACAGGCTACACGTCGCTCTGCACAATGGTGGCGCTCATGTGATGTACTTGATATGATTGTATCGTGTAATCCTCCACGAACACGAGCTGATGATTTGTTTCTTGGTGATGCCTGCTTACAGACTTTGTATGCCTTGCGAGATGCCAAACGCTGGAAAGAAGCACTTGCCTTCTACACATCGCTTGCCCCAGTAATGCCGGAAGCGGCACATGGAGTGCTTTGTTCTGTTGTCTGTGGCATGCCTGTGTCAACACCTTGGGAGGAGGCTTTAGCTACAGCTCAGAGCTTTGGTAACGTCCCTGAAAAGTTTTTGAAAACGCTACTGTGTGCTCGAGATCCAGATTGTGTCAGTGCTTTGCAACACCAAAGTTTTCATTCTTGGCGGTACATGCTCCAAGGCTATGCCGAGGGTGGTCGCTGGCGACATGCACTGAGATTGATTAAGGGTTGTAAGGAGGTGGAGTTGGATGCATGGGTCTTGCTTCTTCGTTCAGCGCAACGCGCTCCAGTTGGTGATTTGTCTTGTGAATTTTTTAAATATCTTCCGCAAGTAGTTTGGAGTCATAAGGCTTTGTTAAGGCTAAACATTTTAATTGCCGAGGGGCATGGATATTTAAAGGAGTTGCGTGACGCCTTTCAGAGTCAAAAGGAGAACACTTTGGTGGCAGAGTATGATGCGTTGGTATGCTTTTTGATGGAGGGTTCTTTTCCCTCAAAGAAACTGATCTTTACAGATGAATATGTTATTCACCGATTGCTAATGTCTCCTGCACCTTCTGTGGGGTCAATATGGGTCACTGTTGGGTGGAACAATAACACTTTAGAGGTGTTCAAACGCAGATACATGGGGAATATGAAATCCTTTGTCCAAGGGCACTACAAGATTCATGCTTCATGTATTGCTAAGAAATACTGCAGTAATCGAGAAGGCACTTTCACGCTGCGTGTCATTCCACCTCATTCGACCCTGAACACAAGTGATACACTCATTTCCGTGATGGGGGATGTGATTGTGGCGTATAAGCCGCCTGGAGTAGAGCCACATAGCTACGCCCGGTTGGTGGCTCAGCGAATTCAGGCGGGAGTGATGCATTACTCCGCATATCACCTGAGCCCGTCCTCATGTGGTCTGATTCTCCTCTTGGCGTCAACAATTCCTACGAAAGCTGTGCATCTTGAAATGAAGGTGTTGGCTCGGGTTTTTCCTGTGAGCACCATGTCTTTACCCCTTTTATCTACCGAATTTTACAAGGCGTACACGATGGATGTGATATCGGGACCGTTTTCGGACGGCGGCGTTGTGGTCAAAGCCAAGTGTTGCTCTGACCTGGATGGACTTCTCGCGGGATCATTTTACCGTTTGACAGAGAGCTTGGCTGGCGAGGGCTGGGGAATTTCTTTGCAGGAGAGCGGTACTTGTAGTGGTGCCAAAAAAGACGAATTCGTATGTCTCACGGAGCTGGTTTTGTCTATTCACCACGTGGGTTTAGAGAAGGAACGAATGTACTTTTCTGCTCGCATTCCTCCCTCGTGTATGGCTCAGCTCGCACCAGAGGAAGATCGCCTTTCTCATATTTTGTGTTGACCGAGTTTCCTTTGCAGATATGCACAAGCCCTTTTTTTCTACCGTCACGGCGAGTATTCCTGCTGCTGCTGAAGGTTTGTGTGATTTCTTTTTTTTTTTTTTTTTTAAACCCGCATGCAATTTTGTTTTATTTTTTTTCTTGTTGGGTTAGGAGTTAAAAAATTTTTCACTGAGTCTATGGAAGCCGTGACACATATTGTGAACCCGGGAGGTGAAGGGGCGTTTAGCTCTGTTGCTGATGCCCTGAATGCAGCCGTCTCTGGTGAAACCATCGCTTTAAAGCCAGGTCTGTACGAGGAATTATTGAAGGTGGCAACGGAGGTCACAATCACGGCAGTACCAGATGATTCCTTGGCAGAAAGTGAGGCTGTGATCACGAATGGTGTTGTTATTGTTGCCAATGTCACCATGAGAGGGCTGCAAATATCTGGCAAGATCGATGTTCGCAAAGGTCATGCAGTTATTGAAGACTGCGATATTCATCATGGCTCTGATGGTGTTCGTGTGGGGGAAGGCGCAAAACTCACCATTCGACGTTCTCGTATTCATCACTGTGAGTCTGGCGGTGACGGGATTTTCTTTACCCCTGGGTCATTCGGAGAGGTGGTGGACTGTGACATTTACGAGTGCCGCGTCAATGGGATTCATGCTCATAACGCTTGTGTCACCGCTGGCAACAATCGCATTCGTGATGTCCTCTTTGGCATTTACTTTCGCGGACAATCAACAGGGGCTATGGAGAAGAACTCGATAGAGCATGTTAGAAAGTTTGGCATTTACGTGACGGAGGGAAGTGATCCGGTGGTTCAGGGGAATCAAGTTCGGGAGTGCGGAATGCACTGCGCCTTTGTCTCTCAGGGCGGTAAGGGAATTTGGACAGAGAACAATTTTGAGGGCTCAATGCATGTGCTGACTGGCTGTGCTGCCAAGTTGGGTTCCAACCAAATTAACGGTAAACTTGACGTGGACGTTGCGCCCGTCGTGGCCTAGTCTGTTTTCTGCGGAAGAGATCGTTTGACTTAGTTCTGCCTGTGTGTGTATGTCTTCGCACACGATGCATGTAAATAACGTTTTCCCGGCAACAAGGAAAAAAAAAAGGGAGGAGAAGAGTTTTTTTTTTTTTTGCTTCATCCTATTTTGTTGGTAAGTTACACCGATTGTGTTGTGTTTCTGTTTGTGGTGGGTTTGTGCGTTCAAGGAAGGGATGAGTGGGGCGAGGGCAAAATTTTCTCTTTGTGTTGTGTCCTTTGATTTCACACCCACAGAAAGTGTTGATGCTGGAATGTTGATGTACCATTTGAAGTGTGGCCTTCATACGGTTACCTTTCAGTACCTTTTCCACGTGTTCACAGCCATTATGTATTGGCTCAAATTTTTTTTTTTTCTCTATTTTTGTATATATGTTGTCATCTCTGTCTCTTCTTGTCTGTTTGAAATGAAGGATAAATTGAGGGCAATGGGTCATCCTGCGATGGATGCCGCTGATAGAGAAGACAGCCATGCTGGCTGTTTTTCCGATAGCGTTGGCATGCAGACGTACTCGTTAAACACCAGTTTAGGTGCGATGCACATTATGAGTCGACTAAATAATGAAATGAGTTTCGTGGAGGATACCGCGTCGGGGTCATTTGGTGTGGTGAAAAAGGGCGTATTGGACCTTGACCGCCAGTGCTATGCGGTCAAGCAGACGAAACGGGTGATATCTGGTGAGGGGGATCTTCAACAGCGTCTACAGGAGGTGTATACCTTAAGTGCATGTAGCCATCCAAATGTACTGCGTTATTTTGATGGATGGGTAGAAGACAGGGCTGTTTTTGTACGTACAGAGTGGCTCTCGGACGGTTCAGTTGCTGATTTCGATAGGCCTTTTTCAGAGGCACTATTGCGTTCCGTTATACACCAAATAGCGTCTGCATTGCACTGGCTTTTATGTCATCATATTACACATCGAGACGTAAAGCCGGAGAATATTTTGGCTCGGAAAATGGAGGATGGCACGTATACCTTCAAGCTAGCGGACTTTGGCCTTGCACGTCCTCTCTTTAGAGATCGCCCAAACACGGGTGAAGAGTTTCGTGGCACAAATGACGATGATGGCGACCGTCGTTATCTTTCTCCAGAGGCTTTTGCCATCTCCGAGTTTTCTCAGCAAAAGGGAGAGGCAGATGTCTATGCGTTGGGTGCCAGCTGCGTGGAGCTCATGGGCGGCGACCCATCGCTTGTTCGCAATGGCTGTTACACCGGGAATTTTCATATTTATAGTGCTGAACTGCAAAATTTGGTGCAGTGGATGACGCGACTTGACCCACAGGAACGCCCGGATGCATTTATGGTGGCGCTGTTGACTGTTGATCCCGCATTAAAATCCACAAAGGGGTTTGCACGGCGCATGGCGGCAATTGAGGGTCTGCGCGCGTCGGTTGCGGAACTAGAAAAAAAAGTTACTGAAGCAAATACCACCGAAAAAGAGGAGGGTGGCGCTTAGTTGGTGTTGGTCTTTTTGCTGAGCAATTTTCACAACGAACATTTCAGTCGCCCTGTTTTGCAAACAACAGAAGGGAGAGCGGGACAATCAATACAATGCATCGTATTTGCTGCTGTTGGGTTTTTTTTTTCCCCTCTAACTTGCCCTCTTTTTTTCTTTCTGTGTGTGTGTGTGTGTGTGTGTGCGTCGGGCGTATTTATGCATGCATTGGACGGTTCTCTGATGTACGCAATGGATCTTTTTTTGGGGGCGGTGGGGTTTGTTATGGAAGTGTGCCCAATACACAAATTGCCTCGCCTCTTGTCTTCCTCGCACACTGACGCTTGCAATGTCATGTGCGAAGGATACATATATAATACATATATCTTTTTTTTTTTTTGCCCGTGTGTTTGTCTGTCTGGATTCATATTATTATTATTATTATTATTATTATTATTATTATTATTATTATTATTATTATTATTATTATTATTATGTTCTGTATTTCTCTGCTTGACGTATAGTTGCCTTTTTTTTTCTTTTTGTGTCTTGTTGTTGTTGTTTTGTTTTTTCCCCTGTTTGTTTTTATTTATTATTTATTAAGTGAGTAGCTAAATTAGACCTATATATAAATATATTTATTTATATTTATATTGTGTTGTTTTTGATTGGTTGTTTGTTTGTTTGTTACGTGCACCATTTCTTGTTTGGCTTTTCCTCCCTTTTTTGATAACTTCCCGGTGATGTCTAACGACGAGTTGTTTGTTGAGTCATCTGGCCAAAAGTACAAACTACAAACCCTCTCGGACTTCCGCGCCTTTAAACAGTTTGCGCTTTCCGAAGATAACTGGTCAAGCCATTACTCGGATGCGGTCACAACGGTGGAGTCACGGCCTCCGGAGGACACCTCGGTGGGACTCAACATTGTTCGCGTTCGGCGTGAGATGCGAGGGGTTCCGGGTTTGGACCTGTATGACAACTTACATGACGCCAAGTACCGTGAGGTGTGGGATGAAAATATGATTGAGGGCTATAATATTGTGAAGTTGAATGCGCATAACGATATTGGGTACTACTCCGCGAAGTTTCCCTGGCCTCTGAAGAACCGTGACTTCTGCAATATTCGCTCCTGGATGGAGTTTAGTAACGGCGAGTTTATTATATTTAATCACTCTGTGAAACACGCTGATTGCCCTGAAAAGAAGGGCTTTATTCGTGCTCGATCGATTCTAACTGGATACTTGATCCAGCCCTTGGGCGAAGATGGGTGCGTTTTGACTTATATCACTCAAAGCGACCCTAGGGGCTCTATCCCACATAGTGTCATCAACTTCACCGCAACACGACTTGTCCCAAAGGTGATGACCAAGCTGGAGACCAGTACCAAGAAATACCCAGCTTATGTCAGTCAGAATCACACTGTCTCTCGAGAGGCATTGCCGTGGCGTACACCAAAGATGGATTGGAATAGTTCATATCATTTTCCTGGTGACGAGATGGCTTTTAGAAATGTCTTCGTACCTCATATAAATGGGGACACAAGTGATGGTGAACCTCATGTTACCCCTGATGCGGCGACAAATGCGCCAGGGGAAACATCGCCGTCGGCTCCTTTTGTAGCCTCTGCAGTCCAAACGACAGAGTCCTTCTCCTTGGCACCGGTGGCACCTAACTTTAGCGACGATACTGTAGCCGTTCAACAATATAGGGCGCTCATGCAGGAAGCCATCAATACCGTGGACCGAACCTTTTTGCAAGATGGAAAACCGCCTGAGATGAGTCAATACTTGACACGACTGTCGTATATAATCGATGGTATTAGGCAAACCACTCCGCATTGATGGGTTTTTGAGGAATGGTATCTGGTTTGAATTATTCTTTTGGACCCCTTTCTTTTTTTCTCTTTTTTTTTTTACTTTTTTGTTTGCCGCGTCTCCTTGTACGCTGCCTTGGTGTTGTGCTTCTCTTCCGATGTGCAATATAACCGAATAAGAGAAACAAAAAACAAAAAACAAAAAAACTTGGAAAAGAAAGAAAATAAGAGGGGCAGGTGTGCGATGTTTGTGTTTTGGATTGGAATGAAACGGAATGTGTGAGCTGCCTCCTGTGAATTCATGAGGAGGTAGGGCAAAAAAAAAAGCGAATAATAGTAATAAGGAGCAGCAGTATTCTTGATTGAAGCCTTGAAAAATAAATAAATAAAATAAAATACATTCCAATCCCTTTTTTTCTTTTTTAATTTCGTTTGTTTTCAACTTTTTTCTCACGCTCTTTTTATGTTGTTTTTTTTTTTTTGGGGGGGGGGGGGGAGGGGGAGGAGGAGGAGAAAGAGGAGGAGGTTGAAACGCATGGATATCACGTTCGTTGCTGATTGCGGATCGCACACGGTGAAGCACGCATGCTTCTCAAAGACAGACAAGACCCTGGGGTTTGATCCTGGCGTGAGCGAGGTGCCCAGCACGGCGTACTTGGATGATGCCCTGGACGTGGTGCTGTTTGGACGACAGCTTGCAGAGTTACTTTCAGATTCCTGCCCCGTGGACTCTGGCTTAACACTTTCGTTACTTTTGGACGTGTTGCTTCCGCAGTGGAAGAGGGAACTCATTTTAAAATGCTGTTTTGAGTATCTAGATGCCAAACGTGTGTTTCTGGGCTACGCAGCGGCAACAGCTCTTTTTTCTGTGGGGAAAACAACTGGAATAGGCATGGACGTTGGGTACCGCGGGGTTCGTTTTGTGCCTGTTGTGAATGGCATTGTCCAGACCTCTCTCTGTGCCGAGGTGCAGTCGGTGGGTGCTCGAGGCGCAGACTGTGTGTTGAATCGTCATCTCCCAGAAGCGGAGGAGCCAATTCTTCGCGCGTTGAAGTCTTCCGCGTGCTGGGTTGGTGAGGAGCCCGTCGCGCTGCCCTCACGCTTGACGCTTCCCGACGGCAACACTCTGCCGTTCCCAATTAGTTTTGCTGCGTGCCGGGAGGCCGGCGAGGCGTTGCTCTTTCACCAACCACACATTAGTGCTCCTGTTGCCGTGCACTATGCGTATCAGAAGAGTTTAATGGATTTTCCCTTCTTAAACGAGTGGGTGCTTTTTGGCGGCGCGTCCGCTGTGAAGGGGGTGCGAGAGGTTTTTCGTGGTGCGCTGAGTCATGCCGTGGCGCCTTTGCAGGTGCCCCCGCATCATTTGCAGGCAAAAGTGCCCATGCATGCACCGCTCTCAGGTTGTGTTATTCTCTCTCAGTTGAGCAGTTTTAAGGGCATGTGTGTTCATGCGGCAGAGTACGAGGAAGAAGGACCACACCGTTGCATTCACCTTAAGGCTGTCGATGGAAGGTGAATGAAAATACGCATGAAGAAACGTAGAAGATGTGTTATTGGGCGTGGGGCACGTTGGGCAGTCATTTCTCCTTAAAAAAAAATAATCTTTCTTGTTTGTATGTGTGCATTGTGCCACAGCAACTACTTCTTATTTTTCCCTTTTTTTTTTTCTTTTTGGCTCCGATCTTCTAAAAAACTTCGCCTTTTTTTTTGTCGTGTGATGGTTTGAATTTAATTGAACGAACCCGCAAAAAAAAAAAAAAAACATGTGATACGGAGTGTAGCACAGACACACACACACACACGCAGAAACTACCGTACGTCGAGGCGTATGTGTCTCCCTGTCTTTGGGAGTCAAGGATGGGGTTATTTAGAGCGTTGAAGTTCCGTCTCATTGCGCGGTATGAACTCATGCGGGCTCGGATGGCAATGCGTGGCATGGCTGATCATGAACTGATTGGCCGTTACTGTGGCCTTGCGCTCATTCCATTCACAGTCTACATCTGTGCTGGCACGATGCAAGGCTACGCGAAGGATCGCGTGAAGGATTCTCTTTCCAAGCGAGGCAAGTGACATGAATAGGGTCTTCTTTCTTACTTCTTTTTTTTTTTTTTGTATGAGTTGCGGTCAATTGTTTTTATTTGGGGGCCTGTGAAAAGCGGACATCTGTGCTTGTCGGGAAGAAGTTGGTCCCATCCATGATCCGACTGCCTGAATTTAGGGGGTTTTTAAAAATTTATTTCTGCACACTTCTCATTTCTTTGTTACTGTATCCTACATACATGCACATGCACATTGGAGGAGAAATTACTGAGGACTTGGAATTTGACTGGGGGAAACACCATAAATAGCAGTTGAACAAAGAACACGCTCACACAGTTTTGTATACTGGCAAAAGAAGGGAACCAAAAAGGAAAAGGAAATACAGAAAAGGTGCCATGCTCTTGACAAGTGGTCGAGTGAGGCGGAGAAATGCAGCGCCGATACAAAAGACCATTCAAACAAAGGCCTCCGTGGTGGACCAGCTGGAGGAGGCGCTGCAGGCACGGGATTTCTCCAAGGCTACAACAATGCTAGAGTTCTACAAGACAACAAACCAGCCGGTTGGCGATCTCTCCATTAACCCATGGCTGGCATACAGTGCATTTCACATGAATGATGTGGGAAAGGCTATTGATGTCTACAAGGAGTTATTGTCCCTAGAACGTTGTGATCCAATGCACTATATCCACATGGGATGTTGTCACTTTGTTAATGGATCCTACAAGGAGGCAGAGGAGTGTGTGTTAAGGGGACCAGAGTGTTCGTTGCAAACACGTTTATTGTTTCACATTGCCCAGAAATTATACGATGAGGAAAAGTTGCTGGTTTACCACCAGAAGTTGAAGGATACGGTTGAGGATCAACTTTCATTGGCCGCGGTTCATTACTATCGTGGTCACTTTCAAGAAGCCATTGATGTTTACAAGCGAATTCTACTAGAAACCCGAGAGTACGTAGCACTCAACGTGTACGTTGCGATGTGTTATTATAAGTTGGACTACTATGATGTTAGCTTGGAGGTGTTGAATGTATACTTGCAAACACATAGCAACAGTGCCACTGCCATCAACTTGAAGGCATGCAATCACTACCGTCTGTATAATGGCAAGACGGCAGAGGGAGAGTTAAGAGTACTCATCGACCTGCAGCGGTCAACTTACAATGTTGAGAATGACATAGTAAAACACAACTTGGTTGTCTTTCGTAACGGGGAGGACGCACTTCAAGCATTACCTCCGCTTATCAATGTTGTCCCCGAGGCAAGGCTGAATCTCGTTATTTATCAACTGCGTCACGATCAATTTGAGGAGGCGTACGAGTTGATCAAAGATCTTGAGCCTGTTTCTACGCCTGAGTACATTCTAAAAGGCGTCGTGAATGCCTTAATTGGACAAAAACTTGACTCGGAGGAGCATCTGAAGATCACACGGGAGTATTTCAATCTCATAGGCACTGCTCAGTCTGAGTGCGACACCATTCCCGGGCGACAGTGCATGGCCTCATACTTCTTTTTGCTCCGTGACTTTCCAAATGTTCTTCTTTACTTACGCTCCATCAAACCCTACTTTTTAAACGATGATACATTCCTATATCTGTATGGCATTGCCTGTGCGGGGACCGGGAATTTTGCGGAAGCGGAAGAATCGCTCACGGCGGTTCGCTCCGAAAAAATTAGGGCGGAATTCAGCTACACAAGTTGGCTAATGCGATCTCACATCATGAACAATCATGCAAAGCGGGCATGGGATATTTATCTGAAAATGGAGACAAGCGCTGAATCCTTTAATGTCTTGCAGCTCATGGCAAATGACTGTTACAAGGTCTGTGCGTTTTACTATGCTGCCAAGGCCTTTGACGTTCTCGAACGCCTTGACAATGCCCCCGAGTACATTGAGGGTAAAAAAGGAGCTTGCATTGGTGTCTTTCAACAGGTGTTTGCGAATCAAGAGCCTGTGGACTCGCTCTTTGATGTTGTGAAGATGTTGGAGTCCAGTGTCCAACAGCACGCCAGCGAGCCACAGGTTTCGCAGCAGTTTGAAAGCATACTGAAGGTGATGAAGGAGTGGCTCAAGGAGAGCAAACTCAAGCGCAAGTAGAGAGTCCGCCAGACAAATGAGGGTGCTGTGCGGCAGTGGTGGTGGGGATGGAGGGGAAAAAAAAAAAAAAAAGAAACAACGGCGAAGCAGTGGCAGACAGAAGGGGGGAAGGGGGGCATATTAATAGCGCCAAAGTGGAATTATTAATGCACCCCAACATAAGTCTCTTTTCCATCAGACGTGAAAAAGAGAGATTTACATTTTATTTTTATGAAACAGGTTTATTATTATTACTATTATTATTTTCCCCTTTTTTCTGTTTATTATTATTTATTTTTGTTTGCTTGTTTTTTTGTTTTTTTTTATTTTGTTTGTTTGTCTTTTCGCCCGTTTTTTTTTTTTTCCTCCCCTCACGTCTACGTTTATATATGTGACTGATTTTCATGGTTGTTTATTTATCTGGCAAAGGAAAAAGGATGGGCATATGACAAATGATAGAGCTGAGGTGAATGCATGGATGAAGTATGGCTGTTTTTTTGGAGTGCATGTCACGTGCCATTCTTTTCAGTTCTGCGAGGAAAACATTCTTTTTTGAATATGTTGATGCCGTCTTCCTCGCTTTTTTTTTTTTTGTGTGTGTGTGTGTTTGTGGCTTCATGTTGCTTGAAAGGCTTTTCTATTGCTTGACTCTCTTTGGTTGGCGAAGACGTTCTTTTTTTTTTATTATTTAATTTTATTTTTTACCGAATAGGGGAGGGGAATGATTAGACATGGCCTTTTTGATGCCACAGCGACACTGGTGCCATCAGCGGATGTACTGAAGGCCATGCATGCATTATATTGGCGTGGTGGTTTCCTTGGTACCTGCGTTGCGGTGTTGCCACGTGTTTTGGTGACAGCAGGCCATCACTTTAACGCAGTCAAGGATGACGTTGGCGATTTTACCATTCGACAACCGGATATGACAGAGGCTCACGTTGAACATGCGTTGAAGAATGGAGCCAATGACATTCTTGTTCTGTGGGTCGATAGGGAACTGGAACATATTCCTCTGCGCGGTTTTCTTCCTCCAATACAGGCGCGTGTGGCCACCGTGTGGCTCTCGACAAAGTGGCCGCACGAGACAATTGTGTCGCCAGGGGTCGTGGTTGAAAGCGGGTTGCTTAACTGCGTGGCACGCGGAACCGTCAGCACCAGCGGCTCCAGTGGTGCGCCTGTGATTGATCACTTTGGGGATCACGTTGTGGGTATGCATCTCACGTCTAACACTCGCGATGGTTCTCGGGTGTCTGGTTTTATTCCAGCGCGTAAGATTATTTCTGTTCTTGCCGAAATGGGTGTCAGCTGCCGTGCGCTCTAACGTCGCGTGTGAGGGAGAAGAAAACATTTCCAATGCACTTTTTCCTCTGGTGCTCCACACATTTTCTTGAAAAAGCACCCACACAAAAAAAGGAGAAATACTGTTGAGTTTGAATGATTGTGTTTCAATGGAGGGGAGGAAAAATAGCAACGAAACCACAACAAAAAGTACTGCGAATTGTTCACTTTGGAAGATATTTTTTTTCTTTTTATATATTTTTTTTTGATGAGTTTTATTTTGGTTTTAGTTTTTACGCACAGGTTTGGAAGCATTCCTCTCAGTGCGTGTGTGTGGTTGGCTTTTGTTTTGTGTAGTGGGTTGAATAGGATGTCTTCTGCGGACATACCTGCCATTTACGGTGTGAGGGAGGATGTGGGAGTTCCATTCTACATCTCTTCCTCGGAGCTAGTTGCTGGGAGCGTCGCCGGCTTTGTGGAGCACTTTGCCATGTTTCCATTCGACACGATCAAGACTAGAATACAGAGTGGGAGCTCACCAAACATCACATCCGCCCTTCGTCAGGTGTTTCGTAGCGAGCCTCTTACGCACCTCTACCGTGGTGTTTTTCCCATTCTTGTGTCTGCTGTTCCTTCGCACGGAGCGTACTTTGGCTCATATGAGTCGGCAAAGCGTGTTTTTGGAGAGGAATCGAATGCATCGATCCTGATATCCTCGAGTTGTGCGGCGGCGGCCCACGACACGATCGCCACCCCTTTTGATGTTGTGAAGCAGCGGATGCAGATGGACAATGGAGGGCGATTCACTTCTTCTTTGCGGTGTGCGCGTTACGTTTTTGAGGAGAATGGGCTCCGGGTATTTTTTGTTTCGCTGCCCACAACAATATTGATGAATGTGCCACACGTTGCGACGTACTGGACGGTGTACGAGGGATTCCTCGCTTTTCTGGGTGGTGGGCGCCGCGACAAGGAGAACGAGCTTGCGGTGGAGTATGTGGCAGCCGCCCTCTTAGCCGGCACCATGGCGTCAGTAGTCTCTTCCCCGTTGGATGTTGCCAAGACGCATCTACAGCTTGGGAATGAATCACGTTTTTTGGCAGTCTTACGAAATATTGTTCTAAACCGTGGTGTGCGTGGATTTTTTGCTGGCGTTTCTGCGAGAATTATACACACGGCTTCCTCAGGCGCACTGATGATGATTACTTACGAGATGACAAAGAAAGCCATGGAGCGTTGGTAATATTTTCATACATGCGATCCCACTTACTTGTATTCACAATGTTTTGACATATGAAGCAAAATCCTTGCCAATATTTTTTCTTCTCTTCAACAACAACCAAAACAAGAAGGAAAAAGAAACCAGGTGTTTAATAAACAGGTAAAACACCATCGAAAATGATATATACAGAAGACAAGAACACATTTGCCTAAGGATTTTCATGCTTATTTGAAGGGTGGTTTTGAGGCTCGCGGGTCGTGAGTCTGAACCCCATGCTAAGTGAGAAACGGTGCTGGAAATAACTCTTTTTTGTTGTTGTTGTTTGTTTTGCATATAATTTTTTTTTTTTGTTCTTTGTTATTTCCTTCTGACGAAGGGACTGTTGGTGTGTAGACGCCCATGACTGGCTCCCAGGCACTCCGCCGTATTCTCTACGTTGATGCAGAAGATGGATCTGTTGCCCGTCGTGGCTATCATTTTGGTGGGGCCTATGAGCCGCTTTTGTACTCAACAATGCTCGAACAGCCTGCAGGACTGCAGCCACGTAGCGGTTTTCGTGTAGCTTGCGCCTGTTTGGCCGGTTGCTTCTTTGGATGCCTGACAATGAAGGCAAGGAACATGGAGCGGTGGTGGTTAGGACTCTTCTTTATGTGCGGTATGTATTACAATGCCGTGAAGGCGCAAAAAGTGAACAATGGTTTAGTTGGACATCAATGTGGATTCTTTGCCGCAGGGATGGGCGTTTTGGGGTGTGGCTGCCGTTTAGCCGTGCATGCAGGAAGCGCCAGAATGAACAGACGACTTCTTTTTTTATTCGCCAGCCTTATGTGGTATGAAGTTGGCCGGTACCACATGTGGGCGGAACACGTTTCGGAATTTCGACGTGAAATCACACCAGAGCGGTCATATGATCTTTTGGCGGAATTTGTCCCACAAGAGATTGAGACCGAATTTCTTCCGTATCGTTCCGTGTCGTCAGAATAAAATGACAGTACTGAATCCATTGGCATCGTTAGTTGCTTACATGCTCAGGGCTAGATTCTCCTCTTGGACTAAGGAATCTGGTTGCATGGTCGGCTTTTTTTTTGTTTGTGTGTGTAACGTTTTCTCTCCAAGTGGTGTGGAGGAAAAGCATTGTCGTTAATTTCCCGTTTTTTTTTTGTTGTTGTTGTTTTTGGTCTGTCTGCTCCCTTTTTTTTTTTTTTTTTGCTTTGGAGGAGAATTGAGAAAAGGGGACCGAAGGGAAGACCTTTAGAGAAGTGTTGTCTGTTTTTCCGTGTAACTGTACTTCTGTGTGGAAGATGCCAAAGGCCGTTATTTTGGATCAGGATGGTAATCACGATGACATCATTTCTCTGGCACTGCTGCTAGCGTGGCCAGAGAAGGTAAGTGTCATTGGCTGCATCTGCACAGATGCCGATTGTTTTGTTGCTGATGCATTCAACATCACCGGGAAACTGATGTGCCTTTTAAACAAGCGTGCGAACCGGCCTCTTTTTCCCATTGGCATTTCGTCTTTTCATGGCGTGAATCCGTTTCCGATGGAGTGGCGCTGTTCTGCGAAAAACATGGATGATTTGCCCTCTCTGAACATTCCTGAGCACACCGAGATGTGGGAGAAGTTGAAGCCAGAGTATGAAAAACTCGTGGGTGAGGAGTTGCTTGCGGATCTGGTGATGAATTCGCCGGAAAAGGTAACGATATGTGTGACCGGACCACTCTCCAATGTGGCGTGGTGTATAGAGAAGTATGGGAGACGCTTTACAGACAAGGTGGAGGAGTGTGTCATCATGGGTGGCGCTGTGGATGTCGGTGGCAATGTTTTTCTCCCGGGCACTGACGGGACGGCAGAATGGAACATTTATTGGGATCCACCAGCAGCGAAGACGGTGCTGGAATGCCCTCATATACGCAACGTTCTCTTCTCACTTAATTCGACGAATACCGTTCCTGTATGCTCATCTCTTGTGAAGCGCTTTGGTGCCCAAAATGAGTACTTGCTTTCGCAATTTGTGGGTTCCACCTGGGCCATGTGCACGCACCATGTGCTTCTTCGCCCAGGCGATGGCTACTATGCCTGGGATTCTCTGACAGCCGCCTACGTAATTGACAACAATTTGGCAGATCTTGAGCCGATGGCTCTGGAGGTAGAGATTAATAAAACAAAGGACGAGGGGCGCACGTTTCGTTCGACGCAAGGACGTACTTGCACATATGTTGCCAAGAACACCAATGCAGAATTATTTTATGACATGGTGCTTTCCAGTATGCGTATTTGCTGATAATTCACGGGGAAAGAGACATGTGGGGGGGGTCATAAGACTGAGAAAAGAAAAGGAAGGAGATTCACTTTTTAAAAAGAGAAAACGTAAGAATGAATAAAGACATAGTTTATTTTTACTTTTATCATTTGAAACGTTGAAATGAGGGGAGCGTGCTTTTATTTGGAAGAGTTGAATTGCCGATGACACGTGGAAAGGAAGAAAAAAAAAAAAAGAACAATAGAGGAGGACGGCGAGGAAAAAGAAGAGATAGGCCTTTTTTTATGTGTGTGTTTGCCTGTGTGGAGGGGTGCATCCGTGTGTGGTGTGCGTGTATACATGCGTGCGGAACTGTTGACCACACAGCGGATTGGAAAGCTGCTGAGGTGCGAGAATGCCGTTTCTTTAAAGAAATAACGCGGGGACTATGGGAAGAATGAAGGGAACGGAGAATATTTTGTTTGCACAGCCGCGAACGACTGTTTGGGGGCCAATACAAAAAAGAAAAAAACACAATCGGGGAGAAGAGTTGAAGAATGACAAATGGCTTTACATAGCACCCGATGTTTTGGTTGGGAGCGGGTGACTGAGGGGAGTGAAACGCGCTTCGATTGTGTCCAGCGTTCTTCCAGCCAGTCCTTTGCTTTACAAACTGCTTGCTGCCTTCTTTTTGTGTAGATCCCTTTCAATGTTTCTTTCTTTTCTTCTTTTTTTTTTTTTTTTTGGTCTTTTTGGCGTGGGAGGTGCCTTCTCCTATCACTTTCCTGCACAACGCAGCAACGAAGAAGCAGCGGCAGCAGTAACACCGACAGCGAAAGAAAAAAGGGGGGCATACAAGCGGATGAGCGAAGTAACGAACACAACGGAAATAAGCCAGAGGGATGTGCTATTCACGGAGTCGTCAGGTGCCGATGGCGTGTATGAGGTTGCGAAATACGGTGGTGAAGTGGAAAGTTACTTGTACAGGTACAAAACGAAGGGCCGACGGTCATTTTTGCAGGATCAAACGACGGCATCAACATTTCTACCGCGTATTCTACCAAGGGGCTTTCCGTATGTTGCCAACTTTATCTCCTTTGAAGAGCTTGTGAAGCGGGGGACGATACAATCCTGCAGTCAGGAGGAAGTGGACTTTTCCGTCAAGGATCTCCAATTGCTTTACGAGTCAAAATGTATGGATCAGGACCTGCTGCCGTCATGGGAACGCGAGATGCGCTTTATGGAACTTATCAGCGCCAACTGCAGAGGTAAGTTTTTTTGTTTGAAGGAGAGTGGGTTTGGTCCGATGTGTGCTGAGGCTATTGCACACATCTTGTCCAATAACAGAAAATACACCATTCTTGATTTGAGTGGAAATCGGTTACGGGATGAAGGGGCCTGCTCCATCGCCAAATTAATCAGGATCAACAGGACCATTGTACATGTGGGTCTTCGTTCCAACGATATTGGTCACATTGGTGGAGTGGCTCTGGCCAGGGCACTTCTTGAAAATAACACTGTTGTCTCGCTTGACTTGGGTGCTCATTCTGGCATTAATGGGAATCACATTGCAACGGAAGGCGCAGAGGCAATTGGGGTCATGCTTCGTGCAAACAAGGTTCTCTCCCACCTTAATCTCAGTAGCAACGGTTTGGGTGTTTCAGGTGTCTCCTTCATTGTCGGAGGTCTCGATGGAAACTGTAGCGTGAAACATTTGGATATTTCTGTCAACAATTTGGGGTACGCAGGTATTAAGGCGCTGGCTCCGGTCCTGGAGACCACTTGCATCACCCACCTTTCCCTGCAGCGGAACAGCATGGGTGACAATGGCGGGATGGTCCTGTTTAAAGCGATTGCTGGGGCCATTGAGGATGGAGAGGACAAGCTTGAATATCTAAATTTGGAGGTTAACGAACTCGGAGAGAAGACGGCCAAGGCAATGCAGCGAGTCCTGTCATCTTCAACGGCATTAAAGACACTGCGGCTTTCTTACAATAGCTTTGGGGGCGCCTCCAAAGTATATTATGGAAGGGCTGGCAGAAAACAAGTACCTCCGTTCACTTTTCCTTTCTTTCTGTGAGATTCGCGAGGCAGATGGGGCCCAATTGGGGCGGCTCTCACGGCGAACAGCACGCTGCAGCATTTAGATCTGTCGAACAACAAACTTAAGGATGCCGGGTCAAAATGTATCGCGGAGGCCATGAAGACAAACGAGGGGCTTATCTCACTCAATCTCTCCTGCAACAAGATCGCTGATGGCGGAGGGAAGGCCATTGCATTATTTTTGACCAGCAATCGTACCCTTCGAGAGTTGAATCTGCGACGCAATTGCATGTCAAATGCCACGGGAGAGCTTTTGGACGATCAGCTCAGAGGAAATATGACGCTGGAGAAGATGAATGTCGGATTCAATGACTTCCGATATAAATCTCTTATTGGCCATCGGACGACATTGGCGCGAAACGCGGAGAAGAACAAGAGCCTCATTGTCCCGAAGCTCAAGGCCGAGATTGAGGGTCTCTCTTTCAAGGAAAGGGACTTGTCTCAGGCCGAAGACGAAATTGAAATGGAACGGCGCATCATTAAGGATCGGAGCGAGCAGTTGTTGCGCCGTAATGAAGAGGCTCGCGTCGCGTCCGAGAAGGCGCGGCGGGAAATTGCGGATCTTGAAAAGAACTTGTCCGCTGTACGCGTCCGTTTTGAGTCCGCCGAGGAGGTCCTCCTACGCACCGAGGAGCGGGTGAGCAACGAGATGGCGGAGATCTCGGGGCGTAAGGCAAACATGGAGGCTCGCGTTCAGCAGGAGAGGGACAAAGTGGACCGTTTGCAGCGTGAGATGGACCGTGTGCGACGGCAACTGAAACAACTGGAGGAGGCGGAGGCGTCACGCCTGAAGCCTCTTTTCTTGGAGTTTAGCATCGCAGAGGCGGACAGGGACCGTGAGGCGAAGGAATGTCAGTACGAAGCCGACAAACTTGCCGCTCTGGAGCTTCAACGAAAGGAGTTGGAGAAGAAGTTGGGCCTCTCTCTTCCCGTGGCGGGCGGTGTGTCTGCACCAACGGCCAAAAAACGGAAGTAGACATGTAAACCAATAAAAATCGGGAATGAAAGAAAAAAATTCAAAGAAAAGAGATGTGTTTTCAAACTCAATGGACTGTTACTCCGTCCTCTTTTTTTTCCCTTCTTTTTTTTTGTGTGTGTGTGCGTGCCGCAGTATGAAGAAAAAAATGTTTGCTTTTTTTTGTGGTTGTTTGTTTGCTCTTTTTTTAGGCACTGCGCTTTTTCCCTTTTTTTTTTTCTTGCGTGTGTGTTCCTCATGCGCCATGGGTGCTGCCTGTGGGCGAAGCCGGCAGTAGAAAAGCGATGCCGAAGGCTCTGCGTGGAAAGATTGAGACATGCGCAAAGAAATATGCAAAGCTTGAGGAGGAACAGAGCCGTGATGGCATTTCCCCCTTTTTTTTGCCTTGCCAATTGCGTTGCAGCATCGAGACTCGTGTCGGCAGGACACTCTTCACACTTTGGTGCAGAATGATGGAATCTTATCGGTTGGATGCAACTGCTGCATATCCCAGTGATACAGAGAGCAGGATGTCATTTATTGTGGCTGATAAACATACACCCGCAGCGAAGGAAAACACAACATTGTTTGATTTATTCAGCGATGAAAGTGAACAATTTCAGGGCGTCTTTGGATCATCCCATATGTCCATAGAGGCCATGATCTTTTATCTCCATTACGTCTTTGCGGATGTGGATGCGGCCGCGTGGGTCATTGCCTTTTGTATCATCGATAAACTACAACTTCGGCACTCCATTGAGAAATACATGGAGCGACTTTGTAATTCATCCAGAGGTATTTTTTTTTGGCTTCATCTTGGCAACTGCTGGAGAATTCTTTTTGTCGCCTTTTCCCTGGCACTCAAGTGGCATGTTGATTACAAAATTACCCTCAAGTATATGTTGGATGTATTGCCGTCCAGCTCACACGATTCATTTTCCCTGCATGGGATCTGCGCCCAGACGGAGTGGCGTATGTTCCACGCCTTGGACTACGATGTCTCCGTTCGACCAGATCAGTTGCTACAGCTCCTTGAGGAATTTCTTACCCTTGATGAACGGGAGTGCATCATTTCTTCCATCACCCATGAAACGGCATTGGGCCGTTTATGACGGGGCGTCGAATTGCTGATATCTTTTTCTTTTTTCTTATCTCGTTGCTGTTGTTGTTTTTTGCTTTTTCAAAAATTACATATACACATCTATATGTAATTTGCTTGGCATTGTTTAAAATGTCATTGCAGACATTATTTTTATTTTTATTTTTTGCTTTTTTTTTTTTTATGTGTGTGTGTGTGTGTGTGTTTTCCTTCTTTTGTTCACTTGTTGTGGAATCTCCGGGATTTTTTTTTTTTTTGCGTGGTGGCTTCTTCTGCACTCTGACAAATTTTCTGCTGGTTTGCTTGTAAATGCTTACATACATGTATAAATAAATAAATAAATATACGTAGATATATATATATATATATATAATACAATTGACTGCATTTTATAGCGCTCATGTACTACCACAGTAATCCGCAGTCATCTGCACCCATGGTGCTTTATAAAGGGTATCAACCGTATGCAGCAACGCAGCAGCGTCAGGGACCGTTACAATACCAGCCATATGCAGAGCAACAACACCAACAAATTCAACAACAACAACAACAACAACAACAACAACAACAACAACAACAACAGCATCATCATCATCACCATCATCATCATCACCATCACCATCATCATCATCATCCTAATCATCATCATCTTCAGCAACATCAAGTACACCAGCAGCGGAATGTAATGTCTTTAAGGGTTCCTCAAAGTACCCCATTTATGCAGATCTCTGTTGCTCCCATGAACCAAAACCTTGTAAGTGGCTACAACGCGGCTCCTGGTGGGTATCATCAGATGGGCCATAGTTCGACGCAACGTCATCAAACCACTCCCGTGCCGAGTAATGATGAACGGTACCGCAAGCAGCTCATTGTAAATTATTTGGCACCTGACGTGGTCAGTGCAGAGTTGCATGGACTTTTTTCTCGCTTTGGGCCTTTGGATGGCGCCAGGATCATCCACGACAGGCAGACGAATCTTCCAAAGGGATACGGCTTTGTTTATTTCTGTAACCCAGAGGACGCCAAGGAGGCTGTAGAGCGAATGAACGGGTTTGAATTTCACGGGAAACGAATAAAAGTTGGGTATTCCACAAATCCGCTTAATATTGTTTCGGGTGCCAATAACCAACACACACATGGGACAATAACATAATAACAATAATAAAACAGCAAACAACTACAAAAAAAAAAAAAAAAAAGAACAATAAACAACGAGGGCGGGAAAAGAAAGAAGGAGGAAAAGAAAGAAACAAACAAAAAACACGACTGTCAGTTAATTAAAAAAGAACGATGAAATGAAAAAAAAATAAAGATAAAAAGAGAAAAAAAAAGGGAGAAAAGAAAAAAAAAAGCCCAAACCCAACAAGTTTGTTGCTGTTGGGGATGTATACGGGACTGATGAAACGAGATTTGACTGTGCGGATGCTGTAGCTGTGTGTCTGTTTTTTTTTTTTCTTCCTTTTTTTTCCTTTTTTTCTAGTGTGCGTGTTTGTATCTTTTACTAATTTATCTATTGATGATTACATTGATTTGATGCATCTTTTTTTTTTTTTTTTTCCCCATCTTCCCTCCCTGTATATGGATGCATGTATGTATATGGATGCATGTATGTATGTGGATGCATGTATGTATGTGGATGCATGTATGTATATGGATGCATGTATGTATATGGATGCATGTATGTATATGGATGCATGTATGTATATGGATGCATGTATGTATATGGATGCATGTATGTATATGGATGCATGTATGTATATGGATGCATGTATGTATATGGATGCATTTTGGTGTTTTTGCATGGATGAGCGTTTCAGGGATTGGGAGGTGAATTATTCACTGGTTTTTTGTTTTTTTTTTTAGTTTGTTCTTCCAACGAAAGCCGAATAAAAGAGAAAAGGAGAAAGAAAAAATAAAATGAATGAATGAAAAGAAAAAAAAAGAGAAAAAAAGAAGGTGGTCTTAGCCTGCATGCCTGCTTTTTTTTTTTATTTTATTTTTTTTTTTTGGGTGTGTGTCTCATTTTCTTTGTTTTTTTTTCTTCTTTTTTTGCTTATGTCTTTACTTTTTTTTTTTTTTCTTATTGACCTGTGGGCTTAGGGTTAGGGGGGGGGGGGGGCATATCTTTGCGCCGGGCAATCGCATCGCCTTTGTTCGGGGTACTGGGCTCCGTGTGGTTGCTTTCTTTTTTCTTTTTTTTTTCCTTTTTTTTTTTTTATGTGTGTTTTTTGTTTTGTTTTGTTTTTTTCTTCCAGTTGTAGTTTTTTATTTTTCTTTCTTTCTTGTTGGCAATTTTTTTTTTTTTTCCTTTTTTTATTCCTACAGACTGACCGGCACGGCCTCTTTACTTCGGCCTGCCTTTTTTCTTTTTTTGCTTAAACTTTTGTGCCCGTGTCTTTTTTGTTTTTGTTCCCGGACTGTCGTTGAGCTGCCATGGATTTTTGTTTGATGCGAACAGAGACGTGGCTGGTTTTTGTGTTTGTACAATCCCTCTTCTACGATCGTTTACCACTCATGACTTGTCTTTGTTGTGCGACCTGCTTTTTTTTTTTCTTTCTTTTTTCCCACAATTTTTTTTTTTTTTTTGCCCCCGTATGTTGCATGCATACGCACCGCTGCGTCTCAACTTCCGTCACGTGAGTTGTGGTGGAAATGTGTTGGATGGATGTGGTGGCGTTATTTTATTTTTTATTATTTTTTGGGTCTCATGTTATTTTTTTTCTTTCTTTCTCTCTCTCTCTCTCTGTCTTTGTGTTGCTGGTGGCGGCATGGAAAAAGGGGGTCTGCTCGCACTACATATCAAACAAACACATCCATCCATTCCTTTCCTGCAGACGGGCTGTATGAGCGGACGCCTCACCATCTTCAACGAGCCAATTGCCCCCTGGGCAGACGCCATGGTGCACTCGGCGTTGCTAAAAAGGGCATCCGCCGCAGTGCGACCAATGGCGCACGTTCTCACTTCGTCACAGGTTCATCAACTGGGGCTTTCTGTGAGGCCCGAGTATCTTTTGGATGCCATACTGCCGGAGGAGGCCTTGTGGAGTACGATGCATGCGGGCTTTGCGCGGGCAGTTCTCGTTCACTCCGAGCGTTGGAGAAAAATTAATAGACGCCGCGGAGACGTGCCCGTCGTTGTGGACATCACCGCACCTGCTCTTTCTGCCAGGGGCGTTGCCCTCACCACCTCAGAGGAGACCTTGAGTACGCTGGGTAGAATAGCAAAAGAGCATGGCTATGAAACGCCCTTTTGGCTTACTCGAGAGGAAATCATGTACTTTGTTTTCTCACATGGAAGAGTGCGGACGTTTTTAAATTTTGATGCATCTCGTTTTCCGGGTCCTTTGCGTGCTGGCGAGTCCATTCCCTCCGTGGAGGTGGAAAATGATCGGGGGGAAATATGCCGCGTCATGAATGTATCCGAGTTTCTCAAGAGGGTGGCCCCCAGTGCGAGTGGCGTGAACCGTTACGGTCTATTTCATTGTTTTCGTCAGTTTGTGCCCATCAACGTTCTCACGAAGCGCAGGTTTTCTCATGACGTTGAGGATGCACTCCGAAAGTGTAGCATTTCATTTGGCTGCTGGTGCTCTGTTTGGGGAACAATTCATGATTACAAAAAATTGGGCTTTGAGGTACTGGATGGCCCACTAGGCGTGTGGGTGTTTGACGAATTGGACTCTCCCATGTATCTCACAAGCGCCTTTTCCTGCACGAATCCAAAGGCAGTCTTTTCACACGTATATCCTAATGACCTCATCGCCTTCAGATAAATCGCGGTTTTTTTTTTTTTTGCGCATACATGCATTCATCCCTGTCTGTCTTAAGTTTCTCCATCTTCATTGTGTGCCTGTGTGTAAGCGTGCGGTTATTTTTTGTAGTTTTTTTCCCTATTTTTTTTTTTTCTACGCTGAAAAGTAATTGATGCCTCTGATAAGAGGATGCCAGAAGCGGGACCGTTTTCCTTTTTTTAGTGTGGGTGCGTGTGCAGGTTTGTTGCTTTTATTCCTGTGGTGTACTGACGCTTTCATCCCTTTTGCTTGATTTCATGTGTACGTATTTGTTTGCGTGTATATTTTTTTGTGTGTGTATTCATATGAGATTTTGATTATTTTTTTTTTTTAATGGAATGAGTTGCGGCAGGAACAAGTGGATAGTTGAAGTGGGGCGGGGGCAATGACGAGCCTGGCGATGGATTTTTTACAGAATGAATGGGCGGATCGGCTTCAACTTGTCGTGGAGTATGCAATGGGGTCGGCGGAGATATTTCGTATTGCGCATGAAAACATGCACCAACTGCTCCACAACACCGGCATGCGGCTGAAGGTGTGTGGTGATAAACTGTCGGATACAATGAGCACGCTGCGTGCTCTTCGCAGGGCAACGGAGGAGAATGAGAACAGCGAGCGGTGGAGGCAAAAGGAGCTGTTGGCCGAAGTTGCCAGACTCCGCGAGGAACTTCATCAACAGCGGGAAGAAAACAAAAAATTGGTTTCCGCCAGTTCAGCTCCCTCCTACGATGAGCATGTTGTTCGTGCCCTTTCGAATTCATACGAGAATGAGCTGGAGATACTGCGCATGCAAATTGCCACGATGAAGAACGATTACCTGGATAATCAGTTATCGAACGCCTGGCTGAGAAGTGAGTTGAATCTGATAGAGAACTCCGTGCCGTCACATTTGCTGCCTGGTGCCACGCCGCCTTCTTCTGCCGTGTTGCCGGATAGTGAAGATGATCATGGCGATCTGGCGGAAAGTAGAAACAAGGGTGTAAAATTGCCTTCGTCACGGGCGGTGCGGCCGTCTGTTGAACGCTCTCCGAAAAACTGCTGGTGCCCTCCTGTCGACACGAGCTATAGCCTCGAAAGTGAGCGGGTTATACGGCAGAATTACGTTTTTCTGAAGGTTGTGCGTCATTGGAGTCGAGTCTATTGTGTTCTGAGCCAAACAAAAACACTTTTGTTTTTTGACAGCCCAGACGATGTTTCACAGACACGCCACATCGTTTCGCTCCAAGCGGTGAATCGCGTCAGGCCGGTGGCTTCTCCACCACAAAAATTTGCAATTGAACTTGAGCACTGCAAAGAGGCTGGGGGCCACTGCGTCGAAATTGCATTCACGGACAAAACCGAGCGTTCCCTGTGGCTGCTTCTTCTCATCAGCCAAATTTCTCGGTTTTCGGGTCAAAGAAGCAACACGTGATGCTCTTCTTATGGCAATAACAACTTTTTTTCTTTTGTTGTTAACGTTCGGACATAATGCAATGAAAGAGAGAGGGCAAATGCGCAACTTTATTGTTATATATATATATTAAAACCTTGCTTTGTTATTATTATTATTATTTTTTTTTTCCTCCCTTTGTACATGCATACATATACATATATTATACATGTATGGTACATTATCGTTAACCTTCCAGGGGGAGAGGGGAGGGGGATGCTATTCTACAGGTGAACTGCAGTTTGTGACGTGGTTTTTTAGTGTATGATGCTAATTATTTTGTGAGGTGTTCACGTTTGTTTATTTCGAGTTATATTACATGACTCTCTTTGCGAATGTCTTTCGCCCGCATGCTTTTCTCTGTCTTTGGCTCTCTTTTTTTCATCTTTGTTTTTTCCTTATGTTTTTTGTTTATTATTTTACAGCTCTGTTAGAGTGCCCAAATTGATCGAGGTGACGTCTTTTCACTGAAAGGAGATGTCATCAAGGGAGGAGTTGGTGCGTGAGCGGCTACTGGCGGAGTTGTCAACGTTGCGTGAGAGGCACGATGCGCTTCGGGCACAAGTCGGGAAGCTTCAAGGGCAACGTGGCTTGCCTGATGACTCTCCAGTACGAAGGGGCAAGAAAAACAACACCCCACTTGGACAGGCTGACCGCGATGCCATTGAGGCGTTTTTCAATAGCTCCGAGGATGACTTTACAAAAGAGTTTAATGAGGGACAGGGAAGGCTTCAGCGAACTGAGCTGCTGGATAGGTTGACTATGCCCTCGAGGGGCGGGTAGGAATTATTATGGGGTTGCATTTTGGCTGCGAATTGTGAGTTTTTGGTTGCAAATATTTTTATAACAAAGTCACTGCTGGGATTTGTTTGGAATGACGGTATTGTGACTTGCCGTATGCTGCGAATGCCTGCCGGCGTTTTTTTTTCTTTTTTTTTTTTTTTTTTTTTTTGGTTCTCACTCCATTTGCTCTCTGAATAAAGCGAAAATTATTTATTGTGATCTTGCCGCTTTCGACTTTTTTTTTTGTCCTTTTGGATATATATATATATAAAAAAAAAAGACTGTGTTTCCTAACCTTTTCATACAGTTGGGGACCGTCTTAAAAGTGTTTTTTGAATTTTCCGCTCTCTCTCTTGCCTTTTTTTTTTTTTTTTTTGCTTTTGGTGGTGCCGGTTTGCATCCGTGCCAAGAAGTTAATACACCGATGGCGTCGCATGGCCCAGTGAAGGACATCGAGAGGGTGGATTACAGTACGAAGTGCTGCTGCCGAACCACCGACGAGGCGTATTACCAGGCGCCGAAGCAGTACTTCGTTCGTCATCCAACCCTCTCGCGGAGAAAACTCACCTTGACAGAACCGTTTAACGTTCCCTTTGACGCATCCACTTTTGAAAAAGTGCTGATAGAGCTGGAGAAGGCTTCTATTCTCTCAGCTGCGGCTGCCGTTACGGTGGACACGGAACAGTCGGGGGGAGATAATACTCAGAAACCGCAATGGATGAAAGATCTTGACAAGCGGCAGCAGAGGTTTTTGGCCGCCTGTCTTGGAGTAACGACCTGGGACGGGCGGGACGTGTGTTTCTACGAGGAAAAGCTGCCAAAGGAAAATGATGTGGTGTGGGTCAAAGTGATTCAGGTCAATGATACCTCCGCTGTGGTTCAACTCCTGGAGTATGGCAATCATGAGGGTATTATTCCGTACACGGAAATTACGAGGATCCGCATTCGGGCCATTGGAAAAGTTATCAAGGTAGGTAGGAATGAGGCTGCTCAAGTAATTCGAATTGATAAGGAGAAGGGATACATTGATCTCTCCAAGAAGCAGGTAACTCTTAAGGAGGCAAAGGAGTGTGAGGCTCGGTTTCTAAAGGGAAATGAGGTGAGATCTATTGTATGTCACGTTGCCGATGAATGCGGCATTCCAGCGGCGCAGGCGATGGAGATGATTGCATATCCCTTGTATCGGCGTCAACCGGGGAAACATGCGTGGGATTGGCTGCATGAGTTGAATCGCAACCGCGATGTGGAGGGTATTCTTGGGCCTCTTCATCTCCCAGAGAAGGCTCAGAAGTTACTGCTGGCGACATTGGAGCACACTGTGCGGAACGATACTGCCACCATTCACGCTGATATTGAAATGACATGCTTTCAGTGTGATGGCGTGAATGCTCTGCGAGATGTGCTTTTGCTTGGCCGTAGGTTTAAGGCGGATCAAGAGCCCCAAATTCCCATCTCTGTTACTATCGTTGGGCCTCCCAGATACCGCCTGCGAGCCAAGACCGAAGAAAGGGAGGAAGGCATGCGTCGTATGAGAGAGACGATTGAGACAATGGCGATTGAAATTGCGAAACGTGGCGGGATTTTGAGGGTGGTTCATGGCCCCTACGCTCTTGGTGAGGAGGAACAACTGAAGGATGAGCCAAACGACGATCAAGACGACGATGATGATGAGACAGATTGATCGCTGTCTTGAGTAGGACTGCCACATCCGTGGAACGTTTTTTTGTTTTCTTTGTTGTTATTATGTTTCTTAATCCTACGGAAAATAAAGGAAGCAGAGAGAGGGAGGGGGGAAAGAAGAAGAAGAGGGGAAATGGAGAAGGAGAGGTGGAGCGAGAGAGAGAGAGAGAGACGAGGGGTTCGTTGTCAGGTTGTTAAATAAAAATAATAATGATGTTTTAATCGCGAAGAAGAGTTAATGGACGGTGCCGGTGGTGTGCATGGATAAATTTGTCTCACATGACATTTGATAATTGCCGCAGAAAAATTTATTTGCGGCAGTATTTTTGACGATTCGCTGACTCTTCCTTTGTTTTTTTTTTTTTTCTTCATATATATATATATGTGTGTGGAAGAATTATGAAAGGACGGGGACACGTTCCATAAACCCGTAATAAAAATATTTTATTATATTTGGACACACACACATATATATATACTGTTTTTTCTCATTTCAGAACGTGAACTTGTGACGTGAATGGAGCATGACAAGGGAGAAAATAAAACAGGAGGAGGAAAAGGGTTCCAGGAGACGGACACGGACGAAGGCCACCCGACAGTTGAGAAAAATGAGATGCACGCCGTTTTATCCGTTTCAGAAATATCATTACCGGTGATGAATTCATGTTTGGAGGGGTTTTGTGAAGGGAGTTCGTTCACTGGAGATTCCTTCTCCCTCAGTCGGGATGAAAGCCTGGGAAATTTGACCACCTCAACGAGGAGAGCTGAAAATGGCATCACTGTTGTGGATCCAATGCAGCACGAGAAGTACGTCCTCTATCCCATTGTAATGCTTTATGACGATCATACATGTGAGGTCTGGCTTTGTTATTCCTCATGGATGAATGATCGTTTGTTGTGCGTGGGATACTACCATGGCCGAGTATTTTTTTTGGGTGAACACTTTCACAAATACGCGAAGGCTACTCATTTGATCAGCAAGAAAAATGGCATTTGCAAGTGTTTTGGAATGAGTGCAGCTTGGGAGAGTGGGAGAGTTTGCGTAGTACGGAATCCGATGGGGATGGAGGAAAATTATGTTGTTCTAAAGAGTTTGAAGAGGGCGATTGCTCTTCTTGGAACTCAGCTACGGCGTTATATCCTGTCAAAAGCAGGCGATCCATGCAATTCAATTAATGTGCTTATTATTGACTTTGTCGCAGGGGCAACACTTTTGCAGCTGATGGATTGCTTATCATCACACCTTCCAGAATTTGTAACATGTCGCTGGGGAGTGGAAAGGAAATGGCCTTTTAGAAATTATTTGCTACGCCACTTACTTAGGGGGGTTCTAAAGGCAGTGTTGGAGCTTCATGCCTGTGGTGTGGGGCATGGAAGTTTAAGACCAGAACTGATATTTGTTACTCCCGATTTAAATGTAACTCTACTCGCCGCGGAATTCTTTAATTCCTTCGAAGATTTGGAGTGGCTACGCTGGTGCTCACCGGAGGTTGCTCTCACGGGTGTGAAGGGCGATTTAAATGGCGCTAAAAGACGGGCACATGATATATGGGCGTTTGGTTGCCTGGCCTTCTACTTGGCGACTTCTACGAGGCCTTTCCACGAGAAGGACGACGTGACATCTTTGATGTCTGAACTAAAAATGCTCCACTTTGAGGCATCAAAGGAAAGAAACGGGTCGCGTAGCCATGATGAGCCTGAGCCTGCGGGACGTAAGAGACATTTTTTGGATTTGAAAAAAGTCGAGGATGTGAAATTGCGGGATTTGATTGAGCAATGCACCCGATTGGTTTGTACCGAGCGGCTAGACATCTATGCGGTTCAAAATCACCCTTTTTTTAAGGAAGAGGACGACGAACGGTTGTGCCACTTCAGACAAAAAGAGATCCGATTTTTTTTGGAGCGCGCAGGAAACTCTGCCCCCGTGAGTGGGGAAAAGGGGGATTCCTCGTTTTTGTTGGACGCTCTCCGGCAGGAAGGGGCCCATGAGGTTGACCGGTACAATTTCTATGGGAAAGAAATTGACGAGTTTCTGCTAAGCTTCAGCGTGAGGGATATACTGCTTTGGCGCATTGCACTTGGCCTCCAACGCAGGCAGCACACCCCTGAAATAGCTGATCTTTTGGGTCTTCGTTCGAGTTCGCCCACGGTCTTGCCCAGGGCTGTTCGAGAGGGAAAAAATAGCGCGGCGCTGACGCTTTTGTACGGAATTTCAACTGTGACTGCATCAGTGGTGGGGGCGGCGCCTCAAATTAGTCAAGATTTTCACATTTTACTTGTTGATTCTCTTACGTCTGTGAATGACGATGAAGACTTGTTTCGCGTCCTCCTGGAGTTTGCACGTCGAAAGTCCCTTCGGGACGAATCTCTATGCAGCCGCAGCAATACCCCCTCCTCAGTGAGCATGGCGAATCCGCTCATTCTCAACGGAAGTAGGGACACTGACCGCTCATTGTCCGATGAAACCGGCGATAAGGAAGGGGATGTGCATAAAACATCTGTGATCCCTCCTTTTACTCCCGGTGAAAATCCAACAGTGCAGGCCGACTCATTGGCGCCGTCCTCGAGCCGAGACAATGTCGAGGATAAACTTGTTTTATCATCAACGGAGGGGGTGTTTTCTCCAAATGCGTGTCTTTCGGGTACTTCAACAATGAGCAACGATGATAATGAAAACATCATTGAAAGAAATTTATTGCATGATGAGGGGAATATGCTTCAGGAACCATGCGTTACCGTAGAGGGGACGTGTCATTTGGAGAGCCATGGCGCCGAGTTAAGAAGACGGCTGCTGTTACATCGTAGCAAACGTTTGATTTTTATTTTTTTCTTTACAGTGCTTGCACTGGCTGTTATCATTTCTGTTATTTTTTCTCTACTGTTGGGTTAGTCATGGGTACCATTGCGTATTCTCGCGGCTTCCCGGAGGCACTTTTTTGTTTTGTATATATATATATATATATATATCCAATGTTTTTTTTTTTTTTTACGGAAGAGGAATGATGCAGTTGCAAATGCTCGGAATATATATATATATATATTGTTTTTGTTGTTGGATTAGTTTTGTTTTGCCGCCATTTCCTCCAATATGATTGCGAAAAACTGCAGCTTCATATGTCTCTTTATGTACTTAGGTTTCTTCATGTGAATTTAGGAAGCGTGTGTGATTCATAGATTTGTTGTTGTTTGTTTGTTTGTTTTTCAGTCTTGACTCTTTGAAGCGTTTGATATTTATTGCTTTGTTATTTCTTGCATATTTTTTATTTTTTCCTATCTGAGTCGTTGGGTGGCGTCGGCCTGCAAAGCGAGGCAGCGCTATGACCCACATGGGTGTTGAAACGGCATCATGGAATTGTTTTTCAACGTTCCGGCAGGAATGACAAGGAAGAAACAGGAATTCGGCCGAGGCGTGTGTTGTTTTATTTACCATCCGTTTATGTGGGAACTTTCTTTCTTTTTTTGAAGGTTTTTTTTTTTGTGTGTGTGTGCCTAAAGGAGGGGGTTCGGGAAGAACATGTCGAAGCAAAAGAAGGAAGTGGTGATTAACCTTGACGAGGTGGATGAACAGACGGGGTATAAATCCGCCGAACTGTTTGTGTGGCTGAAGTTTGATGAGACGTATCTTCAGAAGCCCGAGGACGATCGTGAGGCGGACGTGGATGCGTGGGTGGATGCCTTCTGCGAGCAGATGGAGGAAGAAGGAATGAATTATGACCGCAACTTTGTTCGTTCTGTCTGTGTGCTGGGCATTTACGCTGGTGCACGCGACGAGTTTCAGCAGCGCATGGGAAGTGGAAAGGCGGTTTATCCCAACGGGGATCGCTATGACGGGGAGTTTTTTGAGGGAAAGAAGCACGGCACGGGGCGCTACTGCTTTGTCAGTCGGGGAAAGAGCGAGTGCGACCGGATTGTTGAGAAGGAGATGCAAAAGTTGGGAGGTGCGGTGCCGGACGAGCAGTTCATCACAAACGTTGCTGAAAAGTACAAAATAAGTCGTCAAATTGTCTCGTGGATTATTGAGTATGGGGTGTATCCCTGCTACCATGGCGACTACGTTCGTGGCGTAAGAACCGGACAGGGGCTGATGAAGAACAAGGACGGTACCGTTTACAAGGGGGATTTTCTGGCGAATAAACGCCATGGCCAGGGAATGTTCTATTATTTGAATGGCGACATATTTTCAGGAACGTGGAGGAATGGGCTGAAGCATGGCTATGGAACATATCACTTTGCAGGAGGCAGTGAGTACCGCGGATCTTGGGTGGACGGTGTCTTTACACAAGGTCAATGGATCTTCCCGGATGGCACGTATTACGAGGGATTGTTTAACAAGAAGAACCGACCTTGCGATGATGCTGCGTCCATGCACTTTCCGAGTATCAAAATGGCCCAGACTGGTGTTTTTAGACGTGGTGTTTGGGCACCCTCTAGTGCTCTTCAAGTTTGCGAGGAGACACCCGTGGATGGCATGTCATGGATAGATTGAGTTCTTGATAGAGATGTATCTTTTTTATGTATATCAGGAGGATTGCTCCTTCTTCCTCGCCTGCTGGGCGCCTCATTTCTGCAAGAGAGTGAGAAGGAAAAGAATAATTATAAAGAAAGAGGGATGGCACGAGTGGGCATTCCAATGCGTTGACTTTACTGCCGTGTTGGTTTCTTATTTGTTTTTATTTTCTGCTTGTGTACCTTCCTTTCTTCTTATTGTGCCTTTGAAAAATATAATAAAAACAAACAACAACAACACAAAAGGAAAAAAAATTAGAGATTTTACGGACTTTAATCAAAAATGGTGTACACACGCTGGAAGTGTGACCGGCTGCCGGTCTTTCAGTTGAAGTTGTTTTCACAGGAGTACCCACTCCATACAACCGTTGGAATTCTGTGCATGATGTTTCTTTGGAAGCACATGGGGCACTGCTCGGAGGAAACAGAGCGCAAGCACGGTTGGTGGGCGGGATACCCGTACTGGCGTGACCCCATTGCCCGCAGGAATGAGGCCAAATACAAGCAACTGATTAACAAGAACGATGTGGACATCACAGACCCAAAGTGGACTGGATGTTCTTTTGAGCAGCTTGAGAAGCTAAAGAAACTGATTTAAGGCATAGTGGAATGGTGGATGGTTGTGTGGCTTTTTTCTTCCTTTTTCTTTTGCTGTTTCTCTGTGCGGCTGGCGCTTTTTTCTTTTAGTTTTTTTTGTTTTGTTTTTCCCTCGTAAAGGGGATTAGTGGATACCTACAATTTAACCCGTGAAGGATATGAAGTGAGAGAGAGAGGGGGAAAGGAGTGATGAATTTATTGCCGCCTTTCTTTCCATCTCACCGCGACACACACACACACACACATAAGGCACATGTATGTGTGTATGTATCGCTCTGCTCGTGCGTGTGCGTGCATGTGCCTGCCGCTTTATGTTTACTCGGTTTTTTCCTTTGACTCTTTTTTTTTCTTTTTGCCCCTTGGCAGCCTTACTCTTTAGGAATATTTTGTCCTCATCCTCCTTTTTTCTTCGTTTCGTGTTTTTAAGGTTGCGCTGGGTGCAGTACGCGTGAAGGGAGGAACAAATAGAACACATAGAGAAGAGCCTTGCCAACCCTTCAAAAGGAGAGAGGAAAAAAAAAAAAAAAGGATTCAATTAAATTTATTAACACAAATATTTTTTTTTCTTTAAATTTTCTTTTATTTATTTGTTGTTGTAGAGAGGTGGGAGGCTGCTTCTAGATGACACGACGATTGGCTTTTTGTTTCTTCCTGCTATTGCTGGGGGTCGCGATGCCGGGGAGCGGCAGGGAACTGGCACCGCTGAGGGAAGTCTTTCCTTTGCATGGAAGGACCGTTGTGGATCTCAGAGTACGCGCGTCAGAGGTGTCTGTTCCTTTGCGTGGCTACGGCGAGGGGGCGGTGTTCACGTACACGGGACGGTTGTACGTTTACGATGACGTTGCCTCCGTTCCAGGCCCTGTTATTCACGTCAAACCCGGGGGGAAACTGGTCATGCGGATGTTCAATGATTTGGGTGGGCAGACGTATGCGCACGGTGAGGATGAGTTTTACAATTTCCACGAGGTCAATACCACAAACGTTCATTTCCACGGCGTGCATGGGGATCCCAGAGTGGATGACGTCTTTAAGACAGCGTCCCCTGGACATTTTTTGAAATACGAATTGGACATACCGAAGAAACACCTTCCTGGTTTTCATTGGTATCACACCCACGCCCACGGCTCTGCATATCTTTTGCTCATGGGAGGATTGTTTGGGCCTTTTATTATAGACTCAACGAAAAATGACCCGATCGCTTCATTGCCTTCATTTATTTTGATGGTGCATTTGTATCGCTTAGGCAAATCAAACCTTTGCGATGGAATGACAATGGAGGAAGTGGATATCGCCATTAGAACAAACATGTCATCGAGACCCCGTATTTTGAGTAAAAGTGGGAAGGTCCTACCAATGCCTTTAGACTTGTTTCTCGTCAACGGACAACATAAACCGACTATGAACATCAATCGTGGAGAAAAGACGCTTCTTCGTTTGGCTTTTGCGGCTGGATCTTGTCATTTGAACATCAGCTTTCCGAAGGAGTGTCGTTTCCACGTTGCTGCCATTGATGGTGTTCCATTGAAGTGTACACGTGAGTTGAAGGATAACTGGTTATACTTTACAACTGCTACCCGTTACGATGTGGTGGCGGTATGTGAAGATGATGAAAAGCGGGAGCTACCGGTGATTTCTGGAAGGTTGGAGGAACCGATTTTTTATATAGCAGTCCGCTCACATCGATCAAAGCAACGTCGTCCTCATGAAATTACGTTTCCTCTTTGTTTTCCATTAACTAATGTAAGCTACTTAACCGCGGACAATCCAACCATGTGGCGCGACATCTCTTTTTCCCAGGAACAAATTCCAACGCCAAAGCCGTATTATGTCATTGGATACGGCACAGATTGCTCTTCGCCTGTTCATTCTGGAACCTGCTTTCGTGAGCATTTCTCAGGAGAGAAGGGGGAGTTACGTGAAAACTATCATGGATTTGTTGTACCTCTTGGTGCTACTGTTGAGGCTCGTGTGTTTGGGGACCCCACGGATATCGTGCCGCATCCACTTCACCTACATGTGAATCATTTTGTATTTGTAAGTTTTACTCCGCGCAAGGGAGGCCTACACGAGAACTTTTCAATGTCTGAATTTGGAGTGTTCTCGGGGGAGTTGCGTGATACAATTCCTATACTCGACGGTGAAACTATTATTCGTTGGCGTGCGGCAACGTACACGGGGGAGGTGGTGTATCACTGCCACATTCTCACCCACGAGGATCTTGGCATGATGACCTCCTACTTAGTCTACTCCAGCGCAGCCGGAAAGACTCGCACAGAGACTGTGGTTGCCGCAGATAAAATTGTGGGTGAGGGTGACGCAGGCCGGTTTTTTTTTCTTGTGCTTGCCATTGTGTTTCTTCTTTGTTGTTTGCTCTGCGGTCTTTACAAGTGGTGGCGCTCTAACCCGCCACATCCAAGCAATTGGGCTCGCAGTTGCAGAGAATTTTTTGCCGCATTCCCCTACCGTGGCGACGAGGGTACTGAGGCGGAACTTCAGCCCCTGAGGATGAGTCACTGACCGTGACGGCTCGCACTGAGTGTTATTATTACGCTTTTTTTTTCTGTTTTTTTTTTTTTGGTATGTATCTCTCTCTCTCTCTCTCTTTCTCTCTCTCTCTCTATATATATATATATGGTGGATGAAGCAGGGGAGGAGTGGGTGGTTTTTTTTTCATTGGGATGTTTTTTTGGTGTGTGTGTGGAGCTTTCTTCAGCTTTTGTGATGCTGCCCTTGGGATGACCGCATCTTATGTGGTGGTTATGAGTGGATGCTGCTTTTTGCCGAGGTGTTTTTCTCAATACACGTTGGCTAGAGCTTTCCGTCTCCCGCTGCTATTTCTTATCCATGTACTTGTGCATTAACGATTCCTTTTCCCAGGAAAGAGGATTCTCCCAGTTTAAAATGGAATTAAAATAAGTGTGAAACTGAACGTGCGAAAAAAGAAAGTAAAAAAAAAAAAAGGAGAGAGACGCCCAGTCGGGATGTGCAGTGAAAATGCAACGGCGCCTTCGTTTTTGACCGCCCACGCCTTTATTTGTCAGTGACGTTTTCAATTCTTTTTTTTTTTTCTTTTTTTGAGGTGCTTTTTTTTTGTGTGTGTCTTTGGCCCCACTTCCCCCACCTGCTGAAGCCGAAACGGGTGATGTCTTTACTGATTGAGTGCTTGACATCTTTTGCGGCCCTCCCATGGAAATTCTCTTAATGCTCTGTTACAATTGCCAGACCTCAAGGAAGAGGGGTCTTTTCGGTTACAAAAAGGGAACCGGAGAATATTGTTTATCAGAGCCCAAAGAAACAAAAAGTAGGTGACTAGCATACTTTATTTTTTATTTATATTCACACATGATTCAAACTGAGAGCGAGCAACCACTCATTTCTCGTGCCAATGAGGGGGGTCGCTTTCCCTGTTGTATTACTCTAGAGGACATCAGTGTGGATGTCTGCACCAACTTCACCTCTGCTCTATCGTCATGCGTGGAAACCCCATGCTGGGATGAAATGCGTGTGGTCTTTTTTAGGGATGGTGTCACTCAGACCACACGGTGGCTCTCTCCTGCAGTGGCAATGCATCAGATGATGAGTGCAAGTGCCAAAAGAATTGGTATCGACAAAGGATCTTCTGAAAGGCTGCCTGGTATCACTGAGGTGAAGTGGTCCCCCATCAATGCAGCGGCCTATACAGTATACTTTAGGTTTCTTGATAAGGATGCCGACCACTCGCTCGATCCGGGATATGAACGCCCAGTGTTTTCCACAAACCTCAAGTATTTGGATTCATACAACACGGATGACGCCGACCGACTTCGTTCAAAGGTATCGCCAAAGGTAATTCACCCTTTTTATTTTAGCATCGAGTGTCGTAATCCCAACAGAGCCTTTGTATACACCGGAGGTGAAGGAGAGCGTCCTACCAGTGCAAAGGTTGAGGCAATGTCTGCCTACTATTCCCGGTGCGTATCGAAGATATCAACTGTGTTTAGGAAGGCTTCCATCAAGCTTTCTTCAGGATCCACAGAAGGAAGCCGTTCTGTTGAGGGAGAAGCCGCAGATCGTCCTCAGACGAAGGGACATGGCCATTGCAGCAATTATTCCTCTTCATTTTACGTGTGTGATAAGTATGGGGTGGACCCTAGTGAAGCGTACAACGCTCCCGGGGGAAGGCGATGTATTTCATTGCCACTTATTCCTTCGCATTCGAAATTACCCCAAAACAAAACAGGCGTTCCTCTTACGCTTCACCTTACCATGGTGGCTCACCTTAACGACCCCTTGATGCGCCCTGTACGGGATTATCATTCGATGGTGGTTTTGGTCGATCAAGTGATTTTAGATGTCATGAATGTCGAGGCGGAGACGGGAGGGAAGGATGCTTCTTCTGCCAGACGAGTAGAGGCGTATGGCTTTGGTTTGACATCGAATACTTCCCAAACCGCGGAACTACGGTTTTCTTCTCCGTTCTTGGCTCCGCCCGACATTCCATTAAATCAAGAGGGGGGAGTACGACTGGTGGACTTCTCCGTTTTACATCCCTCACAAAATGAGCGTGAATTAACGGCATTGGATCTGGCGAAGAACCCGACGTCCATATGTATTGTCTCTTCTGGATGCAAGGTGGGAAACAAGAGGCGCATTGGAAACCGTCCCGTGCTGGTGTCTCGATTTAAGACGGGGGTCGATGGTCTTTGCAAATCGTCATACAAGTCTCGGTTGGTGATGGGATTGATTCGTCGCTACAACACTGGTGAGGTGGAGGTGGAGCGATGCTCGCATCCTGTCGACCTCGCTTCCATCCTTAACCAGGAGGAATATTCGGACAAAATCGGAGCCATGATTTTCTCCCGAGGAGAATATATGAGTTTCAGACTTCGAAGGCGCTGCTTTGCGGAACCGGAGCGATACCGCACGGAACTACTCATGCCGTATGATTACGACAACAGCGGTGTAGAAATCAGTGATGTTGTGGACGATGACGATATCGTCATGTTCTCTGCGCAAGGTGCCAGAATATTACCTGAAGAAAATGCCAGCAAATCTGGCGGTGGCGACGATGTTCCTAACGGTGATGGCGGTCGCCCGGATGAGAGTCGGATGACTCCACAAGCCGCCACTCCCACGGGTACCACGGGGCAATTGGTGGAGAAGCCGATGCCAAGTGTAACGGATAGTGTGATGACTTCGTACAGCCATGAATATCAAAGTTATGTCCCCGCACAGAAGAACGAGAAGGAGGCGGCAACGGGTTCATCAAATCGTTTTATTATAGGGAAGCCACAGCGGGATGGAGATTCACCCGTCGTAAAAACTTCTCGCGACATTCATGCAGAGGACTCTGAGTCTTTGCGGGGTAAAGGGAATGCGGAGGGGGCTGAATCAAATGCGGATGGTCGAGTGTCTTCACGCGACGTCTCTCTCTTAAGGGAAACCGGCATGGCGGTTGAAACGGGACAAACCAATCCTTTTGAAAAGACGACTAGCAATTTTTTGTTTGATTCCGATGCCCCCAAAGAGGGGGCAGCGCATGAAAGTTTGTCACTTGTCACTTTTGAATTAAATGCTATGGGAGGGATAAATGGAAATGACGATACCCAATTTGCCCTGCAAGTAGAGCCGTATATATCAGAGACCATTGATGCCCCACGCGCAACAGAGAACCCACGTGTTTACTGGTGGGAGAGCTAACATGCTTGAGGGATTTTAATGGTACGATTGCAGTTTTTTTTTTTTTTTTTTTGCAATTTCTTTCTCTCCCTTTTTTTTTTTGCCTGTCTTTAACTGCTAGCGTTGCCATTATTTTATTATTATCAATTATTATTATTATTAACGCTTCTTTTGGCATTTGCCATAGTATATGCAGCACTCATGCGAAGTGTTGGCGCTCCAACATGGATTTTTTCCACGACTGAACCCAAAGACATTTGCCATGGAAAGAGTGAGTGTGCGAAAGGGAGGGAAAAGTGGCCCGCAGTGCAGACACTTAAATTGTAGTGAATGAACATTGAAAATAAATGCATACACACACACAACAATAATAATAATATCTTTTTTTTTGTTAATTTTTTTTTTTGTTTTATCCAGTTGTATGCGTGCGCGTATGTGGGATGTTTCTAATTTCCTTTTTTTTTTTTTGACGGTTTTCCTTTATGTTTTGTTGAGTATATCTGCCTTTTTTATGTTCCGTGGTATTTTGGGCGGGGCAGGCCGACAGTGGCGTTCCGAGCGTAGGCTCGCGACCGTAATGAACGCCACGAGTAGGAATCCCGCGCAGAAGTCGACGTACCGCATCAGTAGAACAAATCTGGCAAAACAGAGCGCTGTGCGAATGAAAGAGGACGCAAAGCGAAGGCAGAAGAGTGCCGTGGCGCAAAGTGTCAGCCGCGGTGATCTTTCTCATGCCGATGCGGAGTTTTTGCGCCATCAGCAGGATGAGGCGCTTGCAGAGCATGACGCTCGTGTGAGAGCCTTTACGAAGGATACAGGCAGTGCGCATCATCATCGTCATGCTCCAAATCCCCCGCGGCATTTGGAGTACGACAGTGTGGATGCGAATAGTGGTCATAGTATCATTCAACAGCGCTTTGATGCGTTGGTGCACGACGCGGTGCTAAAGTATGGACCTCCGCTTCCTGCTGAATTCGTCTCAGAAAATGACATTGTGTCGCCATTTGGCTCTAGGGGAGATTTTAACGCATCCTCGCCTTTTCAGGAAGAGAATCCTAATGCTCACTACTTTTATGATGAGGTGCAAATTAGACCTCAGGAGCTGTTTGGTATCATTCGAAAGTTGGACCCTTCGTTCAGTGTACGTACACACGCCGACGGTGTCCCTTTCTCGTTGCTCATCAAGAACTGTTTGTATTTTAGGGTGTGGGGAGGGAAGGTGCACTTTATGCGCTGCCTTAAGCGTGTGCCGTTGCGCACGGGTGAAGCGGGGGAAGATGATGAAGAGATGCGTGGAGAAGTAACGACTACACTCTCAAAGTACAAGATGAGGGAGTCCCCGTCGTTCGATGGCCTTCGTCAAGGTCCCCAGCCTTGGCTGTATAATTATCGCATGATGTGAGGGAACCGAGCCTCTCTCTCTTTTTTTTATGTTGACGTTTTCTGTTTGTTTTTTTTTGTTGTTGTTGCATTACTTTAATTAGATGTGAATGCGTGAAGGAATGCACCGCAAACCCACTTTGTGAAGATGCCGTTTAGTTTGCTTCTCTCCTTTTGTACTATTATTATTGTTTTTCTTATTTTCTCTTTTACTTTTTTCTTTACCCCTTTTAATTTATCAGATTCATCTGTTTTTATGGATCCTTAAGGGATCATAGAGAGCAACCGAGAGAAGAACTGAAGTCACGCGTGGGATTCTTTTCTTTAGTTGCAATGAAGGAGGAGGGGAAGGGAGCGACATGTACTTTGAACGTAAACGCACGTCACGTGGTGGAAGGCATATCTGCGCTACTCAAACCTGCTCTTGGTGTTGAGCACATTTCACGGAGCGTTCTTTTGCAACAGCAACGCCTTCTTCGGGAAATTGAGTCTCTAAATGATGAGTTGGAGAATAACCGAACTCATTTTGAAACCCTTAACGAGGCCCAGCGAGAGAAATTAGATATCATTAGTGCCAAGATTGCTCGATGTCGCTCAAGTGCAGCGCTTTTATTTCGACGACTATCAGAAACAAAGGAAAGGCTTTTACGGGTGCATGACGTGATCCTGCAGCGGAGACTGAAGAAGCCACTAGAAAAAGTGGCGCCGGAGGAGGAGCCGGTTACCACTCCCTCCGAACAGGGTAACGTTGCTGTGGTTCTTTTCGCTACGGAGGAAGTGGAGGCTTCCAGGCAACTCAACAGACACCCCGAGGACGTGGACAATCAACATGAAGAAGCAGTTCTTCCTGCCGAGGGGGAGGCACATGATGAGTAATATATCCATATCTATATGCATAAAAAAGGGTGGATCTTACCGTCTATGGTGTTGGTGATTTGTCTAACACGAGAAGGAAGTGGATTCCACTTTTTGGGACGAAATACATCCACGACTAGCGGTGCTGGATGTGGCGGGGGGTCACCGTCTCCTCCTGCTTTAAGGATGAGAAGTAGAGGGGATGGGCCGGTGGGGCAATAATGCCTCATTGATCACCCTTTCCATTTATCGATGCCAATGCTTTTACAGTGTCTTGCTCTTGCGATTAGTAACCTCCATTGCATTTCAGTTTGGGGCCTCATGCTCCGACGGAAAGCCTACCGTACCTCATTTTGAACGAAGAAATACTTTAGAGTTGACAGGTTTTTTTCCCTATCACCGGTGAATAGGCGAATGCGCCTCTTATTACGATTATGAAATGGAGCTTGCATGGAACGAGAGCACATGACGTCTCTCTTTTTTTTTTTTTCTGCTTTTGCTCCTTTTTTGTTTTTATGCTGATTTGGGCGGTACGGGGACTCTTTTCTCTCCTGCGCGTGGGTTCGGCTGCTGATGCCCTGCTTGGATGGCCCTGGCGTGACGGTGGTAAAATTCCACTTCTTCTGCTTTATTTATGTACACGCCTTTATGCGGCCTTTTTGCAGCAGCAGAAGCAGTTTTTTGTTTGCCTAGTGAAAAAGGTTCACAGTGTTGCGTCACACGCTGTCATCGGGAAGCCGCATTCCGACCGGCTCCACGGGTGGGGCAGGGCTCACCGGGCAGGCAGAGGATGGCATTGGCACCGTGTTGGATGGCGCAGGCCGCTACTGGGACAATTTTATGCATCAGGCGTGGAATCTCGTCAGGGACGAGCCTCCAGAGGAGGTGGAAGTTATGGAAATGCCACGGGAGAATGGAATCATGGGTGATCTGCAAGAAATGTCGTCTCTTACATACCACCAACGTTTTGTGGGTTTCTTCGCCACTCTTGGTATGGGTTTATGCTTCATTGCGATTGCAACAGTATTTGCTCCAAGCGTTGCCGTTTTTCCAAAGAAGTTTGCCTTTTTTCTTACGGCAGGAAACCTTTTCTGTTTGGGGTCGACAACCTTTCTGGTGGGCATCCAACAGCAGATTCGGTCTATTTTTGATGCCAAGCGTATGGAGGCAGCAGTTATGTACGCTGTTTCCGTCATCTTGACGCTTGTTTCTGTGCTCCACTGGAAGTCAAGTGTTTTAGCTATTGTCTTTGCCGTTGCTCAGGTATGCTGTTTGTTGTGGTATGCGCTGAGTTATGTTCCCTTTGCGCGTCGCACCATTGGAATTGTTTGGTCGTATGCGTGGTACATTATTTGGCCTGTATTTTGCGCTGTGTCTCAGGCACTGCGGAGGTGCTGCGGACTTTTGATCTCGAGCGTAAAATAGTTTTCTTTCTTTCCTTGGGATTTCACCCGAAAGGGGCGCCCATCAACCAGCTACGAAGAAGCAAAAGGAGCGGAGTTTATATCCTTATTCGCACGGCGGGTGGAAGGCACCTGTGGGTGCGTATCCGACACCGGCGTTTTTTTTTTTTTTGTCTTTTCCTTTTCTTTTTTTTTTTTTTTTGGTTGATGTTTGCTGTTTTTGTATTTGAATGATTTTGTTTTTTGTTTTAGTTTTTCTTGGGTGCGTTTTCGGGTCGTTCTTGAGAGGCGCGGTGAAATGCGTGGTACCCGCATTGTTCGGTGCGCTGCTGGGCTTAGCCTGGCGCTGCCAAGGTGGAGACGGCAGGAAGTTGGGGCCCCAAGCACGCATGCATGGCGCATGTTCTTTACCAGCGACTCGGTTCCGGTGACGGAGGCACGGACGGAACCCGCGATGCCGACGACGGGGATGCGCTCTGCGTGGCATGATCTCAGCCTGCATCCTGCCGCGGATCCATCCATCGTCACGTTTGTCTGTGAGATCCCAAAGGGAACTCGGGCGAAGGTGGAGTTGCAGAAGGAGGAACCGCACAACCCCTTTGCACAGGATGTTCACAAAAAGAAGGAGGGGAAACCGCTGCGTTTTTACACGTACGGTGACATTCCGTTCAACTACGGCTTTGCTCCACAAACATGGGAGGATCCGTTGTTGGTGGACGCGGACACAAAATGCACTGGCGACGGAGATCCCATAGACATTGTGGAAGTCTCCGATTCCCCTCTCCCTATGGGCTCGATTTGGGCTGTGCGCGTGCTTGGCGTGTTGGGGCTTATTGATGAGGGTGAGACGGACTGGAAAATCATAGCGGAAACGCTGCGACCTGAGGGCAAAATGTACGAAAGCCTTGATAAAATTCCCCAAGAACTGAGGGACACGATTGTGCGGTGGATGCGTGATTACAAGACAACTGATGGAAAGAAGCGGAATGAGTTGGCGTTTAATGGTGAACTGCGTGGAGCCGAGGAGGCCTTACACGTGATTAGGGCGTGCTCACGCCAGTACGCCACTCTTATCGATGGCAACGCTCAAAACCCCGGCTATTGGCTGCGTTATTGCCAGGATGCGTGACAATGGTCTGCAATTTCGCATTTCCAAGTTTTAATTTGGCAAGGATATTATTGTAAGAAATCTAAAATAAAATGTTTTTTTGTGTTGTTATTGTTTTTGACGCAAATCGGGGTTCTTTCAAGCTCTTTGGTTGTTATATATATATATATAGTTTATTTCATGTTTTTTTTTTTTGCTTTGACGGTAGTGGCGGACGAGAGTTTCTAGCAGGTTGCGTTGGCAGGGAACAGTAGTCATTGTAAAGATAACACCGACAAATACACACCTCCAGCCACACACACACACGGACTCACGTTATGGGCAAGTCTAAAGTGATGCCGGGGACGGTGGACACCGCGGAGGCGGACAAGGCCACACCGAAATCTATTATTATTTACAGAGGTGAGGTTGGAAACAACGTTCGTGCTCTCATGCATGATTGGCGTGCCGTCTTCCTTCCCTGGAGCAGCAGGAATCTCCACGGCAAGAACAGTTCTCTTAAAGACTTTCTGGCCATTGCCTCAACATTTAGTGTCTCCCACCTACAGTTATTTACGGCACCTTCGCATGGAACGTCACTACGTATCATGCGGTTTGCGAACGGTCCGACGTTGTACTTCCGTGTCCTTTCCTTTACGTTGCGTCATGAGATTGTCGCGACACAACGCCGTCCCATTTCACTCAACCAAGCCGTCTGGGAGGCGGCACCTATTGTCGTCTTAAACAACTTTACCCACCCGGATGCACGGCGGCGCCCTGAAGTGCCGTTGTTGGAGGCAACTTTTAGGGGCATGTTTCCAACGGTGAACATTCAGTTGGTGAAGAACTCCGACATTCAACGCGTGTGCCTCTTTCACTACGACCATGTGGAACATCTTGTGGAGGTGCGACACTATTTTATCAATGCGAAGGCTGTGGGCGTCAGTAAAACAGTTAAAAAGCTTCTTGAGCGCCGTTGCCCAACGAAGCTTGGGACTTTGGAGTCTATCGACGATGTTCTTCACCGTGAAGATGTGTGGTCCGACACGGACGGTGAGGGGGAGGAGGTGCCACTCGCCCAGCCATTTCGTCAGCACCGCGAACAATGCCGCATTAAACTGCACGAGATTGGCCCTCGCCTCACATTGCAGCTTGTGAAGGTGACAAACGGGTTTGCCGGTGGCGAAGTGCTGTTTCATAGGTTTGAGAGCAAGACACCGACAGAGGTGGCAGAGAATGCCGTGAAGGTTCGCGCAAGGCGAAGCGAAAAGGCCAAACGAAAGGCTGAACAGGACGAAAATGTGCGCCGAAAACAGAACATGAAAGAAGAACGCCTGCGAGCAAAGCGGCTGCGACGCGAAGAGACCATGCGGCAGCAGGCGGAGAACCCCTTGGAGGTTGTGGATTCCGGTTATGGCGCCGACGCGGAGTAATGCGGGGATGGTTCCCTCTCCTATGCGACAAGAGCGCGACGAGCGAAGAGTAAAGAGGGGAAAGAAAGAATGCAACGGACAAGAAATTTGAAGGGAAATATTCCTTGGAAAAGAGAGAGTGAGAATGGAAGATGCATAAATGACGGTTAAAAAAAAACATGAATACATGATTCTTACGGTTGAAAGAGCCACATGAATTCATGGAATTTTATGAGATGTACCATCACATTTTTATTTTCTGAAATCTGTTATTATTATTTTTTTTTATTCTAGAGGGTGGATACACAAAGTAATATCTGCGTTTTATATAATAGTTACTTAAATATAAATATTTAGTAAACCTATAGGTTTATGTGGCCAACACGGGGTCATATGAAACGGTTAGTTAAAAGTGTCGTTCCTTGTATTGTTTGTTTCTTTCAGGATGCTGTATTAGACTGTGTGGTGGCATGGAAAAACATCCATAAGACGCTTTACGTACTCTTTTGCTTCTTCACCGGACGAAGTCATCTTGCCTATCCCCACCCTTTGGTGCAGCTCCGAAAGAAAAAGGCGGAATTGGCGTTGCATCGAAGCCGCAGTACAAATCCTACCGTATCCCATGCTTCATCAAGCAGCTGTACAACGCTAGAGAGGTTGGGGTCGTCTTGGGATGATGCTTCACCGAGAGAAAGTAGCGGCAAGGAGGGCAATTCTCTGTTGATGGGGCGAAAACCCGCGTTATCGATGGCCGAAGGAGATACCGCGGAGAATGAGTGTTGGATTCAACGTCATGTTCGGCGTGGTCACAAGGGTGAACTCTCTGAGCGGGTACTGAAGACACGTGCGTCACCCCTTGTCTCGCCGGCGTATCATCTTTGTCACTCCGAAAGCTTGCACCGCCTTGTGAGCAATATTATTGGTCCCATTCAACAACCGACAGTTTCGGCGTTACCAACGAGACACACCGCACCCCAGTGGCCACCACATTCATCGGGCCGCTCCCTTGCACGACACGATGGCCGCGGGGATGATTTTTCCATCACCACTGATGAATACAGTAGCACTACCAGTAGTCAGTGCCACCCGTTGCGTAGTGTTGGCGTTCAGTCCAACACGACCTCTGGCTCTGTGGATGCTAGAAGTAATAGCAGCTTCCGGGCTGTCCCTTCTGTTGTATATCGACGGGAAAGTAGCAAACAGGTGCAGTTTGATCGCTCAAAGGGGTCAAGAATGCCGCTGCAGCCCATTGCCTCCATCACATCCCATCACGTGCTTTCGTACCAAGCCACGCGTCAGAAAGTACTGATAATGGATCTTGACGAGACACTCTGCTTTGTATCTACAAAAAGTACCTCCTCCTGTTCTCCCCCGACTTTTTCGGAGGTCATTCCGACCGCCTCTGGAGCGGAACTCTTTTACGTTTGGGAAAGGCCCCACGTACGTTTATTCATTGGAACTTTGGCGAAGCTGTTTAATCTTGCCCTTTTTACTTCCGCCACGAAGCCGTATGCGGATTCTATTCTTCGTCGACTGGACCCGGAACGCCTCATTAGGCGTCGCTACTACCGTCATCATTGCAGACAGATCCCACGATCTGCGTGTGGAGTGTCGCCCGGAGGGCGTAGCTTGGCTGAAAGTGTGGGATCTTCCACTAAAACGGCTGCGCAGAATGTGACAAGTTTGACGGGACAACCAGAGAGAAGTTGTGGAACAGCCGCCAACGATGTTGTGGCTGGTCGCATGGGTGACACTGTTCCGCCTTCTTGTGTTCACGAGGGCGCCAGAAAATCTGATGGAGGTGAGGGTGTGAGTGGCACGGTACTTGTGAAGGATCTCAGGATCTTAAAAGTACCACCAGAGTTAATGATTATGGTGGACAACACGGAGGAAAGTGTTTTGGCCAACCGAGAGAATGCCCTTGTTGTACCCCCCTTTTTTCCACCCGCAGTCATGGGTACAGGAGACAATGCTGCAAGCGATGATGTTTTGTTATCTCTCATTCCCTTGTTGGAGGCCCTGCTGGTTGTTCCGGATGTGCGTTCTGTACTGCGACACGGGCGAGTTTATTGGCCGAACTTAAATGAAAAATGAGTTTTGAAAGGAATCAATGGACATTTTGTTTTGTTTGTTTGTAGTTGCTTCTTTTATTAAAATGTTTGGATTTGACTTGCGCGTTGGACTCTTGCGACACCCGTTTGTCAAGTTTGAGCGCGCGGTTACGGGGCGGTGGGAGGTTGTAACTGGTGTTGTTGATTTTACTGCTGTTGTTTTTTTGTTTTTGTTTTTTTCGCGTGGTACGTACTTTTTTTTTTTTTTTTTTGGGGGGGGGGTATTTTTTTCGTTGTTACTGCATTGTTTTTTCGTGTGTTGCACTCTGTCTTTGCTCCTCTTTGCCTTTTTTGTTTCTGTGGATGATTTGTGCACGACACTCGTCTGGCATGCATCCTTCCAAACGGACCGTAGGTAGAGAAGTGAAGGGAAAAGAGCGGGGTTGGCTGCACGTGTGTTTGGTAGAGGCGAGGGAAATATGCTTTTTAGGCTTGGCCGGCACGTCGTGTCAAGAGTTGCGCTCGTGGCGCTTGTCCCCGGCGGCAGTGTCCGCCTGCTAAGCAATTCCGCCCTGCAACTGGCACCCAAACGACGAACGAAGACATCAGAACCCGGAAAGGCAGCAGCATTGGGAGCTTCTGCATCACCAACACAGAAGAATGACCCGCCGCCACGACGCCGGCAGCGAAAAAACAAAGGGGACGGTCATGACACTGAGGTTTTGAATCCGCGAGGTTCACTGGCCTCCTTGCCACGTGCAAAGAAGACGAAGGGCGTGCAGTCTGTGGCAAAGGAAGTAAGAGGGCCCACTCCCACTACAAGCGATGAGACGAGTGAGTCTGCAACGCCGAGCTTCACAGTTGATGTTCTCCGCGTAGTGGAGGAATGGGGTGCGGCGTGCGCAAACGTGCAACCGGAGGATGTCGAGAGCGGGGAGACCCAAGTCGAAAATAAAAATGCCGCGTCTCACGTGGCGGTTGCGGCTGGCACAAAAGGAAAGCCTCAACTTGGGGCCACTGCCCTCGCTGCGCTTCTCGTCCGTGCCGTGAAGCTACCAGAAGAATATCCAACACTTCACGGCGTGCTGCAAGTTTACCAACAGACGCCACTCTCCCGAAGTGGCGTTGTTGTTCTTCACGCAATTGAACTTGTCCGTAACGTGGATCATCTCTCCACTCTTGTTGCTTTTTTGCGTGTGTATCGCACGAGTGCCTTTAGCAGCACTCCGGTATACGAGGCAGTGATGGAGGAGCTTGTGCGAGCGACGACGATGTGGTGGCATCAAGATCAGAATAGCACCAAGAGAGGAGAAAGAGATGAGATTGTAATGCGGACTACACTGATGTGGATTTTATTGGAGTTTCGAAGGAATTATTTTGAGATGAATGCCACTTCCACGAGGATATCCGATGCGTCCAAAGGAAATAAGAAGAAAGTGGGAGATAAAAGAGGTGCCTCTATTGAACACAGCAAATGGTTAGAAGAGACCACCCAAAAATTACTTGCAGACGCTGCCGTACCAGCTGCCGATCACATAGCCCAGGAGGCAGGCGATCGTAAACTACAGACACTAACAGAGGGTGTGGTGAATATGGCTCTTTTCCTTCTCAGTTCTGCCATGGCAACCGAATTACAAATGTACTCTTCGCACAAAGAAACATGGGAAAGGGGCACCTCTCAAGTGCAGACGGCCATAGACGTATATCTGAGTCACAATTCATCTGAGGATTCTCTAAATGCCAGTATGAAGCATCTCCGAGCGCACGGGTTCGACCTGTTGGACGCACTGAGGCTTTTATCAATGCTTGACACGGCTCTTTCCCCTCTTTTGCGGGAACGCCTGAAACGCACCGCTTCTGAATGCTTTTTAAAATTGTGTGGTGCTGTGGGTGCACGACCAACCCTATTTACAGAGGTCTTGTGCACTCCGGAAATGGCACAGCGTGTACGGGCATTAACTTCAAACGACATTGGCGATTACGTTAAGGCAGCTCTTTTTACGGGTGCGGCTCTCTTTTGCGAGCGTGCAGATGACGCTGCGGTCAACCGGATAGCGCAACAATTGCAGGCGGTGAAGAGGGTATCCGCTAAGAAAGAAGGTGATCTTTGCGTTGATGCCGACGAAAAGGAAGAGGATGACGCGGAGGTGACTTCTCCGCGATCGAGACGCGCAACCATCGCGTATGGACTTTTTTCTGCGGGGTTTGATCCTGAGGCGGTGCTCAGCAGTGGGTTATGCGTTGGACACAACGCGATGGAGGTGCTTGAGCTGTTACAAGCCGCTGCCCTCTTCTCACGGTCATTTGCCCTTTCCCCATTGCCCGCGCGGCTCTCCATGTTGCTTACTACGGAGGTCGCAGCGCTTATCGAAGCGCGTATTAGGGCAGAGAACCGCGCAGGTGTGACACCAACAGATTGCATTGAGGGGCCGAGGCCACTTGCTGAGTTGTTGGAAAATTTTTCGCCTGTAGAGAAAAACACGAGCGGGAAAAAGGATGGCCTTGTGCCCCTTGAAGTTATTTTTCATTTGGCCTTTGGGACTGCCGTGGAGCTACTTGTGCGGGGAGAAGAGAAGAAGCTCAGCTCACAGCTTGTGCGGCTGCTCACGCTACTGGAGTGGGAAGGATCGTATAAGTACCTTGTTGATGGGCTGTCACTGTTGATTGACGGATTTGTTGAGCGCTTCCGCACCGCTGGGCGGTGCCAACATGATCGGCACCAGCAAAAATCGAGCATGACGACATCTACTGAGGTTGAACAATCCTTGTCGGAAGTGACAGCCTTTTTTGTTCCACGTGTTGTGGAGGCTGTGCAAAGACGATTGGCGAAAACAAAACGTGCCAGCGCTATGAGTGACGCGGAGGAAAAGGAAGCGGCGCAACTGCTACAGCTGGTTTTACACTTCACCGTGTATGTGGCCGCATGCGGTATGAATGCGACGACGGCTAAACAGCTCGTTGGATTACATACCATGGTTGTAAAGGGACTAACATCCGGCGGCTCTGACACCCATCTTGCCTCGCTATCGGAGACGGTCATACGAATGAATATCCTTGTTTCATATTTGACAGCCAAACAGCGAGAGTTTGGTGTTGCGCGTCATCCCGAATCGCCTGGATTGCGACATTGTAGTATTTTTCTCAATGACGTTGTTGCCGTCCACTTGAAGCCGATTGCCGCCGTTGTTCGTCGCGGTGGGACTATTGTGGTGGCCCAAGAGCGTTATCAGGTGCTTTCCCTTGTGAGTCTCCTTTTCCGACTTGTTTCCGAGTACACTGTGGAGGCGGAACCAGCCGAGTTAAGGGCATTCCGCACAGACGTATTGGACCCCACACTGACGCGCGTACTGCAAGAACAAAATAACGGGGATGTTCAGTGCAATGAAACCCTTGATCTTGACGCACTGAGCGAAATCACAGTGGTGATGTGCGTACCACACACCATTCATCACCTTTCTAGCCAACTGTTGGATCAACTCGCTGCTGCTGTGGTGGTGGCGGCACCGAAGCAGCTTCAATTGGCCCGTACAGAGGATCAAAGGCGGCACTCTAGTAAGACGGCGACGCGTTTGCTCGTCTCTGCTGCAGCTGTGTGTCAACTCCGACAGGACAAACTGACGGCGCGGTATCTCTCTTTGGTGCAGGCATTGGGACCGTTGTTGCTCCCAGCCGAGGTGTCAGCCGTATTGTGCTCTTTTGTTGCTTTTAATGTGCCATCCGATACCGATGCCGTTGTTGAACTACGAAATCGCCTCACGGAAGAGGCAGTATCAACGAATTCATCGTTGTCTGTACCAGAGACAATTTCATCTTTGCGGGTTCTTTGCGAATTGGAGGACACAACTCGGTTGGCCCATGCAGCAATCCTGCGACGCATTATTTATTCCGGACATCGTTTAACACCGGGAGAAGTTGGCATTCTTGTACGCATTACTAAAAGGCTGCAACAACTAAACGGCACTCTTCCTGAAGATGACTTGAAGTTTCTTCAAGATCTTCCATTCTCTCTTGCGGAAGAAGTGTTACGAGTTCGTCAGCACTGCTCAGCTTCGGATCTTCCTCTCGTATTACAGGGGTATTCACAGCTGGAGGAGGATCGTTACGGTGAACTAAACGACCGTGTAATGAAAGCGTACATTCTTAGGACCATTCAGGTCCGCCCCCTTCTGGGCCCCAAGGAGGTTGTTGAATGTCTAGAGAGTTATGCGGCAGCACGAGTGAGTCATCAATATTTATTTGGCGTGCTCCTTGCACGTGTGGCGGACGTCAAGTTAAAATTTTCATTGCCCCTTGCGGTGCGTCTTGTTCGGTGTGGAGTGAACGCCTCATGGGATAAAAACATTCAGACGGCATGCATTACAGCCGCGCAGCCGGTATTTATTGGGCTTGTGCGTCATTTACTGCAAAATGATCCCGCCTCGCTTCCTTCTGTTTCAAGCAACGCCGTGGTTGTACTCCAATGCCTTACCGAAGCTTTTCCCAACGACCCCACCAGTGATCTTTTGCTGCAGAACATGGCGTCGCACCACACCGCCCTGTCACTGTCGACGATGATGGCGGTGCTTGAACTGATTGCAAGGAGGAGTTCAACCGAATACAACATTTTGAGATGCATGACAGAACATGCTGCGTCCGCGCTTTTTCCACAGACTTCTCCCAGTGCATTTGCAGAACTGACGCGTTTATTTGTTCGTTGCGGCGTGCGCTCCCGCGTCTTGTTTACGGCTTTATCGCGGCGATTCAAGGAAATTAGCAACAAATGTGATGGAAATGTGTTGGCAACTCTCGCGGAGGCCTTTGCTGTTGCCCATGTTGACCTGGAAGAAGGTATCATTACAACTTTTATTGAACGCATAGTTGCTCTTTCAGAAGGAAAGCAGCTTCTTTTACAGTTAAATCACTGCATCAGTATCCTTAAGCTGTTTTCTCACATAGACGCAGAGAAGGTTGAACAGGCCACCAATCTTCTTTTAGAGTCTGCCAGAAAATCTCTGGAAGCGAAGGAAATGGTTCACGATGGTGTGAAGATACAACAGGCTCAAGACATTAATATTCTTTTATCTGCTTCTCTTCGGACAGCCCCCTTGCGGCATCGCGCTCTTGCAAAGCAATGCGCCGACGCACTGCTGGGAATTGTGGGGGCAGAAGGCGTTGGGGAGGAAAAGAACTGCGGCGCTTGGCAGACTGACCTCATGCTTATTGTCCAGCTGGCCAGCAACATAGTGCGATTGGGGCTAAGAAATCACCCTGTAGTTCCTTACCTGTTTGATGCCTTGTACGAAAAACGAAGTGCACTCATGCGGCGCCGGCTGCTGCTACAAATAACCGCCGAGACCATCCAGATAGCAGGGGAACACACACATAAACAACTCTACGCCCTTCTTGTGCAGGGTAAACTTGTGGCCTGAGAATCTCGGATGCAAAAAGATGTGGTTGCCGTGTCGTTTAACCCTGAAGTTCTTTTGGCTCACTCGTTTTCAGTTTATTATTATTCATATATATTTTGGCGCCGTGAGAAAACGATACTGTGGGTAAAAGAGCTGGTCATCATTTAAATAAAGAAGAGCAAGGGGCTTTTTATGAAAATGAGCATATTTTTTATTAGAGTAAGCTTTTTTCTTCTTCTGCGCAATTTGCTTCTGCTGGCACTGCTTCTTTTCCCTTTTTTTGACAAGGTTAATTTGGCACGCGCGCTGAGCACCCAAATTCTTTTTTTTTTTTTGTGTGTGTGTGCTTTTGTGTGTCTTTTTTAGTGGACATCCCTTTCGTGTGCTGCGCGCCCTTGCTGCGATTTGAACGAGAAAATCGCCACCCTTCCGTTGGATCTTGCAGCTGCGAGGGCGGTGGCCTGGTGTTCAAACTTTGGCGAGCGTTGCGCAGAAACCCGCCATGGGCCGAGAACAATCGGCAGACTTCGAAAAAGCATTCGCAGATTTGCTGCTTGCGGGGCTTCGTCGGCAGGGAGAGGTGCATGGCGACGAGCGCGTCCGCTCCATCATGCGACGGGTGCTGGTCGAGCGCGGTGGCGACGGGAGGGAGGAAACTGGGACGGTGGCCTCAGCAGTTTTTTCTTTGGCTGGAGCGGGCCTCGGCGACAAGGGGGCGATTGCGGTGGCGGAGGCCCTTCTGAAGCTCGGCTCGCCGCAGATGGTGAAGTCCCACGGCGTGCGCCGCTGGACGGTTTTGCTCAATGACAATGGCCTGACGGACCGGTTCTCGGCGCACGTGTCGCTGCTGGTGTCTCGCTGCGCGCCTCCCGTGGTGCTGCTTGATGCGCGGGGCAATGCGATGACGCCGGCGGCCATTCAGCGCATAGAGGAGGCCCGCGAGCTGTCCCCCGCCCCCTGCGCTCTTCGGCTGCCTCCGACTGCGGGGACGGCTGGGGTGGCTGCCGCGGCGTCGCTTAGGGAAAGCGCCTCTTCTGCCTCTACGGCGGGCGGGTGGCGCCGCGGTTTGGATGCGGAGGCGCTGCGGAAGCGTCGTTCCGCGCTGTTTGCGAGCGGGGCTGCTTCCTCCACCGCGGTGGGGAGCGAGCTGGGCGGGCGGGGTCGACCGCGGAGCCGCCAAAGCGAGGGCGAGGCCCCGCGTGACGTGGCAGCGGTCGAAGTCGCTGCACGGGCGCCGAGCTCGGCGAGTGGCCCCGCACCTGAGGAACGGAGCCGCCGAATGGAGGCGAGTGGCCGGCGGCATTCGGCTGGCGCGGGGAAGAGCGAGAAGAGGGAGGAGGAGGCTCCTCCTCGCGGGGGCGATTGCGGGGAGCCCCTCGACGTGACGGCGAACCTCAGCCCTCTCTTGGCGGTTGTGCTGGATCTTTCGAATGCGGTGCCCACGGGTCGTTTGCAGGCGCTTTATGGCACCGACGATATCTGGAGCGTTGTGGCGTCGTCTGGCGAGGCGGTGTCGCACGCGTTTCCGCCTAAGCAGACGCCATTTCTTCGGGCAGGGATTAAATCAATGGTTTCTTTTCACTCTTTGACAGTTCTTTGCATTCGCAAAAACCGTCTGGAGTCATTAAAAATTTTGCCACCGTCGCTTTTGCGTCTGGATGTGAGTGAGAATGAGTTACGAGAGCTTACGGGTGTGGGGCAGTGCAGAATGCTTACACTTCTGAATGCACGTAGAAACCGCTTACAGTCTATTCGTGGGTTGGAGCGAAACCTCGCTTTATCTCATCTTTTTCTTGCCTACAACGAAATCGCCTTTGTTGAGGGCATTGCACATCTGCTTCTGCTGGAGACGCTTGACTTGGCGCATAATAGACTTAAAACGCAGGCTTCCATCCGCCCTCTGTCACTGGCAAGAGGATTGCGACACTTGCTGCTGCGTGGCAACCCAGTGGTGAAATGTATAAAAGGTAGTTATCGTCCTGTGTTGCGTAATCTCTGCCCGTCGCTGCTTTCTATTGATGGTGAGCGCCTTACTTTTTCACGATTTGCGGCAAAGGCACAACAAGAGTGCAGCGATATTCGTATACCATATGCTCCCGGGGATAGTATCGGTGGTATAAACGTTTCTTTGATCTCTGCAGAGGATGGGAAAGCGACGAAGGTAACACAGTGTGCCAATTTCATGCATCTGCTGACGCGTGGTACTGCAGTTGGAGCGGGATCTGGATACAGTGATGCTGCACGGGCTGTGCGCACGGCAAAGGCGTTGCAAGCACGAGGAGCAGCAAATGACAAAAAGGGGAAAGAACAGCGGCGTCCGGCATACCTCGCGGATGGGGAGCCTCTTCGAAAGGAGCTGCTAAAGCGTCTTGCCCAAGAGTCAAGGAAGTACCTGGAATCGATGCTTGAGGAGCGACTGTCCAACATACAGGCTTCGCATGTTTATGACAACTTACCTGGTAGTGGTGAATCCAGGGATGGGAACAATGAATCTGAAGGGCTCTCTAACGACACGTCTGCACAACGTGAGAGCTCTGGACAGGGGAGCGGGCCACACCTTTTCAGTGGTGACCGCAATCGGAAGGCCCCTGAATTTACCCAAGGGCTTTTCCCCGTGGAAGTTGCTAGTGAAGAAAACATCGAGAAGCATCGAACAATTCCACTCGAAAAAAAGATGCCAGCAGTGCACCGCGATGCGACGCTGGATCATGAACAGTGGCTACGTCTCCGTGAGTGTCGGATCCGCCGCAGTGCACCATTTGGAGATACACCTCAACGTATATCGCCGAGTCCAAAGACTCCGGATATTTCTTACACTAAATCTGAGGAAAAAGAAGTGTATATCTCACCTATTCGTAAGGATCACGATGAATGCCAGGCTGCTTCAATAAATGTCACGGAAATCCTACCTGATATGGAAATGCTGGATTCTCGTTTCCGTGCCGACGGGAAGGTTTCCGGGGAGCCAAATGGTAGGCCTCGTTTGGTGAAAAGTGATTTGGGGCGACCTATGCTTTTGTCTCCATCTGCTGAGTGCTCACCTGTTAAGGCGCATAGGGTTTACTCGTCTCTTCAGTCGCAGAAAGGCAACAAACCTATTTTATCATCTTCCGCGACTCCCTTACATGGCGTAAAAGCAGCGAATGAGCCTGTTATTTTTTCTCCACCACCGCCTTTGTTGTCACCATGCTCTCTCCATTCCAATGCAAGAAGTTACGCCGTAAAGAAATGGGTAAATCAACTCCGTGAAGACGCAGAGGCTGTTCAGGAAGCTCTAGAAACCCTTGTTTCTATTCTAGACTCGCGGTGGTGGAGTAAGGCTGCAATTACTGGTAAGCCTTCTTTTATTCCTCCTGAGGTGTTAGAAGAGCGAAAGCGCTGTGTCGATATTCTTACCGAAAGCGGAATGCTCTTGGATACCGAGATTCCTCTTGACGTTGTAGAGTATTATCATTTTACCCCCGATGAGTTGAGGCACACTGGTGAGGAGGATTATGGTGAGGAAGGTGATTGCGCTGCAAATCCACTTTCTGTGGTAACTGCGTGTGACTCCTGTCGAGAAAAACGTGAAATTTTGCACTGTATTCGTGTCATTGGAGACGGAAAGACATGTTTGCGATACCTGGTGCTACTTATAGAGGAAATGAAGGAGGAAGAGCTGCAGCAGTATGTGAAGGAACTTCAGTTGCTCACAACGTGTGAGTAGCCTGGGCGATTGGGGAACCTGGGAGAAGGGAAAAGAAAGGGATCGAGACGATAATTTTAAAAGGCGAAGGAAAAGTGAAAACATGCAAAATGAAACATCTATTTTTTTATAGAACAGAGATACCCAGTGTATAGATAATATATATATGGATAGAGGTTTTTTTTTTTCTCTCTCTCTCTCTCTCTTTCTCCATTTTTCGATTGAGCTCCATGATGGTCACTGTAGTTTTGAGTGTGGAATAATGGAGAACAGGGCATCTAGAGACCCTTTTGCTAGACTTATTCCGTGGGGCGCGGTTTGTAGTGGGTGCCTCCTTTTGTTGTTGGGTTTTTACTGACATGTATATATATATATTGAACCGCCTTGCCTTGTAGTTGTGTTCTGCCTTTGTTTTTTTTAAGTCTTTTTTTTTTTCTATCTTCTTCCTTTTCCTTAAATTCCTTCTCGCTACCTTTTGTTCTCGCTGCGGGCTGTGCGGCGCATCATTATTTTATTCTTCCGAGGGTGTTTTTTTTGTGTGTGTTTGGCTGAGTAACCAGCGAGTCAGTTTGCTGGGGAAGGGGGGAATTTCTACTGGGTTGTGTTCGTCGTTGCACTCGTCACATTCATCTGACACCCGCGCCGGTGACGCAAAAAGCGACAACGCGCATCAAGAGACAATGAAGATCACCGATTTTTCAGCGAAACTGCAAGGCCCTCCGGAGACGGAAACGTTGCTAAACTGCTTGGTAGGTGTTCTTCTCGGTGTCACACGAAGAAAAGCAACTGAAGGGCCGACACGAAAAGGCATTTCTACCTCGCCAGATGGAAACAGTGAGGCGGGAGTTATTTCCTCTCTCCGTAGCGTGAATCCCTCTTCGGAAGATGACTCTTTTGCTCAAGACGTCTATCTCAATGAATTATGTTCTTATTTATCATCGGGGACATCTTCGAGAGAGACGGGCGAAACTCCTGGAGCGTCTCCGCCGATTCCGTTGCCCTTGCCTAAAATTGGATCCTTTCAGAAGGCTCGGACACTTTTCACGCGTCTCGCTAAGTCTCATTACTGGCGTCGCAGGTTTTTGATTCCATTACTGCGCCGTTGGTGGCGGGAAGAGGGTCATTCTGTTTTTGGTTTTCTTCTCCTTCAAAGTATCACCGACGCGGTTGCGAGGGAGTTGGTGTGCATCCAATCGGATAGTGGGGAAGCAGTCATGGGGAATGAAGGACAAGAGACGTGTCATGATGATGGGATGGGAAATAACAAAAAGCTTCTTTGTCCAGGAGCCATGCAGGATTTAGAGGAGTTGCTGAAGTCTACAGGATCCTTTAGGGGTTTGTGTATTGGCGTTGATGCCATCATTCGAAATAATTTGAGTAATCTGCTGCGGTGTGTGAGAAAACTTCTTGCGGGAGGCGCCTGCAAGGATGAAAAGGATGCACTCACTGGGAGCGCTCGAGCTGAAATGGAGTGCCTAGTAGACGGTTCGACGAAATCCGTATTAAAGGATTTGTTCGCTTTTTTTTTCGGGACAATGAATGATGTGGAAAAGGCATTTCGTGAATCTGTTTGGACATTTTTAGTGGCTCTTCTTTCAGCTTACACGGGTGCTCTTATTCTGCTTAAGAGGGATACCAATTCCGATGCCCAGGACAATCTTTTCTTCTTGGAGGCTCAACGTATGTTTATTGGAAAAATGCAAGAACACTTGCGGGGATATCTCACGGTTCGTCTCTCGTCCGACAGCGTGGCCATGGGTAACTCCCCCGTGACGGTGCATAATGTTGTGTGTCGACAGTCCTTTTTCTGGAGGGCTTCAATGGAAGTGGAAATTGCAATGGAGTCGTTGCCACCTGCTTTCATATCAAATTCGTTAGTGGTGTCCTGGGCACGTAAATTGGTAGCTGCTGCATGGGGAAATGCGTTTTGTCTCGTACAGTCACTTGTGCGTGCACAGGAGGCTACTGAAGAGGTGCCGGGCACGGTGGAAACCACGGATTCCATTATTTCCGCTATACGCCGACGGCACCGTGAGCTGTCGGAGGAGCATTTGGAACGGCTGGTGTCGGCAGAGTTGAGATGCTTTTCCGGTACAAAGCGTCCGCGCATGCTTGAAACGGACGCTGTTGGTGACAAAACAAAGGGAGGATCAAGAACAGTGCCCACGACAGAGGAGACGCCGGCATTCGGGTTTTCATCATATGCCACTGAATATTTTCTAAGAACGTATCATCCAAGTTGCTTTGCCGTTCTGTCGTTGGTAGAACAGGACACCCTTGTTCTTTTGTTGCGTCAACTGTATGCTGTTATTGTCAACAAGGAACGTGAGGCGATACGGCGTTCTTTGCTGACTGTTATTGTGCCCGATGGCAGTAACGTGACGGATACTCAGAAGTCGCTGTTGCAGTGGCATTTACATCATGTTCACACTCAAGTTGTGCAGGCCCTTGGGGAAGACGCCTTACTGCTGATGTGTTTGTTGCATGCTGTATTTATCTTTCTTGAACGTATTGGGAAGACAAATCTGAATGTGTGCGATGTTCTAAGCGACACACTTCTACCTATTCTGGCTATGCTGTGTTCAGAACGCCACGGCGGCTTTGCTGAACATGAGGATGGGGAACAATACTACGAGATCCAGCAGTGTATTATGATGCTCCTTGCATCAGGTTTTCTTGTGCTACCTTGGTGCCTTCGTGGGATTCGAATTCGACAGGTTCTATACAATTATATTTGGGCGAATTTACGGGATTCTTTTTCTGCCGAAGAGGCTTTCACGGAGGTGAGTCATATTTTTGTGCAATATGCCGATGTTCTTAATCCAGCAGAGGATGCAGCGGCAGCTCTGTGTGGAGATCTTTCGGACGATCCTTTTTTGCGGATGCTGGCGTCTGAAGGCGAGGCGGCAACGACCACAATGGAGGTGATGGATGATTTATTGCGTTTAGAGACGCCTGTGCAATTTCCTGCACCCTGCGGCGCGTTGTTGCTCATCTCCATTTTTCGCACTTTGTCGCTTAACTTTTCGCGACTTTTTGCAGAGTGGGAGCAACAGAAACAGCATGTGCGGGAAGGTGCAATGGATTATTTGGGGCGGGAGGCTACATTCTGTACGATAAGGGATATTGGTGTCTTTCGAGTTCTTATCCAGTTGGCACATCGTATGGTACTAGGCTTTCAGTTGCAACCAGTTGGCTTACTGCGATTATGGCTATCATTTTTGACTCATCTCTTTACCCATTTTGTACCTCATTTGACTGAAGATGATGAAATTGTGCTGATGACATTACACACAAAGGATGGATCCCGGTCTCGTGCCGAGGAAGAACCACCACGACGCGCATATAAACGCTCGCCGAATGAAACCTCTCAGGGCGAGCTACGTGCCATTTTGGGCGAACTTCTTGCGGACCTTGCATTGATGCCCCTTGTGGATGCTGAGGCGGTTATGCAGTGTCCTGTGGCAGTTCCACACCGTCCTGGTAGCGCACAGTGGATACAGAAGCAAAGTGAGCGGTCACAGGATGTCCTCATACTGCAACGCGTGCTTCCCGTTCTTGTGCTGGAGGAATTGTGTTTTGCGCTGAGAATCCCCATCGAGGATTTGGACGAGAGGGAGGCGGATCAGGCGTTTGTACGCCAAGTGGGAAAGACGGTGGAGCAGTCTTTCTTGGGTGTACTTGGCGTGTTTGCATTCTGCCAACGCATGGAGCTTTTTGTGGTCCCGGGAACTTTTACGGACAAGCGCTTTGCAGAGTTGTTGCAAACTCTCTGGTTGGCGGTGGAGGCAGGTTCCATGGTGATGGCGCCCACGTGATGTCTTTATCATCTGTTTTTAACAACAAAAAATTATTATTATTTTTTTTTGGCGTCGCTGTTTTTTTTCCACTTTGTTCCTTACAATGAAGGCATTGCATGGGAATACATGGCAGTTGAGGCGGCACGAAATGCTTGGCACCGCCTGCGCCAAAAATGGAATAAAAAGAGGGGTGCAATGTGGACTCAATGTTCTTTTTTTGCTTTCTAGCGTTTTTGCTCATTTGTTTTTACACCTATTTTTTTTTTCTTTCTTGCCCCCTTTTCCCCTTTTCCATTGGCTCTACTACGAAAATAGTGTTGTGGGGGACCGATGAGGACGGGTAGTGTGCAGCTTGGGCGTCTTTTTTCGCCATCTCTTATCGGGAGAAATCGTTACTGTACGCCGCATCTGCAGCAGGCAAATTATCTCCTGCCTTTTGTTGCGGGGGCCTGTTGTAGCGTGGAGGATGCGAGACGGTTGTTTGCTCGTTGCTGTGGTTGCTATCATCACTATCGTGCGGAGGGAGAGGACGAGAGTCACGGTGGTGACAACTCCACCGACACGGAGTCCGTGATGGAGGAAAGTGTGATGTCCTTGCAGCGCCTTGGCTTGATCTCGCACACACACGAAGAACAGGCTGTCAGGGGAGAGTTGCAAGTTCGAAGGATTTATCGTGAGCCCATTATCACGATCAATTTGCATTCCATCAATGTGACCTCTTTACAGAGAGGTGAGAAGGAGACGGAGGCGCTCTTTCAGATGTTGCACGGTGTTATCATTCCTCTGATGTTCTCTCGTCTTGCGTCGTCCTCAGCCACTTCTCCAACAAATTGCAGTCCGCATTTCGAGGAAGAAGTTTCAGCGCAGTTGTGCTTTTCTTTGCTGCAACAGTCAAGAGGAACCTGCTCAAAAGTGAACGACACGACGTGCCGATTTATGGTGGATTTGGTGAATGAGGCTCTGCTTCTTGGGGTTCGTGAGCGGGTACTGTTCCCATGTGGGGGTGGTCTTTTCCGCTTGCATCGCGAAATGACGCAGCGGGTTTCACCGTGTTTGTTGACGTTTCAGTGGTGGTGGTGGCGGCGAGTAGATTCATTTTTGCGACATGTTGTAGCAAGCCGTGCGGCAGGCAAGGATGTGGCGTCTGAAGCCATGATTGACGCGGCGCAGGAGCGTGTTCGTTATTGGATTAAAAGGCGAGATGAATATCTCCCACATTTTTTTTTACACGCATCCATGGACGATACCATGGCGTTGGTGGCGGATGCTGTGCGCTGTTGGGGTGTGCCTCAATCTCCCGTGCAAGGGCAAAAGGCATTTTCTGTGCCCAAGTGGAGGCTGCAGTTGTCCGATGAGGCCAAGGCATCACTGGCGTTGGAGACGTTGAATTCCATCAGGTCTTGTCTCGTTCGGCGTCCTGCAGGCATCTCTGTAGATGAGCTATCGACACTTATTGCCTGGTCTACAATATCGAGCCTTCTTCAAAAGAAAAGCATCTTGAAGACATTGAATTCGTTTCCTTCTAACTTTGTTGTAAAGACGGTCCAAGGGGTCACGGTGGCGCAGCTCCAGCTTTGTTTGGGTGAGACCAATACTATTAACGCCACGGAGGCAAGAACGTGGGTATTGGGCAGAAGAAATGAGTCCTCTGATACCACTGTATCGTTTCTTCAAGAAGTCGATTTTGTCATACGATCCGTGTTGTTTCTGCGGAAGCGGCACCTGCTTGAGAAGAGAGTGACATTTGAAGATTTGCGTGCGGTTCTTCTGCCTGAAAAGGACATGGAGTTTACAGACGCTTTTTTAGAAGTTCTGCGCCGTTATGATGTTGTGACCGGCTTAGAAGCAGAGAAGCCTGTCTCGTGGCTTTCTCTGCAGCAGGAGAGGGTTTTTCTGTCTTCACGAGAATCCGTCGCGCTGAAGGCGATTGAGGCCTCTAGGAAGAGAAAAGGAAGCAAATATCAGCTCTATGCGGAGGCAATTAGTCCTTTCCTTTCCCGGTGTAGTGAAGAGGCTACCGCAGCCGGAATTTCTGACGCGTCTATGCCCATTGCTCTCTTGGAACGTTGGTTACAGTCCGATCGGCTCTTGTTAAATCGAGCAGATCTTTTTAAAATGCTGCGTGAATGTTCTTTGCCATTTGTCATGGATGAGAAGGCGCAGTCCATTTATCTCGGACATGGGAAAATGGCAGATTTGTCTCAATGTGCTGTGCCACCGTCTCCAGTAGATCCGATGCCCTCAACGTTACCTCCACCCCCACCGCCGCTGCCGACGCCCGTAACTCCATTACAGAAATTAACGTTTGATTCGCAGCTTTCCCGTGCATTAAAAGGACAGCATCCAGACGCTCTGTTCCGTTTTGCTGAGGCTACAATACATGCGGTGTTTGGGCTTATTTTGCCTCTTGTTTCTGTTCCTTCTGGAATGCGGCTTCAGAACCTTATTCGCCGTGTGCGCTGGGGATCTGTGGCAGCAACGCTTGGCGTCCTCCCATCGTTTTTAGAGGCATTTGATGGCCTTTTTTTTGATGTGTTTGTTGATACCAGCGGGCAGATGGAGGATATGGTGGTGACAGCGTATCGTGGCCATGTAGGGGCTTGGCTTCTTTATGCCCGTCTGATATCACGCCTATTCCCAACTGACGTGAACATCCCGCTACGACTTGTTGCCGAGGGTCTATCGTGGGGTGTGTGGTTTGCCCCCCGGTTTGGTGATCTTCCCACGCTTCTACGGCGTGTGGGACGCTCTTGTCGAGAAGGATATCTTCTGGCAAAGAATGAGTGTACTGTTGTCCCATCCGCGGAGGACGATGCGGCGCTGTGGGAAATTTTAGAAAATGTGAGACGAGAAGAGAAGGATGAGCAAAAACCGCATAAAGTCTTGACGGAGATTCGGCCGTACTTATTAGTCAAGCCGACATGTCTCATTCGATACATGCGTGGGAATAAGGAAACTGACAGCAGTGGCGATGACATGTGGATGCAATATGCAGAAACCGCCATTCGACGTTTTCCGTTGTTTTTTCAGTGGAATACTGCTTTGCAGGGTGCGACACCACTTCTGCGTATTGCGTTGAAATGCGCCCCCGCACCTGATGGACTTGCCGCTTTAGTGGAAGAATACGTTTGCCCCCTTCTGCGACAGCGCCCTCAGGATGGTACCAGCATTGCGGAGTTGGATGATCGACTTGGGTGGTCCCGCGGCAACTTTGATACGCATCCCGCGAGTTCACGTGCTCTTGGCGTTGTTGCCAGTGGAACTTCGCTGTATGGTATTTTGCAACGGTACGTGGAGGCCGTAGATCCGCCGCGGATTTTGCTACAGCGGGGATCAACACGGGCAACGGAGCATGAGAGTGTGATGGTGCGTCCCAATACTTGTATTTATCGAAGCCCAGAGGACATGTTACTGGAGGTAAATGGCCTAGAATACATGACAAATGAGAACGCGACGCTTCGTCCATCGGGGAGACCCGTCTCTCTTTTTGAATTGTTGGCGGAAGAGCAAGAACTGCAGGGAGGGGAAAATGTCCCAAGCCTGCCCCGAACAGAACAGTGGCGCGTCTCGTTGCAGTGCAATGGAGAAAAAGCCGCTGAGTGGGAAGTGGAGTTGGCAAATGGCAGAGTTGACGTTCTGGTCTGGTGTGAGTCGTGAACACACGACTTTCTTAATTCCTTACGAAGGTTTGTATTTGTGTGCCTGAGGGAGGGAGGGAGAGGAACCATCAGGTACGATAAAACTTTTTTCTTCTCGATCGTTGTGCAAATGATACGGTTGATAATATTGTTGCCCTTAATGTCATTTTTTATTTTTTGGTTGGTGTTTGCTGTCTCCGCAGGAAGATAGTGGGCGCAAAAGGAGGAAGGGGAAACGGAGGGCAACAATAGGGAGATAATTGAGGGGGAGTGGGAGGGAGGATGTCCTCCAAGAGTGGAAATGGCTCCCGGGCGCCAACAACCCGAGCATCCACCTCGATGCCTCTTTACAACACCGCAGTGCACTCTTCTCTGAACCCGCGACCGGTGATGTTGCGTGTACCTTTGCTCACACCGAGTCGCAATGAGGCGGAGGACGAAAATGCGGATGTTGGTGAAAGCCCCTTGCATGCGGCGGATCCGCAATGTGGCCCTGCCACAGCAATGGACAGGAGTAGTTGTTGTACGAAGGCAGGACGGGGTGCGGATGTTTGTGAAGGAACCGGCTTGAACAAAGGCGATGCAAGAATTTTCTTAATGTCACCGCGATCCCTTTGGCCACTTTCAGCAGGAGTGGGCGTGGCAGAAGGCCGTGATCAACGCCGCGTCACAAAATCAACGCCACCGGTTTTTTGTAGGCGCCGTAGTACTCTTGTGCTATGCTCACCACGACCATCCCCGCCGAGCAAGGGCGGCGTGGGTGTGGAGCGTCCTGATGAAAAGGAGCTCCTTCCTGCCACCGTGATTACTGATGCTCCAAAAATACGGCTGAGAACAGGTGGTGACAATGATCGTGTGGAGATAAAGGATATTCTCCCTGCTGCCCCTCCCCGCCGCAGGGTAACAAGTCCCCTTCAGCATCTCCTGGTCTACCAAAATGAAGCACAGCGACAGATGCAGGGCTCTTCTGTAGGTCATATATGCGGTGTTCAAGGGAGCTCGACACCCCCATATGGCGTTGCTGCATCTACGCCGTTCTTGGAGGCTGAACTACAACGACCATCGCCTTTTGTACAAGGAGGCGATGTGCATTCAGCTAGTGATAAATGCCGTATTTCGCCGACTTCTCTTCAGTTTTCCCTGCCTCGCGACGACAAAAGCGATTCTTCCACTGATACTTCCACTTTTGCGGCGCAAATGCCCTTTATTAACACTCGACGAAGCCCTCAGCGGAACTGGATGTCTCCCCTCCCCAATAGCAGGGCTGTGTCTTCTCTGGCAATTGGAAATGAGGACTGCTCTACATCAGAAGAAGATAATGGAGACAGCAATAAAAAGGCGACATCACAACCGGTTCCTTGCTTTGGTCCGGTGCCATCCGGCATGATGACTCAAGTTGCCGGTAAGGCAAGGGATAACGCTCGATCGTCTCGGGCCTTGCGCGGTTCCCTTGCTCCTTCCGCAAGACCCTCTGACACGGTGGCGAAGCATCGAACTCGGCCAGCAATTCCGGCAAAGACCGATATCATGAGGGCATTTCATGTCTTGGAAATACAGAAGAAAACGCTGGTGCTGATGGAATGCGAAGATAAGCAGCGTCGTAAAATCATTAATAAATACGTGCACGCCACACGTGGTATACTCGTGAATTATACCTTTCGACGTTTTTTGATTCTCGCACAGGATGAGACAGCGTCATCTTCTCTTTCACGTAGTCGCAAAGTGGCATCCTCTTCTTCAGAGGCGGAAACAAGAAGGCGAACAAGCGAGAATGTGGCGAAGAAGGAAGGAATGAAAGTGACGACTGGTTTAGAGGTGCCTGGTCCACTGTCATATGCTTTGATGCGAGAAGGATCCGGCTCCTCTTCATCAAGGTCATCCAGATGGCGTAGTGCGGCTTCTGGTGCCAATATAAATGCTCGGGAGTACTCAACGCCTTTTTCTACAGGTGGCAGCCCTAACGTGCAACAGTATCGACGAACGGGGAAAGAGTTAACTGCGAAGGGGTGTGTTTCTTCACGTTCCACCTGTGAAAATAAATTTTTTTCTTGTGCGGCGCCTACCCTTCCTCTAGAAGTTGGTGAAAGTATGAAGAATATCCACCATGCCATGCGCCGTTTTGAGGGGCAAATTCTCCGTCTGCTTTCGGCAGAGATAAGATCTAGACAACGAGTGGTAGAAGCGGAGGGTGAAGCGTTTCATTTCCTTTTAATTTATCATCGTCTTTTTGAGACGGCACTGCAGCCTTCTTTTATTTACTTACAGGAGGCATGCCACTGGCAGAGCATCGTGACGGAGGCAACTAATGCATTTCATCGCCTACAATGTGTTCGACATGATTGTGAGCTTCAGCAAAATATTCGGAGTGCTCGTGTTTATGCCCGAAATGTGGCAGCGGTGGTAGAAGAAGAAACTCGCATCCGCCTCATGCTTATTCAGCAAACAGAGTCCCAGGAATATCATCGTTTGACACAGCAATTTCATTTGGGTTTGGCAGCACTTTTGGAGCTGAACATGTGCAGCCAGCGACGCTTTCTGCAGGAAGTACGTGAAGAGATGGAAACCACCGCAATCCAGGAGATGCGGGGTCGAGAGGCGTTGTGGACGGAAGAGCTCCGGCAGAGAGGAATATTGTACCGATGTTTTGAGGTTGAATATGGAAATCATAAATTGTGTCATTTGGATATGCCACTCTCCACGCACAGGAGGAGGGAGGAATTGGCTGTGAATGCGTCGATTGAGTTAAGCTCCATAATGGGTGGGAACGACGACAACTCGTGTCTCAGCCACGTGGAGGCTTCTTCTGCAACGCCACTAGAGGTCACGATAGAAAATGTAAAAACATCCTCAACCGTGCAATCTGTCAAGTGCGGTGGTGCTCATCTTTTTGCTATTGCCACTGGGGAACACGACACTGCCCGAGATGCATTCTGTTTGAGGAGTGGGGAACAGGCTGCACAAGTGGAACGCGAGTTTTTCCAGTGGAGCTCGACATCAAACACTTTACCCACCACGACGAATAATACGACGACAGGCTCTGCCACAGTTGTTGTGGGCGGTGGATCTCATTCTTTACACAACACTTCAATAGGTGAAAATAGGAAGCCGCAGACAGCATCATCGCCGCAGCCACAGACTGTTTATTGCCCCAGTGCTACTTTGCACTCGGGTACATCTTCTCTTCAGATTAATTCCGTTGCGGGGGAAAAGGGTGATAGGGGTGAAAAAAAAAGTGTCGATGCATGTGTTGACGTTCCCGTTCGAGTGCATGGAGGAGATGTCGATGCGTCCATAGAAGTATTGGATTTCCCTGTTGATTCATCGGGGTTGCAGAAATCAGTGTCATCTAATTCGATTTCTAAGTCGTTGCGCCGTGACGTTGCTGTTTCGGTCAATATGCGTTCACTTGACACCTCACGAAGTGGAATGGAAAGTCATGCGACACCAATGAACAGGCACATCGTTCCGTGCTCCTTGAAATGCTGTGGATCTCGCAATGGAGCACGGTACGATGCCAGTCCGTCCCCTTTACCTCGAAAAGGCAGGGGTCGACAAAGAATGGTGTCGTGCGGAACCCAATTGACCCCACCTACTAGACGCCCTTACAGCGACGATGTTATCTTTGATCGAGCGCCGCATCGGATCTCTGCGAAAATTAGAATTGAAGAAGTAGCGCCTTCGAAAGCAATGACAGGGTCGATGAATGAATCATTCAATAGAGCTGTGAGCACAAATTGTTCATCATTCGCATCATCCTGCCAACGAAAAGTTGGCGTGCAAGAGAAGAGTCGTCAAGGGTATGTAAAGGAAATGGGAGGCGGTGATGAAACAATTGAAAGAATTGAGAGCATTGACGACACCTGTCACACTGCAGTAGGGGTAGATGAACACGCAACACATGGGGGTGAGGAAGCATTTCTTGTTGAAAATAATTCAACATCCTCTCATAGTTCCAAAGCGGTTCACCCGACCGAGAAGGCTGTAGAACTGCAAGAAAGGAGGAAGGGTACATTTTCTACGGGAACTGCACGGCGTGAGGGTGACACGTTTCCTGAATATTCTCTCTCCACCATGTTAGAGAACACGGCAGCTGCGAGCGTAGATCTTTACGAAACGGATGGTCGAATGGTAAAGGAAAATCCCGCTCTCACGGCTGTGGAAATAACCACTGTTTCCTCTCCATCTTCATGCAGTCACAGCGTGAGCGCAACTACGGGATTGAATGAATTATCTGATGGGGATGCTAATGGCGATAATTGTATAAATGACGAAGAAGACTGTGGTGGTGAGTCTTATATGTCTCCCATTGTGGTACAAGCCAATGCTTTTCAGGAAACAGTGAGAAACACTGTGGATGCCTACTACCCTCCGCTTAATTACATGCGTCCTACGATGTCGTGGCGGAGACAACACGAAGGACTTGAATGGCCAACAAGGCTTCGTCCTTCGCAAGGACGTAGCCGTAGCGTGACATCTAATTATAGCCTGCGATCAGGGAATGAACGAAACTGGAAAGAAAATACTCTAGTTCACTTGATACGTATCCCTTTCGAAGAAGGTCCAGGTGTATGGGGAGATGTCGAGATGCCGCGTAGGCCATTTGGCTATGATGCTTTGGGAAACAAAGCCTACGAGATGACAAATGCCGTTTGTTGCCGAGCACCCGTCACTACCACCATCTCCTCCTCGGCTCGAAGAAGAGATGCGGCTTGTCGATTCATGGCGGAGGGATCTACAAGCCGCAGTCCTTCACGTGCAAGAAGTTCAATTTCGTGCCACGCGAATGGCACCCCAACAGCAGAGAAGGAAAACCAGGAGTTTTTTGAAGATCCCACGACGCTGGAGAATCTTTGTGGAATAGTTGGGCGGAAATTTGTCGTACCACAGCATAGAATAACTGCTACGAATGCTGGCAGGGTATCTACCACTAGAAGATTGAGGTCGATGACGCCTTCGTATGTTGATGCTTTTTATAAACTTGACCGTGAGGTGGTGGGACGTAAGCGTTTTCTTGCTTCTCTGCGTCGTGGTGCGACACTGCGGGAGTCCTCTCGGAGAGCAGCGACAACTCCATGTCGTCAGCATTCCCAACATCCGTATCGACGCAGTGATGGTGGGAACATTAGTGGTCGTGGGTTGACTTTGTCTCCAGGTACTTCCTGCATGAACTTTTCTTCTTCCCCGTGGAGCCCGAAACCGAAACCGTGGCGTTGAAAGGTTATATACAGCTATAAGTACATGTATCTTTCCAGATGCACACACAGAGAGGGAGACACACACATACACACGCACACACTTGCACTATCACGTACAATGCGTTTTTTTTCATAAATATACATTTGTCAATTGTCCATAATTTTGTGGCAAGCCAAGAAATGTGGAAACTTTTATTTCACTTTTGCAATTTTGGTTTGATTTGCAATACAAAGTCCGTTTTCTACTCGGGCGTTTAGAGGCGGGAAGTGGTGGGGGATTATTGGAGTGTTCAGCCCCCTGTTTTGCCGTACAGCTGCTACAATTTGCCAGGAATAAACCGTTTAAGGGTAATAATAACGTGGAATTTGAAGAAAAAGTGCCTTTTTTCTTTCTTTTTTTTATTTTTTTCGTTTTTTTTGTGCGTGCGCATTTGCGGGATTTTACGTTTTTTTTTTTGTTGTTGTTGCCACACGCTGAGGGAATTGTGCAGCGTCGACGAATAAGGTAAGGAGGGAAACGAGATATTAAAAAGGAAAGAAAAAGAAGGGAGGGAAAGGTAGTGATAGACATGTCACCTGGAGAGAAACTCTGTGACGGCTGCGGCAATCCTGCTTTCTCTTTTCAGTGTCCACTTTGCCAGGCGGAGATTGCCACTGACCGTGGTTTTTTTTGCGGTCAGGAGTGCTTTGCGAAGAATTGGCGGAATCACCGCAACACATTCCATAAAAAAGGCGTTGTTCGGGCCAAACAGCCGCCAGGACCCGCTTCGGTCGAGGCAGCCGGGGACTGCCAAAAGCGGTTGACGGGGGGTACGAAGGAAGCCGGTGGATCCATCAAAAAACGGCGGAAACTGGAAAAGGAGGTGGGAGTGAAGACGAAGTGTCCAGGTGCCGTGCCTTGGCTTCCGCCGCCAAGGGGGAGCCCTGCTACGGCAGAGGTGACACCCCCGTTACCCCCCGAGACTCCCCGTGCAGTAGTCGGATGTCCATCGGCAGATCGTCGCATCGCATTCTGGTCAGCAGCTGTTGCAGCGTCGCACCATATTGCCGCTGCTTTTTCTCAGGGGGAAGGCGTCGCACCGTTTAGCGTGCTAGTTGTAACAAGCAGTCCATTGGCAGCGCATGCCATGGCCTGGGCAGCGCGTTGTGCTGGTCTTGCGGGTGTTATGCGTCTTGTTGTGAGTGCACCGAGCGAAGCTGTGGGAGCTAACCTATTGAAGCACACTTCCGACGAACGACGGGTTATTATCACGACACAGGAGATTGTTCGGTGTGTGGCCGACGGATCCGTGGCCGTGTGGCTGCCGAGAGCAGAAAGTCTTCTTGTGACGCTGCCAGGTGTTGTAGATGCGTGCGACCTTCAGGCTGTGCACTTACGTGCTGTCTTTTTTGTTGGTCGCACCGCTGGTTCAGATTCAACGGAGGACAATTGGTGTGTGGAGGAGGAAATTGTTCATCATGTCTCACCGCCGCTGAGCCCTCCTGCTGCCCTACTTCATCAGGTTGATGTTTTTTCAATTCCAACGGAGGATTCCTCAGCCACTGGCAACAAGGAAGCAACGGATACCACACCCAAATTGAAATTACTTCGCTTTGATAATGATGTGTCAACCTCACTTTCACGTGGTGACCTTTCGGGGGCTCTTCAGCATCTTGTGCGCCTGTACAGTGCAAGTCGGGGCATGTTTGAAGAGGTTTTTTTAAGCACCTTCTTGTCGGCGCTGGGTGCTGCAAGCGTCACTCACGCCCATCACATGCTGGCGTACGCCGCACGTTATCTGGTGGACCACTCCGCGCGGTTCGCTGGTCCGCCGGGAGGCACACTAAAGGAAATGACCCTCCGTGCAGTGACAAAGGTGGTCCGCCTATTCCCACCCATCAAGGAAGCAGAGGAAGGAAAAGTGGCGACAAAGAAGAAGGGAGATGCCGTCATCACTGACGCCACTGGGAATGGTGATTTAAGTGAATTTCTCACTCAACCTTCTGCCATAGAGAAGAGAAAGTTTTTGAACTACTACGAGACGCTTCCCAACCTTCAGCTACAGGCTACCATTTGCTACCTCTACGAACATGCCCCACCTGGGACTGTAGACGCCTTTGGTGCGGCTTGGGGCGTGGATAAAGTTGTACCAGGACTTGAAGCATTGAAGTTGGCAGATAGAAAACGTGAGGATGCGGTGCAACGGTTACGGAATCGTTACGGATCTAAGCTTAGTTCAGCATTTGCCAATTATCTTGTGGTCCTGATGCACTTTATCTACGACGCAGTGGCTGGGTATTCTCTCGCTGTGGAGGAGTTAGAGAGACGCACCCTATGGTCTTTGACACTTGAGCCAGAAGTGGGATCTCTCCGTAGTTTTCTTTCGAATTGTTTTCTGCTGCAAAAGGAAGACACATCTTGCGCTGAATCAAAGAGGGGGGAGACGGCAAGGCTTTCAAGCCGAAAGGTGTCGAATAAGCCCCCGAGCCGCACGGAAATTCTTCGTTCTTTTCCGGTGCGAACTTCCGTTTTTGAGGAACCACTCTTTCTTTCGTGGTTGACGCTTCCACTTGTGGGGAAACGGCAACGTGATATGGAACGGTTGCAACGTCAAGCTGTGGAGGAGATTCTTATGGCAATGCCAAGAAATCCCCGGCCCATGTACATTGGTGACGTTGGCAATCTTATTGGTAAATGGAACCATTTCAATGCTCGCTTTGAAGGTGCTCTTGGTGTAAGTCTCATGGAATTTCTTATGCAGCATCCTGAACATTTTCGTGTTGTTGGCAACCTTGTGACGCGGCGTTCTGCAGGTGTGTCTGAGCAAGTGAGGATGCGATTTGATAACGACGACAGCGGTGACGATGATGATAATGGCAAAGAATCGGATCAGGAACGCAAGGCAAAGGACCGTGCGTTGCTTACAGGTGTAAAGGGCAGCGGTGGACGTGGATTGAATGCGAAGGATCTGCCCGCGCGAGCACGGAAGAAGGCGACTGTGAAAGCGTTCAATAAAGCACGCTTTAACCGCAACTACAAGCCAATGGATCCAGCGGCAAAGGTGCCCGGATATGTCAAGCATGGCCCGCGCAAAGTAAAGGGCAGGGGCCGCAAGGTTAACAAGCGTGTCACGAAGCGTGGCGGTTAGTGACTTTGATGCACAGCCACAACGAGGGAGGGAATCAGAAAAGTAATGGAAACACAAACAAACAAAAAACAGTGGGAGAGATAAAAAGAAGGTGAAAATAATAGACATCCGTCAATTATCTTTCTGAGCCTCATGGTGGTGCAAAAATCAGGCTCTGCTGATTTAATGCGGCTCCAATACACAAACACGTTTAAACAAAGATGGATAAGGTAAAAACGGAAAAGTAGAAAATAAAATGTGTGAGAGAAAACGGTGGCTGCGGCGGCTTTGGACCATATATATTTCCACATATATATGTGTGTGTGTGTGTGTGGGGGACTCAATACATGAAGTCTCTTAGCCTCTTAACCACCACCACCACCACCACCGTTCCAACGTTCCAACTGTTTCATTGAGGGAGAGATAGATAGAGGGAAAGGACAGATTTCTCGGCTTTTCTGCGTTTTTTTTTTTCTGAAAAGGAAGGCGCAGAATTTTCTTCAATCGATGATGGCCTCCCTTTTTTGTCGTTTCTCTTGTCTTGACACAGTGAAGGAAGTAAAAGGGTGGAGGACCCAAATAAACACAGAGGACGGAGGGGAGAAATCAATTAAGAAGAGGTGGTAGGATTGTTGTGCGGTGATGAGGGCATCGCCCCGCTTGTCTGCATCTTTTTCTTCAAGTGCCATTTCTTCCACTCCTACTGCGGTGGCCGCTGCCGCTTCTTCTTCTTCGTTGGATGGTACACTGCAAGAGGTGGAGCGATGTTTCTTGCGCCATGTGATTCCAATGCGTGTACAGGGTGCAGGATCTGCTGCGGCTCTTTACCGGCATGCTTTTCTTCATCAGGAGAGCCTTATCCAACGTGTGCTTGGTGCACTGGAGTCTGTTCCACTTCCCGCTCTTCCCCGCATGCTTCTTGCGGAGGGTTTTCAGCGGATGTTGGATGGGGAAACGCCACAACGGGATATTCGAGCTCTTTTTGAGGAAGCGGAGAATGAGGCGCGACGCGTTTTGATTCAAGCCGAATCCCATTCTTCTGTGAATTCTCAGCATTGTGACGGACATTTCTATGCGGCTATCAAAACCAACCCATTGATGCGGTTGTTGGCGTACGAACTGCGAGCAGCTTGTGGGTACTATGCGCAAATAATGTCAATTCGAAGCCAACCTGAGGATGGAGCTGCGATGCTGCTACGCACACTCATTGCGGCCGATATTCGTACTGATCCTTTTTTAGTTGACGTTATGCTAAAGTTTGCCGCGCTGCGCCGAAATGTGGATACGGGAGAAAGACTGGAAGCCTGTCCATCGCCCGTCGAGGAGTTTGTTAAGGAATGTCTGTTACTGGAGCGTGATGCCTTTGGTAGATTTCGTTTTGATGCCCGTGGTGATAACCGCCACCTCTTGCACTGCATTAAACTTTCTGATATTACGAGGGCCCCGAGGGATTTTGCAGTTTTACTGGATCCAGTGCTTCGGCAGCACGGCAATTTTTGCATTCAAAGCACATCTGTGCATCAGGGGAGGTGGATGGAGCACCGGCTGTCGTGTGCGGAGGAGTCACACCGCGTCGATCCGCACCTCCCACTGCTTGAAACTGTTGAGGTTCCTTCTAACAAAGAAAGTGAACTTTCTGTCGGTGATGCTGTTGGTGTTGCTCACGGAGTATCTGGCAGGCCGCCGCTAGTCTTTTTTGTGCGGTACAACGATCCCATGTGTCGCCGCCATAAGGAGACAACGCGGGAAAAAGGGGCCGAGAAGGACCACCTCGAAGTGTTTGAACTGGCCGTGGAGGACAAAAGTCGCACATTTTGGGAGAAGTGGTTTATGGATCGCTGAGAGGCAGGGCGGGGGGGCTGACATTTGGGAAGGGGACACGAACGCAAGACCACAACAAAGCCATGACATGTCTTTGAGCAAAAAAAAGGTGATGTTTATATTTTTTCTTTAACAAGTTGTACTTACTATTACCATTATTACTATTAGTATTATGGTGTGAATTACAGAATATTTACCCTTACGTACTCTTCTTCCTTTTTCGTTCTTTTTGTTGTTGTTCCTGCGTATTCAAGGCGTCTCTTTGACACGACGTTCTCAGTGTGGAGACCACTGAAGTCCCTTTAGCGTAAGAACCACAAATAATAGCGGACACTTTTGCTTGCCTGACGATTCCCCCTTTTTTTTTTTTTCGTGTGTGTGTGTCTGTGTCTGTGCATAGAGACAAAAAACGACAGCATTTATTCGATAAAGTACACCATCCCAGCGCACGGGCATATATACATCTATATATCAGGAGGGGAGGAAAAAAAAAAAAAAAAGGTGGACGGCATATTGCGAGTAATAATATTGACAGGAATAATAATACAGGGCATGCGGGACTGTATAAAGAGAAATAAAAAAGTAAAAATAACATGAATAATTCTCAGAAGCCGGAAAATGTGAGGGGAAACGCCTCTTTGCGTATTGATCAAGTTTCCTTCGGATCATACCTCCCTGAGAATGCGGAAGAAAGGATGCGGGCGTATGTGTACCGTGGGACGGACAAAAGTCTACTTTACAATTACGTGTGGCGACCATTGTGTGCCAGAATAGTGACGTACTTACCCGTATGGCTATCGGCAAACATGATAACATTTGCTGCTCTCATTTTCGTCTGCTCCACACATGTATTGCTTGCCTTTTATATACCCAAGTTCTCTGTTGCGAGTGGTGGCAATGGCGTTGGAGGCTTTTATGAGATTGGGGAGGAGGGCAACGAATTTATGAAGGAGAATTTTCCACCACCACCGTCTTTTGTATTTATTTTGTGCGCCCTCTCACTTATGGCGTATACTTTCCTTGACAACCTTGACGGTCATCAGGCGCGCCGAACACGCATGGCATCGCCGCTTGGACTAATTATAGATCATGGCTGTGATTCATTTAACTCTATTATTCTTTCTCTCTCTATATCCGCGTCTACGTTGGCAGGACCAACATGGAAAACCTGGACGTTTTTACTTTGCATGATGACAGGCTTTTTTATGAATACATGGGAGGAATATTATCTCGGGGAGCTTCTTTTACCTCTTATTAATGGTGCAAACGAAGGAGTGATGGCTGCCGTTGGTGTTTATTTATTTACAGCATGGATGGGTGGACCTCAATGGTGGTTTATGAATGGGGTGGAATTGCCAGAGCGACTTATTCCAACTGTGTTGACTTTGTCACCTCCGGTTGCCACTGTGACAATTGAAGCAAGTGTGTTGCGGACTGTGTGCCCATGTATAAATGTACCTTATTTTTATGTCCCTAATAGCACTCTCTCGCTCCTGCCACTGTTATTTGGCCTCAACTGCAGTGATGCATACATTTCTGCACCACCCATACCTATTAACGCTGCGAATCAAACGTCTCATGCTGTATATATAGGACATAATACGCTGCAGAACACTATTCTTGGACTGTATGATCCCAGCCATCCCAATTTGTTTTGGGTGCGATTTAACACTGTTGTTGTTTTATTTTTTGCATGTAGCACACTGGTTACGGTTCTCGGGAACATTATCCGCGTGTACCGTGCGCTTCACCGTCACAATGATATGAGTATCAGTACATCAGGAAGTATAGTTTGTCGAATTTATTTTGTACATGCTCTTACGCGTTTAATGCCACTTGTTTCAATTATGTTTTTTGCCACATTGTGGTTGTTTACTTCCCCCAGTAATATATTTCGGCGACATCCACGCATTTTCTGCTGGACATTTGGGCTACTTTTTGCAAAATCCTCCATCCATTTGATGATAGCGCACATATGCAACGTTAAATTTCATCCGCTTCACCGCACTTTCTGGCCATTTTTCTTCCTGGCTATCCATTTGACACTGACTTACTGTCGCAATGTGGTTGAATGGATACAACATTACAATCATGGCGATACTTTAGCTTTGCTTAGTGCCAGGAACGTGTGGGGTGTTGCGTTGGACGAGGAGCAGGCACTGTGGTGTCTCTTTGTCGTGTGTGTGTGGAATTACATTCACTTGGTGTGTACTGTTGTGCGTGACACAGCGAAGAGGTTGGGCATCCCTGTTTTTACGGTGCCCCGCAGCAACCAAGTAACGCTGCGAAGGCAGATTGAGGAAGAGCGAGCTGCGAATGAAAAAGTGGGGGAGAAAATTTTAGGGGCGACCCATCTTTTGAAAGACGACGGCACCCCAATGGATGAGGGGGGAAGAGGAAAGAAAAGGGGGTCTGTTTCAGGGGAGTAAGGAGGTTAGGCAGGTGTAACGAAGGAATTAAAAGAAAAAGAAGAGGGTGGGGCTCTGAAAAGGAGAGGGGAGCAGCTGCGCCTTTTTTCTTTTTTTGTCGGCGTGCCCTCTCCTTTTTATTCTCCTACTCCTCTATTGTCCCGCAAACACTTTTATCCCTTTGTGCCTCACTGAAGCAGAAGCAACTAAAAGAAGGAAGAGACCGTTTTATTTTTCTCTTTTTCTTATTTTTATTTTTTTTTTTACGTTTTCCTTCTTCTCCCAGCGTGCAGAAGCGAACGGTCAAAACAGGCCACGTTTGCGATTTTGGTTTGTGTGCCTGTTGCCGCGGAAGGAAGGATTTTATAGACCAGTGATAAGAGTCATAGAAGTATGTTGCAAACTGCACGCATTCGCACAGAAAAACCTCCGGTTTTTCGTTGCCGTCATCGTCAGGGTGTTAGTTCAACGACGACTACGCCATTTCCGGGTTTTATTCCTGGTGCCTCGTTTGATGCCACCGCCCCTTCCAGACGGGAGGCGTTGCAACAGTTCCACCGTCTCGAGATGATGTTGGAGGTGGAGGAAAGATTGCGCGCGGAGGACGGACTTGTCCATTCCGACACAGGGGGCGGTTCTGAGGATGGCCGCTCAGAATGGGGGGACAAAACCGGAGATAAATCAAGACTGGAGTCTGCTGCGAAGGCCGCTCTGCATGACGCTCGGGAAGAACTTGCGGGCCGCACACTACATGCGGATCCATATTGTGTTGAAAATGTGTGGTCTGAGGCTCAGCGGGAGTGTCAAGTGGAGGAGGGGCACAGAATGGGTGAAGATGAGGCCATGTTCTCTGCTCGTAAGGGCATTGATTTTGAGCCAAGTAATCTCCTTGAAGCTGATACCCATGCGGCTATCATGGAGGATCTTGAAAAGCTGCATTCTCGCATTCAACAGGCAAGAGCTCAAAAGTCTCGCCATTCGTCTCCTCTTGGAGGTGACGCTGAAGGGGCCTCATCGACCAGTGAAAGCTCCATCCATTTAAGTGAAGAGGTGGAATTTGACCCAGAACGTTTTGTGGCACCGTTGCTACGCCATTCTGATGTCATTGACGGTGCAGAGTTGTGGACGCCGCAACTTGGAATTGATGGCGGAGGGGTGGTTTGTTTCCGGACCGCTCATGACATTTTTTCCGACACCACAACTCTGCAGGAGGCTTTGCAACTCCTGCAGTATAGTGTGCATTCGAACCGCCCAGATGTGGTGGCGTGCGTGCAACGATGTCAGGAACACCAGCGGCAGCATCAACCGATAACAACAATACCCAAGCTTCCGACGGGGGAGACAGTGAACCCCCCCAGAAGAAAGAGGAATGTAGTGATCCCGGCAACGAACGTGGGTAAACAACATGAGGAGGAAGCGAAGTTGTATCGACCTCTCCCTTCAGAGTCGCCGCCGTCTGCAGAAGAACTGGCGGCGATTTTGTCCAAGACCCTCCCAGCCATACCTGACGAATTAAGGAACGAACTTATCGATCAGCGGAGACTCCTTGAGCGACTCGCTGCGGCGCAAGAGGCGAGCTTTCGTCAACTAGCGCGTGAGCAGCAAGAGTCAGCACGGCGACGCATCATGGCACCACGTGCCGACACCACCATGCCACTACTTGCTCCATCAAAATTGCAGTACTCGGAACCGTTTGAGATTGCTGAGACACTCTAAAATCTTCAAGCAGACCCAAAGCGACCGCTTCCTCCTGTCATAACGATCTCAACGGTGCGCCCACAGCCAACAAAGATTCTTCCGCCATCACCCCCTTTATTGCCTCCGCATTACATTGAAGAAGAGCTGAGGCGGCTTCACCGCCACTATGAGAAAATTTTGCGGGACGAGCGTCGAGCATGGACAGATATTATGCAGAAACAAAAGGCGACTTTTGAGATGGAAAAGAACGCTGCAGTACAGACACTACGGAGTGCTGCGGAGCAGCGACAAAATGAAAATACGGAGGAAATTAAACGGGCAATTGCTTTACAAGAAATAAAACGGCGTCGCTGGCAATACGCTTCTGAATCAAAACAGCGTATAGAATTCCAGAAAATGTTATACAAGACATTTCCTTTGGGCGATGTTGGGCATGGGCATGGAGGAGGGAAAATAGGGGTGGCTGCTAGAATCACGCCAGGTATTCGTCAGCGGCAAACGGACATCGCGGAAGGGGCGAAATTTTTCTCTTCTAATAAACAAATTTATTCACCAGAAGCAGAGAGGGAGGAGGAAGACGAGAAGAAGAAGAAGAAGAAAAACGAAAAGAAAAGAGATTTGAAACGTCCCTTTGTCCGGGGCCCTTTTTCTGTTGTGCTGCCGGAGGAGCCGGGAGTTGAACCGACTGCAACGGCCCATGAAGCTTCATTGGAGCGAGTGGATGAAGTTGTGATGTTGTCTGATGGTGAGGAGAAGAACGGAATTCAACAAGCGCGTGGGGAGGCAAGTGTCGGCTCACGTGTGCTCACTGATAAACTACGAATAGGATTTTCTTCACCTGCAGGAAAACAGAGAAGGGTCTTAGGACCACAACGCTCACCTTATGCGGTTTCATCTAAGCCATCCGTATTGAGGGGAACTGCTAAGACTAGTAGTGGTGGCGGTGTTAAATCTGCTGCTGCTGCTGCTTCTGGCATAAAACACGCACGTGCCCCGTCACATTCTCGGGGTGCAAGACCACAACATCGGCTTTTGAGTAAAGGATCCCAGGAGAAGTCTCCGCATGCCTTTGCAGTTCATGACGCTCGAATTGGCGATGAACGGAATTTTTACAACACGACGGAGACGGTTCTCACCGAGTCGGTTCATTCACTAGACGCCACTCTAACCCCTCCTCCTGTTGTGGGTGGTACTTCACACCTTCACGAAAACACGCTTGATATAGGTGGGAGTATTGCTGGGCGGGCGGTATTCCCACGTAGCATCTTGTTGCTTTCCGATCCGCTGACAAGTGAAGAAATGGAGCGGCAGCACAGTCTGAATTGTGCTTTCAACGCTCTCCTACCACCCCCACCTCGGGCTACTAGTAAGGAGGGAAGTGGACAAATTCAAAGACCATGCGACATTTATTATTTTGGGGAAGAACACGGTGCCTTGACGCCACGCCGACGAGCAAAACTTCGGGCTGCGGAGGCCCAGACACGCATAGAGGCAAGGCGCCGCCTAGAGCATATAAAAGCCCTTTCATTGACTTCGAAAGGTCAGAAACTCGGGGAGCCTGTACCACATTTTCCAGAGAGTCAGTTATTTGAGGCAAGGAGTGAGCAACGCCTGGCGGATCTTTTGGCCAATGAGACCATTCACAGCATTATCGGCGGCGCAGCTGAGGAAAGCTTATTTGCGGATTTGTTTAAAGAGCTTGAAGATGAGCTGGTGAGCGCCGAGTTGCGCCGTCTCGCATTCAATAATCTGAAGCAGAGAGATGAAAGTGGACAAGAGCAGAAACTGATGGAAGAAGAGTACGAAGGAGATACGAGGCCACCTGACATGGTATCGATGGAACGAGCTGTGGCAAGTGCAAAAATTTTTGATGCCCCTATCAATGAGGAAATTTTTTTGGAGGAGACAGTCTTACGCCTTCTTGAAGAGTCTTTGTTGCATTTTCTTTTACAAGAGAAATCGGACGAGAAGGAGGAGGAGAAGACGATCGATAATGAGAACATAGAGGGAGGGGAGGCGACGATGGTATCCTCTCAAAGAGGACAAACAGTATTGATGTCGGACGGTGCATACGAGACGGAGACGGGCCCGTTGTGGGTGCGTGAGGTTGTTTCAGCCACCACAGATCCTCTATGGCATGGAGCAGAGGAAGAGGTGAATCCGCCCCGTGAGTCGTCCATTCAGGCGACGACAATGGTGAGCAGTGAAGAACATGCTCCAGTACTATCAGCACCACCGCTGTCAGCACCACCAACATCAAAAAAGGCACCGTTGACGCCTGCTTCTACTGCGCAGATGGGCGTTGTTATTACGATGGAGGGAGCGAGAGGGAATGTTGTACCGGATACCGCTGGTACCGTTCGTATTGTTCTCGATATTGCACCTGTCATGGAGCACCTTACTGCGATTGCACCACTGGATGCGGTGCAACCTACACGCCCCGCACAAGTTGACGCTATTTTGAGAGAAGACCCTCGATTGCCGTGTGCCAAAGAGGAAGAACTAATTTCTTGTGAGGTTGTGGATGCTCCAACTATCACAGGCACCCAACGGTTAACGGTGAGTACGGAGGTAAAAAGGGACGAAATGCAGGAAGTGAGGCCGCCTCTTCTTGTTTCTGATATTCAACTCGGAGAGTCCCATCCACCCGCGCTGACCAAAGAGGAGAAGACAAATGTTCCGCAACCGTCCCCTCTTCCTCTACAGGGTTATGTGACAGTGACAGAAGTACCCAAGGCACGTCAGTCGCAGCATATTGAGATTGAGCGTCAAAAGGAATGTGCTCGATTGTGTGATAATGAGCTGATTCAACGACAGATGCTGGAAGAACAAGAGGATACACTGCGAGCCTCCTGGCACATGATGTGGGACTGGCAACAGATGAATGTTGCGATGCTAATTCAGCATCAATATCAAAAAAATCCATTCGATGTGGCGTCACAACCCTTTTCTGCTGCCGTGCCTTTTACAGAGACGCAGACAGTGAACAAGGTGGAGCCGAGTGGTAATAACGTTTTGCCGCCAGCGCCGTTGGACTCTACAATTCGTGATCCCATCACGAGATTTATCTTTGAGTGGATGCACGATTATGACGAAAAGAAGAAGGAGGAAACAGCACGAAAAAGGCTTGTGGAATTGCCTCACGAGGCAAGTTGCGTGTCCGAGGGAAAAACATTGCAAGAAGGAAGTAGCGGCACGTGTACCACTGGGACGGAAGTGCGTCGGCGGTTACTGTTCGATATCGACAACGCGGAGTCGTCCTCGTGGCTTTCTTCAACGCACCTGAGCAGTTTTGCTGAGGATGGTTTCCCGCGGTTCGCAAA